CCCATGATAGCAGGCGGTCGAAAACGCGTTGGCGGAACAGGGATCACTTCCATGAAGAACATGTCGGCAGATGCCAGTGACAGACCTGCAGCATTTAGGGGAGAGAAGGGGCCATGTCGGCCAAAGATGAGAGAACAAATCTCAGGGCAGTTACGGAAAAGAAGACGCAAATGGGCACGGCATTCTTCTGGTGCCATGACACGCTCGTTGCGGCCGCGCGTGGTCTTGACTTTACCATTTGCAGCACGAGGAAGACCGTTCTCTTTCGAGAGACGGGTAGCACGGAGTTCCTCTTCCTCGTCTGAGTATGTTGGCTCCCCCTCGGGTTCCGAGTCCGATTCCGAGTTTACGTCCATAGCATTCAAAGGTTCGGTGCGAGATTTTGAAGCATCTGTAGCTTGCTGCTGGAACAAGAGGACATCTGGTCTTTTAAGGCTGATAGCTCGATGCTGGTTTTTTTGCTTGACGGAGAGATCATATTCAATTATTTTAGTGAATCCCTCCTTGCGGAACGTATAGGCGAAGCTGTTATCTTGCTAAGCCCAGATTTGACATACAGCGAAAACAGCTAACTCACGCGCCACAACCTTCATTGCTACATTTTTTGGTGATAGTTGTCCTCAGAAACTCTTGAATGAGATCTTTCCGGGCCTGATAGACAAGACTGTCCTTGTAGTGATCTCGCTTGCTGCTGGAGGCCTTGCTGAGATGCACCATAACGAATAAGTTAACACGGGATTCCAATTCAGAAATAGTTTCGTCGCGACTGTCTTCGTCGTCGTCACTGGCCGTGTGTAAGGTGATATTGTCTACATCGAGAGCAGCCTCCAGGAGACCATGTTCCAGCAGGCGGAGTTTGGCGACATATTTGCAGATCTGGTGAGGAATGCTTCAGTCAAGGAGAATGAGCGGAAGAGCATGTGCGTACCACCGATCGACTCAGTTTGAATCTATGACAAAACAAACATGTTGCGCGAAGAATGTTGTACATGTTCACAATGAACAAAGGGTGGTACACAGGGGCAGGCAGCTCAATGTGACCAAAGTGGCCTGGGCACGTGAAGTAAGTTAAGTGACATGTTGCACAGCTGGATGTAAAGCGTCAGCGCACCTGTGCCAAGACCACCAAGAGTTAGGTACTCACATGTCCTGACGATCGCTGGGACCAAGCGCGGGATCATACAGGCCACCGATGTTCGGCCTGTTCAAATCATCCAACAATACTGGGTTCAAAATCTGCTTGACTGATATCCTCCGAATGTCCTCCGTTGACAGGAATGAAAAAGAGATGCTTGAGATGGTAGACGGAATGGAATGTGATATGTTCATGGCGGACGCAATAGTGGTTGTTCACTGTTGCACTTTTAGATGTTCCGAGAGAATATCATATAAAGCTAGTACATTCCCAAGCAGGTGAATGCAACAAGCCTTGTACGATATGAGACGCGATCGACATCGACTGAGTTTTTTCTCCCTTCTAATTTGAGAGAGTCACGTGCTGACTACAAACCAGACTCGCTTCATAATTCCAGGATCCTGGCTTGTTGTGTTCATCGAATTGAACGCACACTAGTCTTTTTATTTTACTATTTCGTGTTGGCAAATGGCTGCTAAGACTATGTGATTCTGCTGTTCAAGCATGACCATCGACTCGTAGACGTCCATCTTGGCTAACCTTAGCCAAGTAGTGACAGAACAGAAATCTGTTATAGGTTCGAAACTTGCTCGAGCTCAACAATCTCTTTTCTCTTTTACAATGTTGAGTCACGGGTATATCTTAAGTAGTCATAGGCAACTGACACCAGAACAGGATAGAAATCTGCTCCCTTGGGTGGTACGGATTCGAAACCTGCCAACAAATCATTTTCCCTATTATCATACTGACATTCACTCTTCGACAGTTCTTCGGAGGTTCATCTCAGCTTCGAAAGCGTCTTGGCCAAAGTGATTACCACAACAAAATCGAAATCTGTTTCTCTTGAACTGCGCAGGTTTGAAACCTGCCGACGACGAGGTTTTTTCCATCAGAACACGCCTTGACATTTCCCCATAAATGCTTTCGTCCGATCTTCATCTTAACTGATGTTGGCTAGGTCACCAGGTGGTTGCCACAATAGAATCGAAATCTTGAATTGCGCAGGTTCGAAACCTGCCGACAACATTTTTGCGGTGTATAGATCCTCCATTTTAACGCCGAAACCTCCTCTTTCAGTCCATGAGAAGGAATTCACCTTCACGCCTCGCGAGGGTCGTCTCAGAAACATAAGTTATATCCCCGAGGTGGGTACGTGCAACCTAGATTCTCGACAGACTGACCGTTTTGAAATTGTCAAGATTCACCACCAAACGAAAAGTGTTAATGGGGCCATGGCCAGAAGTCAGAAGAATACGTGCAAGCTAAGGAAGGAGTGAATCTGACAGTCAGGAAAATGATGTAGTAACCTCCCCACCTTTAGCTTTCAAGTAATCCTCGGTCGCATTGAGCCAACCACCACAGGAGTGTCCATCGATGAGGCTTCAGCGAGGCTGGAAGAATCACATAAAGGTGGTAGACCGAGCCATATCGTTCTGTTGTGTGTAGTAACTTTGTGTGTTGAGAAATGTTTTATTTCCGGTTGTCGCGGCAAGACCCGGACACTGGACAGAGATGTCAACAGAGGTCAATGCGAAACTCCAGAACACTCCATAACGGAAAGCTCAAGACGCCATTCTTGACAGCACGGTGCAGAATATGAAAGTGCGATAAATACATTAACGCATGGTACCGCTACGCTTGAAACCTGTTCGGCTTTGACCACTATTCTTCTGCGCCTCGCTTACTAGCTCTGCGATCAACTTGTTGTAGGTCTCCGAGTCCTGCTGGAGAGCATCGCGAGTTTGTAGAAGGTGTGTAAGTAGAGATGAGGCATTGGTTGTCTCTGTCCGGAGATCTACCAGACACCGTTCAAGTTTTGCCAAGGGTAAGAGGGTTAATTGATCTGCTTGGCGACATATCATCGGTCAGATCACAACTAGAGGAAATAAACACACTTGTATCAAGCTTGAGTAGTTCCTCTACTTTGTTGTCATCTAGTTGGGGTTTGGGTCCAATACCGAGCTGTGATATGATTGGTCCTGCCCGCGTAGACGGTTGTGGGGTGCCCATTCGAGGCGTCCCTGCGCGAGAATTGGTTCTAGACGATGGGGCACTCTGCAGTGGACCATTGCGGGGCCCCGGGGGTGCAGACATCGGTCGCGTTGATATATGTAGTGGAGGAAGGGGCTTGCCACTTGCGTGCGGTAATATTTCATCCAAGTTCACAGGTAGTCCAAGAGCAATTAAATGTTGCTGTCGAATACGTGAGCGCGTCCAGTTGATGGGCTCCATGAGAGGCGGAGAATCCATCAGCATGGTATATAATCCACGACTTTATAACCTAGAGCTTTAGCATCTGAAGGGAAATATTTCAGAGACAACGAACCTTTCAGGTGTGACCAATATCTGGCTGACACCCTCTGCCTGTCTGATGTCTTCATCTGTGGTCATCGAAGAGATATCCCGAATCCATACGGGATCCAAGATGCGGTTGATCTGTCTCTCCAGGTCTTCTCCGGAAGGTGAGGTGGTTAATCTGAACGGCTCCCAGGCAGTATGAGATGGACCCGGTATTGGCTCTTCATGAAACGTGACATCTTCTGAGAAATCCCCAAAATCTCCATCCTGCCCGAAATCTGTATCGTGTCTGAAATCCCTACCGCCCTCCAGGCCCTCCGCTTCTCCAAAATCCCCAAAGTCACCAAAATCATCTTCCTGTGCAATAGATGGGTTCTGCGTTTGCGGTGGCGTATGAAAGTCGTCGTAATCGTCTAGTCGGTCTTGAGAAGGTGCGGGAGATGGCGGCACAGGCGATTCAGGTGAAGCGAAAGATGTGATATTTGCGAGGCGTGTTGCAATTGGGTCATCAAGTGTAGTACCCCAGACTGAGGCTCCAAACGTCAAATCTTCATCCATCATGCGCTTCAGCTACAAATTGTGCTGTTCAGCGATCGATGGATTTGGCCTCAAACTAGTTTAGTCGGTGTAACGCCAGGTGGATGTTGTTACCAGAAGGTCTTTAAAAATCATGATGGACTAACGTGACGCTGGAAGGTCTGAATATCAAATTTGCTCCTTGCCATGACTTCCAACTTCGAGCCAGAGCCTCCTGCTTTCGTCTTTGAAAGGCCTTACAATAATGATCATCAGTTCCTGTTCGCTTTTCCGAATGAAAAGAAAATGCCCAATGCGCGTCAAATACAGTTGCAGCGCCTCTATGATATCGTGAATCTCTGCGTACAGCGAGACGACCTTCCCCGTGCCAGACGTGCTTGGTCCATCCTAGCCAGATGCAAAGAAATAAATTGGAAATCAATGTGGATGCTGGGCATCACCTTGCTCGAAAATGATGTCCGTGTCATGGAGAGCAATCCACACAAAATAGATTTTCTACGGGCAATGTTACTCCAACTTCCGGAGGAGGTATGTTTCAATTTGCGGTCCTTACAATCGCGACGAAGTTAAATTACGTCCCAGCGAGAACGCATTCTCGTTGAATTGGTCCAGCACTATATTCTTGCTGGCAAATACAGAGACGCACTCGATGAGCTTGAGTTGTACGTGCCTTTCTCCATCGAAAACTCAGGTTCTGATGTTGTAGCAGTTACCTTCCTTCATTCCCTTATCGTGACAATCCAGTGCTCCACGTCTATGCAGGCTTGCTGTGTATTTTCATAGCTCAGCTTCCAGAATCAGCTGGTTAGTTTTCAAAGTATCGATCATTCTGGCGTATCGGTCTCAGGCCCTTGCTCCAGGCGCTAATGAGGTCGAAGGAACCACCTATGATAGCAACTCTCTGAGTCGCGCTCAGATCTTTCTTGAACATGCAAAGGCATTGGATCCCCATAATATTGTCGCAAGCGAGTTTTTGCACAAGGTAGGGTGTTGTCTGATTCTACCCAACCTGAGAACTCACCTTCATCAGCTGCATTCCATTTCTCAAGGACCAGGATTACTCTCTTTCGCAGGCCATGATTCTGAAGATGAGACTCATGCCAAACGTTGTCAGCCATCACACCCAAAGCGGAGGAGAAGTAATTTTTGATGGTACTCGTTCAACGGGTTACAAGTGAATGCAAGACCGTACCCCACGTATATCACACTATCAACCATCTGAGTCCGACTCCATATCAATAGTCGGTATTCCTTCCTCTTCCTCGTCATCGTCTACTACCATCGGGATAACTCGAGGCTCAACCACAAAAGGAGCAAGTTCCATCTGACTGGAAGATGGCAGCAGCAGAGATTCTGTTGGTTGTCGACTTGACATCGCTGAAGAAATGTCGGCAGAATCCTTCGCTGGTACTGTCGTGATTGAGGATGTCATTTTCTGATTGGCGGGCACCGGAGATGATATCGAGATTGGTCCAGGAGCTGTGATGTTTGGTGGTGTCGGCATGGGTAAATGCGTCGGTACGGACTGAGGAGCAGGTTCGGGTGTCGGGGTCGCTATGGTAGGATCTGCCATGAAATTCATGACATTTGCATCATATGTTGCAGCCAAGGCAAGTGATGTACGAGCAGCAAGCTCTTCGTTGCTTTCCTCTGCGCGGAATAGGGATAGCGCTTCCACATGAGGCAGCGGGCGGACTAATGGTGGACCGCGAGGATGGAGAAGAAGGTCAACTTCTTGTTGTAATTGGAGTTTTGTTTGCATTGTCTGCAAGCAAACCGGTTGTCATGTTGATAGAACAGAAAAAGATAAGCATTGCCTACATATTCATTGCCCTCCGTCGCAGTTGATCTGAGAACCAAGCCAAGGCTTCTGCTCATCGCACTCGTCGTCCCTCGAGCAAGCTCCAAACACATGCCATTCACTTTTGCATGTACTAAACTGTGGAGATGAACGTCTCGAGACAAAGAGGAACGTGGCATGGCTGTCAATGACAGTGACAAGGATAACATGACACGGCAAGCTAGAGAACGGATGGCGGGTTGCAACTCAGCGCCTCGCATAGTAACTTGCAGAGCTAGAGGACAATTAGCGATCACTTGGCTGGTCTTGACCTGAACTCACTGTCTAGAGCACAAAGAATAACCTTTTCCTCGGCGGTCGATGAACAAATGACGTCTTTTGATAGTTTAAACACCTCGTCGTCTTCATAATCTCGTCTGCGCTTCCTGCCTTTTTTGTTCTGTCCGGAACCCGTTTCACCTGTGTGTGAATCACACTGAGTCGACAGCACCGGCATGAGAGAAAGCATGATGGCTTTGACAAGCCTCGTGGAGCTAAGCTCGCTGGTGGGAGGGAAGCTATTGCTCAGTAGAGTTTGGATGCACTGGAGCAATGCACATCGTCGCTCTCTACAACATACGTAGGTCAATCCTTCAGGGTTGAGGTCTTAGCGACGTACGGTAGAGGATTTTGTTCGAGATGGTATGTTATCATAACAACCAGCCGGGACACGTACGGTGTCAGTCGATACTGAACGCTGGATCAAGGGCGTTATTCAGGACACAGTAAAATTGCGTTTCTACTGACGTTTTTGCCAAGCAACAGAGCAGATCACATGCAGAATTCTGCAGTTCGGGCACAACAGCAAGCTCCAAGGCTCTGACTGTTGCATCAACGTGGCCTTCTTTCTGGCAAATTGGTTGAAAAAGTGCCCGCATAAAAAATTACAAAATGATACCTCTTCATCAGGGGTACAAGCTAGCAGGAATAGACAGAACTCCATTATATGTCCTATAGGCACTTGGACTGGTCTTTGAACGGTCGTCCTGCACTCGTATAAGTATATTCTGCCATTCCGTTCAACGAATTCACCTCAGTAAACTGCAAAGCGCTGCAGCGCTGCATTGCAATCTGTCAAGATTGAGGGCGACAGCTAGCACTGGATCATCACATGTTAGTCCACTGGAGGGTAGGGAGCTGTTCTTCACTGTGTGAGATATCAATAAGAGGTTGATAGACCAGATACCAGAATCTTGCCTGGAAATGTAGTTCTGAGACCCATCGACGCAGCCCAGAGACACTGAAGGGTCTCATCTACAGACTTCTTCCACAAATTTGCGGCCCCGACCTTGCCCCCGGTGTAATGAAGAACAGCATATAGGCCCGCCGCATTATGCAGCAGCAATTTATTCGTGCGTTGCGGTGCAGATCCGTTAAGGATTTGATGACACATGTTTGTAATAGAGGAACTCGAGGCTCGATTCAACGAAGGATACAGAAGAACCATATCCCTCAATGTGTCCATCGCTAGAGCCTGACATCTTGCATTCAGACTCCTGTCAGTTTTATGAATGTCAATCACAAACTTTGAGCTCGTAATCTGCAGCCTTTTCGACGATAGATACCAGCGCCTGGCTAAATTTTGGAACGGTAGGAGTGGCTAGTTGCCTTTGGAGCTCTGGCACGTCAGTTGCTGCACTGAGGACATGCCGAAGATATCTTATCGAAGCTTTGAGCAGCGGTAGAGGTTCAGGTTTCTTGAGTGACATGTTAGGTATCTGAGTATCAGGATAGACGCATCTCACAAACTGTAAGGATGGACAGCGCGAGTCCTGCCCAGCTCTGCGCAAACTCTGTCATCGTGGACTTTGATAGCGATGAAGTACGATATGCAATGCATATGCCAGCCCATCGAGCTCCAGGATCTTTTGAATGAATCAAGGAAGTCACCCGGGATGTCCATTTCTGAAGATGAGGGGAAGGCGACAAGGAGTGCTCTGATAGAGTTGACAGCACAGATGACAGGTACAAAACTGAAGAAGCGTCCGAGGCTAACTGTAGCTGGAGCAGTGACTTCAACGGATGAGAAGTCATTGCTCGTGATATGGAAAGAGCGAGCAAAGCCTGAGGCTTGATACCAACGACTAAGACTTTGAAAAGATTGTATTACTAAATTTGGGCTGGAGCTTTAGTTTTCAACAATAGTAAACAGGTTCTATTACGCGTCGGCTAGTCAACGTCCTGATACAGGTTGCAACATGCAGCATTTCGGCGACCTCGACCCGGCCACCGAGGAACAACTACATCTCAACAATTTTGAGGTGCATCACATTGTTTACACTACACGCTGCTGACTGATGGTCGATGTTGAGTAGGGCAAATTCGATGTTAAAGAATTTGTTGGATCCATATCTGAGAGATTGATCACGCAATCGAAGGCAAGCTCTGGGCGTACGCGTGGGTATACTCTTCTTATAACGATGTCTCACTTTGTGCTTTGTCTAGCATTCGATCCCAAGCCATTTATACGAACATTTGAAGCAGTTGTAGACAAATTGATCAGTGTGCGCAAGGATGTCCAGGCTAAGACGGAACAGATGGAAAAGAGTGTCCGAGTGGCAGAAAGGGAGTACTCGAAGAAGATGGCAGACCTGAATCGAGGGTTTGAGGTATGTCTCTATGCGCAGCTGTAGGCTGCCTTGGTTGACTACCAAGCTCAGGCCGTTGGATCATCCTTTTCGACAATGGAAAGCAAGATGAACGAAGTTGGACGCACTGCAGTCCGAATAGGTGGCTTGTACCAATGTTCCCAATACTCTTGTTAACTGTCAGCGTCAGGTGAACAACTGGAATCTATTCACGTTGAACGCCAGAGAGCCCAGGCTGCCCACGACCTTATCAATTACTATAACCAATTTTCGCGTGGTGATACTTCACGTTTGGATGCTTTGAAGAAAGAAGGCCGAGAAGGTCGAAGTCAAGTTGCCGTTATATTGCGCCGACTCACAACTGTGGCTCGAGAAGTGGATCTTCCCAGTGGAGATAAGGTATTTTTTTTTTGCTGTCCTTGTCCTCCATCTAGTGGCATAACAGACACTCAGACCCGAGAGAACATCGATAAATACTGCGAGAAATTTGAAAAAGACATGATATACCTCTTTGACCGATGCTACCGAAAAGGAGACCCAAAGTTGATGCATGTGTGTTTCTTTGTCTTCGTTTATATTATGATATTTCTGATATTCTGTCAAGCACTGCGCACAGACATTATTAGATTTCAATGGTGGCGCATCTTGCGTTCAGATCTATGTCAATCAACACGATTTCTTCATGAATAAGGTTCGTGACACTGCGAACCACAGTGACGACCTACTGTACGTTCTCCGTTGCCTGCAGAACGTTTCTTCTTACAATTTCGCGCAAGGTGGAATACCGTTTCCAAACCAGACGAAAGCCCACCTAAAACAGAATCGGGCCTCGCAGAGTTGTTCGGAGAAATACGAGCAACTGTTGCCCAGGAATCACAGATAGTTCAGGCAGTATTCCCAAACCCACCATTTGTCATGCAAGTTTTCCTGCAGCGTGTTTTTGCTCAGTCTGTGAGGCAACGGATATTTACATAACAACGACAGTGTCTGATTTTCTGCAGATCCAACAATACATGGAGCAGCTCTTGACAAAAGGCTCTTCTCTCTCTGATTTGGCCTACCTACGGATCTTACAATTGGTCCATAACCAGACATCCAACCTCGTAGAAGACCTGAAAGCTCACGAGCTTCCATCTATGACACCTAGCAAATCATCTCTGGAAATATCAGAGTTCCGTAGGGTTCTCTCCGGTGCAGTGACGGTTTCCGGAACGTCGACGACATCCGTTGTGAGCGCCATGCTAGAAAATGCGATGGCAGAACTGTTTGTGCCATATATTGAGGGCCAGAAATATCTTGACAGAGAGAGCAAGAGTCTTGGCGAGCTTTATGCAGGACTTCTTGCGAATTTTACTCGATATCATGTAAGCATGTTAGATGTCTTTACCGCAGAACGTAATTCCTTATTGCAATGCAGATGAGAATGCAGAAAGTGAAGTCCTCGATGTTTGATCGGATGGTGGACAGGCTTGGAGCTGCTGCCGCGAACACTACAACATCTGGTAGTTCAAGCACATCCGCACAGGCTGCAGCGTTGATCATGCGGTATGGAGGGATAAGCTCAGAAAGAATGCAGGAAAAGAGCTCGGAAGATACCGTACGAGAAGAAGACGGTTTACTGAACATTGACGTTGCGGAGAAGATGCTCAAGTGGCATGCGGAAGCTGTTGGGAGATGTGTTGAGCTCACATCTCAAAATGATGTGTCAGTCCCGCTTGCACGACATGATGCTGACCTGACCTCACTTGCATTCCTGCAGCCCCAAGAATACATTTATCCTCCTAAGAGTGTTAGCGGAAGCCATCGGCGCCGCATATCTGGAGACTGCAATAGAATCGTACGTGCTTCACAGACTATACGATGGCGCATCTAAACCCATTGCATAGAGCGATCGCTCGTCTTGAAGTTGCTGACCCGAAGCTCGAGCCAAGTTTACAGCCACTCGAAGTGTTACGCTCAGTAGACCTCATATGCCATCTGTGGCAACAATATACGAACATGGCACTGTTTCCGCTAGCAGCGTCATCCGTCACTGTTCGGCGTGAAATGTTCATCTTCAACAACCAGACCGTCAGCAGAATTGAAGGAGCGGCAAATACGCTGATACACCGTATCACAGATGGCAAGTCCTTCCACATTGCCTGTCAATCCGTGTTGACCTCCATGCAACTTCTAGCTATCATAACTTGGCTTTCTCTGCAGCTCTCGAAACAAAAGAAGAATGACTTCAAACCACGGAATGACGACCTCTCATTTGCTCGTGTCAACACAGAACCTTGCGTAGCTTGTTGTGATATACTCGAGAAAGTGAGAGATGCAGCAATACAGAGTATTAGTGGCAAGAACCGGGAGACTTTTCTCACCGAAATAGGTGTCTCCTTCCACAGGTTTGTTGCAGTCGTTTGGAAGTCACCTATGCTGATGTTCATCAGGTTTCTTAGTCTACTACTTGATCATCTCCGCAGATATCCTGTTAGTGCGACAGGAGGTTTGATGCTTGCTAAGTAAGGGTCTTTACCATTATCACGTTCCCTCGTCACCAAAATCAATTCTTCTTACAGAGACCTCAAATCGTATCAGGATATTGTGGCATCCTTCAATATACCCACTCTCCACGAACGATTCGAGTTCATCAGACAACTCGGCAATGTCTTTCTCGTGCGCCCTGAGATCCTCAGGTCTTATATCACAGAAAATTACCTCGGGCGCATCGATTCCGCCTTGCTTAAGCCTTACCTTGCGCAACGAAGTGACTGGGGCCAGTTCGAGACCCGCTTCAACGAGAATGTCGATGCGGAGGATGTTGCAACAGATAATGCTTCCAGAGGCCCTAAAGATCGATTCAAGATGGCAAAGTTGGGCACGATGGTGAAGGATCTTGAAGGTCTTAAACTCGGCGATGGTATTTCCATGAGTATCCCCAGTGGGTTCACCGGGAGCTTCTCCATAGGCGGACGTGGATTGAACAATAATAGTGCTTAGTTCTGTGCGTAGTGTATCTCTGCTGTCTTACAAATGATGAGGCTCGGACTAGGAACAGGGACTAGGTAGGGCAATAGTCAGGAAAGTCACGGTGTACCTGGAACCGTAAATAAGAGAGCTCACCTCAGTCTGGGATCAGAAGACCGAGGGGATTATCCAATGGGGAGAGGAATTAATACGTTGATTGAGACAGAGAATCAAAGGTGAACACGTATGAGGCGTGTAACGAGTGATTGCCTATGTAAAAGAAAAGGACGAGTACGTATGAGAGTGACGTCGAGAATCATATTTTAATATGCTCGTCTGATGGTGATACATCAAATCGCATCCGACCAACTGTACATCATCTCCAAGGGGCAGAATATGGATAGTGAAGTGTTCAGTCTAAGTAGTGGTGCGAAATTGTACGAGTCATACCACATCAACACCTCTGATAACGTCATTCCAGTCGTCAAGGTGCTTCAGAACCTTGGCGCACTTGTTTCTAATATCGGCCTCTGCATCCTTGCCCAGTACAAGATACAGTGGCCATTCTCGACCTGCGGCGCAGCCCTCTCCCTTCACCACATCTACAACGATCTCCATAGCCTTGTCCGGGTCGCCTGGTTGCTTCCCAGCAGTCTTAGAGAAGTTCACACGGCCAACAGCACGCTGCTCGTCATAATCTGGGATACGGATTGGAGCAGTCCCACGAGTAACCAAGGATGCCCTCGGTGCGGAATGACCCTGGCTCCACGAGCAATACCCGGATATTGAATGGCTCCAACTCCAATGCCAATGATTCACTCATTGCTAGTGAAGCCAAGTTAGCTTTTTCCGGAATATTTTAGGTCAGCGGTTTACTCACCATGCACAGCAGCTTTGCTTGCAGCATAAAACCCTGGAAAGTATACTGAGTGAGTGAATTATGATTTTCACTCGCCAAGACATCGTGGTTACCAAGGCCCTACGGGTGATAGTGAGCTTCAGAGAGTTGGATACAGCGAGCTAAAATTATTTACTCTAACTCTTTCCGGCTTCCATGCACTCCTACTGCCGATGACCACAACTGTGCCATTGCGTTCTTGAGAATGTCCTTCAGCGAACAAGAGATTTGAATATTTGCGAAAAGCGCTCACTCTTTCTCATGTAGGGTAATACTGCATTGCAAATGTTGACCACCCCGAAAAAATTAGTTTGAAACTGGCGGAGCATAAGCGAGGCACTGTAATAAAAATAAACGATATGCAGAGCATGCGCAGGTTGGTGTGCATACCCTCCTTCTTCAAGAAGTGCAGGCAAGCCGTAGCCTGCATTATTCACCAATACATCAATACCATTCCATACGCGAGCAGCGTGATCTATTCACGCTTTAATTTCCTTTGTGCCAGCATTGACATCAAGCTGCATAAGATGAAGGTTTGGGTGCTTTGGGAAAGTGCTGAATTTTGCTCAGTGTACGAGCTGTCGCGATAACGCGATCGCCTCTTGCAAGTGCAAGGCCTGTAAGACGACGACCAAAACCAGAGGATGTCCCTGTCATGAAATGGGATAAATGTAACAATTCATTGTGAACGAGAAAGCATACCAGTGATCAACCAGATTTTTTGGCCTAACATGAGGATATAGTACTAGAATGCTGATGGGTACTGGAATATATGAGAATGTTCAGGTACTCACTGGCAGCCACTCGTCTTTTGAACCAAGAGTCGGTCCGATCATTTCCAAAGGAGATACATCAGTCTTTAGATAATGCGTGCCAAGGGCATGGAATAAGCCTGGGTACAGCCTGTACATGTGTCATGCCGTCATTGGAACCAGACAAAATGGACCAGTTGTGTCAACGAGCATGGCCATGTTTAGAGACCAGAGTCGAGAACCTGTTCATGATCTCCAGTGACCGCAGTGGAACGTTAGCTTACAGACTCCTTTCCGCCAATCATAACTGCATAACCTAAATAACTCTAAACAATCGCGTTGTCGTCGGCCCGGCCCGGACAGCTCTGCTGTCGGGTTCGCCTTTGCAGTAATCTCTACATTGTGGCTTCTCCTTGAGCATTGCGCTGAAAACGATGCTCCAATGCCATCTGCAAGCGAGCTGCATGCTGGCAACGACTGACCTACGGTACTGAGTGAACTACTGATGCTGACACTTTGTGACATCCGTTACTGATCTGTTGGAGCTGAGTAAATAAGATGCTTAAGAACGTTAACGCTGCAGCGCTGAGCATTCGCGGGATTTGTGACGGCAGCAAAATGGTCCGATGTAACCGGCAGAGTCTGTGGAAATCAGAAACGGTCTATCACGATGGGCAAACCTTAGCCCGTGATGACAATTGAGATATATAAATGTACACAACGAGTCAGGAGAACTAGCTACGGAAAAACTGAGAACGGGAGTGCGTTTATGAAACGGGAGATGCGAGCAGTGAGAACAGGTTACGAACGATCAGGGGGGTGTAAAATGATCAACAACACGGTGGGCAGAAAACAGGGGCTGGTTCAGTAGTGTGACGACAGTGGAACCTTGCCCGGGAAATGGCGAGGAACACTAAACGAATCAGGCGAGAATAACAGGACGAAACTGTGGATTCTTTGAGCGTTGTAGTCTGAAAATCTAAGGGGATGAATCACATGACGTGTGATAAGATAAGCCTGTAGTAAGCGATGAGCTTACAGGCCAATTCAGACCCAAGCGAGGAAGACAGACTCGACGTGCAACGGCACAGTAGAAAACATTGCTGTAAACGCGTCTGCGTTGCGCCATGTTATCGACCAGCAATTTATGAGTCATCCCAGCGGTCTGACGCATCTCGACATTTGCACTGACAACTGCGCCATCCCTAAGGTTAACAAGAATTAGCCAGTCACGGTGCCAGCTCAACATACTTTAAGCTCCAGAATCCATCGACTTTTCTGTCTTCTTCCGTTAATCATTCAGTGACAATAGGATTGGACCGACGTAGGAATCAACTACCAACACTGGGACTCTTGGGGAATTATTAGTTACAGCCCCAACATTTTTGACTCAATCAAACACGTCTCTCGTCCATTTTACCGATGTCGGTATATGACTCGCACAACGCATGTCGCACCACTGTCCACATTCCTTGGATGAAAACCACTGGCACAGAGGACACTGATAATATTAGCGTCACCGAACGCAGTCACCCCACGTGTCCGCTCGCAGCCCTCGTTCTCCATCTCGAAAGTCATCTAAACATACCTTTTCACGCCTCTTTCTTTTCATTTGAAACTCGCATTCTGCATTGGTGGTGCCACGGAATTGCTTCTCGAGGGGGTTCATCCGGACTTGGTTGCTACGCAAGGACGCTGGAAGTCACGCGTTCCTCGACTATTGGCCAATTTTGCCCCTGTTCATCTCCACAGCCATTGATTCTCCAATTGCTATCACTCGCTTACAATCCGTCATGCACGATTTCCACACTCATGCTTCATCTCGCATATAATCCCCACTCTTGCTCACTGGATGTATTATGTACCTCTCTACTGTGAATGTCATACTTCATTGTCTCCTCCTAGGTCTCATTTTCCTCTTCTGAGTCGTGGTCCCATCAACCCGCACTTCGAGACTGACTTTTTCACACTCAGAAGGTTTGGCTCTTCCACGTTCAGCTTTTCTGTTCTCTCAACTTCCAAAACCGTCGGACTAGAAAACCTTCCAGATTGCGTTCCCTGCCGCGGTCTAGACCTTCCCCCGACTACGAAGGCGAAGCCTTCATAGTCCAAACCACACCTTTCGGATCTCGTCTTCACACCCGTTCTCTCACACACCTTTCGATTGTTGTAAACTACTTCACAACAAATCCACCCACGTCACCTCTTCCCTCATTACAACGTCAACGTTGCACGCAAGTGCACTCTGTCCGACACGATTAGTCCGTTCCACCACCACCACCACCAGACTAATCGGTTCTGCCTCCGTTAAACTAGTGTGACATCACACAAAGCCAAAAATTTCACATTTTCAAGGCCGTTTTCAGTTGGTCGGGCGGGTGTACACTGGCAGGGGCTTCCGGGGGCCTGTGAAGGGTTGAGTCTAAGTATACGGTGGTGCGAAATTGTACGAGCCATACAACATCAACACCTCTGATAACGTCATTCCAGTCGTCAAGGTGCTTCAGAACCTTGGCGCACTTGTTTCTAATATCGGCCTCTGCATCCTTGCCCAGTACAAGATACAGTGGCCATTCCCTGCCTGCGGCGCAGCCTTCCCCCTTCACAACATCTACAACAATCTCCATAGCCTTGTCCGGGTCGCCTGGTTGCTTCCCAGCAGTCTTAGAGAAGTTCACACGGCCAACAGCACGCTGCTCGTCATAATCTGGGATAGGGTTGGAGCAGTCCCACGGATAACCAAGGATACCCTCGGTGCGGAATGACCCTGGCTCCACGAGCAATACCCGGATATTGAATGGCTCCAGCTCCAATGCCAATGATTCACTCATTGCTAGTGAAACAAAGTTAGCTTTTTCTGGAATCTTCTAGGTCAGAGGTTTACTCACCATGCACAGCAGCTTTGCTTGCAGCATAAAACCCTGGAAAGTATACGAGTGAGTGAATTATGATTTTCACTCGCCAAGACATCGTGGTTACCAAGGCCCTGCGGGTGATAGTGAGCTTCAGCGAGTTGGATACAGCGAGCTAAAATTATTTACTCTAACTCTTTCCGGCTTCCATGCACTCCTACTGCCGATGACCACAACTGTGCCATTGCGTTCTTGAGAATGTCATTCAGTAAGAAAGAAATTTGGATTTTTGCGAGATGCACTCACTCTTTCTCATGTAGGGTAGTACTGCATTGCAAACATTGACCACCCCGAAAAAATTAGTTTGAAACTGACGAAACATAAGCGAGGCACTGTAATGAACATAAACGATATGCAGAGCATGCGCGGATTGGTGTGCATACCCTCCTTCTTCAAGAAGTGCAGGCAACCCGTAACCTGCATTATTCACCAATACATCGATACCATTCCATACACGAGCAGCGTGATCTATTCGCGCTTTAATTTCCTTCGTGCCGGCATTGACATCAAGCTGCATAAGATGAAGGTTTGGGTGCTTTGGGAAATGCTGAATTTTGCTCAGTGTACGAGCTGTCGCGATAACGCGATCGCCTCTTGCAAGTGCAAGGCCTGTAAGACGACGACCAAAACCAGAGGATGTCCCTGTCATGAAATGGGATGAATGTAACAATTCATTATAAACGGGAAAGCATACCAGTAATCAACCAGACTTTTTGGCTTAACATGAGGAGGATATAGTACTGTAATGTTTCGGATGGGTATCAGAATATATGAGAGTTTGAATGTTCGGGTATCTAGCTATGCTTGTCTTTTGAACTAAGAGCCGGTCCGGTCATTTCCAAAGGAGATTAGTTAGTCTTTTGATGATGCGCATTGAATAAACCTGAGTACAGCCTGTACGTCATGTGTCATGTCGTCATTGGAACCAGACAAAATGTACCATTTGTGTCAACGAGCATGGCGATGTCTGGACATTAGACAGATTCCTTTCTACCAATCATAGCCTATATAGTCACCATATGATGATGCGGCCGCCAGCCAGCTCTGCTGTCGGGAATCGCAAATTCGTCTTTGCAGTAATCTCTGCGTTATGGCTTCTCCTGAGCATTGCGCTGAAAACGGTGCCAATCTCGTCTGCAAACGGGCTGTATGCAGGCAACGATAGACCCTCGTAAGGGGAGGGCTCGTCAGGGAGAGCTGTCATAGATACGTGAGTGGATGCAAAAGGTCGCAGAGACTCGTCAGCCTTACCTTCGTTCGTAAGGCGATCGAACATCGGATGCAGCGCTGGGATGAGTCCAATATAGGCAATGACATGTCATTGACATGCTGGTGGATGACCGTATATATTCGTGGAAGTATGAAATTCGACTTGGTATCCGTTTTCCCATTGGCAGATGCGCACCGAATACAATCGTCAACATCCTTCGGTGTTCGATTCATAGAAGTGATAAGCTGCAGCTTCTCATGCATACGTGACGTGGCGGCAACTAGCTCGCGCACTGCGTGAATACTGGACATCCACCATGATGACCACTCACGAAGCTTCCGGTTGTGGGGTAGATTCATTTGCCATCGCCAAAATGGCAACCGCTGCGCGGATCATCGCTGTGCCACGTCTTGAAAATCAGTGTGAGTATTATACCCTTGATGGCCATCATTGACAGTAAATATCTTGCAACAGCACTTACTGGAGTTGCGCTGCGTTTTCATATGGATGTTGTATTTTCACTAGCTCAGTTGCTATCTTGAACAAGTGATGGTAAGGGTAACCAATATGAGAGCTACCCGTCAGTGATACCAAAGATGTTTCTTCGCCAACATAGGAATACGAGTAGTATTCGGGTGATTTGCTTTGCCTTGTCCTGGACGATCGTTCAAAGACATCCTCAAGAAAATGGAATACCCAGTAGATCAGCGAACCACCTGTGCCAGCATCAGAACGCCGACTACAATCCCGCAACATCCGCGGCAGCGGAGGCCGGTGGGAAGACGTTGTGACGGTAGCAGTATGGCCACATAGTGACGCGCCAGCAAGGATGTCGAAAAACTTCCCAAGATACAGAAACTCTACCCCAGGCGTTATGAAATAGGGGAGTATCGTGGCCGCCGATAATGAAAACGGAGGCGCGGTAGATGTATAGATGATGGGTGCGCGAACATTATGCGTGACCCTGTCTTGATTCGTTGTACTATGACAGCATACTCCAAATCAGAGGTAGAAGACTATTCCCCTTTAAAAACAGGTTGTCGTTTTTCCTTGAATGCCTCTAAAGCCTCCAACCGATCTTTCGTGGGTAGAAGAACTTCATATGATGCTCTCTCTAAGTCAAGACCTGTTCCTCATATGTCAACAACTACAACGCTAAATACAACGCTAAATACCTGATTCCAAAGAGAGGTCAGCTGCACGTGAAATTGCTTGCTTTGCAGCTCGAAGCGCTAATGGGGCTGTTCAAGAATAAAGACATTGAGAATGGGGTTGCCTGGGGGGTGTGAGGGTGTGGTGCATACCGCTTTTAGTTATTTCCTGAGCCAATTCCACTGCCCTTTCGAAGGCCGATGCAGAGGGAGATGATACATAATCTACTACACCTATGCCTCGTCAGATGACATCGTAGGGAGACAATTCAGACGGTTTTTCTACCCCATTCAAGTGCCTCTTGGGCTGTCAGCATCCTAGCTGTAAAAATCAGGGCCTTTGCTTTCGATACGCCCAGTAATCTGACAGCACGTTGAGTACCGCCCGCTCCAGGTATAATTCCGAGGCGCGTCTCGGGAAGACCTATCTTTGTCACACCATGTCCTTCAATACAGATTAGGCAGACTCCACCTCATGCAGCGACCGAACTCACCAGCCACACGCAAGTCACAGGCAAAACTCAGTTCTAACCCTCCCCCTAATGCAGGACCGTCTATTGCAGCAATTGTTGGCATAGGCAAGGTTTCCAATTGACCAAGTGCGGCCCGCAAGTCAGAAAGGAATTTCGCAACTTGAATTTGAGACATAGTACGTCTCTCAGCAAGGTCGGCGCCTGCGCAGAAGGAACCCATGGTAGTGGAACGTATTATCAGCGCTCGGATGCTGTGCCAAGCTATTCAGTCTAGTCCACTATTACTAGACAATATGAGATATGAACCTCTTGTCGTACTTGGCGGTTTCTAAACATTCGCGAAATTCCTAACGAGTGAATTCAGCGCATATGACGGTATTGGAGTTGGATATCCTTTCACATGAAGTAGTTTCATTGATATAGCATTCTTTGCCTGTGGTCTGTTGAAGGACAGACATGCTATACCGAGGTGAGACTGGAGAGGTTCGAGGAAAGCCTCCGGCGCCCGTGTTGAGAAGAGTCTGCGCGATTGTTGCGACAGCTGTATAGTCATTACTCTCCCAGCATAGAGCATGCTTGTTCCGAGTGTAGGTGATTTCAATTGGACCAATTTGGTATGGTGCACACTGGTACTGTACGTCCACGTCAAGCTTCGAAGCCTTCACAAGTAGCCTGGTTAACGGTCACGAGTCTAGCTAGCTGCCCCACACGCATTTCGAAGTCCGCGAAGTCTTGCTCGAGTCTGCGACCGTCTATCCCCGGTATGTGTGGTACCTACCATAATGGACGGACGACTGTGCATCACTCAGATGCGCCATCTGGATGTTGCGTTTTGTAAACATGTTGGTGTGCTACCAGTCGTTTATAGCTCTCCGCCATGCGAAACTCGAAACGTTAGAACTAATACTATAGTCACATGAATAGACGACGTCCGGAAAATTTCCATGATCTAAAGGCCAGACCTAGGAGTCGACGTTCAGTATTAGTTGGACTTTGAACTGACGTTGAGTAAAAATTGGAGGTAAGAAATCCAGCGTTAAGACCTCGATATATCATTCGATAAAGGGAGTCAATCAAATCGATATCCGCGTCCCAAAAAAAAGGTTGAGTGGCTCGTACAGTGCAATCGTTCGTCTGACGTCTAACACCAGCCCTACTATGAAACCCAAGGTATACGTGCAGGCTGCAAGGGTGTGTATAAATAAAATAATGAAATACGAATCAGACGTGCACTGTGATTTTGAACGACAACATGAAGAATGTCACAATGCACGGATCAAGTATATGATGTTTGGTATAATTTCACATGGCGTGGCCATTCGAAGCGCCCGTGGAGGAACCGTAGAAGGAATCGACGGAGTGATGGAGATCCGGAGAGAGGTACGCAGTAGGAGGAGGAATAAGCGTTCGAGTTCGCTGAACAGATGGCCGCAAGGCAGCTGGTAATCCTGATCCAACATCATCAAAAGGGTTTGGCATCCCTTCACAAGTTTCATCAATCCCTCCATAAGGATCATCTGCCGCATAAGGTTCTGTCGGGGGATATGCTATACCATACTCATGGGGAGCGTACATCTCCTGTGAATAGTAGCCTTGGTTCTCATAACCTTCGCTACTGTCAGCTGCCTGCCCATGGTATACGTCCTGCTGTGAATAAAAGTGTGCGGCAGGCGGTACAGTAACTTCCATGGAGTTGCCGAAGTGATCTATGTCCGAGGATTCTTCAGCATCCCCAACAACGAAATCCTGACTCTGAGAGGGCTCCATAGAAGGTTCTGGCTTCTTTTCCAGGTATTCCATGTCATCCTCATACGAGCGAGAGAGACGGCGTCTTGCAATCATCATTCCAGCTCCAATAATTCCAGCAACTCCAAGCAGGCCAGCAACAGTGAATGTTCCTGCGACTGCTCCTGTATTTGAGAAAAATCTAGATGAAAATGTCAGCTACCGATTGGTGACGAGTAATATACGAAAACTCACCCAGAGTTGGAAGAGGGCGTGCTCGAGGGAGTAGATGAAGTTGTCATTCCAGTTGCGAAGCTGGTGAATGTGCCTGTATATCCTGACGTGAGCCCTAACGGTTGTGCAGCTGTCGTTGTTGCAATGACACCAGGTGCTGCAGACGTAGGCGTGGATGCGGAAGGTGTGGTGGAAGAGGAAGATTGAGAAGAGGAAGACTGAGAAGAAGTAGAATGTCTGTAATAGGACATAAGTCTGCTGTAGACATGATACGAAAAAAACTGACGAAACAGGAGCCCCATTGCTTGTGGTAGAGGCGGCGGCACTGGTCGACGTAGGGATGGATGCAGGAGTAGAGCTAGAAGAACTCGAGGTTGTGGCTAATGGATTTGCTGGCGGACTTGGTAGAGAAGGACTTGGAAGAGAAGGGCTTGGTAGAGATGGACTAGGCGTTGATGGTGATTGTAGAGCGGGGAGCACCGAGGGAAACGAGGTAGGAGTAGTCGCAGTACTGAGCACGGATGGCAAGGCGCTGGTAATACTAGGCAACACGCTCGGAGTTGTTAATGCTGTAACCTGATCTCTGGCAATCACATCTAATGGTGCTCGTCTGCGCCAGGCATGATGGGCTTGGAAACCATGAACATTCGCCGACTCTGTTAGAGTGGCGGTAAATGAGAGTACGAACAAGAGTGTAGTGAAAAGGAGTGTGCGAGCGTGCTCCGGATGAGAGCAACGCATCGTATGGTGGTAAAGAAAGAAAGAGAATGAAGGGCGTGCCCCTTCGTTGTGAGAAACGAAACAAAATATCACTGATCGTGATGGTTGACGCCGTTCGCAGTGGCTGCCTTCTGTAACAGCATTACTATAAGCACTCAACTAATTAACCCGTTCTAATTTAGTAATTCAATAGTAATTCACTTTTTATAGACCCATCATGGGTCAACCGGTCACACATGCCCATCGATGGCAACTCAGGGAGTACAGAACACCCCAAAATTTTTGAATCCACACGTTCGACTCGGGCCTTCTTGATATATCGCTCATGGCAGTTCTAGCATGCTCGATTGTGTCTGATTGTATTGTGCAAAGACCTCCATTGTGCATTCACCGTTGCACAAAACATAAGACATGGCAACGAAAAAAAGATATATCAAGATACCATCAGGATCACTGGACAACGTTCCCTCCTTCATAACCTAAACTTGTCTTCGCAAACCCTCGACTGAGATCCTTTAATGACCGACTGCTCACTTCAATACAGAATTGCTGCAGTCGACCATCTTGAATCATCTCAACAATTTCTTGCTGGGAGAACCTGCGATTGCAACGTCTCTGCAGTTTACCGGTAACAACTTCCTTAGCCTTGACGAAAATTAAAGTCAACGACCCTGGTACAGGCTCCCAACACTTACTCTATCACCCAGAGTGGGCCAAACCTCAAAAAGGTCCTTCACGTTCCATTTGTGGGCGCCGATATAATACCAAACTCCCTGTGGTAGATGATCAAATAAGATGATCAGAATCTGATCGTGGGTCACAGCTCACCCTCTTCACCGGAAAGGTGAACGTGTGGAGAACACGGTCTCTAGGGCGTCTCTTGACAATATACGCATGGACTATCTCGTTGGCATCTGGGGTGCCCCAGTCCATCAGGAGAGATTCGCCTGGTCCGTCCATCGAGAACGGGTCGTAGACAAATGCCATGTTATCGACAATCTGTAAATGGAAACAATGTTCATCGGCCTGTCCAAGGCTGATTATGGCTTCAACATGGGTGGATTCCTAGTAAGAAAGCTAGGCACCTTTCTAGAGAATATATCTGTACAACATTAGATTACACATATAATATACTCGGACTACTGACCGTGTCTTCGCCGAGGTTTAGCTGTTCCTGCAACAATTGCATGTCAACAGGACAAATTACTTCCGCACTCCGGGGGCTGCGGGATGAAGTCAGCCTCCAAACATCGCCGCTACCCCCAGAAGAGTTTCTCGTAGCATGTACAGACAAATCCACAGGAGGTTCGGATGAGTTGTTGGATTCAGATGATCTCTGCTGATTGTTGAGATCAGATACGGCTCCGCTTACTCCTATTCTTGATGCGCGAGAGTATGAAGTCGAGGCTGGAGATGAAATCGGCACAATCGTCGGGGTTTTGAGCGAGCTACGTTCCTTTCCCTTAGATGTCGGGCGCGCAGTATTGCCAGAACCAGAGCTGTTAGAGGACCCATCGTTTCTGCGACTCTGGACCGAAGGGGACGGGGAGGCACCAATCTCTCTGTATCGTGGCTGAGGCTCTGCCTGTAGCAGTAACGAAGCGCCTTCATTCGGACTATCTCCAACATCAACCTGCGATAAACCTTGAGTTCAGGGACGTAATTCGACAAAGAAGGTAGTTGCGTTACCGCCAAATCCACTAAGAGATCGCGCATTACACGCCGCACATGTCCCAATTTACGATATGCAGCGTCTCTACCCTCAATCGCGCTCCCTACATCAGGCTGGCTGAGCTCGAGTAGACGTTTCAATTCCTCATTATGGGCTCTGAAGGCGTTATTCTCCGTGACAACATCGTGATGTCTGGTTTCCCATTCCGTAGCTCGAGTTTTGTGCGCTCTAGATTCGTCCATTGTATCGATAACTATTTGGTTGAACTTGTTGCCTATACGGCGGAGCGAATCTGTGACCTGCATCCACTGGCTACACTGTGAGTGGCCATGATGGTATCATAGAAACAAAAACCACAAACCTCTTCGTGAACTCCACGCGTTCTGGATAGCGGAGAATGCGCCTGCAGTTCGTTAGCCATGAGTGTTCTGAAGCAAAAGCGCTAGCCGATTGGCGTGCAGCATGCCTGCATGTTGACCTTGCCGACAAATGATAAATCGAACCCTTGAGTACGTGACTATTCAATTGAAAAGGTTCCGGCACGAATACCACCTTCAATTAGCCTACTTGACTGCCATCGGCGGCCACCCAGATCTATTCAAATTCATCCCAGCGCGTGTGGCAGGGGGCCTTATCGATCAATGAATCCAGTAAAGCCAGGTCAGCGCGTTATGACTGAGTTGCTTAAAAGCATCACAAGCATGGCAAACATAAGGCACCCGATTGTTGACGTGCACACCCATGTTTACTTGCCCCGGTACGCAGCTGAACTTCGTGCAAGAACCTCAGCTCCCCGTATTTTGAACTGGACAAATGGGGTCAAGACTGAAGAAAGATTGTTGATTTTGGATGGAGAGCCAAGTGGTGGTCGCCCAATTGGTCCTCAGGTATGTCTGCTGTTTCAAATGAAGTGCTGGCACATTCACTTAGAATATATCAGTACTGGGATCGAGATGAGAAGCTCGAATTCATGCGGAGGCATGGTATAAACATCTCATTCGTGAGGTTTGTTCCTTCGCTTCTTCGGATAGTACGGAGTGACTGATCACTCTCGCCGGCAGTTCAGCCAATCCATGGCTCGATTTCTTGCCAGCGGATCGCGCTCAAACGCTAGCTCACGAACTGAACAATAACCTTGAAGAGTATTGCGCAACTTCTCCCCCTGCCGAGGGGTTCTCTGGTCTCAAGACGCTCTACGGCTTCGGCCTTCTCCCTCTTGTCCCGGATGTAGAAGTGTCTACCATCATTCAAACTATAGAACATCTTAAATCACTCCCTCACATCCGAGGCATCATCATGGGAACCAAGGGCATCGGGAAAGGTCTCGATGACAATACGTTGGATCCAGTCTGGGACGCTATTCAGGCAGCGAGGCTTGTCGTCTTCATACACCCACATTATGGTGTTGACAGTACAGCATTTGGAGAGAATGATAATGGACATGTGTTGCCATTGGCCTTGGGCTTTCCTTTCGAGACAACTATTGTGGGTAATATTTCGCGTCTGATGATTGAAAATATTTACATCGATGTTTAGGCCGTCACGCGCCTCATTCTCTCGGGTGTTTTGGATCGTTTCCCGGACCTCCGTTTACTCTTAGCTCATTCCGGCGGAGCCTTGCCTCAGCTATCATCTCGACTGGCCTCGTGCATTCAACATGATCCTATCGTTGCGAATAGGTTGAAACATGATGCAAGGTATTACCTTGGCCAACTCTATTTCGACGCTGTCGCATACGGGTCCGAAGAGTTGACCTTCGTTAGCCAAACCATTTCTCGTGCATCTACGTTCAAGAATGGCGGGGGGACTGTTGATCCTGCAGTCGGAAGCACTAGACTATTGTTTGGTACCGATCATCCATTCTTCCCGCCGCTTGAAGCAAGTCAAAAGTGGCCAAGCGTGGAAAGTAATCTGGCAGCCATCCGGAGTATGGCCGGTGTAGATTCTAAACCGGAACATCAGGCTAACATCCTGGGTTTGAATGCGCTTAGACTTTTTGATCTCCATGATCAAGTATACACATAATCTATATCCAATGTCCGTTAATTAGGAATCTGGATCTTCAAGCTGAAATCTATATGTTGGACGGACTGATGAACAACACTTGTGCTGAGGATGTCGATATCTATCATGACATGGTAAATAAAAGACCATCAAGATGCAAATATCTACTGACCATTGATTGCACGCTCCTGCAGGTTAGCCTCGGTGATGTTACCACTCGTCTCGAAGAGGAACTTCCGTTTCCCAGCCCACTTCTCCTTGAGTTTTCGAGTGACACTTACGAGATGTTCCCCTTCCATATTGTCCAGCATAACGACATCAGCGCCCGCTTCGATTGCCTCATCTGCTTCAACTTCCGAACCAACTTCCACATCAAGCAACAAGCTAAAGCCGCCCACTGCGCGAGCCTGTTGGATTGCAGCGGTGATTGATCCTTGGATCGATATCAGCTGGTCTTAAATTAAGTACTTCGTAGACCGAGGCGCACCGGATGACCATATATGATTGTCCTTGAGCATGATCATACTCGAAAGATCATGACGGTGAGGGTCAATACCCCCCACAATCATTCCATACTTTTCGACCAACCGAAAACCTGGTGATTGTGAGCAGATCGACCTGTTTGAAAGGGCAGCTTACCTGGAGTTGTCTTCCTGGTCCCAGCAATGATACCCTTGTAACCATAACCTACTGCAAGATCTTTGATACGTTTAGATCTTCCGAGGAAGACGGAGACGTAAACATGATAGGTATTAGGTACGATCAGAATAATTACGTGGCTTACTTCGTTGCAATGCCGCTGCATCTCGCAAGCATGTTCAAGGCGATACGTTCGCCAAGCAGAAGGTGCCTTGCTTTGCCTCGAACGGTAGCGACATGCTTGACGGGCTCAAAGGTCTCACCCTCCTGCAAGTGCCATTCAACCCTGCAGGTCCATCAAAACACAGCAAATTGATGTCATCAACATAAGGACATACTCGCATCCAAGCTGCGCGAAGACTTCAGTGAAAAAGGGCCGTCCGGCCAAGACCGCGGTCTGTTTGCCTTTCCCAAAAAGAAATGCTTCACGGTGAACCTCACCCACGACATAACCGCCATAATCAAATGATGGGGTGTCCTCTGCGAACCAGCCCGTGACTTGAGCCTTCCAACTGGGAGGAAGTAGATGTTCATAAGAGTTAGTAGACATTCTGGGTTCAATAGAGCTTAGGAGGCGAGGTGGGAAAATAAGGAACGACGTCTTCCTTTTTCAAGGTCTGAAACGGGAGACTACTAATCCCACCCGGTAAGTACTGAGAAAGCTACCGCTGGATATGATTATCGACAAATCTCGAGAGTAAGGCGAGAAAGATGTGCGATACAATAATGAAGAATGAATTGGTGCGACGAGGTGAAAGGATATCAGGAAAATGTCCATATCACAGCAGCCATTATGCAAACCCAAAAAAAACACTACGTGAAGAGAAAATATCCGAGTATAATCCGTTTTTACGTAAATGCTCAGAAATGAGTGGTGATGAAAGCAGCGAGGGCTGCAATAGCGGTCAGGAAACCCGTCTCCACTTTCATTCCAAGGACGGCTGCACCACTACTAGTAGGGGTTGTGCTGGTATCTGAGCTGGTGGTAGATGCTCCAGTAGTGGTCTGAGTTGCTGCACCTGAGGTAGTCCCAGAGCTATGAAGAAAATGGTTAGAGACAACAATTTGAGATGGAATAAAACTTACGAAAAAGAGGTAGTAGAAGTTTTCGTGGTAGAACTCGTCGAAGAACTAGTCGAGTTGATATTAAATTGGGCGGACTGAGCAAGCAAGGTGTCGAGATGTTGAGCATCTGCGGCAAGGTTGACACGGTAGCCAGAGCCCTGAGGCCAGCCTCCACTGGGAGGGTTGCAAACGATTGAGCCCAAGGTTCCATCAACGAGCGCGTTGAGAACCTGAGGACCCTGTGGCATGACGGTCTGCTGGTTCTGGACGAAAAGTATAAGAATTCCTTAGTAGGGCGTATATCAATACACATGCCTCGTTGGTCAACACAGCCGTGAAGTTCAATGGGTCGGTGTCAACGCGCACCCATGTCAGGTAGTTGGGTCCAGAAGTTGTCCAACCCTCACTATCACCTGGAGAGGTGACCTGGTAGGCAAAAGCCGATGCGATGGAGGCCAAAAGGATAGCTGCGGAGGAGCGCATGCTTGCAGAACCAGTAAGTAGGCGATGGTGGGAGTTGAAAAAAAGGTCTGACTTCTTTTTTGAAGGGTAACGAACGTGGTCAAAAGGCAAGAGTCTCGCCTAGTCTCGCTTGTACATATTACGGCTGCCTCTCTTGATGCCGACCCGAATAAGCTATCGTATGTTACAGTTCCCACGACGTGTTAAATTTGATTGGCTGTTTCCGATGAATATATAGATAGCCAAGACATGCATGTTGATGACAATGGACGTCAAAGCTAGGTTTCAGCCTGTGCACTATGATCAAGTGATCAAAACATCACAGGGGGTTCATGGTACAACGTGTGATAAGCAAGAGAGATAACTATTATAAGGTCTTTCTGTCCGAACTTCCGACGAAGAGAACGTCTAAGGCCCGGGCTTCGTCCATTCATCATGCATGAGCACCGAGAGGTGCGAAGCGCAGAGAACGCCCGACACCATCGGAATGAAGTACCGGTCGTTCATTGCTTCACGCGCCAAACACCATTACAATCATGTCTCCGACTTGAAATTGAAAGCGGAAGTCGACAAATGGCGTTTCCGTCTTGCTGTGTATACGAGCGTTCACGATCAACCAGCGGGCCGTTCAGCGCGGATGAATTAGCTTCAAGGTAACCAGTGATGTGATATAGCCATACGACATTAAGCACTCGCCAATAATGTCTCCGCGTCCCGCCAAAGATCACTTTGGCCCCATATGCCAGAGACGGCAGTAAAAATTATCCAGCATGATGTTTCAGCCATTCCAATCTCGGGTGACAAATCATCAGGCACTCCAGGCCCCCCGGCCTTCCGTCGCCGAACAAGTAGCTCCAGACAAGCGCGGGCTAGGCTCCTAAGTTGGCTCATGTCATCCGCTGAAATGAAGTCTTCCACTTTAGCCAACAACGCAAACATCCAACGTGCATGACTCTCAAGGATCGCAAAGGTTGGTTCAGCGGGGTGCTGCAGGTGGATATTCATCCAGTGAGCGAAGTACATAAGAAGGTGGAGGGATAAATTCTGCACTCCATTTAGCTTGAGATGCTTGTGAGAAGGCGTTGTCATACGCACATGATCTATTTTTTGCAGCAATAAGGGGGTGATCTCACGAGGGTTAAAATGCTGTTCCGGGCCTGGACGAGTTGACAGGGGACTCGTGTTTCGGAATTCTGTCGCCGCTGTTGACATAGATAATCCAGAACTATTTGGACGTGGCTCAGCTGCGGATGATGGTGTATCTGCTAGATTATCCTCCGCGAGTTCAATGTCGCCGTCTGAATTGATACGCCAGGTCTCGTGAGTTTCGTCACAATTTTGCTGGTCATGAGTGTTATATTCCACCTCTAACTCGTCGCAAAACGCTGACATACGACCGGAGGATCTATTTTTCTTCGACATTTTCTTTGTTTTTTTTGGTGGGTTCCAGTCCGATTCCGGTGAACCGGCGAGAAATGTCCACCATAGATCTCTTTCTTTCTTATCTGGCATAGCCTTCCGTGACCCATGTGGATCAATATGTACGTGGATGGTTGGTTGAGCGATATTCTGGAGGGTAAGGTTCGTCACACATTCAGGCACACGAGCCTGACAGCGTACAATTACCTTTCTGAGATTTCGAAAGTGTGTTAAGAAAGTAGAGCGCCAAAGTTCAGAGGGAAGGTTGCTACGTGAGCTGTCGGGCTGCACAAAATCAGGCGGCGGGACAAGTTCGGGCAGTTCGTACGGGTTAGCGACCCTCGTGACGTGCGGTAGCCGCCGTGCATCGCGTCTGTGGAAATGTTAACAGAGAACCGAACGCAACCATGTCAACTCACCTGACCGTAAACAGATATTGCAGTCCATCTTCTGGCTCGCGGTCAAAGTCCATAGGCAGATTGGCCACGGGCAATGTTTGTTTTCCGAAAGATGGTTCATCGTCGTCTGAATCATACTCTGTATCTTCCCATTTGCGTTTGAGACCAATGGAAATCATTTCAGCCTTGTGTATGGCGACGTGAGTGACCAACTTTAAGTTAGGAAGATATTTTGGTGTGATAAGTTGATGCTGGGTGATTATCTTGGACCGCGGGAAATGATACCAAACTCCAAACCGAAAATTTATTGCACACAGGGGTGCTTCCATGCCTCGAAACTACGATTCCATACATTTTACTATTCATCTTTTGCAGGATGTCTACGACAGAAACGATGGACCTGCTAGCTGATGATGACATTGATACAGAAACATTGCAGGCCCAAATTGACATGTCCATGTCATTTGCAGAAGATCTAGTCTCATCGTGGATACAGCCTGCACATAAAGCTAATCTCAGCAAAAGTGCAGTGGACGCCCAAAAGTTACTCGACGAGCAACTACGTAGACCTCCTAGGTGTGTTATAGCATAGATGACGGTCATGGTTTCTACGATTGACATCACGTTAATGAGTAGACTTGGTGTTGGTGCTCCGATACCAGAATCTTCTACAACAGCTCGTGACGCTGCGCGTCTAAAGCATCACTTGATAGGGAAAGGAGTCAAGCGCGCCCCCGAAGATGATATTATCCTCAAGACGGAACATCATTCAGAAGACGAAGAAAGAAGGGGAGGGACGGTTAGAAAGAAAACGAAACTTGACCCGTTCGCAGTAAAGTCAAAGACGAAAGCGAGAATCTTTGGGAACTCTGTCACACAATCAACCCATGAGCCGAGCTCCCCGCATCAGCAGGCAGACGGTGGGGATAGCAAGACTGGAGGTGATGATTTGGAACAAGGTCGCAATGTTCCTTCCTTATCGTCTTCGCTTGAAGCGAGTAAAATCAACTCAGGCTCGTTTGCGAAGAAGAGAGATAAGAAGCCACGGAAGCGCTCTGCTACTGGCAGCGAACGAAGCATGAGCTTCCAAGAGCAGGCGATCCCCCATTCGCAGTCTATTACCAACCCAGATCGATCCGGCAATCAAAGTCTTTTTGTCAATTCGCCTCCTCTCGGGAGTGAATTATCTTCCGTTTCATTTTCAACATCCGGTCCATTTTCAATGATTGCTTTGCAAACAGGTGAGTCATTGTTCTACTGTTTCAACGCATGGAAATAAACAACAGCACAGAGTTGAAACGGGATGGCGAATTGAATGTCCCGGATATGTTGGCTCAATATCCTTCACCAGCACCTCGGCATCCAGAGGCTCTGCGTTTAACGGTTCCGCTGCTGAACCTTGACGGTCCGCCGGACCGAGGTTATGGATCCGGTAAGGATGACAACCCGGATAGTCCCAAGAAGAAGCGCAAAAGGCGCAAAAAGAAAAAACACCCTTTTCAAAGTTGACGCGGACGGTTAATCTCGATCAAACACTTCGTAATTGCCCATGCAGATCTAATATCTCACATCCACGCGTATCATATTTTCATATCTTCTATCTACTGGAGCCAAGGACCCGACCCGAATCTGCTGTGTACCTGGCGATTCATTGCATATTGTTGAAATCTAGCCCCCCGCCTCACATTGTCACGTCGCCTTCCCATATAATGCACAAACATTCTGAGCCTACTAATTCGAGTTGACCGTTATCATTATAGTTCCCTACGGTCCGGCATCTATATACTATGGAATGGTACTCCTAAGAGAGGCAAATATGAGTTACAGCATGACTTCCGTGATAAATATGTCCCTGCAGGTGGAGTGTTCAAATACATAATTATGATAATAGATAGTCCTCGACCGACGACATGTCAGGATGCAGTGCGATCATTTTTGGGAAGACCTCGTTCGTGCGACATCTCGTTTAGAGTTATATGATGGTTGTCGTGAACTTTGTCTTGTAGGTCGTCGGCTGATTGGAGTCCTCGCTTGTCGGCTGTTGTTGCTCTTGCGAGAACTGCGCGAGTCTCGAGCCAGCGTGTCGGGTCTGAGAGCCCGTCTTGGCTTTCTGTTCCCAAATCTGAATCTTGAGAATAGTCCCGGCTTCGCCCGACCATTCTTAGCAGCCTTCTGCCGTCGCTTATATTCCCGCATGGCTTTAGCTTCACGCATTTCGCGCATGCCTTCTCGTCGAAGGTGCTCATTTCCACTGAATGTGGCGCGCCATTTGACTAGCCATCCGTGGAAGGTTGAAGCTTTAGGCCTGCTCCGGCGACGACCATCAGAGTGGTAGTGCTTTACTGGTTATTAGATTCTCAGACAAGAAGGACTTTAAGACTAACTCACTGATGATTTCCACACAACCTCAAACTTCATCGCAACGAGATAGTAGTACTGATAGTGACACAAGGGAAAGATTGATAAGAGTAAGATGGGTTCTGGCCGCTGAACATGCCTAATAACTGTTGTGTTGGACAGGCTGGCGCCATCTTAGTAATTTTCTAAAAACACGCCATCGGCGATGCGGCCGTCGGAACATGGTATGAGCACTCCTTGGGCATGTTTCTGGGCAGGTGCCATGGCGGCCACGCCAGCATTAATTTCGAGTATTGATTTGGTCCGTGCTGCAGCAGGCACTCCCAAAGACGTCCTCTGAAAATCAGTCACGTGGCACCCTCGGGGTAATCAACTCGTTTATTAGCACCAAGCACCTCAACTAGTTGAAGTGACAGCGTAACCAGTGGCGGTCTTGCAACGGTCCGTAATGTTATCCGTTCCTACTGTGGACGCGCGGGAACAGGGGCCATTGTCGCGTGAGACAAACACAAGTCTAATGTTTTCAAGTTTAACCACAATCTTCGCAAAGGTTGCGGCTTTAGGTACGTCCAGTTCCCGGTGCCTATCAGTCTTTCTATCGCATGCTCCGCTTTCCATAGCGCCTTCTATCAACATAATTCGCTCCATTGAATGTTCGCAAGGCCTCAAACTTTGCATGTTCGCATATTGATTTTTTTTTCTTCACCCAGATTAAGCATGTGCATCGTACTCACGATGATTATAGAGATGCCGTTACGGTAAATACACGTTCAGAAATCGTTAGCGCACATCGATAACATCGTTTGAAGACAGCCTTTGTTGCTATGCTGCACCGACACATAGAGTTGCAGCTGACCTGCTATCTGTAAGCTTGTGGTGGGCTTGAGCGATTCGGGTGACTGCAATACCCGGACCAACGTTCCATGTTCACGGACTTACAAGTGTATCACCGTAGGGGCCTCACACTTGCCTTATTTGGATAATTTACAGCATCTCACGTTCTTGCGAGAAGGAGAAGAGCACAGGATTACTGGGGAGGGTGCCCCCGGACATTACGTAAGCCACGATTAGTTACCTCCGTCTCGTTAATAGTGATCTCAAAAATATAGTGTGTTTTCAGCGTCATAACTTGGGGTGGCGGTGAACGCGCTTTTCAGAATTCACAAGTGTGCATTGCACTGCTTTCATCTCTCTTCCGTCTCCCGCTCGAAATTGGCTGTGATGAAGCCGTTTACCACACCGCCATTTTTCTACCTCACAGAATACTGAACAATGGTGGTCACAAACACGGCTACTCCATCCTCTCCGAGCCGTGTTCGGAAGGCAGAACAGTCCATGTGCGAGGAGGTACAAAACCAACAGTGACTCTGAGCAGGACTTTAGACATTTTCACAAGTTTTCCAAAACAAAACAACTAAACAACATGGGCTGGAAGAACGTCGACACAATCATCGAGGGCAAGCTGTATCTTGGAAAGTAAGTATGCCATGGATCCGGACTGTTGTACAGTTCAGACTCTTATTTTGGTTTCTTCACCCAGTATCCATGCAGCAAGATCACCGCGGTCGTTATCGGAGCGCAATATTTCACATATTGTCTCCGTTTGCAACGACCCTATCCCCTCCGAGCTGCCCGAAAGTGGAATTACCTTTCTCCGAATTCCTGTAGAGGATGTCGACACTGCTGACCTTCTGATACACATGCCCGCTGTGTGCCAGTTCATTGACCGAGCCTTGCAAGCCAAAGGAGTGGTGTTGGTACACTGCCTACAGGGTTTATCTCGCAGTGCGGCAGTAGTCGCCGCATACCGTTAGTTGTCTTCCCGCTCAGCTCAGTGGCGGCTAGCTGAATATCTCTCCTAGTCATGTACACGAAACGCATGGACGCGACGCATGCTATGGACGCAGTTAGAAAAGGTCGGTCCTATTCTATTTGTCAGCTAGTACGATGGGACTCACTGGCCCGAATTAGCCCGTGAACAAGTCTGGTTCAACGCCGGTTTCCAAGAGCAGTTGGTTCTTTTTGAACTCTGCAGATACGCTCCCAGCCCCTCCTGCGGAATTTACCGCTCGTGGCGGCAGAGGGTCACTAATGCCCTACAAGCCAGTTAAGAAACCGGGTTGTTGCTCAATTGAGATGGCGGCATACCTGGAAAAGTAAGCTAATCCCCAAAGCCACTCGATTGCATGACTTCCTAGTTCGATCATTAGACACTCTAATCCTACTCCCATAGAGCATAGTGGATCGTTTTTCTTGTTGTACAACAGGTCTTTTGGCATCTTTCCCTGTAGCATCATATCATGTTTTTCGTGCAGCTCGGCTTCATTTTGTATCGTGTTTTTGTATCGTGTCTTTGTATCATGTTTTGTATCGTGTTCTTGTATCAGGTGTTTTTGTATCATGTTTTTGTATCGCTCTTGTATTGCAAGTCTTGCTTCATATATTACACCGCCTTTTGTCCTGTCGCCCCATGTGCTCAGACCTGCCACGAAGACTGACAACTCCAATCCGAGTAACATAGATGACTTTGTCGTGTGGACATTAGCGCTAGATCTTAATCTGAGGCTGTGATCAAAGCTAATCTCATCAGGAATCTGCGCATATAAGTCAGTCTAGTCGATCCTACACTGTGGAAAGCTCACCAACGAGTCACCGTCATTAACTCGATACCTCACTGCCACACTCAAAGCGCTCGGCCAGGGATTGCTCATGCGTGGCAAACATATCAAAGGCTCTGGCAACATCAAGTGCAGGATAACGGTAAGGCTCGGCGAGTCACAAAGCAATGAGAAAGTACTAGACGCACACTGGCTGCAAATGACTCACATCAAGTATTTCACCGCAGCTGCCGAAAATTGCGAGTCAGGATTTAGGTGGTTCGTGTAAGCGCAGCAGTCTACCAGAGACACGTATTGAAAACACCCGCTAACGTGTCATGAGGATACTCAATAAAAGGCGCTCACGGCCAGACGATTAGATCACCACAGGAACTCCTCTAAACACCATGGGACTTGTTATTTCTCACATTTTTTCAGGGTTATTCACCCAACAGGAGACAAGTAAGTATCAGTCGGTCTCAATCGAAACGGGCTGCTTAACACATCCTACAGGACTACTGATGGTATTGTCCTAAGCAAGATGATGTCGAGACGGTACTCACGGGATCATTAGCTTGGACTCGACGGTGCGGGGAAGACAACGATCCTCTACAAGCTGAAACTCGGTGAGGTCGTTACGACCATTCCTACAATAGGTAAACGAGTTAGTGTGACCCACTGGCCTTGTTTATCACATAAATGCAGGATTCAACGTGGAGACGGTTGCGTACAAGAAACTCCAGTTTACCGTGTGGGACGTCGGAGGTCAGCAAAAGATTCGTCCTCTCTGGCGGTACTGTATGGCATCCACCCTGGTCATGCAAATGGTCTCTCATTGTTATCTAGACTTTAATAATGCAGAGGGCATCATTTTTGTGGTGGATTCCAGCGATCGCGATCGTATTCCAGAAGCGAAAGAGGAACTTCGCATGCTGATGAACAACGAACAATTACAGGACTCGTTGTTGCTTGTGTTTGCGAATAAGCAGGACATGCCTGGCGCTATGAGCGCGAGTGAACTCACCAATAAACTGGAATTGCAGATGTTTAGACGGAGAACGTGGTACATACAAGTACGCATTCCTTGTCCGTATGGCGGCCTTGCGCTAATGTGCGGCAGTCTACTTGCGCAACTTCGGGCGAAGGCCTGTACGAAGGCCTAGAATGGTTGGCAACCAATCTCAAGAAGCGTCGTTGGTAGATTAAGCTTCTATGTAGGACGAGAAAATAAATTGGGATTCGTAGTATGTTCGCAATATAGTGAAGTGTTATCAGATTTTGTCATGGGGAGGGTATTATTGTCCGCTGCATGGCCTCCAAGGTCCGTGTCAAGGCTGAGCTGGTTTAATAGTTGGTGATGAGATATGTAACCGGCAGACGTGGAAGACCAAGAAGTGAACCGCCACCGGCGGAGTTCAAAAGGGTGGTTCACACACGACGACAAACTTGTTCTTGACCTTCAGTTTACAACTCATTAACGTCCTTGCACTTCCTAGCTCAACATGGGTCTCTCGGTGTCACGTCTCCTTGCTGGTCTCTTTGGCAAGAAGGAGATGCGTAAGTCCTCACCATCTATACTGTTATCCCCGACATCGACTAGAAACTGATATTGTACCTTCTTCCAGGAATTTTGATGGTCGGAAATTGAGTTCAAGTCACAATGTCGTTCACTAACTTTCATCTAGGTCGGTCTTGACGCCGCTGGTAAGACTACCATCCTGTATAAGCTTAAGCTGGGCGAGATTGTAACTACCATCCCCACCATCGGTAAGCTGTTCGCATTTACCTAAGATATAAAATCCTCTAACTTTGTCGCAGGATTTAACGTCGAGACTGTCGAATATAAGAACATTTCCTTCACTGTGTGGGATGTCGGAGGACAAGACAAGATCCGACCTCTCTGGAGGCACTGTATGTTGTCCCTCTATCTACGTCGTCGCCCGAGCTTATCAGATTTCTTCAGATTTCCAAAACACGCAAGGTATTATCTTCGTAGTCGACTCGAACGATCGGGAACGTGTGTCGGAGGCTCGTGAGGAACTTCAACGAATGTTGAACGAAGATGAGCTGCGGGATGCTCTCCTCCTTGTTTTTGCAAACAAGCAAGATCTCCCCAATGCAATGAATGCAGCAGAGATCACTGACAAGCTTGGATTACAAGCGCTTAGGCAGAGAACGTGGTATATCCAGGTCGGTCATTTATTTCCCCAATCATCGGATCCGCTAACAGTGGACGCTGTTAGGCTGCATGTGCCACTTCTGGTGATGGACTGTACGAGGGTTTGGAGTGGTTGGCGACCAACATTAAGCGTCGGTCTTAGGCGATATGTAGTTTTCTGTCGTGTTTGGATCTTGCACGCGCGTTGTCTCCCGATCCTTATGGTATCGAAAATTATACGCCCGTCTGCTATTTCTTTACTCTGCCTTCGCTTACACTCCCTCTTGAATTTCCCATTTTCTGTTTCATGTTTTTTTTTTTTGTAAATTTTGAGCCTTAGAGGTTGATATGAACTGCTCTCAGAGCGGATCAGGAAGTGTACACTGCAAGGCTCGATAAAAAGAGGGTATGCGACATGCATCATCGGTTCTCTCCAGGAAATACCCGTCCCACCGCATCCGCTTCCTTCCTCCGTCTGTCCCCTCTTTCCCGTGATTGGGCGTTACGCCGACTCGATCCGTACCTGGTTAATTTCTCAAGCAGTGTCTGGAGTCTCTTCGGTCGGACAAGGGAATACGTTGTCTGCCGGACCTGCGGTACCAAATAGTCTTGTACAGCGTCGTTTAATATGATCGACGTCATCTGTAGCATTTGTAATGTTAGCCAAGCCAGAAAGGAGGGTGGGTATGTTTTTACCGAGCGAAGTTCAGCGAAAACCGAGCTAAGATGGCCCCGGCCAATCCGGGTTAATTCCCCTTCTAGGAACTCTGTATCCACCAAAACATTTGAGATGGCATTCTCGTTCATCGCTAGGACGTCAGGCCCGATCATGAAATTCTGCATGTACAAAACCATGAGCGCGCCGTGCATGCTGACGGGCTGACGAACCACCTGCTCACCATCAAGCACTCGGCGATATATCCAACTGCTCCTCGGTATGCCTCATCCTTGTATATCTCCTTGATGACGAGAGAGTCCACAACTGTCGTGAGCCAGTTGATAAGTTCATATAAGTACATGCTGGGTGTGTCCTCGCGGGATTGCGGCGTCCAATCGTACTCTGCCAATTCAAAGAAGTCGTCTAGTTTAGAGGTGATAAGACCCGTCACGCGGTTGAGGGCATGGGTGACAGTGTTGGCAAATGAAGAGGAAGAAGACAGCCTGATAGCACCACCCCGCTGTGTTGACCTGATGGAAGGGGCTTGAGAGAGTCAAATGAATTATGACAAACACTTTACCGGAGACTCGTCAGTGAACGTTCCAGTTCTGAACATGCAACCTCAAAATGCTCGAGATTTGAAACAATCTGAACGACTTGACTAAGCGTTGATGTGCTACTCAAGCACCTGGAAATGCTGTCGCTGATATGGTTTGCGAGTAGTTTGTCTAACGACTGTCCAATCAAGTTTAATTGGTTTGACATAATGATCCACAACATGCTCACCTTGTTCAATAGTTCATCAATATTGCCATGATGTTGTGATACTCCATCAACAAAGTGATAAAACTTTTGTATGAAGTTTCGGATCTGCAAGTATATATTTACAAATGAGCTCAACAGTGGAGTGGAAACAATAACACATTACATCTTGGCAGCACAGGAAGAAACCTTGCGACCATGGCAGACTGAGAGGGAGACCGCTTCTACAGAACCCCTGAGCTGCTTATTCCCAGAAGGATGTGATGACATACTTTGAGAGAGCGTCTTGTTCTGACGGGTCCAACCATACGACTGCGAGCACAGAATCTCTTTCTGACGGTATTGTAACTTGCATGGGGAGATGATCATCTTGGAGGAAAATCTGGATTGTAAATCTTGAGCGTGATCAACACAAGAAAAACCTCGTACGACTTACAACATCGAACCTACGACTGAACTGGCCTTCAAGAAGGCCGGCGTATTTCTCGAACAACATAAGGATGAGTGAATGCAGTGACTGGGTGGCATACGAATAAGACTAGCAAGGCGGTCACCCTTTTGAACTTTTTTTGTGATCAATATCAGATACATACCTCCAGCGTCGTGACAAATCCAATGAGACACTCCTTTACCCTCAAAAAGGAATCCGGGTCAGTCTCGTTTGCCAAAGACGCGCTAACAGCTGATGAAAGACGTGCAACTAGCGCTTCCCATAGCTCCTCGATCTCCCTCTCAGAGCGGAAGTTGCCAGTTGTCTCAAGAACATGCGATTCTATAATAAAAAATCCGCATATTTCCTGAGTTAGGCTGACCAGGGAGGCGAGCGGAAGCGGATCCGGTAGAATAAGATCTGATTGCGCCTGCATTGAGATTGAGTTGGCGAGAAAAGAAAGCAAAACGCTGCCGCACTTTACGATCTGCTTGATAAGATCTTCGCAGGTCATCAATTGAATCCAACGTCGTGTAGATATGTATGCACTGGTAAAGAGGCGTGAAATCAACCTTTAATTTCTCGCTGTCGAGAACATTGGCTAACAGTAAGATGTTAATCAACCGATTGCAGTGAGGGAAAGAGTAGAACTCACTGTCGGACCGCTCTTGGATCACCATTTCCACTGCGCTTCCAACACGGCTCAATCTCAGCATGGGATCTTTATCTCGACGTGATCTCCACTTGCGCGTCCGGTAGTCCATTGCTTCCAAAGCCAATTTACCAACTAGCCCACTGATATTCCGAATTTCCAGCAACCATTGCTTCATAGAGGCTGTCACTGCATTCTGAATTTGAATCCGCAGCGAAGGCAGAGAGGACAAGAGATGCTGGTAGAATGGCGTCTGGGACAGCGAATTCGAAGGCAGACTCTGTATGTCTTCCAACGACTATTGGTTCCTTTCAGTCACCTTACGGGCCACAGTAGTGGCGTTACATACCCGCAGGGCACTCCAGTACTTCCCCTCCTTGATCAATTCGCCGATTCGATTCACAACGTCCAGGACTTTCAAACAAGCTTGCAGAGTATCAATTGCTTCATCAAGTTTAGCTGCCGTCTTCTTGGACTGCAGTAGAGTTCTTTTCTTCTCTACCAAGCCTCGACCGACTTGAGATACGCTGGCGTCCAAAGTCGTGATCTTGTCCCTGAGGTTATTAGTATATGACTTGACTGTGAAAAGAGTCGAAGCGGAGGAGATGAATTCTTGATAGTTGTCCGTGCATATCTGCTCGATCTCGCTGTCCTTTGTTGCAATGAGAGCCTGAAGATTGCGCAGGTATGCTTCCTGCTGACGGTTCGCATGAATCTGTTTGATGATAGGTCCGAGTTGTTCAAGGTTCTCGGAAGACGAGGAAGGATCGAGAAGATGTATTTGTTGCAACTGCTGGTCGATGTTCTCCTGGGTATATTGTGGGCGCCTTTGAGGAGCCATGGCTGCAACTACAACTGCTAATAGAGTATCGTCTCAATTTAGATACCAGGCTAGCGTTGTTTGGCAGCAGCCTCGGATACAAACAACCTCAGTCCAACGAAGAGAGCGGACCGCCTTCTCCCGGAACTAGCGGACCTTCAGCATATGATTACGTTTGTGGTTCCTTGCTTTCGTTCTACCACTGCAGTATAATGCATTTGGTTCTTTCCTTCTTTCCTTCTGGAACTTCATCAGAACTCCCAGATCTTGCTTAGGGTGTTGCTAACACCGTTCAACCTTCGTCCAGCATACGGCCTTGCACGCAAACGTCAAGTCTGAGGTCTAGCGGCACGCATCCATACTGAGGACGATATGAGACCACGATATGGGAGATTGTACTGGTACTACGAGTATGCTCACAGACAAATTGTCTGTTAATCCCAGTGTCATCCAATCTAAACGCCCCCACACTCAGGCTGTTACTAAAAACCTAGTCACTCCTGCACCAACCACAGGCAGTATGGTGTCTCGCAGAACAACCGAGTCTTCATGCTATGTCAATACACAAAGACAAAGCAAGTTCTGCGACATCGACAACTTGAAGATGATGGTTGGTTCGTGTGCCACATGCTACATATAGCGATAATAATACTTGAGGACATCCCACAACAAGTAAGCAAAACCATTATCTCGGCTACGATAGGCTCGGCTAAAGTTTAGCCGAGACCCAAAGGACTCGGTCAATTAATTTTAGGGTCAATCATCTGATATTCCAGGGTGGTAATACAGTGACTCGGTAATTTGGCAGCATAAAGCACGCTCACAACGAACGTCGACTCATCTCTTGGACTCGATCATCTTGTATTTCCACAACAAGAGATGGAAGCTCTCACTTTTCACGTGGATGCTGTGTAAGTCAAAGTTAAACTGTCCAGGAGACGATTTTGAACAGTATCGCAGCTTGTTTGATATGGACGGTACCCTGATAGATTCGACGGCGGGCGTGATCGGAGCCTGGGAGACGTTTGCTGAGACATATTCTGGCCTAGATATTCCAAAGATCCTGAGTAGTGAGTAGCTTTTAGGCAGGATCTTCTGTTGTAAGTCGCTTTTCTTCACAATCAGGTGCACATGGTGTCAGGACTGTTGACAATCTGAGGAAGTACTGTGGGCTTACGTCTGAAGCGGAGCTCGAGGTGGTCAATTCTTCAGTGGATTCACGCGTGATACTGATTCATGTCTGCCAATAGAAAGAGGCTGCACGATTCGAGGAGGCCATCGTTACCTCCTCCACAGCTAACGGCAGAAAGGGTATCACTCTTTTACCTGGAGTTCGCCCCATCATAGATGAGGTAAATTACATCTCATATCATACTGCTTCCAGTGCGCCTAATTGCTGATCATTACAAAGCTTGCTCCCGGAAAGAACAATCCCAAGCCATGTTGGGCTATTGTTACATCTGCAACCCGTGCCTATGCATCAGCTGCTCTAGAGATTGGTGGAATCCCGATCCCAGATGCTTTTGTAACTGCTGAAGATGTTACACAAGGGAAACCTTAGTGCGGAATAGTGTCATGAATTGAAACATTCAGAACTGACTAAACACCTTCACTAGCCCTGACCCATATCTTCTGGGTGCACAGAAATGTGGAGTTTCGCCGGAAAAGTGTCAGTGATCGTGTCAGAATAACGTTGAGGACATTGACCCGTCCTATAGGTCTTGTTGTAGAAGATGCTCCGTCAGGCGTAGCAAGTGGTCTTGCCGCTGGGTGTGCTGTGATTGGATTGATCACATCGCACACCAGGGGGCAGATGGAAGTCAGTCGCCCAACACATTTAGTGGAAAACTTGTCTAGGTGCGCGGCAACTATTGGAAATCCATCGCGTATTCAAGCTTTCTCCTTATATTAGCGTGTCAATGAAGATGGGGGCAAATGGTGGCATAGATGTTGTTGTCAACATAGATTAGAAGGAGTTCATGGACGAAATAGAGTTTACAAGGCAGATGGGACTATTGGGCCTTGGCACCGGAATAGCGAGCTTTTCTAGAAGTCTCACTGTCAAAAGCACCATCGGGACAACTTGAATCGACAATTCACAAAGGCGCTTCTTAATGAGCGGCTACACAACTCGTTGAGGGGCGGTACTGCGGTACTGCGGCAGGGTGGATCCGACCACGAGGCTGTCAGCAGGTTAAAGAGATCTGCGTGTCTATCATGAGTCAATGGATTGGCAGACATATTACTATCTCTGACTGAGAAAGATTCGATGGCATCCCGCATTCACGAAGACCATGTAGCCGTTCAGGTGCCTACTCCGCCCACTAGAAAGGAAAAACCTCGTGCTCAAATGACACTCGAGGGTCATGAAGATTGGGTACACAGCGTGGCTGTCATCCCTGGAACTCATCTCCTTGTCACCGCCTCGCCTGACAAAACTCTCCGACTGTGGGATCTAGTCAAGGGGCAACAAGTCGGGAAGCCCTTGTTGGGTCACGACGACGAAGTTTGGACGGTTGCAGCATCTCCTAATGGGCGCTGGATTGTGAGCGGAGCGGTGCACGGAAGCATCCTGGTCTGGGATGTGGCGACGAAAAAAAGCGTGTCCGTCTCGTTCAAAGGACATAAAATGGGTGTTTCGAGCGTCGTCTTTGCGCCGGACAGCAAAACATTCGCAAGTGCATCGGATGACAAAACGGTATGCGTTTGGCTGAGGAGGACAGAGGAAATCGTCCTTGGACCATTTCAGGTGGGCAGTAATGCGTGGTCGGTGTCATACTCCTTCGATGGGAGCAGGCTAGCAGCAGGAACGGGGGAGCGTATTATCATTTGGAATACAACAAATGGAAAAGAGCTGCTTAAGATCGAACAGCAAGCAGTGGGTGTCGCATTCACTCCAGATGGTCTCCATCTGGTCAGCGGATGCATTCACGACATCCGGATCTCAGATGCCGCAACCGGAGACATCATCAAACAGTTTGAGGCGCACACTGAGCTCTTTCAGTCACTGGCAATTGCTCCAGATGGCACCAAAGTTGCCAGCACGTCAATCGACGGTACGACACGGTTCTTTGACCTAACCACGTTCGAACCTATTGGCAAGCCATTGGAGCATCCCGATCCGGTGTATTGCGTTGCTTTTTCCGAGGATAATCAGCTTGTCGCGACTGGTTGTGACGACGGGCTTCTTCGCGTGTGGACAGTGCCTCAAAGCGATTCAGATAAGGAGTCCAAACAGGTGAGCAAGTCCGGTTCATCCACTGCTGGTCATGTAATATTGATGCTAACTTGGAATACAGCCCAAAAAGGTTTCTTTATCCCCCACACGCATCCTCGTACACTCTGACTATTGACGATATATAGGATGACCGCCGCCGTCCTCGTCCATCCATACCGATTGTATGTTTACACTCCTCTTGTTGTACCATCCCTAATTTTACTCCCGCAGGAAATCATTCCGCGTTTAGAGTCACGACCAGTACGTACTGGAATCCCGCGCGGGTTCTTTGACGATGTCAGTCCTCGCGATTAATCAACTTGATACATGACTGAATGCATGTCTAGGCTGAAGGAACTTATCCACCCCGCCGATCCGCGGATGGAGGTTCACAGCACCCTACATGGCACTCCCGCATCAAGGACCTCGTCCAACCGTCTCCCATTTCGCAGGCAGTTGCAACAAGCACAGCCCGAGGGGGAACGTTCACGCCACTGGAACGGATTCTCGCAATTCCTGCAACAGCGCCTTGCCTTCCGTAGGCCAAGGCCCAGCCAAGAACCACAGGAGGTTGAAGTTGCAGCTGGACGTAAATTTACTGTAATGTGTTCTTTTTGCACCTCTTGCTATTCTTGCTGATTTATGCCTTGCAGCGTCTTGTTGTTGTCAAACTGCCGGAATACAAGAAAGTCAATGACACCCGACATTTACCTAGAGGGCAGCCTGGTGTGTCGCAGAGCACGCCGGCGAACGACTCATTGCCCGACTCATCTGACATCGATTCACTGCCAGATGTTCATTGGTGCAAGGCGTTCTTATGCTATTACTCGTGCTGGTCTCATGGTAGACTGAGGATGCCTCCGCGATGGCACTTGGAGCGTGTTGATCTTCATCGCCAGGATCACACGGCGAGTAGCGCTGGGGCTCACGATCGTAGTTAATTGTGTACTGATCGAATTTCCTGCAATCGAATTTCGCAATGGATTATATCAAACCTAATGTTGACCAAATGAGCCTCTTAGACTTCTAGTCTTGGTTCTTCGTGGGCGTTCATGTCACGAGCTCTGGCATGACTTCTCGAGTGATTCAGACGGGGAATTATATTCTGTTCCACCCATGCAGAAATTCATGTACTATCAAGTATGCGAGCTGAAAAGCAAATATAATGATATGTTAGATCCTTTTGGATGGAAAGATGTCCCGGATAAAGGACAGAAAAAATATCAGGAAGACACGCGAAAGCGATGGAAACAATGCAACAAGAAAAGAAAGGATTAAGAACAAGGATACGTAGTCGCCCTTCTCAGATTGATAGACGATCTAATATTCACCCTCCTCTTCAACATCTGCAGAGTCGGTGCCAACTTCCTCGTAGTCCTTCTCCAGCGCTGCCAAATCCTCACGAGCCTCCGAGAACTCACCCTGCAACGAAGTATGAACAAGCTGAGGACACATTGAACGATATACATACCTCCTCCATACCCTCACCAACATACCAGTGAACAAATGCGCGCTTGGAATACATCAGGTCAAATTTGTAATCTGAAGGCCATTGTTAGTGTTCCACTCGAGTAAAGAGTGTTGAAAGGGATTACCTAGCCGACTCCAAGCGACAGAGATGGCCGTCGTGCTATACGAAAAGAAATTAGTAGCAGTCTACACCATATAACGCATAGTCCCACTTTGAAAGCATGCAAAGACTGCGGGTATTCTTGGCAAGGTCACCGCCTGGGACCGCAGCAGCAGGCTCGTTGCAAATGCCCAGCTAAGGGGACTCATCAGTCGAGCTCGTCAAACCCGGGCTAGGTACACACCTTGAAGCCAGTCGGGCACCAATCGACGAACTGGATAGTTCGCTTGGTCTTGATGCTGGCGACAGCAGCCTGAACATCCTTCGGCACGACATCACCACGATAAAGTAGAGCGCAAGCCACTGTTCAAAGATTAGAGAGGCGCATGAGAGGGCCATGACACACATACTATATTTTCCGTCTTTGGGGTCGCATTTCACCTGAAATCACGTGAGCAAATTATGACTCGATGTATGGTGCGATCGTACCATCTGGTGTCCAGTCTCAAAGCAAGAGAAGGTCATTTCGTTGACAGAGTTTTGTTCGTGAGTTGCCTTCTCAGCGGACAGAAGTGGGGCATATGTTGCTAATGGGAAATGGATACGAGGGAAGCTGTAACTGTTCAACAACTTATTTATGCTATGAAGAACGCGATGTGCTCACGGAACAAGGTTGGTTTGGAACTCGTTAAGGTCGACGTTCAATGAACCATCGAAGCGGAGCGAAGCAGTAATCGACGAGACAACTTGAGCAATCAAGCGATTAAGATTGGTGAAGCTTGGCTGAGAGACACCGAGATTTTTCTTGCAGATATCATAGATAGCCTCGTTGTCAACCTGCACAGCTCAATTAGTACAGCAGAAAAAAAGATGCACGAGAAGACTGACCATGAACGAACAATCAGAATGTTCAAGAGTCGTATGGGTGGTCAGAACTGAGTTGTAGGGCTCAACTATCGAACTCGACAATTGAGGTGCAGGGTAAACGCAGAACTCAAGCTTAGACTTTTTGCCATAATCCGTAGAAAGTCGTTCCAAGAGGAGGGCACCAAAACCAGATCCGGTGCCTCCGCCAAACGAGTGGAACACAAAGAATCCTTGCAATCCTGAACAGTTGTCAGCTAAGCGACGAATCTTATCCATAACTGGGTCGATCAGTTCTTTTCCGACTGTGTAATGACCACGAGCATCTGAATGCGCAAAGTCATGAGCTGCCCATAATGGATATGCAACTTGATCTGCGACCTACAATTATTTGCTGCGTCCTCCTTCCCCGTGATCATGGTCTCGGGGTGGAACAGAGACCTGTAAGGACCGGTCTTGACCTCATCCACGACTCCGGGTTCCAAATCAATGTAAAGAGAGCGAGGAACGTGTTTCCCTGAACCAGTCTCGGAGAAGAACGTGGAGAACCCTGCGTCAGTCTTGTGAGCTTCATCAAGGACGCGACCGTCGGGCTATATAAAATATTAGACAGCGATATACTTGGAATGTGGTACGAACTTACGCTCAAGCCGTGTTCTAGGGTGTACAACTCCCCTGGCCGAAAGTTAAAACGACCCTTATGACGCGAAAAGGGCACTCACAGCAGGCATTGCCAATCTGAACACCAGCCTGACCAACATGGAGAGAGATGACTTCGCGCATGATGAATCGTTAAGAAGAGCTGATGACTGGTATACCGGTTTGTCGTGACGGGAGGGAACAGAAGTCACTGAGCCAAATGTTTCTACTTCAAGTGCTCAAAATTTCTTGGAAAGAAATTCTCAATTTGGAAATAATCTTGGAGACGACGTCCACGGACCCTCCGGTGCTTGATAGGCTTCCTGCATTGCGTCCGAAGAGACCGATAAAAGAGATTCGTAATTCATGTTCCAGGTAAAGTGCGTAATAAACCTCGAGGACAAGCGGGATATAATGGACGGTATACGTAAATCGTGATGGCAATGGCAATGGTAAAGAAATTATGCGGGAACAAACTTGCGAGAACGAGGACCAAAGGAGGATTACATGCATCTAGTACTCGCCAGCTTCTTCAACATCAGCCGAGTCGATGCCGACTTCCTCATAGTCTTTTTCGAGAGCAGCAAGGTCCTCGCGAGCTTCCGAGAACTCACCCTCCTCCATACCTTCACCAACATACCAGTGAACAAAGGCGCGTTTCGAGTACAGAAGGTCGAATTTGTGGTCGAGACGACTCCATGCGGTTGAGATGGCAGTGGTGTTTGACAACATACACATGCTACGAGACACCTTGGCGAGGTCGCCACCAGGAATGTGAGCAGGTGGCTCATTGCAGATACCAAGTTTAAAACCGGTAGGACACCAATCAACAAACTGAATCGTGCGCCTCGTCTTGATGACACTGACAGCCGCGTTAACATCCTTAGGTACAACATCGCCACGGTAGAGGAGAGCACAAGCCACTGTAGCCGCATAAGTAAATAGGGACCAAAACTAAGAGCGACTCTTACTGTATTTGCCCTCTCTGGGATCACACTTCACCATCTGGCTACCTGTTTCAAAGCACGAGAAGGTCATATCGGCAACAGAGTTCTGCTCATGGTGTGCCTTCTCCGCTGAAATGATGGGCGCGAAGGTGGCAAGAGGGAAATGAATGCGCGGGAAACTGCCAGGGGAGTTAATTGTGAACTTATGGCATTCGCAGTAATTGAACTCACGGAACAAGGTTGGTCTGGAACTCGTTCAAATCAACGTTCAACGAGCCATCAAAGCGCAAAGATGCTGTTATGGACGAAACAACTTGTGCGATCAATCGGTTCAAGTTCGTAAAGCCAGGAGACGAGATGTTGAGGTTCTTTTTGCAGATGTCGTAAATTGCCTCGTTGTCCACCTAAACCCAAGGTAAGGGAGCGTAATATGAAAACCACGTAAACTCACCATGAATGAGCAATCGGAGTGTTCAAGAGTAGTGTGCGTCGTCAACACCGAGTTGTAAGGTTCAACCACAGAGTTGGCCATTGTTGGAGCGGGGTACACGCTGAACTCAAGCTTTGACTTTTTGCCGTAATCAGTTGACAGGCGCTCCAAGATAAGAGCACCAAAACCAGATCCTGTTCCACCACCGAAGGAGTGGAAAACGAAGAAGCCTTGCAGACCATTGCAGTTGTCTGCAAGACGGCGAACTTTGTCCATAACCACGTCGATTTGTTCCTTGCCAATAGTGTAGTGACCACGGGCGTCTACGACACACTAATTATAGCTACATTTCAAAATGATGCTGATGAAGGACTCACAGTTGCTGGCGGCATCTTCCTTGCCAGTGACGAGGGTTTCTGGGTGGAAGAGACTCCTGTAAGTGCCTGTTCTGACCTCATCGATTACATTCGGCTCCAGGTCGATGTAGAGTGACCGCGGGACGTGCTTGCCCGAGGATGTCTCCGAGAAGAAAGTGCTGAAGCCATCATCATTAGCAGAAGGAGATCCTTCCACCAGACGGCCGTCAGGCTAGAATAAAAATTTGAGCAAAAGCCGAGGGAAATCCCCAGGAAAGATAATCACGCTGAGACCGTGTTCAACGGTGTACAATTCCCCTGTAAAGATACATAATCAACAATCAGAACTTAATGGAATCAAATTAGAACGAATTGCATGTGTCTAGCACGCGCCGAATGTTGAAATGAAAATAACGAAGGCGATTGCACATATCAAATGTAGCGGGACACTTACAACAGGCATTTCCGATTTGAACACCGGCTTGGCCGACATGGACAGAGATGACTTCACGCATTATTTCTGGAAAATTTGGGCTACAAAGTAGAATGATTGTATATCAGCAATCATACGACACGGAAAGACGCGTCTAAAAAGCTTACTGGTTTGGACGGGAGGCGAGGATGGGGTGATGGTCCAGATCAAAGGGCGCAGGGTTAAAAGTGCGGCAAACACATGGCGCTTACCTAAGCTAACCATTCTCACGCCTCCTCATCAGTACGTCAGTACACGGCTCTCTATGCGAGTTTGGCGAACATGTGTTGTCCTTCTACGTAGTTCCGAAAGTCTTTACAGACGAGTTCAAGCGTCCACTTTTAATAATTACTCAACGCGATCATCAAACCCTGCACTCCTCTCCACTACCTACTACGGCCGACTTCACAGTATTAGCAGCCTTATCTCCAGTCTCCATAAGTGCATCTCCTACGCGTCGCGTGTCCTCCGCAGCTTTCACAGCAACCTTACGCCCAAAGTAACTGGAGCTAGATTAGTATACTGACATGCGTGATCCGAATGTCAGCTTACCTCACAATGGACTGCCACATCCGCATTCCGTGAATGTATCGCATACCGGTGCGCACCTGCTGCTCTGAAACCGACTGTCTAGGAGGTCGGAATGGGGCATCATTGGGATCTAAAGCGGCGAGGACAACGTCCACTATTTTCATTCTCGGAATGGTCTCGTGGGTTGCTGGCGCCGTGTGATAAATGCTCTTCTTAAGCAGAGCAAGCGCTTCTTGCTACAGTTGCTCAGTAAACGCCAAAAATCTTAACAACAAAGCTTACTCACTGTGTCTCGTCTCGCAGCAATCGCTGTAGGTGGTGGATGTTCGTCCACCAGGTCTAACGGCCCCCACCTTCTATTTTCTTGAATAACTCCACGTGCGGCACTCGGTCTCCCAACTACTGGCCTGTCAACAAGATCATCCTTCTCTCCCGCCAGTAGGAGGCCCCGTAGCCTCGCATTCTTAATCATCGAGTTGGCCTTCCCTTCATATTTTTTCCTATTCTTCATCACCTGGGTTGCGCGGTACTTGAAACGCCTGTCCCACTCCTCTTGGCCTTCTAGCCACTTGACAAGAGTCTCTTCCTTGATGATGCCAATCTCTGATGGCCTCAGCTGTAGAGCTGTGATATCCTCTTTCGGTTCCATAGAGCGAACTCGACCATGGATATCTACGCGCTCACGAATTATTAGTATGTCCCCCTGTCAAAAGTGAGCATTTCAGTGACAGAAAGGCCGCCAAGTGATTTCTCACCGATCGGTCATTCATGGCGCAAGACGATACATCAGGCCCAGGCGTTTGCTGCAGAACGGGGAACGGATTTCGGTTAAGGTGCTCTACCGAATGTTGGGTAACATGTTTCGCAAATTTCGCAATAGAATGGTAAGCATAGTCCGCCTATTCGACTCGTCAGTAACTGAGACATAAGATCATGACTATCTCACACTACTCGTGAAGGTGAAGACTGTCAAAACATAACACATTCCTGGAGTGTTTGTTTTAACAGATGGTCTCGAATGAAGAGGGGTAACCTACCATCATATACTTGGAGTGGACTTTGGTGGGCGTAGAAAATTTATGCGCATTCTCTTTCTGTCTCGATCCATCTCTAATTACACCCTCTCGTACAGGGTACTCGGCTGGATTGGCTGCCTTATGTGCCAGATATATTATTTTGTCGCGAAGCACTTCTCCATCGCCTGCCAAAATATACAACGGGCAGAGATTACCTAAGGAAGCTTGAAGAATAGGTGAGACTAGAGGATGCGACAATTGCCTTCGCAGACAATAACCGTCAATGAATGGAAGAATGGAATGGAGAGGTATCTCACTCTGTGGTAGCATAGTGCTGGATCTGCGACCGTAATTCCAGCGGAACATCTCGAGGATTTTTCATGAGCACCTTCGGAGGGGTGGGCTGCCAAAAATCGATGTCATCTAGATCAGGGATTGAATCCGAACTAGGTCCGCGCTTATTGTTCACAGCAAGGTCATCTATAGGCATCGCATTACTTGGGTTTCTGTTCTGGTCCCTGCCTCGCCCGTGCCCTCTGACAGCGGGACCACACTCGCCTCCATCAAACAATGTACGCTTTCTCCTGAGATTTCAGGAGAACGCTTGATGCGGAACTGCTTGATGTTTCTTGTTTGGAACCAACAGGCTTAAAATCACCATGCTTCCCAGCGTCAGTAGTCGAAACCTGGGCAGTGTCTCTTGTAACATTTTTATTGGCACCAGGAGTGTCCATATGACACGGCTTCAGCAGTGTATTGGAGTGTGCACGGGCAACGCGACCGCCTTCCTTGATTAGATCCACAGGCCACAACACAGAGGGTTTGTTCATGAATCCATGAGGAGGTATGATATCCTACTAGCCGAATCAGAAAGGAATATCCTGCGCCGTGCTCACAACTCACCGTAGCCGTATTCGTATGGATACTAGGAAAACTGTGTGTTAAATCTACCCACGGGCTGATAAGCACCGCTCCCGCTGGTAACGGTTGACCCAAATCCCGCAGTATAGTAAGCATTGTGAGACATAATGCACCACCTGCCGAATCACCAGCGAAGACAATTCTCGAAGGAGGAGTGGGTTTATGGGTAGCCTCGGGAGGTGGTTGAATCAAGTAAAGATCTTCATATGGGAAAATTCGGTCCTCGCGATTTCAATTTCAGAACTAAATAGCGATGAACTCACAAGCTGCGAGGACATCGTGTAGGGGGCATGGCCATGGGTATTGTGGGGCCTTCCTAGAGAAAAAAACTATGTATAACATGAACACGATAAAAATGTTGACGCCTACCGATAGTTGACGGTAAACGCACGCCCCCGAATTTTACGTGCTTGGAGAAAATAAGCAAAGATGCCAGGAACTAACATGAACATACCGTATTTGATGACTTGATAACGATGGGTATCTAGGGACCAGATTAAGTCTGAAGGCATTTCCAAGGTGGATTGATACTCACTGATAGACCCCCAATAGTATCCGCCTCCATGAATGTAAAGCTTTAGTTACGGCAGTTAGAGAATGCGTCAAGCAGAATCAGTAAACTCACCATCGTAGTCTCTAATTGCTCCATCGACATTACAAGCTTTTCCTCTTCACTGTACTTCCTCACAGCATCTATGTGAACGCTTTCGGGCAAGTGTGACTTCTCGGCAATCCACTCAGCATCGATACCGTCTAAACCACGAACTTGCCACCACTTTTCACCTCCAACGACACGTTTAATGTCTTCGGGCCTAAACCATTGTGTCAGGAGGTCTGCCGCCTGGTTGCATGATTGCAGCGGAACGCGCACAGGGGCAACAGCGGTCCAAGGCGGAGCAGGCACACGAGAATTTGTGCTAATCACGAAGGACCGTAGTTAATGGAGAACTTGGTGAATATAAACTGTACCTCACAATGCTTGGAGAGATCCACAGTGTTCTTTGTGCCAAGAAGAATGAAAGATTTAACTATGTGAAACGCTCTGGAAAACATCAACGAGTAAGAATGTTGACTGCAATGAAACACACTCGTCAAAGAAAATGTCATCGGTGGCCTCTTGTTGCTCATCTCTATCCTTTAGCTTTTTTGTTTTCCGTTTCGCATGAGTATAGAGGGTCTTGATGACGGCTAAAGATGCATAAATGACTGCACGGACAGATGAGACGATCCACCTCACTTGGAGTAATATGCACTGCCGCTGAGAATGTAGAGACTGTCATTTCTGTTTAAGGGTGTACGTGACGGACGTGTCAGTAGCCGTACAGCACAACCAGTCTAGGTGGAATGAGCGGAAATGAGCTTTGACGGTAACTTTTCATTGCTAAGTGAAACGTGGAGTAGTCTCGACGGCGGCCATGCGGTATCACTGCTGCGAGATATCCATGTTGCGTAAGATTATTACATAGCCAAGAGGCGTAGAAATCCGGAGCACGATGATATACAAGATCCTGACCAGGAGACAGCATAATGAATCACGTTACTGGGTAAAGCCTTCAGAAACAAACAAACGCTCATAGAAATTCCTTTTTGGTCCACCGCTCTAAGTCATTCTTTTTGGAAGAGTCCTAAAAGTCTGTCGTTGAACTGGAAACCAAATGATTACTTTCACACCTTTTTCTGGTGCCGCCCGGTCATCTCAAACTGTTCCACTCGCGTACTTGCTACAGGTTGACGATATTCGTATTCTCCTTGATTGTGGATCACCTGACTGGAACCCCGAGAATATTGAAGCTGAGTCCGGGAATGGGGTCACTTACCCTTGGCAAGAGTACTGTGACATAGTGAGAAAGTGAGTGTCAATCAAAATGCAAGCTGCACGATCTAACATTAGCTAGGTATGCTCCAGAGATTGACTTGGTTCTGCTGTCTCATGGTGACCTTGCACATTCTGGCTTGTATGCGTATGCATACTGTCACTGGGATCTCAGAGCCCCATGTTATACCACACTTCCAGTCCAGGCAATGGCTCGTATTGCAACAATGGAAGATGTGGAAGGAATTCGAGACGAACAACAAGTCGACGTCGAGGAGGAGGAAAATAACGAACCTGCGGCTGCCGAGGGGGCGGAGAGCTCTGAACCAAGTTCACCAAGGCCGCAGAATGAACCCAAGAAGTTTGTTGCTACCGTTCAAGAGGTACACGAAGCATTTGACGCGGTAAACACCCTAAGATATTCCCAGCCTACTCATCTACAAGGTGACGTTTAAACATGACACAATCGTGGGCGGAACATTGATATTTCTGACTTTCAGGAAAGTGTCAAGGTCTGACCATTACACCATTCGCAGCGGGGCACACGTTGGGCGGAACCATATGGAAAATAAGATCGCCTTCCGCTGGAACAATCGTCTATGCTGTGAACTTGAATCACATGCGCGAGCGACACATAGATGGCACTGTCCTCTACCGACCTGCTGCAGGTGGTGTCTTCGAACCACTTGCCCGACCAGACCTTTTCATCACAGACGCCGACCGCGTGAACGTCGTCACGAGTCGAAGAAAGGACCGCGACGCTGCTTTGATAGGTCCGAAAGTTCATCCCGCTCGAATAAGTTCGTGCTGATGCTATCGATGAACAGATGCCATAAGTGCAACGCTGTCGTCCCGTTCATCTCTTTTACTTCCTTGTGACTCGAGTACTCGTCTTCTGGAGCTCTTGGTGTTACTTGATCAGCATTGGAAATACGCTGATTTTCGCTTCCCCATATGTCTATTGTCGCGTAACGGCCGTGAAATGCTGACCTTCGTCCGGAGTATGATGGAGTGGCTTGGCGGGACAGTGAGCAAAGAAGACGTTGGTGTCGATGGAAGCGGAAGAACGGGAGCTACCAGGAGGAGACGTGGCGATGACGATGCAGACGACGAGGCGCTGGGAGCATTTGCATTGCGCTTCAAGTAAGTGAAGCTTGAAAGTAGAAGGTGATGAGCTAAAATCACACTGTACAGGTTCCTGGAGTTCTTTCCTAGTCCGCAATCCCTCCTGCAAACATACTCGTCCAAGGAGCCGAAGCTGATCCTTGCTGTCCCTGCCTCGCTTTCACATGGGCCTTCACGACTACTATTCTCTGACTTCGCCGCGGTCCCAGACAATGTGGTTCTCCTGACTGGTCGCGGCGAAGAGGGCACACTGGGACGTATCCTTTTTGATAAATGGAATAACTCTCAGAGAGGTGATGATAAGTGGGACAAAGGTAGAATTGGTAGCAACGTCATGATGGATGGAGCCATGACTCTGAAGGTGACTTGCACGGTTTGTACCTACATGGCCCGTTACTTATCTATCTACGTCTAGATAAACTCCAAGGTTCCCCTTCAAGGTGCAGAGTTGGAAGCCTTCCTTGCAAAGGAGAAGGCGGCAAAGGATAGGGAAGCTGCTCATCAAGCATCTATGGCTCGTAATCAACGCATACTAGAAGCGGACGAAGACGAGAGCGACGAAGATTCAGACTCAGACTCGGATGAAGAAGACGAAGTTGAACGCGCATTGGACGAAAGCCAGATGGATACCGACGAAATATCCGATCCTGCAAATGGTTCGCCGCGAAAACGGAAAATTACTAAAAATGAGGACGATGCTGACTGGGGGCTTGACATTGATGAGGGATTAACGAAACAGCTGCTCTCCTTCGACATCTACCTTAAGGGGAACGTCTCCAAAGCAACATCATTCTTCAAGAGCACTGGTGGCCAGACCCACCGTTTTCGTATGTTTCCATACGTTGAGAAGAAACGGAGGGTGGATGAATATGGCGAAACTATCGATGTTGGCATGTGGCTCAGGAAAGGTAAAGTATTGGAAAATGAAGCAGATGATGAAGCAACCAGGGAGGCAAGACGAAATCAGGCTGAAGGTAAAGTTGAGGTAAAGTTTTTAGGTGGAATGGACGATCATTTAACTAACGAACCTAATGCAAGGCCCCTCGTGAACCTCCCTCGAAGTTCGTTACTTCAGAGGTTGAGATACAGCTTGCTTGTCGACTTCTCTTTGTTGATATGGAAGGTCTCAACGATGGTCGCGCGGTGAAGATGATTGTACCTCAAGTGAACCCCAGAAAGATGGTCAGTAACTACGTCGATCCGACATTTTACATGTTAATGGTACTCGAGTAGATCATCGTCCATGCCCAGGCTGCTGCTGCCGATGCTCTCATTGACAGTTGTGCCAACATTCGGTCCATGACGAAAGATATATACGCTCCTTCTGTCGGAGCAACGGTGCAGATAGGACAACACACGAACAGTTTCTCGATATCCTTGAGTGATGAGCTTTTGAGCACTATCAAAATGTCAAGGGTAAGTTTATTCCTCAAACTTCGAGTCATGTGAATGAACGTCTGGCAGTTTGAAGACAACGAAGTGGGTTATGTGACCGGACGCGTTGCGAGCCACTTTAGCTCCACCATACCCATTTTGGAACCCTCGGGGCCAGCGATACCAACGCCGAATGCAAACATACTACATACCCCACGAATACTAGGCTCTAGGCCGATTCAGATTTTACCGCGGTCGACGATGATAGGAGAGCTCAAGCTGACTGCACTTAAAAGCCGACTGGCCTCAGTTGGTGTTCAGGCCGAATTGGTTGGTGAGGGTGTACTAATTTGCGGCGCTGGGGCAAGGCGGGATCAATCCTCTAGTTCTGTACAAGACACAGTTGCCGTACGCAAAACAGGCCGAGGAAGAGTGGAGTTGGAAGGTACCGTTTCCGACATCTACTATATCGTACGCAAAGAGATCTATAATCTCCATGCCTTGGTAGCAACATGATGTACTGTTCCTCAAACTAGAATAATTCTATCTATTTAATGCAACGTTGTATTGAGTGCGCGCAGTGAGATCTACAATCTGAATATTGGTCGCACGTGCTGAAATCTGACCACTACATAGCTCTGATGATGTTGACCCTGTCGTATCGTAAACTAGTCATATATATAAGCCTGTTCACATCCCCTTTCCAGCATCTTCTTTCAAACTTGCAATGCGGTTGAGTACCAAATAATCGCCTTGCCTAATTCCAGGAGTAACATCTGAGGGTTCCTCCAGAGCACTCAAGCGAGAGTCTGAATCTACTGCAAGGTACGCGACACGTAGACCTTGAAATCGTACGCACTCCTTTCCGACAAGTTGCTCTGGCGTGATTTCTGGGGTGTCTGCGCCATTGGAGCCCGCGCCTGGGATTGCTTTGGATTTCGCTGATCTTGCCCGAGCCTCCTCGAGGGCATCGGCGATAGACCGCTTTGCAAGCGGCCAGAAGCTAACTTCCACCATGGCGCCCTTGATAACTTCCATGCTGTTAGAGTTTATATCAGCCTTGAAGTCGGGGACAGCCGCCAGCGGGTTATCGCTCTTGAATAGAGGGTGGAATATCCTTGTCTCGTCGATACGAACAGGGCTTCCAGAAGATGCATGTTCTGCGACCCACTGGATATATGCCTTGGGTTTTGGAGGAGTACCAGAATCCTCGAGACGACAGAATACCTCTGTCACCTCACCAGTGGCTGAATCAATCTTGTACGATGTACATGTAATTGGGTAAGGTGCTTGGAATAGACCAACACTCTTTCCAGGAGCCAGGCGGAAGTAGTCTTTTGAGTCTTCCAGCCTGAAATCATCGGCGTCGATGTAGATCGTGCGGGTGAATGGGATCTGTGAAGATCCGAGTTGGGGATTCTTGGGATGGAACGGTTTGTCCACCATTACGAGGTAGTCGTCGGGAACGTTCTCGATTATGACTTTGAGAGGACGCATGACCATGAAGAGACGTGGTGCACTGCCTTCTAGATATTGCCTCAGAGTTTGTTCAAAGCGGGCAATTTGGATATTTGAGGCAGCCGTTGAGACACCCAACGTGCTGACAAATGACAAAATTGCGCCCGGAGGTACGCCTCGCCTTCTGAGGGCAATGAGGGTGTAGAGACGAGGGTCGTCCCATCCGCTAACGTAGCCTTCATCTACCAGCTGGAGAATCTTTCTTTTTGAGTTGATCGTCCCTTGAAGATTAAGACGACCAAATTCTGATTGCCTCGGTTTGTACACGTCCAGGGCGTCACAGAGCCATTCGTATGACTGGCGTGAAGCAATGAATTCTGTAGTGCAGAGGGAATGGCTGAAGATCCATAGGTCAATCAACAGCAAAACGAGAAAAGGGCGTCACGATACTCACGAGATGTTCTCGAAGCTATCTACGAGGCAGTGTGTATAATCGTAGGTGGGGTATATCTTCCATTTATCCAGGGTACGATGGTGGGTTGCATCTAAAACACGATACGCCGTGAGATCCCACATCTGAGGGTTGCCATCCGTCAGATCCATCTTCATCCGGAGATTGGCTTCCTTGGGTCGATAATAACCATCAGTCATCTTTTTGAACTCATCCAGCGATTCTTGAATCGGCCGTGATCTATGCACGCAGGCTTTAGGAGCTGATATTTTTTCGCCCCTGTCAGCTTTGATTTGCTCCTCTGTAAAGCCGTTCGCATTCAACGGATAGTCGCCCTGAGCGGAAAAACGATATACTCACGGGTACAATGGCAGACGTAAGCTTTGTCGCGCTTTATGAGCTCGATAGCAAGATCGTATAGCTGATCAAAGTAGTCACTGGAATAGGTTATCTTCCAGGGTTCGAAACCCAGCCATCGGACAACTTCGATAATGCTCTCAAAATATCTGGCCTCTTCTTTTTCTGGGTTAGTATCATCGAAACGCAAATAACACTTCCCCCCATGGTGCGCAGCATAACCAAAGTTCACGAAGATAGCTTTGGAATGACCAATGTGCAGATAGCCGTTTGGTTCCGGTGGGAAACGTGTCCAGACTTGGCCATCAGTCACGCGTAGGTGCTGCTCACGAAGTTCGGGTCTGGTCTGAGGGTTCTCTCCTGGTTTGTGCAAAGCGCCTAAGAATCCCTCTTCAAAAACGGGTTTTCTATTGGATGAACCAGAGCCAGCATCAGCCTCTGATGTAGTTGCCGTTGGCTGCGGAGCCTTTTCTTTCTTAGGATCCTGTACCCTGGAATCAGGAACAGTGAACGGGGATGGTAAGGGATGTAGTATACCTTAGCTTTTGGCTTCGCAGCCTCCTTCGCACCAAAGGTTTCAGTAAACGCCTTCTCAACGGCATTCTTAACTTCCAGAGGGTTCGCCCATCGAAGAGCTGGGCTGGCCTTGACTCCACTAATGACGGAACCAAGGTTAGGCCAGCCAGTGACGGAATTTTCGCGGATGTAACTCGCGATTGTATCATAGAGCTTTTCGGAAGTAATGCTGAAGCCTGTAACTTTTGATCGGCACCGCGATCGTACATCATGAGGACCGTATCTCACCGACACCACACTCTGTATCGAATTCAAGCTCATTAATGGGCGCTTTGGATATCTCGAGGTACTTGACAGCAGCTGCACAGAGTAAGTCGGTCACTAGTAACGCAAACGTTGCATAACAGAACTCACCATTGACCTGATCAACGGATTTGAGCTTGCCATCCAAGATTGCCTTCACGGCGAAAGCTTGTTCGCTAGGTTCTACAGATTCCGTCTTAGCTAGCTGACCAGCAAGTGCGGTGACGACCGTGGCCTGCTTTTCATCAAGGCGAGCTTCGGTAAGATTGTATGAGGCGATTAGATTGCGAAGGACATTGGCGCTTTTGGCGTTCTTTGCTGCTTCTGCCGCTTTAGCCTGAGAGAGACCTATAGACTTAAAGAGGGGGATGGAAGTGTCTGATGCCGCAGGATCGGTCTTGGGAGGAGCCATTAGTAGATGACGGTCCTTAGACTAGATGAGGTTCGGCACAAATCCTACCGCCGTATGTAACTGCAATTGAAGGACAGATGTGTAGGTGCAGTCAGTATAGCAGTACCAGAAGTTTGTGGGCGAAGGGATATGATAATTAGAAAAAGGTGCACGTTACATTACAGATCCTAGTCAGGTTGACTTAGGTACAATCAGTGACTCAAACTTTTCGTAAACTGATAGTCAATTTGATTATCTATGGGCGCTTATGGTAAAGCATCTGATTCAGTAAGCTATGAGCTCCCCGACCTCGCCCACAAGCTGTCGTTGTGGTGAACCGTCTGGCTTTTTCCCAACTATACGGATTTCCATCTTCCTAGTCGCAGTTTCGTCCACAAACGTGTCTATACTACCATCTATAAATGCCTCTGATAATTCCATAATTCTATCCATTACTATGCGTGCAGCTCTCCGAGAAACAAGCGGAAGGAGAGCAAAATCCGAGAATGATTCATGCTGTGAGCGTACTACGGCAAGCGCAAGTCAGATAGACTGCTGCATAGTTGATGTATATTAAATGCGAACAGACTCACAGATGGTCAGTACTCTCCGTCTCTCGGGCTCCCAGGCTTGCACCACGCCGATCAGTCGTGCGAAATGATCCTTCCATAGGCTGAATTTCTCAGAGTTTATGACAAGCAACTGAGGCAAAGCATCGCCTGGTCCCTGAGGGGGTGGGCATGGGCCAGGGGAAGGGATCGGTTCTAGCCAAGGATCCAAGATCAAGGCTTTATGGACAGGAATGGGTGCAGAGACGTCGACAGGAGGATCCGTAGAAAGGATTGTGAACTGCACAGCTGGTATAAGTCGCTGTACATTTTGTAAATATGTTTTACTTGCAATGGTAGCACCACCAAAGGAATGTCCAGCAAGGAGGACGTCTTTGTCGCATTCAACTGCCTTGGTATCGACGTCGCTTGACCATGAAGACCAGTCGATGGGTTTTTTGTCGATAGACTGTAAGCCATGGCTTGAACCTTGGTATCCATCTTGAATTAATTGCTTAAAGCTACGGAATGCAAGGTATATCTCATGTCGCCTAAAAGCCAGCTGTTGCTGTCGAAAATCAACCATCGTTTTTTCATCATTTGAAGTCCAACTTGGGGGAGATCACTCAGTTCTAACTCTCTCGATGAAAAATAAAATGGAAATGCATACATCAAGTCCTTCTCCCTGACGTAGAGTCTGGGTCCGGTAGTCAATGAAATGAATGCGTGACCTGAGCCATCACGATGCTGGATGGCTAGAACCACTCGTCCCGAAGATGCAAGACGAGTGCACACCTGACTGCAACACAGTAATTATTTTAATTTCGTGCTGCATAAGTCTATAGAGAAATACCTGTAGGCTGTCCGGCTACCGCCCAGACCGTGTGAGAATATTACCAGAGGCCAACTTGAAGGACGAGTTCCAGATCTAGCCTGAGTATGCTCTGGAGACGCAGTGGTGCGTTGCCTCAAAAGAGGTGCATTTGGATAAACTGGGATCTAACAACGCGGCCTGGGTTAGTCATGGTATCATTCAGCTCCGTGGCTAAATGTCGCACTTTCACTAGGCGACCGTAGAGATACACGATAGGCCATAAAAACCAGGTGGAAATCCCTGGTAAAAATGCTCAATCACATACCCCTATACAAGACAAGCCACAATACCTGCCTGAATAATGAGCATACCCATGTAGAGATGCTTGCAGCGGACTAGAACCGTGAGCTTAACTTGCTGGCAGCGTAACCCCGATACTGACCGGAGAAGCCAGTCCAGGCCTTTCTTAATATTGCTGCCCTTTACGTCCGCAGGATGATAGGCAGTGAATATGACTTCATCGAGTTGTAAAGCAGGTTTCACTGAAGGTCCGCCGTCACCGTGATCATGTCTGTGTATCTTCGCAGTGCCCAGCACTTTCGTGGATACGGGAAGCTTGAAGGTAGTCGCTCCGACTGGAAAACGTCCATGGGATTCCGGCAGAAAAAGCATGAATGATGCCGCGAGCACTCAGTAGTATATGTCACGGTAGTACTACATCATCAAGAGCTTACACTGAAGTCCCGATACAATCGTTTCCCATTATGGTAACAAAGTTTTGAACCCTGTTGGGGCAGGATTTTGGTTTTGATCCATCACTCACCCAACCACCCAATCAGCTTGATGTCGACCCAGCCTCTACTTCAGCGCACAGCTTCAAAGCGCATCGCACTCCCGGTGCGCGTAGAGCCCAAGGTCTCGTTTGCCAACGAGCGTACCTTCTTATCATGGCTCCACTTCACAGTTGTCCTCGGTGGCCTTGCGGTTGGGCTGCTGAATTTCGGTGACAAGGTGCGTTGACCAGCTGCTTCTGGTTATAGGGCCTGTTTTAACGTTTGTCCTGCACAGGTTGGGAGGATTAGTGCAGCAATGTTCTCTGTCGTTGGTAAGCACACATTGTATCAAACATTTTGGCTGCATGGTTTTCATTGACTGGTTGAAGCCATGGCTGTGATGATATATGCGTTGTATATATATCACTGGAGGGCTGCTTCCATCCGCAGGGGAGGGCGCGGACCTTACGACGACCGACTTGGACCCGTAAGTTATCGGCAAGCGTTCGTATCATCTAGCTAAACGATTTAAAACCAGACCATTCTATGCTCCGCACTCCTCGGTTGGTCTAGTTTTAATTCACGAGTTTTGATATGGCCTGATTCCCCCACAGTCGCTATTATCGTCAATTTCGTGTTGCGGTTCACACAGACGTAAAAATACGGTGCTTCTGATGGCGCTCGATCTATTGGATAGGATTCAGGATTTATATCAAATTTATTCTTGTATAGCCTCTACGAGCAAACATGAATTGGTTTTTATCATGTATCGATATAGCATGCACATTGTCAGCCACGCTTTTGTCTCTTCCCAACTCGCGCGGATGCTGAAGTGCCGATGGACGACACGGACATTGATCGGCGAGACTGAGCCTGAGATTTAGATAGGCATCGACAATATCTGAGAAGAGTAACGAACCTGCTTGCGCCCTCGGCCGCTTCGTGTGCTCAGTATACTTTGTGCTCTACCATCGACCTCACCCTCGGCGTCGGCATCAGCATCAGCATCAACATCTGCTCCAGCACCCGCGCCACCGTCAACTTCCATTGGTGTTCCCTCTTTACCATCTTCCTCTGCGCCTTCACTTGCCCTCCCGAGTCTCACTCTCAACACTCGAATATCTTGTTCTACACGATCCACGACCTTCTTCGTGTCAATCAACGCAGTGGTCGCTTCGATCAACGACTCTAGTCGTGTACAGTTTTCACGGGTAGGCATGACCAAGCGTGTAGGGTTGATGCCCAGCTCAGTAAGAGCCTGAGTGACCTTGGGTAATAGCGCTGCTTTCGGTGCGGGAAGCTTGAACGAGCGAAGGTGCACAGGTGTGTGAGTGATTTTCGTTGTCGATGACGCGGGAGGCTCAACCCTGAGAATGCAATGTTGCGCATCTATAACAGGAGAATGAACTTCACGCTCGGTATTATGCATTGAAACTTGACGTACCATAAGCTGCTGACTTCGCTGAATGAGCCCTCTTTGGAGGTGGAGGGCCTAGTGAAATGATGTTTGACGGTGTAGAAGGTATTTCAATTTCATTTGCATTCTTCTTCCTCTTTTTGAATCCTTCCGCAGATAGAGCAGAAAGCCCGTCTTCTTCGGCAACTATGTCGGGTAGTCCGGAGTCAATGCCAAGCAACGTGCGGAGAAGTTCATCGCGCTCTTTCTTGAACTTGCGTTCGTTTTGCTCCAATCGTTTCAGTTCGATGAACAGGGCTTCTTCCTCGGCGATTTCCTCGGGTGTACGGTCCTCGAGGCTGGCGATGTAGTCCTTCCGCATTCTCTCGCGGTCTGAAATGCGACAAAGTGCAATTAGATCCATCACCACGGGATTATAGGAATCACGAACCTTTGTCAAACTGATAACTATTGAGAAGCTGAGCTTTACTCGCCTCATCGCCTGTCCAAGGTCTATTCCGAATGAGTTTTCGGCAAACGCTGTAGTATCGGTCCTTGAGATCCTACTGCAAGTCAGTGCTGTGCAACTGAAAAGGCCGTTGTGCTATACTTCAAGAGAGCGTGTGGGACCGTCTGGTGGAGGCTCGTAGCGGTCATGTACCACATACCACCGTGTATCGTACTCTCGCACGACGTTAAATAGATGATCAGTCTCGTCTTTCGTCCAGTCCTTATCTATAAAGAAGGTAAGCGGTGCAGGTATATTGAGAAATGAACTTGCCTTCAAGGAAACGCGTGTATTCCTCTTGTGAGTAGGTATATGATTGAGATTGCACGTTATATTTGGTAAAGGGGTATTCTATGCGTCCAATTTCCAGTATTTGTAAAGCATTAGTCCGATGGTACACACCTGCACCTGGATCATCAGCTGCCTTGACCCAATGTCCCAGCTGCAACGAATCGGTGCGTCCAGCATTCCTAAATGGTCTCCATTCCCTACATGCGCCATGTCAATGAGCACGCATACGGAAGTGCAACAGGTGACTCACCACTTCACCTTTCCACCGGACCCAAAATTTGGCTTCTGCTTCAGACGCGGTTTAGCCAAATGAGCTACAAGAGAAGGTGCGGAGGGTCCAATAAGTGCATAGAGCTCTCGAGAAATGCCTTCAGGTTTCTTCGTAATTTGCCCTTGAGATTTTCGAGGGGCTGGTGTAGTGGATTGAACCAGTGTTGAAGAGCTCGGCAAAGATAAGGCGCTGCGTATGTCAGACGCTGAGACTGCCATGATTTCACAATGTACAGTTTGCAGACTTGACGGTCTTACTGCAAGGACGGTTTTTCTATAAAAGGAAAGCAAGGCAATTTCTTACGGCGCGGTGACCAGCCAGTAGGCGCCTGGCGCCAGCCTCCGACTCGCTTATTCCCGATGCCAAACGCAAACTAGTGTTTTTATTTCATTTTGTATTGGCAAACGGCTACTAACCCTCCTGTGATTCTACTGTTAATGCGTGATGTTCTTCGACTAGATGTCCATCTTGACCAGTCTTAGCCAAGTGGTAAGTATGCCAATAATTGATTTTCCCTCTTGACCTTCGGAGGTTCATCTCTACTTCGGGAGCGTTCTGCCACTTTGAAGTGGCCATCAGATGGTTTCGTCAGAGGTTCATCCTAACTAGTCTTAGCCGAGTGGTTACTACAACAGAATCAAAGTCTGTTTCTCTTGGACTGTGCAGGTTCGAAACCTGCTCTGAATGACAGGTATTTTTCTATCAGAATGCACTTTGACATCCACTCATAGATGGTTTCCTCAGGGGCTCATATTAACCGGTCTTAGCCCAGATTCAAAATCTGTTTCTCTCGGGCTGTGCAGGTTCGAAACCTGCTGAACAACAGTTTACTCTATCGGAACACACCTTGACATTAGCCCCACTCAATTCTTATTTTATTCTGCCATTTTATTTTGTGGCTTGTAATATAAATCTTGATCGCATGGGAAATAAAATAATGTAGAATTGAGTGCCTCAGTTTATTCTTCCAGTTTATTTGATGCAGGCATCGCTGAGCTTGTAATATGCCGAGCGGCTTGAAGTACCAAAACATTTTGTGTAAGTCAGTTGATCTCACTGGCAGCGTGAATGAGTGTGCACAATGGACACACCAAACTGGATCTTTCCTGACCACGACACCTACAACCACTGCGTCACTCCTAATGATGCGGAAGAATGGTAAGCTAGTCAAACACCTCAAAAATCTTGCCTGCGCGATACCATGCAGCCTGCGCCATCTCTGCCATTTGAGTATGGTATGCCACAACTGCAGTTTGGAAATCTGGCAGCGCACAACACATCCCAGATGCATCCGCAGTACGTGACGATGACGTCCAGTGCCAGATACGCCCGCGGTGTTGGTAAGTTGAACCTCCGACGTGGTGTTATTTTTGGATACTTGAGCGCAGTTTATTCCAGTTTATTTCTCGGACTCTGTACAAGTGACAGTTTGGTGATGGCTCGTAAATTGGAGAAATAAAATGGCAGAATAAAATAAGAATTGAGTGGGGCTATTGACTAATGATGGTTTCCTCGGACCTCCATTTAACTGGTGTCAGCTAAGTGGTTATCACAACAGAGTCAAAATCTGTTTTTCTTCAAGTTGGAGTTGGTTCGACACGTGCTGTCAACTTCTTTGCGGTGTATAGATCCTCGGAGGTCCGTCTTAACTAGGCCCAGTCGTTGCCCTGAAATTTCCTTTTTATTGATAGTCTGTCCATGAAAAGGAATTCATCTTCACGCCTCACGAGGGACGTCTCAGAAGACAAGATATATCTCCAAGATGCGCACATGCCAGCCTAGATTCTCGACTGACTTACCAAACTGTCGGGATTCATCACCAAACGAAAAAAAATGTTAATGGAGTCGGAGGCCAGAAGAATGCACGCAAGCTAAGGACAGAGTGAGTCTGACGGTCAGCAAAATGATGTAACTTTAGCTTTCAAGTCATCCTCGGTCACATTGGAAGAACTAACAACTGAAGGAGTGTCCATCGATGAGCTGGCAGACCGAGCCATATCGTTCTGATGTGTGTAGTTTGCATGCACTCCTGTTTTATATCGATACCGAGGCGGAACAAAGAATACGTAGTAGCGGCAAAGCCCACTACCTCCAACTTTTGTTGCGGTAACTTCGGTTTTCACGCTTGTCCTTGCCAGATACATCCCAGTCTATTCCAGTCCTATATGAGCGGCGCTCAATCTATGTATCATAATAATAATGTCACTGTCCATAGTCACATACACCTGACAACTGGAGCAGGAGGCTGAAGCATATCGGCTCGGACTCGTTCCTTAGCCAGCCGACGTGCTCCTTGTGCACTCATTCGCACAGTCCCTGTCAAGTTGACTCATCATAATTTACCCACATCGCGAGACAAATCATTCACAAGACTGCGAATGACCAAGGGAACGTCCGGCACCAGAAGACACGAAGGCACGACGAATCACACGATGCGAGAGTAGGCAATGGCAGGAATCCCGGGACAAGAGACGAGGGACAAACGCAAGAGGGGCGCAAGAAGACAGGCAAGAATAACCATAGTTGCCCAGAACAAGTAATTGCACAGGTTTTGCAGGATCTCGAAATCTACCGCAAAGATGAGAAAGTCACAAACTATGAGACCCACTTCCTAACGGTAGCGGGAACCTTCTAGAGATATACTAGGAAACATACAACCCACCGCAGAATTGACGCCCGATAGACGGAGAACAACAATTACCTGCCAGCCATCATTCTCAGTCTGTCAGGATGCATACCGCCTGGTCCCGCATTAATATTGGGATCATTTTGGTTTGGTGGGGGCGGGCTACCCCCTGGTGGCCCAAAGTTACCATGTGGGGGGAAGGGTGGCATGCTGGCACCGGGTCCACCACCGTTAGGGCCATTTGGAGGGAAGGGAGGAGGTCCTATTATGTTATTTGCTTAATCCCGAACTTTTGATGACGCGAAGAGAACGACTTACCACCTGGGAAACCGCCAGGAGGACCCATTGCTGCAGGAGGTGGCATGCCATCACTAGGAGGGAAAGGTGGTATGGCACCAGGTGGTCCCATCATACCTGGGGGCGGGAAGGGTCCTGGAGGGAAAGGCGGACGAGCTGCAAAGAAAATCAGTTTCAGGGTAAGATGACCATTGGATCGAATACACACGCGGAAATGCTCCGGGAGGACCACCGAAGCCCATGGGAGGGCCTGGAAACAGTGGTGGGGGTGCGCCTAAGTGGTGAGGGCCAAACCCAAACCCTCCTGGAGGAGGGCCGCCACCGCTCTCGTACGCTGCAGTGATCTGATCAATGATACTCTGTGCTTTGTCATGGCCGAGCGCTGAAATCATGTCTCAATAACCTGTCAGTGTGCAAATGTAATGCTCACTCACATGCATAGTAGTCTCTGACATTGGCTAGGTGATTTCTTCCGCTGTTATGAGCTTTGCGCACTACGTGATGCTTCAGAACGGAAATCTAGGTATTAGCAATAAAGTAACTCACCTGAAGCAGAGTCGTGAGTGAGAAAAACATCACAGTAATCACAATAATGTTTCTGCACTGCGGTTAGTAGTTATTGCACGAGATAGAATGATACGACGTACCGGCATGGCTAGTTCACTGGTAGTACTACTAGTGTTGGCAAAAGAAGGAGTTGGTACAAGCTGTCTGAGTTCGAAAGACAACTTACTGCTTACCTAATTCCACCTGTTCTTCAATGGATCCTTCATCGTCGGGCATCCAGGAGCCTTTCGACCTTATCAGATTATCCCTCAGCGAACGTGTTTTTGTGAAGTTACGGGGGGATCGTGAGTTGACTGGTGTACTTCATGTGCGTCGACTCAGTGTATTTCATCAGCTCGCACGTACTGAATTATTTTGGTTTACAGGCTTACGATGGTCATATGAACCTTATTCTGAGTGATGTTGAAGAAACCATCATGATCGTAGACCCTATCGAAGGAGGTATGGAAGGACAAGGAACCGTCAAAGTAAGTTTCAAACCCGACGCTGAGCAATGTGTCATTTGTTATGACGTTATAGGTGGCCAAGAGAAAAATGGAGATGTTGTTCGTTCGGGGAGATGGCGTTATACTGGTATGCAAATTTTATAGACAACTCATGTCTAGTAACTGACTAGACAGCAGGTGTCACCACCCTCGCGGACTTGAACTCAGGTCGTGCAGGCATCATAAATCAGTACTTCCTCTGCCAGTATATTTTTCGGCAGCAATTTCCCTGCATGTATCTCTAAAACGTCGCACGTATGTCCTTGTAATCATTGGATGGTAAGAAGTAAAAATGCATTTAATACATAGCTCTGATCGAAGAATGCGTAATACATGAAGCGATTCATTCCAAGATACAACACTCCTACACTTAGGTTACAGCTATCACAAGCCCAGAAGGGTTAATTTCATTGACCTCAGTTGGCACTCCTTGAGAGGTAGTATTGGGAGAGTTAAGGTTCATGGTGACTGGAGGTGCTGGTGAAGGTCCAGGCTGGTCTGCTGCAGGATCCTGATCTGAATCCGGGGCTGCTGCGCCAGAAGGCCAAGTATCAGGATCTCTGAGCCAACCAGCATGGATGACTTTAATCTTGGACAAGCGAGAGAATAGAAGTAAGATGGTAAAAGAGAATTTTGAGATGATGTGGAACTTACTACGAGAGTTAGGGGAAGGCTGCGTTTCAAACGACCGCCATTTACAAGACCCTTCCAGACTTTCTCAATTCCATCCTTCCAAGCTTGCTCATTATTGACGGCACCTGGCTCACTAAGAAGCTGCTCTAATCTCTGACGAGACGAGGATGGAGGAGAGCGGTGATGGACCTTTGTGGGAGTGAGCCAGAGAGCCCGACGAGCGGCATAATGAGCTGGACCAGGAGGGGGAAATTCAGGGTTGGATATTAAGGATGAGCTGGTTGATCTGTTTGGGGATGGCAGTGGAGTGTCCTTTGGGCGATTGCGGGCGTCACGGGAATTGAATTTTCCTGCAATTTTGAAAAAACGAGAATTGGCTGGAACGGGCCTAGGAGGAGCTGGGCGTTGTAGGTTAGTGGTATTAGAGACAAATTTGTCTAGCTTGACGTTGGGTATCATGAAAGAGCGACTACTAGGCCTAGCTAGCCCAGCACGCAGGCTTAAAGGACTTAACGCGTATTAAAATTAGTCATAATACAAATCTAGAAATTATTTCCCATATAGTTCGTCAGCAAAGGCTACCGGACTCGGACTGCCTGAGACTTGCCTCCTCAATTACAAGCCCAGGTATGCCATCCGCTAGGACTTCAAGGGTCTTTTACCGCTTGAATTCACCATCACAGTCCACTACTTCTCTTTCAGAGAATGAAGATGATGATATAAACAAGTCTTTGTTTTTTGGTGGTCCAGTTTCCTCTGTTGTATCACCCGCTCAATGGGCTTCTCGCCTACACCACTCCACAGATGGAGCACTCCATTCATCACATTCCCCTATGGCTCAAGTTCCCCCAGAGGTCCTCATTCATATTCTCAAACACCTACACACAGCCAGAGATCTCTATCATTCGCTATTAGTTTCGCGCTCATGGTGCGAATGCTCCGTCGAGCTTTTGTGGCACCGCCCTGCCTTTACAAGACTTTCGACCCTCGTAAAAATGATGAGGGTACTTAGTCGAGGCGACCAGACTTTCACCTACAGTCGATTCATTCGCCGTCTCAACTTCCTCTTCCTCGGTGCCGACCTTACCGACGCCCTATTCTGCCGCTTAGCGCAGTGCGACCACCTGGAGCGCTTGACCCTCGTGAATTGCAACTCTATCTCCGAAGATGCCCTTCTTCGCGTACTGCCTTGCCTCCCAAACCTGGTCGCTATTGATCTCTCGGGAGTCGTTGAAACTTCTGATCAAATCATCATCGGCCTGGCATCAGCCGCCAGGCGTCTACAAGGCATCAATCTCGCAGGATGTAGAAAGGTCACCGATGCTGGCGTTTATGCCTTAGCTTCTAGCTGTCCCCTTCTCCGTCGCGTCAAACTCAGCGGCGTTGATCAAGTCACGGACGGTCCTGTTTCAGCTCTTGCCAAGTCTTGCCCCCTTCTTTTGGAGATTGACTTGAATAATTGCAAACACATTACAGACATTTCTGTCCGCGACATATGGACCTACTCTACACATATGCGTGAAATGAGGTTGTCCCAGTGCGTCGAGCTCACCGATGCCGCTTTCCCGGCCCCAGTCAAGCCTCAGGTGACCCCGCGGAATAACCCTTTCCCAGCCGCCTCCCTGAATCAGGACGAGGGGCTGCCACCTTTAGTGATTGCAAGGCCCTTGGATCATCTTCGTATGCTCGATCTGACGGGCTGCGCGCTTATCACGGATGATGCTGTAGATGGGATTATTTCCCATGCCTCAAAAATTCGGAACCTTGTTCTCTCGAAATGCATCCAATTGACAGATAGGACTGTAGAGAATATTTGTGTTCTCGGAAAGCATCTGCACTACTTGCATCTCGGGCATGCAGCCAACATCACGGACCGCTCGATTAAGACGCTTGCACGGTGCTGCACCCGCTTGCGTTATGTTGACTTTGCAAGTGCGTCCTCTTCTCTTTCGCTGTCGAATATAAGTTGATTCTATACAACAGACTGCGTTCTTCTCACTGACATGTCCGTCTTCGAACTCTCGAGCTTACCCAAGCTCAGAAGAATTGGTCTTGTGCGCGTCAGCAATCTGACAGACGAAGCAATATACGCTCTTGCTGAGCGACACAGCACTCTAGAACGCATTCATCTTTCCTACTGTGATCAAATATCGGTCATGGCTGTCCACTTCCTACTGCAAAAGCTCCACAAGCTCACTCATCTGAGCTTGACGGGTATTCCTTCTTTCAGAAAACCCGAATTGCAGCAGTTCTGTCGTCAACCTCCACAGGTCAGCGGTGCAGATGCTCATGTCTAATCAGCTGTTGACAGTCCTTTAGGAGTTCAATATGAGCCAAAGGATGGCCTTTTGTGTCTACTCGGGCAGCGGCGTTGCTAAACTGAGAAGCTTCTTGACAGACTTATTCAATACGATCACGGAAGATATGAACGCTGATGATGATGAGACGGAGTACGACGACGACTTTGATGAAGGATTCGTTGAAGGTGCTATGGATGCTGATATGGAGGGTGGAATGGATGGTGATGTTGACGAAGACTTTATGCACGATGGAAGATATAACTTCCACCACACGCCTCAGCCAGCTTCCTCCACGCTCCGCTTGCATCATCACCCAGAAATCATCACTCCTACCTCGCAGCACCCCGAGCTTACGATGCAGCGTGACATGACCTTGCGACCAGGTCATGTCTCCATTGCCTCATCTCCAGCCGTTTTCTCTGCTAACAGTCAACCGCCGCCTGCGCCATATGCTCTTAATCCGCAACCCGTAGCAGGGTCGTCCAATCCCGTTATAAGACGTCCTCGCTTTGGTTATCAGCCCGTCATTGAAATTTCCACTTCTCCCCCTCAGAGCGACGTCGCATCCAATCGCAGTACTGGCACACAATCGAACGGAGCGGGTTTTTTCCGCACATATCAAGAGCCATCATCATCTTCTGGTAGAAGTAATGGCGCTTTAACGCCCGATTACAACTTTGCGGAGATAGGTCATGGCCGGGGCGCAGAGCATGATAATATCGACCACATCGGTCCACCACCTCATCGGTTGGCAAGACACAGTTTTACCTCAGCAGCGTCATTCAATGCCACTGCGGGGCCTTCTGCCCAGGGCATCACCCAAGTGATGCACTCGGCGAATTTTGATTTTCGCCATGGACAAAACCCCGAACGTCATGCTTTGATGATAGAACAAGCGAAGATGACTAATAACTACTATCTTACCCCCTCCGCCGGATCTTCCGACCGCCTCGTGCCATGGCCACCCATGCGCACTGAGCCCTTGTACGATGTCCCGTCGCACCACAGCCAGGAGTTACAAGAATCCGTTCAGGCTACTCTCGGCCCTCCGACAGACCCCCGTGACACTGAAGGAAGAGGCAGGAGTGTCAGAAGAAGCCTTCGAAACACCTTCCACGCTGCTGAGCATTTTTTCTTCGGCCGCGGCTCGACTTCGAATGGGCAGGTCCCCGAGTCAGGTATCCCAAACCCGTGGGCCCCAGGAAGTGTAAATAGCACCGGTGATGCAGCTGGGAATGGCGGTCAGCCTCGCTAAATGAGCGCTGAACAGCCCAACGTCTGCGTCCGCAGTAAGTAGACCCGCAAGTTTATAGCAAGCATGGACATTACACGTGTTTTCCCCAAACCCATTGCGCAACCTTTTTTTTGTTGTAACCCTAAAACCCGGAATATTTATAACCATTACGCCAGTTGTTGTTGTTCTTTTTGACTGTATCGTTTATCACTAGTGCTGTCGTGTAGGTTTTATGGTACTTATAGTGATTATGTGGAGGCAATCAGAGTCGTTCCTGGGTAGAGGTGTTGGTTGGTGCATGCAGGTAGTTGGCTCTCACGATCTCAACTAAGTAACACTCAACTATTGACACTCGCACGAGCAGGGTTGTTGTCGAGACCTGCTCTACCCTGCTACGCTGTCAGGAAGCAAGTACATTCTAGGTTCCAACATGAATATCCGCGCAGTTAGGGTATGCTTGCAATTTCTCAAGGCGCGTAAGCTGCTTATTTTCACCAGGTCGAAGATCTTGCAGGCATGCAAGACTGCAACCTACACAACCTCCCTGAGAACTATACAATGAAATACTGTTCGCGTCTTTCGCCTCATTTCTTCAGACCACTGAGACTGACAGAATTTGTGGCCAGATCTATATCACGCGTTATCCTGGCCTTCACTTTCGTATGTGGCCGAGGACCACAATGGACGAATAGTTGGTTATATTCTGGCAAAAATGTGCGTCAAATGTTACTGCAGCTGAACTGTGTTCTAATTGGATCGCAGGGAGGAAGTTGATGAACAAGAAGGGCAGCCTGCAACTAATCATGTTCCTCATGGGCATGTCACTTCAATATCTGTCATGAGATCATATCGTCGACTTGGGCTGGCTAAAAAACTGATGCTTCAATCACGTAAATCAACTTTTTGTCCAGGCTAGAATAACCATTGACGTGTTCTTTTATTTCAGAGGAGGCGATGAGCAGCATTTACCGCGCGGCATTCGTGTCTCTCCACGTCCGCAAGTCGAATCGTGCAGCACTAAGTCTGTATCGCGACACGCTTGGATTTACCGTCAAAAATATTGAGGAAAAGTATTGTAAGTTCCTACACCGTTTTGTCATATGGTCATTTGATCGCGCGTTCTTTAGATGCCGATGGAGAAGATGCATATGCGATGCAGCTCACGTTCGAGCACTAATGCGAAGGAGAATGTAGCAGACTAATAGTTTACAGCTATATATTTGACACTTAACGAATTACTGTCACTCTTGCTGGCTACGGTTTTGCATCGCTTTCCACCTGATCGGGCAGCGTCTCTTCCATTGCAGCAGCTGCTTCGACATCCTTCCGAGCCTCAGTATCACCACTCTCAGTAATACCTCTAGCTGCCATGACAGCTTCCCGAATGATCTTGGCCGTATCGAGCCCTAACTGGTAGTAGCCATCGTTAGATTTTGGATTAAACATATTGGTGTGCGCTTGAACTTCATCGGCAGCCTGATGATTTATTGCGGGAAGGAAATGTGCAGCTATAGGAGAGGTTTTCTGAGGAAGGATGACAAACGTCCTCGGCGACGAGAATGAAGGTGGAGCTGGTGGAAGTAAGGTGTAAAATCTGCAATGGATCAAAAGTCAGGGGAGGCACCCAATGATTTTCGCTCTGGTGGACGTACGAGCGGAATGTGACCCCAAGGTGTACCTGTACATCATTCAAATCTCGCATACGTTTTCGCAATGCTTCCTCATCCCAGAGGTTGCGAACGTAATTCATGTGATCAGTAGCCCAGCTGTATCCAGAACCAATGTCGTCTCGGCGGTAGTACGCTGTTCCAGCGGCCGCGCCAGCCACCAGCGCTCCACCAACAGCATACGCTGCAGGAGCCCACTTTGCCCAACCACTTTCCGCAGTGGGGGCCGCTGCTATTGCAAGAGGGGGTTGCCCAGAGACGGTTGACGATGCTCCTTTCTTGCCAAACAATGAAAACACATCTGAAACAACAGTGCGGGCTGCACCGGCATATTCCACAGCCTTGGTTGCACTATTCTTGAATACAGCGGGGTGAAGACCAAGGTACTTCAATAGATTAACGGCAGTAGGAGAACATGAGATAATGGTTAACTAACTCACGGGAGTGTCGAAAGCTATACACGCGATGATCTTCGGCCACAGCGGAGCGTTTTTATCAGGTCTGGACTTCACAAACGCAAGTAAAGCGTCAGCGGCAAGCAGTCCTCCCATACTGAATGACTTAAATCAATCGGATTACAACCACCATGCTTGAATTTCCACTCACCTATGGCCACATAGTACAATTTTAGTTTTCCCGGCTCCTCCCCCCTGGCCGTTTGCAACTTCTCTTTGTACGGTCAGAGTAGTCAGCCAGTCGGCGAAGTGTTCTACTGCAGCGTTCTAACGGGAAGTCTCCATCTGTGTGTAAAGTTGGGGTGATCATCGCGCACCAGTTGTCCTTTGGTCTACACAGCTCTTAGTTAGCGGCCTAAACTGCAACGTGAAGAAAATGCCCTGACCTCGTATGCGGGAAACAATATACATTCCACCTTGAGATTCTCTATGATTTCTGTCAGGACATGCTCTATCCTTGAAGGAAAGTTCTTGAATGTCGTATCAGTTCCCTTGAATCTATGCACTGTTAATTGGGGAGCCTTCTGACTTGCGTTGTTTACACTAACCCATGAATGAAGACAATGAGAAGGAGGTCAGGAGGGAGCTGTTTGATTACTGCCAGACTGTCTGTGCTCTTGTCTTCTGACGGTGGATCTCCCGAACCCATGCTTGTAGATGATTGAGTAGAAGAAGAAACCAGTGCTTCTACAAGATGCGAGTACGGTACTATTGGTTACCACTAGAGTCCTCTAGTTCGTGCACACTGCACACCACATTCACCTGACCTTCCCAATAAGTAGGCCTTACTATGCTGAGCGATCACGTGTATGGTTCAGTTCTATGCAGAATCAGATTCTATGTTGCGAAATAGGAGATACAACTACTACATGTATCAAGCAGATTCAAGCTAAGTCGATTTGTTTATACATGATAAACAAGCCTGTACCGTATTACGATACAGATACAGCAACATACAGGACTTTGATACCCGTAGTGGGCGCATCAGAGGACTCGTGAACCGAAGATACTGTCATATATGCCGATATATGATCATATATAGGCAAATATAGGAAAGGTTTACTTTATATTGGAATATAAAGTCATGTCGGAAAACCACTGCAATCAACGTAAAGCACCCTGGTAAACTCACGAATACTCTGATGCTACACCGTAACCATCAACTCAAGGTCTGAACAGCCAACGGTACAGGTACGATGACCGTATTGCAGCCCCGTAAAAGTCCCGTCGTACGGTGTACGGTGAACAGCCCTAGTAATGGTATGATTAGTTCTCGTAAAACGACATTAACAACACCGCGTTTGATGCGATGATGGCAAAATGCCATATGTACAGCTAGTGATGTGAGGTGATGTTGTCTTTGACAATCTACGTTGCTATGTAAGACATGGCCGTGATGATCATGATGAATGTCTCATGTCGAGCACCATCGAACACTCCGTGACGGAATAAGATTGCTCAAGCGTACTTGTGCCGTATGCCTGACACGGTGATCAGTGTCGAGACCGGAATGGGAAGTGACGGAAAGCGTTTAAAACTCACCGCTCATATTCTAATCACCATCTTACGTTGGCGTAACCATTCTCGCAGTTGCCTGGAACAGCATTGTATTTCTAGTATACAAACACAGATACAGTACCGTGTCGTACAGTATAAGATGAGATTGCAACGGCACAGCCCTTCGTGGTGGACACAATTCTGAGCTACCATTATCTGTGCTTAAGCGCTTAGATGGTAAAATCGGTTATACAACGATGATACACTTGCAACAAGTCCAAACTAAGGGGAGCACTAGATGATCTAAATTTGATCTAAATGGAGGATGTTCACAAAACCACGTGATACACCTCAACTCTGTGAAAACTCGTATGACTGGCTCTGGTATGGTGCTTGCGTCTGAAGCACTAGGGAACAGGATTGTGCAGAATCCTGTAAAAGGCTCGAATTAGAAGTCGTTTGAGAGTCTTGTGACCATTGGGAACGCCCAAATGGTGTTTTTGATGCGGTGCCTTTGGGCAATGGCGAAATATGGAGCGTGCCAGAGCGGAAGTGTCTTCCTCTGTCATTTTGGGTCACAACGGGGGAGCTGGGATATTCTATGCGCTCGACGTCTTCATTCTTGGCCAGCGGAGAGAGCGGCCGAGGCTGGCTAGCGGGAGTGTGTTCAGGTTCAGATTCAGGCCACTGGAGATCAGCATCAGCTATGTCCACAACCGTGCCCGCAACAATGGTGGCCAGATCCTCGGAGGTAGACAATACTGCACTCTCCGCTGCACCGTTGTGAGCTGTCTCTGGTGCTTGCATCCGGATGCTCTGGATACTAACGTCCGCTGCATCCTCCCGTATGAGCTGTCGCTCTACTGCATCTTGCGATGAGCTTGATGAGTCAGTGCGAGAATGTTGCAGAGATATATTAGCGTGTGTCTGAGCAATCCCGCTAAGTCTACTGTGTCGCCGATCAAAGGAGTCAATTTGAGCTACAAGATTAGGGCGGAATAAGAGCGTGCTGAGGTCTGGTGATCGCGGAAGAGACGCGATAGATGAGGTGTCAGCTGGTGATGACAGCTGAGCAAAAGCGAGTGCTCTCGCAGGAGTGGGCAGTGGCGGTGTTTTCTTCGGCGAGGGAAGCGAAGTTGATTGACGGGAGGCAGGAGGCATTAAAGAGGCCGGGCCCAGGATTCCCAATGGAGGTGCTGGGGACGAGGTGAATGGCTGAGAGCCCGACGAGCTTTGATCCGTAGAATATAAATGTAATCCACCTATGCGCAGACAAGCAAAAATTGTAAGTTGTTGAAAAAACACGCGAAATACGCGTATCTCAGAGAACAGGCAAATGGCATCAGGGAGACGCACCGTTGGAAAGGCACACTGGCACCGAGCTGCCCGACGACTCAATCATGCTTTGAGCTTCCGCTGCCTCTTGCTTTCTCATGCGCACAATTTCCTTTTTGCTCATTGGCTGAAGTTCCCAGATATGATTATGTCTGACATGAGAAGCAAGCTTGTCAACTGGTTGAGAAGGTGAGCCTACACCAGTCCCAACAACAGAAGAATGTTCGTGGTGGAGAAGGTTGTGGATGAGATGAATCTGATCGAATCATAGTATAGACCGTGCAATGGTTGTAATATGTGCGCACGAGTCCCACACAAACTGGCAGCAGATGGCTTAAGACGTGGAGTTGTTTATCTTTGTTTAATTCAGAAGCTTCCACCTGCCATATTGGTACGACGGACGTAAACGTCTGCGCAACTTAGTAATTAGTGACCTCAAGTTACTCCTGACGTCAACATGCAACCCCATTTTCAAGATTCTGACATTTTATCTTATCTCGTCCTTCCTCAGGACTATAATCCTCTTCCGAGCATCGATCCCATTGAGTTTTTGAAAAGACATCTACACGAGCTACCCCCCAACACCATACAGCGGTTCTCACTCGTCACAACGCCGAAACAGCGAACAGCGATTACTGAGATACGCAATCGAAGACTGAAATTTACTGAATCAAGGCCACGGTCTCTGAGCTTCGCGGTTGCCCGAAATACCTGGCCAACACTGTGGCAGGGCAGAGAGCGAAGGGGACAAGAAGAGGGGAAGGAGGAGCAAGAATGGGCAAAAATGAGTTTCCTAGGTGGTACAGAGCAACAGGTGGGCAACCTGGCAAAGCTACTCGGCGACATGGAGGAAGAGCGGGAAGCGGAGAGAGTACGAATTATCCGAAGAACGCAGGCGAACGATGATTTTGTTCCGGAAGAGGAAAGTGACAGTGAAGAAGAAGACGAAATTCCTGAAATTCAAGAGTCTGAATCTCCAGAAGAGGCTCAGGCGTTGTTTGAAAGACGCATAAGGGAACGATTCATATATGGTTTGCTTGAAGTGAGTCTTGTCACTCCGCGTGAAAAGCCCACTCGAACAAATTTCTTGTCAGGGAGCAGATTATGATTTAGTTGACTGGGATGAGTGGCTCGATGTAGAGGATGATAGAGATGCAGAAGAGCGGTGGTTTAACGATGATTAACGGATATCAGATATATTTAGTAGATTCTCGGTATCTTTCTGCCGGGATGCTGCTCCAGTAGGACGTAAACTCCGGCAGAGCTCCGGATGCTGCTTGCCCTCATCCATCTCGTCGGCCCACCCTAAATCACCTAAAGCATGGCTGCCCAGGTTCATCAAACCCCAAGCCTTTCATCCGATATTCAGCGAGCACTGCAACAGGCCGTCGGCGAAGTCAACAATGCATTCACGCAATCCCAGGGCAGCCAATCGAAAAAGAAACGCGCCCGTAACGATTCAATCGGTGGAGTCTCAGTAGACGAGTCTCAAAGAGGCAGAAGCGAAAGAAAAATACTGACGATGTTAATGCGTTAACTGTGCAAGTCAGTGAGCAAAGTGTCGAGGTGGAGAAGGATAAAAAGAAGAAAAAGAAAAAGACCGACAAAGGGAAGGCAAAGGAGGTCGTACAGAACACTGTTGACACTCTCAGTCCTCAATTGGTGGAAGAAGCACTAGAAACCCATCCAACGAGCTCAGTCGATTTTCTGAATGCTGTTGTTGCTGCTGCATCCGCTACAGCAGATGCGCAGCACCTGGATGTTTCACCGTACCAAGCACATTCTTCTTACCAGGATCATCATATCATGCCAAATCTACAGCATGATCACCCATCACCTCCTTACATGACGTATCCTCCCATGAATTTCCCCTTTCCCTCCCCAGCACATCTGTACGGTCAGTCTTCATCGCATCCTGCAAATATTCTTCCCAACTTGGGGTTCCCCCTCCCCGACGTCCAATTCGCGTCAAATGACGAGATTCTCCGTGCATTGCAAGAGCTTGACATGTCCAAACTTGCCGGGGTATTGAAGACACTGGGTGATGCCGCTGCTGCAGCCAATGTACCTCTTGGTGTTCCCCCAGGGTTTATCCCGTCTCTTCCTGGTCATTCCAATGTACATCCACAACCCCCGCCTCAACCGATGGGACAGCCACCTTCTACATCGGGAGCAATCTTGAATACTGCTCCCAAGTCGACGAAGACGACCCACAAGCGTGTTTTGGATATGAGCCTTCCAGGGCCCGATCATGGCAATCCAGATCATGCTCACATGTTGGCTAACAAGTGGATGAACGCAACAAAACTGGCCGAGATGGTTAAAACACAAGGCAAGTGACTTTCAGGGGTGATGTATCATCGCTAATTCTCTACAACAGGTCTCGTTTACAAGAAGGGAAAATTTTCTGCAATTGAAGAGGAACAACTTCGGGCCGCTATCGAAGCTTTCAAAGTGGTGCGCTATTTATGACGCTTGTCGACGCGAATACTCAAGATTGTGGATGACAGGGTCGAGGTCTTACAAATGATCAACTCCAGGACATCATTTTCCAAAAGAACGAGAAAGGCAAAGATAATGCGTTCTGGTCGGAAATTAGTGGGTTTCCTTGTGCCGTATGAAATGTCGGTCTAGTGTTAAGATCTTGATTAGCTTCCGCTCTCGCTCTACGCCCTATCATTGCTGTTTATCACCACGTTCGTAGGGCGTTCCATCCCAAGAAACAGCAAGGCAAATGGATGCCCGAAGAAGATGCAGTGCTAAAACAGTATGTTATTTCCGCCTTCCTCATTCATTAACGTTTTGTATGATTGTTGACATTAGAGCCGTTGCGGACCTCGGTCAACAATGGGAAAAAGTCAGTGAGATTGTCGGTCGAATGTCGTCCGATTGTCGTGACCGTTATCGCAATCACATCGCCAATCGCGAAGTCCGGGTGACAGGCGTGTGGACAAAGGAAGAAGAGGAAGAGCTGACGGCGATTGTCACGGAGATGACGATCCAACAGGGGAAGGATTTTGATAACGATGTCTTCTGGGGCAAAGTGAGCGACAGGATGGGGAATAGGCGCGGCAGACAACAGTGTCGAATTAAATGGTCAGCGCCTTTGATATGCGATATGTATGATTTTAACTTTTCTTGCAGGACGGATTCACTGAGCAAAACCGTGAAAAATGAAGGGCAAAAACCACGTTGGAGCGCTCAAGATGCCTATATCTTGGTCCATAAGTACGGCGGTAGTCTGCTATCGGGTTCTATATGCTTATTTATGTTAACAGGGTCGACTCCATGAACGTTAGGGATGATACTGAGATCGACTGGAAGACACTTCCCGATTCAGATTGGAATTTATGGAGTGCTCACTCACTCCAACGACGCTGGTTGACAATGAAGAGAGGAATTAAGGGGTACGAAGACATGACCCACCAAGGTTTGTTCTTCAAGAAGCACCAAGTGATTCTTGATTCTTGCTTATCCTATCTGCAGAAATTATGGATATCCTTCGAGTCAAGAAAGCTCACCTTCCTCCCGCTTCAGCAGCACGTAAACGAAAAGTCACTAGCGCGGCAAACGTCGATGAACCGGCAGACCCAGAGCCTGGAGACGCGGGGCCAAGTGGTACACAAGAAGGTGCATCTGATGGCCAGGATAGAGATGCTGATGGGTCGACCGATGATTCGGATGCTTGATTTTATTGCTATAGTTATACACACCAACATACACTTATTACTACCATAATGCTTCTCAACAAGTTGACTTTGAGCCCAAGTTTTTGACGGAGTTGGGACCTCGCATTGACATCTCATCGGTCAAACTACTCCTAGAAGACCAGCACTTCCTCTCATCCCCCTTCCCCTTGCAGCAGCGAAGCTAATGCACACGCAACTCAGCAGAAAGCCAGTGAACCTTGCAAGCTCGCTCAATATCCCAGCACGGTAAAATTTAATGAACATCCCCACCTGAAAAATGCGACACGAGATATGGATCTTTCCTCGTGGGGCGTGCGCGAAGATGTGAATATGGAGCGCAACACAGCTGGTGTGACTGGGAATCGACTAGATGGATTAGGTGGTGGCGGTTGTAGTGGTGGCTGATTTGACAGCCTCGTCGCCGTAATAGTCGACGAGCTCCGCGAGCTGGTGGAGGTCATTGTCAAAGTCGGGAAATGCCGAAGCGTTTCAACTTGATGTGGATTTGTTTACGGAAAAGATTGTGGGTTGACCGGGTATGGACAAGTAGACGCCCCGGTGACCCAAACAATCATCGCACAGCGCGCGATAAAATACAGATACAGGAATAGAGGTTTTCATTGCTATGCTAGTGCTCCACTATCACCCCGCCTGCTAAAACCTTCCTTCCGCGTGCACACTTCAAGCTCTTCTATCGCCCTCTCAAACGCATCATGAATCGCCCAGATGTAGAGGATATGAAAAGAATTGTCGATCGGCTCCCCCAAACAGAATCAGAACGCCGAATTGTTCGCCACTTGGTTATTCGGGACCCCAATTGCGGGGTAACTGACGAATGGGTTGCCCCAGAGATGATTTTTTGTCGTCAACTAGAGTCGGTAGTCCTCTCTGGGGTGACAGACACGTCCGACAAGACTATCGTCCATCTCGCGCGTGAAAACTCTAATATACAGGGTCTTGACCTCACTGGGTGCAAGTACGTCACTGACGTGAGCATCATGGAACTGGTCGCGAAAACACCTCCTTTGCAGTGGCTGCAGCTCAGCGGGATAGTGCTCACTGACGCTTCAGTCTCCGCAATCGCCAAGACCTTCCCGAGGCTTGTGGAATTGGAGCTGAATGACCAGCCGCTCATGACGGCTGTGTCTGTTCGCGATATTTGGTCATACTCTAGGAAACTTCGCACCTTGACATTAGCGCGCTCTCCTCAGTTAACGGATAGTGCGTTGCCTTCGCCGATGAAAACCCTCACTCCTCAGCCTTCTGGGGAGAAGCCCTTACCCGCCCGTCCTCATACCTGGCTTGATCAGCTTCCACCTCTCATCCTACGTCATACTGCAATCGATCTTCGTGTGCTGGATCTGAGTCACTGCCCGAAGCTGACCGATGCGGGGGTTGAAGGCATCTTGACGCATGCTCCATTGATCCGGTCACTTGCATTGGCCGGGTGTCCCAACCTTACCGACAAGGCCGTGGAAAGCATATCCAAACTCGGTCTTCACCTTGGCAACCTTACCCTTGCGCATTGCCCACGAATAACTGACAATGGTATCGTGTCCTTGGCACGATCATGTACCGAGCTTCGATCTGTTGACTTGGCGTGTAAGCATCATCGAGTGTCCGATCGTACTGCATGCTGACGGAGCTATAGTCTGCCGACAGTTAACTGATATGACTGTATTTGAATTAGCTAGCCTAGAACACATTCACCGTCTTGTTCTTGTTCGTGTGCCAAAGCTGACCGACAATGCTATCTATTTCCTCGCGGACCATACCCCTTCATTGGAGCGATTGCACCTTTCATACTGCGATCGCATCACGCTCAAGTCGTTACATCATCTCGTCCGAACTTGTAAGCGCCTCGTGCACCTTACTGCGACTGGTGTGCCTGGTGCAAGGCGGACCGGCGTCGGGCGGTTTTCTGACCCGCCTCCTGCGGTATGTCCCAAATCAATGGCACTGATGACGTAGATTCTCATCCCCGTGCCAACCCCAGGATCTGGACCCTGATCAGAAGTCCGTTTTTCGTGCGTTTAGTGGTCCGAATGTAGCGGCGCTGTGCAAGTTTCTTGACAAGGAGAAACTTAGACGCGAACAGGCGGAGGCTCAGAATATCCCGTTTGTCGCGCGATCAGATGATAGCATGGATCTGTATTAACGGGAACGTTGTGAACTGGTGGTCGATCTTCAAGGCTTCAGGATTGGTTAGGAAGGTTGGGAATTGGAGCTGGGTGATTGGTTAGTGTGCTATCATACCTTATGTTTCCATCTTATTCATCGTGTCAACAACTTACCTTGCATATTTTACGTGTTGTTGTGCTTCTACTGGTCCACTGCACTATTTCGATAATGATAACACAAATTGCGTCGCAGCCAACGTAATTCTTCTGGTCTTCTGAATCATAGGGGCCGGTATACATTCTTAGCGGAGATAAGTGGTGGTTCACAGCTGTGCATAACGACTTATAAGTCGATTTACCACACCACCACGCGTTGTATAGGAAGAGAAGGTCATCACATGCATCACACCCGAAACCAACCCGAAACATTGTCAGATTGGCTGGAGGATAATAGCACAGATTTCATTACAAATGCAAAATATTCCTGCGAATATGATACCAATACCAATATGCCTGGCAGACTATTTTTGTGCCTTAGCTGGGTGTTACTCGTCATCTGACTGTTGCTGCGGTCGCTAAGCTTCGCTAGCCGGGTATTTCTTCCATCCACGTTTTTAACAGCGTCTCTTCAATGTTCGACTCCGGTATGATCATCCCAAATTCGTACATACAAGGAATAGAGCACCGTTCTCTCAACCCATACCGGCCGGCTTCACGTATTCCCTTGCAGCTATCGTCGGTTGCTCGACGTCTCTCAGCGCCGGGGCGCTCCTCACAGCCTCATATCGCTTCATCCGATTACGGTTCATTAATCTGAATCAAAGCGGAACCTCCCCCCTGAGGTCTATGTATGCGCTCTTTGTATGCCGCAAGGTGGGAGCCAGATATAATATTTAATTTTCTAGCTCGGTTGAATATAGCGCCATTCAACTTCCACTTCTGCTGTCCGAGGATAACATAGAATGGCTACTGCCTATATATGCGAACCGCATAGCATCACTGTAAAAGACTAGCTGCGATCCTATATTGAGAAAAATCAATGCACGTGGTGTACGCGTCTGTGGCAGGCTGGAATATCGCGGACCGCAAATAAAGTTTAATCTCCGCCAGATCTTGGAGACCAGAGCTCTCTGACGTACCGGTCTTTTTATACATATACACCCATTAGCTAGTATTTGGTCTACATCACTTCCAACTTGTTTGGACTAATAATTGCATCATCTCCACTACTTTCGTTCACAACGCCATTAATCGTATTTCCTTGTTAAAATCAAACAATCACTAACAGGGCGGCGACCGCGACCAAGAGCATCAATCGTCCTATAAGCTCGTCCCGTTAGCCTCTACAATCATTGCAATTAATTCAACTTGCCAATTCGCTTTCACTGTCACATTAAATTGGCAACTCAGTCGCTTGCTGCAGGTCATCTCGAACGTACTCAGTCGTGTTTGGCGGGCAAGTCAGGAGGCTCCCCAAGGTCTGTCATCGGTGTTCAACACCCTCCACTGCCTGGAGCTTTGTCTTTGGCATATTTTCTCACATATTCTTCATGTATCGTCAGACTCTTTTGACGAATGGAGAATGGCTCTCACGTAGCGCATTTAGTTCCCTCATCTCGCACACGCACGACCTCTCGACGTCCGCGACTACGTACCCCTTCATCACCGACTTCCTTGCTGGATCGTAGGACAGCGCATGGGACTGTTTTCACTTCCGAACTAGTCTTGCCGACAGACCATCTGATGTCTTTCTCAGATGATGTGTCTTCTATCTGTGAGATTTCCTCTACAACCGGGTCTCGTTCTACTCGGCAGTCACCACAGTTTGCCCGGCGGTTTGTGCCTCTCACACCCATCATCGCATCCCCGTTGACCACTCCCGCGGCAAGCATGACAACCAACGTTACCTTCAGCCTGAACTCCGACACAGAGGATGAAACGGACGGAAATTTTGCCCACAGCGAGCCTGCTGCACACGTAGAGATAACTATTCCAACCCCAACTTGGATGGCCACACCTCCTACACCACCTCCAAAATATGCCCACAGATCTTCTGCCTCTGTGTCCTTGCGACCACATTCGTCTTTCGTGACTGCCTCCGCCTCTTTTCCGGACCCTACGTTTTCCAGCGTATCCGAAGAGTCCTCGGAGCTGACTTTGAAGCGTCGAGCGTCACTTCCTCCCATGTCTGTTTCCGAACCATTTCCTGCCATTCCTCCTACTGCACCGCCCTTGTCACTGACACCGCTACGAAACCACCACTCCAAGCGAGAGAAAAGATCGTCCGGAAGTCCGCTACGTGTGAGTATCACCGAATACAGTGAGGAATGGTCACATCGAAACCGCAAACCAGCATCTCAAGCAGCACTTCGGAAAAAACCACTGTTTCACATGCCGCAGGACGGTTCAGATAAAGAGGATGACGCCAAGCTCAAGAAATTGATTGACTATCGTAAGAATCCACCTGAAGAGGAGGATTCAAGCTCGGAAGCTGCCGATCATCCGCTTCAGGCGAAGGATGATCTCGTAGGAAGCAAAGACGACGTGAGAAAATGTCATGCACTCTTGGAGTTGCTCTCCACGGAAGTCGGATACCTTTTTGATCTTAAGGTTCTTGTTACAGTGAGTCGATCGGATTGGCCAGTTCTCGAGAGATTCATCGTCGCACGTTTCTTCAGGTGTACCTTAGGCTCCTGCCCGGTCTGACGACTCGTCTACCACATCCCCCCTCCTCTAGCCTTGGGATGTCCCATTTCTCCCGTACCACCTCTCCTGCCTTCAACCCACCTTCGTTGAACCCCGCTGTCCGCACACAATCTGTTTACCACCTATCGACCCCTGTGCCATTCTCTCCCTGCGAAAACATCCCCCCTGTCATCAGTCGCCCACCAGCGCTGATCGCTGCAACGAAGGAAAAGTCTCTGATGCGGCACGTATTCTCTCCTGTCGACCTTGACCTGATAACTCGCAATATGGAGGAAATTCTCAAGTTCCATGAACAACTCGTTTGTGAACTAAGGGCACTCGTTTCCCCTCTCGGCTTCTCGATGGTTCTCGATGGGGCTAGTGGGGGCGTGACGATAATGCAGAAGGAGTATACGCGCAATTTGGAGACGTTACACTCAGCACTTGATGCAGTCGCCACGAAATTCATTGAACGAGTAGGTGCCATGCGATGCTCCGTGTCCCACAGTACTGAGTTTCCTTTAGGCACATGAATTTCATTTGTACCAATCGTTCTGCTCCGGACATACTGAAGCATTCGACCTTGTCCGAAAAGTCCAACAGGAGTTCCCAGCTGAATGGGAGACGTTCGAGCAATTATGTGCCACCATAGCTACTGAAATGCACATCGATGGCTTGTTCCACTCTACCACCGACAAAGAAGCCGAAGATGACGATGCCGCAGACGGCACTCTTGGTGAAAACGAGTTGATTGTGGGAAGGCGACGGCATTCGTTTTCATCATTGGACGCGCCCAGTCGTCGGCACAGTATTTCCCGCGTCAGTTCTAATACCAACCTCAAGGCATCTGTAACTAGTACATCTGAAAGTGGGCACTCAGACCGGGGGCAAACTGGCATAAAATCGAAGCTCGCATTCATGGATTATCTCATCAAACCTGTTCAACGCATCTGCCGCTACCCCTTACTCCTTGAACAGCTCCTTGATCATCCACAAAGTGCAAGCGGCAGCGGCGGTTCACGCGAGTCAAGCTCCATGTCTCACGCGGAAGGTGTATCGCGCGATACGGAGGTCAATTTGGTACGAAGTGCGCTGAATGTCATGCGGGTCGTAGCCAGCTCTGTGGATGAAGCACGACGCCAGCAGGATATAGCAATCAAGTCCTCGCTCATTGCCTCACGGATATCGCAAGGACTAGCCCTAGTAACGGCATCTTACACTAGACCTGCATCGCACAGTCTTTCTTTTGGTTTCCTGTCGTCCCTAGGCCCGTGTCATCTCGCGGGATCATTGGATGTGATCTATTACCACAGCCTCAATGCCAGTAGCAATGGCACAGTCAAAGCCAAGTATCTTGGGGCTTTCCTGTACCCTGGGGGTTACATCATTCTTGCCAAAGTTCATAAAGTAAGGACATACGAGCCAAAACACTGGTTTTCGTTAGCGGGGTTTGACCTAGTCGACTCGACAAACGACGAAGGTATGTAGATCTCAACCTATGAACATACAGCGTTTAATACCACCTTCGCTAGCCCTATTACCCAGTTGGTTTCGCCTTTCTGGGCGGGGTCACATTTTTGAGTTCGCGGCGTCTTGTCGCCGCGAGAAGGATGTCTGGAAGGCTGCTATTCATCATGCCCTCGAACTTCCCGCTGCATGGACGAGTGAACCGATATGCAGTTTTAGAGGTGATTCTAAAGGAGATTTCGTGTTGTCGCTGCTAGATGATGCGCCATACGAAGTGATCAGCCCTTTGCCCACTATCCAGTCTATTCCCGAGCTGGATAATGAAGCAGCATCTAGCAGAGAAGAGAACCATACACTCTCTGCCCGTTTCGATCCGCCGAGATCGGGTCGGGCGTCCTACAAAACTGACCCATCTCAGAAATCTGACTCTGGTCATCAGCTTGGTCCCAGCCGTCGCTCGTCTACCATATCCAATAGGACTTATCTCAGCATGTTGTCAGAGTCGGATACGATTCATCTTGTGCGTGCCACTGCCCCTGCACGTGAGCAGGTCGATCGTGGACTCCTTGACGTGTTCTCGGAGAGCTGTCTCTCCGCTCGCTGCTATGCGCATACCCACGAAGAAGAACTATTTGAAGCATCAAAGGTGTCACGGTCGTTTTCGAGGTCAAGCTCAGGATTGACCATGGCTGGCGCCATGAGCGTAGCTGCAAAGAATCGCTTGACTAAGCGAGAGAGTGTGCTTGTCCCCAGGAGAAAGAGTTACATAGATGGCTTTGGCGACATCCCTGCCGTACCCAGCATCCCACCAACCAAGCTGGCCAAACGCCGCCAACAAACGAAACTCAAGATCGTTGCCGTTTCAAGGGCTGCGTCTCTGGACGACGATGAAGTGAAGTTAGAGGGTGCCCCAGAGTCGCCTTCCCCTATGTCACAGTGTTCCTCTGTGTCCGTTTCTACTCCAGGGTCACTCTCCGCCAGCCCTGTCGTCCCTGGGCCACTGTCAGGTGTGGTTCCTCGACCAGAGCTTGCAGCCCGAAAGGAAGCCTATACGCCCAAGCGGAGCCGTTCTATGGTCGAGAATGTCCGAGTCCTCTTCTCGCGCTCTACATCGCCAATGCTTCCCCTGTCTTATCAGCCATCTGAATCGAGTAGTGTATCAACTACACCAAGCCTGCTCAAGTGGTGGTCGAAAGGCACGCTTCGAAGAAGGGTCCGAAGTGCGCCCGATGTCCCACTCGAGGAGCTTCCCTCAGATGCATCAACCAAGTCTCTCAATAATCCAATTCCAAACTTTCACCCATCTTTGGCATCCGCGGATCGTCCAATGTCTCAACCCGATTTGATGCGCTTAAGTCAGTTTCCACAATCTGCCGCTGATTCGTCTGTTGGGGATTTTGGGGTTGGAACGTCAACTCCAGTGCGACTGAGGACGTTGTTTGGGTCGCCCAGTCTCCGCCGCCGCTCGACCACTGCGGCCTCAGTTTCATCATCCCCAGGTAGCCAGGAGGGAGGATTTACTCCACGCACTGTGCGCATGCGCCGCAATCTTTCGTTTTTATCACGACTCACTCCCATGGCACCGGATACTATTATGCAGAATTCATGATCATAAGACCACACCCCCAGGCTACCATCGACTGACTTCAATATTGTACCACTATTCATCGTCGCATATCTTATTTTTTACCAGCATCGGTTCATACAATTCCTTTTATTTCATTCTTTTCATTGTCCCATGTCGTTATGGTCATTATATACCACAACATACCATACACGTAGGAATACAAGTTTTGACTCTTTAGACTCAGAGTCTCGGAGTGTCGAACCAGTTTTAAAACTTGGACCTTGGCGTGACGCGTGCACGTGATCAGACCTAGTCAGTCACGTGTGGACGCGCCGCATTGTTCGCTTAGCGTTAAGTTCGTTTACTTAAGTATTGCGTCCTTTAATCATCTCTCCATGAATATCTCTCTTAATCTATGGATTTAAACAGCTCTCCTCGTAAGCAGATTCCATTAGCACGTGGGGATGAGACACCTCGTAAACCTTCCGCTCCATCTCTGACCAGGCGGGTCTTCTATTGCGGGGTCGTGGTTGAGGGTTGTGATAGTGGCAGAAGGTTGCCCGAAGGTGAGCTCTACTGATGACTCCTAAAGAGTACAATTTGATTGGTATAGATGTCCAAGACCTGGTTTTATCCCTAGGAGACCCCTGGTTGAGTCAGAATGATAGCCACATTCTGCCTTCCGCAACAGACACATCGTTCTCAGAACACCACCAGCCCGTGAGTGGTACATGCTAACCTTTGTCTGCAAAGGCGAGACGCTTCGCTTGCTCACACTCAGATGTGGTCTCCTTCATGTCTTAGGACGGTTTGCAGCGTAAACGCGCACTTACAGATTCGACGGCTCTAACTGACGTGGTTAACGAACTCGTCAATACTGAACGATCGTACGTCAAGAGACTTCGAATACTGAAGAACGACTATGCAGATCCTCTTCGACAATTCTCCCGCAACAAGAACACCGCAATCTTGCCTTCGTACGAGGCTAAAACATTATTCGGGAATATCGACAACTTTCTCCCAGTTAACGAGGCGTTCCTACTGGATCTCGAGAAGATGGTTGCACCTGACGGTCCCGAAACAGTTGGGGGTGTCGGCGATGTTGCCCTACGACATTTCAAAGATCTACGAGGGTTTGAGCACTATAGACAGTACTACGTCAAGCGAGAGGAAGCCCAGTCAATATTTGAACGTGAGATGATGAAGAAGTCGTCTGGTTTTGCCGCATATGTTGACGTAAGTGTTGATGCGACCCTCTTGGGGATGTTAACCAGACTATTTGCTTCTAGCGGATCAAGTATTCGAACGCTGATACCAGGAATCGCGTTGGTCTGCGCGAGCTACTCATGGACCCTGTGCAACGAATTCCGCGATATACGTTACTCTTTCGCACCATGATCAAGTATATGGCATCCGGAGATCCACAGCGCGCCAAATTGATAGAAGCTGATGATATCGCCAGCAAGATTGCTCTTGCGGAAACAGACGAACAAACCAAGCGAGCAGCAATTATGCATTGTCTTAACGCAACAGTGGATGGTTTTCCTCCTGGCTTAATTTCAATTTCACGACGGTTCATTGATTGTATTGATGTCGATGATATCGTGCAAGATGGCCCAGCATCTGCATCCACTTCCGTCTCTAGCCTCGCTCTCAATGTGCTGCATTGTACTCTGTTTCTCTTCGACGACAAGTTAATGATCGTCAAGCGACCTGGCAATGGCGAGAAAAGTGGACGTTCGCTAGCTGGCTTGGACGACGTTGACAAACTTGCGAAGACGGGCGGTTTGCCACTGCGCATGAAGAAAAGTGGCTTAAGTTGCAAGGGTGTCATTGATTTACCCGACATCGTTGCTGCTGATGTCGGTGGTGCTGGTGAGTTATCATATGTTGATCGCTACCATCAGTTTTGGTCATTCTTTCAGACTTTCACGTATATATCGAGAATCCACCTCAAGACCAAAGTGATCGTTGGTCTGGTCGCTCGTTCCGTTGCTTTTCCGTTGTCTTCCCTCCTGCACCAGCAAACCTCGATCCTATTCGGACTACCAACGAGAAGGACCGGTTCCTCGAGAATTTATGGAATGCTCAGGCGAAATACAGGACTAAATCAGGACAATCCGTTGTCTTGTGCGCTGATGAGCGTGAAGTAGAGTCGAGAGCAGGAAGGGCTACTATGGCTCGCACTTACTTCAATGTATACCAACGAACAGCCTTTTTGCAAGAGCCCAAAAAGGTGTGTTTCACTTTTGTGCGCTGACCATTTTATTTACATTACCGACGCGTGCAGACCAAGATTGTCATGCATATAGACACGATGGGGACCGCAGACCCCATTCCATTTGGAATCAATGGACCGCCATATGTGGTGGTCAGAATACAACCTATGGCGGGGGAGATTTCGCGATATACAGTTACCTCCAGCGATCCGTCTGATGAATCGGAGGAAGACATCGTTCAGACCGCAAGGATACCAGGTCGTATCGTCCAAACAAGTCCGTGCCCAAATCTTGCTTTCTTTTTTGTGATGATTGAAAATTGTATAGTCCATCAATACGGCCTGTTCAAGTTTAAGACTAGTAACGACTCCCGTCCTGCCACCCCAACTGCGAGCTCAAGGTCTCGGGCACATATATTTAGCCTGGACGCGATCTCAAGAAATCTATTCAACGCCATACCAGGCTCTTCCAAGGGTGATTTCTTTGGTGGTTCCATAAGTAGTCATCGCCGGTCGAAGTCATCTACCAGCCGTTCGTCTATCTACACCCAAACAACAACGACAGGCGATGGAAGTTTGACCAAGTTCTCTCGTCGATCCAATTCGACGGCTACCGCTCCAACTTCTCTGGCAGACGATGACTCTCTCTATGCCAGCAAATCTTCGAGTTCGCGCAAAAAATTGGTCAAAAGAAGTCGCTCACCGGGCACTAGTCGTTCCTCTCCATTGTCCCGGCAGACCTCTCCGTCACGAAACAGTTCCAGAACATCATTCTACAGCGATGGAGAGGAAGATTTACCGGTTCGCCAGGACCCATCTGATCAAGATTTATCACTGCGTCTAGAACTCGCACGACGCAACAGCCAGAATCAGCACGGAAAGCAGGCCGCGAAGCCTTCGTTAGATAAACCACCAGAAGAAACCATCTATGAAGGTAGGACAAAATGTGGTATTCAATTTCGCCAGCCTCATCGATACACTGTAGATGATCCACCTCGGTCTTTACGTGCCACGTCTCGAGCCTCTACAGTGGCAAGTCAGCGATCAACGACTCCCCGACCTACGTCAACATCTCCAGGCAGAAGGACAGGGCGACCTCATTCTCGATTTGGTCCTCGTAGCATCTCCCCATTGCCACCGAAGAGTCCGACAAGTACTGCACCTGATCTTCCATCCATGGATGATGAGCTTGCCTTGGAAGCCAGCATTGCCTTGGACGCCCACATAGACTCTTTTCAAGACGATTCGTCTTTCATCGAGGATGATGCCCCATCTCCATTACCACGCAGTAGACGCCAGCCATTCGTTACGACCGGTAACATGGATTCCACGCCGAGACAGCCCAGTTCAACGACAGGTAGCGTGGAGCCACTCTCAATCAAAAAGAAGCCATCAACCAGATCTAGTACATATACTCCAAGCCGTAAATCATACATGAGAATTTCCCCGTTGTCCAAAAGCACGGCGAGGATCGTGTCTCCGCGCAAAGTTTCACCTCAAATTCGAATCACACGTGTAGCCCACGCTTCTCATTCTCCCCAAGTTGACCATGCAGACGAACTGTTGCGAATCTCCCTATCTACCAAAGATGATGTATGTAAACAATTCCGTTAACTTGTCAATGACTTCATTGACAACATACAGGTTGAGTCATCACATCGTGTCATTAAACGGATGAAATTGGACCTACAGGAGATTCGAGCTAGTGATGAAATAGCGAGTCTCGACGAATCACGGAGGTGCCCTTCTCCTGAAAAGTCACTCGCTCGTACCCCGCAGCGGACCATTCCCCAGCCCATTGTGCGTGAATTTATTGTTATTCACAGATTTAACACTGCCACTGATATTTGTGGACTTAGACCAAGGAAGCACAGCAACGGCTAGACGAGATGAGACAATTAATCAGCAAACGCCAGCAGGAGGGTACTCCTCGCAATCGACCACGAAGTTTTGTAACAGAACTATCTGCGCCTGGACCGTCTGCAACTCTGGGTACATCGAACATCGGCCTGTTGAGCGAGTCCGTTGCTGATGCTGACAAACTTTTGGCTTCTGCCTTATCAAACCATGAGACATTGCACCAGAGCCTTGCGCAAGTGGTGTTTGATTTCAAGGAGGTACGAAAGAACAACATCTCTCGAAGTCATGACTCACCTTTTCCACCTAGAAATTATCTGACTTGGAGAAAGCTCGAGTGGAACTTCAGAACACGAAACGTCAATGCGAACTTGTGAAGAGCCTTCTTGCAGATGCTACAGCAGAGAAGGAGATCATGTACGAGGTCGGTATCACGCATTATAACCACATGCTAGGAGCTCATCGATATCCCAGGCGTTCAACGAAGAGCTAGATGCTATGTATAACGATGCACATCTTCCGGATGACGAAGCTTGGACCAACATGACAACTGATCTTCGTGAGTCGAAGGAATCGCAGAATGCACTAAGAAAGGAGAACTCGCAAGTGTCATGTTCCTCGTTCTATTGATCCTCGATTGAATTTTGTTTCCTGCAGGCAACTGAAAAGGAAGCTAGCTGAGGTCGAGTCTGAAAAGGAAGAGTGCGTGTTCATTTCACTTCGGAACATTCGACATAAACGGTTCAATTGCTTCAATTCTAGATGGGGTGCATTGCTGCGGGCACACGGACTTATTCCTTAGCTCTGGGACTATCTTATTTATCTTTTACCGTTTGCTTGTATATTGTTATCATCTCTGCACGCTCACATGTAATTCTGATCATCTGATATCCAGCAAACATACGATCTGAAAATGTGTGCCAATCCGATGAATTTGACGTATCGATCGTCACTCATTGCGTGAACTACTACCAGGATGTTACAGTTGTCTATTAGAGAGACGTTGTTAGCTCGAATTGACGCAATCCAAAGTCATCCTACTCGAAGCCGCATTGTCGGTCTGTCACTGTCAACAACGAAGCATATTCATTGAAAACTTGTTCAAAACCAACTATATTAAAATTAAAATTTGCTGTGCTAATCATGATGTGAGCTTATAACTACCACTACTGGAACTCTTAACAAGTCCCTGTCGATTAGTGGTTAAATCGCCACGTTGTGGAACTCACAATACCGTGGCGCCGCAGGTTCAATTCCTGCCAGGGACATGTTTTTACCAAAAAAAACACTTCATCAACGCCAGTCAAGATCACATTAAACTAACCACTGGGAAATGACTAGTGACTTCTCGCCTGTTATAACATAACGCTCATGACGGGACGACGAGGACTTTCATCGGTCAACCTGACGTTCCTTGGTACAGCTTCCGCGCAACCGTCTTTAACCCGAAATCACTCTGCACTTGCTCTTCGATTGAATAGCGATGTCTGGTTGTTCGATTGTGGTGAAGCTACGCAACACCAAGTCCAAAGATCCAAGGTGAAGATGGGTAAAATTGAAAAGATCTTTATCACACATACCCATGGTCCGTGGTTCAAACGTTGCTTTTCCAGTTGACTAACTTCCACTGGCTAACAGGGGATCATATATTTGGTCTACTGCCCCTCTTGGCAAGTATGCTGAACGGTGCCGGGGATCAGTTGATAGAATAGAGGATCCTCGTACACATATGATCCAGAACTCATCAGTTGTCTGCACATTGACTGCTCTGATTCTGTTATCACTGACTGCTTTCATCAGCCCATCGAAATTTACGGGCCCTTTGGAACCAGGGCATATGTCCGCAATGGCCTCAAGTATACACATACCCTGTTGGGCGCGCCCTATGTCGTTTACGAATTGCGGTCTCCTTCTGACCCACCAGATGGAGACCATACCTCCCTTACCCTTCATGCATCCTGAATCTCTAAACGGCCGTAACATTCCACAAACAAACGGTGTTTGGTCAGACGTGTATCGCGACTCCATTGTTTCAGTTTCTGCGGCTCCCATCCTACACTCCGTACCGTGCATTGGTTATGTTGTGACAGAGGCACCTGTACCTGGCAAAATGGATCCTGCGAAGTACATACCACATCTCAAGCGTACCAAGACCCCGATGTCCGTCATGAACCGCCTTCAACAGGGCGAGAGCATCGAACTCTCGGATGGCACAGTGTTACAAGGCCCTCTCAAGAGGCCCGGGCGCAAGCTCGTCATTCTTGGAGACACATACGACCCATCACCAATAGCAGAATTAGCTTCATCTGCGGACTTGCTGATACACGAAGCAACAAATGCCCATTTGCCAGCCTTGGACCCACATACCAAAGCCGAAGACACATTTGAAAGTGTTGAGGCACGCACAAAATCCAGAGGGCACTCTACTCCCCAGATGGCTGGTGCTTTTGCAGCAAGGATCGGAACGAGGCAATTGGTGCTTAATCATTTCTCAGCCAGATATCCAGGGAATGACGATGTCGATCCAACGGCAAAGACGATCATGGAGGACATTGCACGTTTAGCTGGGGAGCATTATAGCGGGAAAATTATATGTGCGAGGGACTTTATGAGTTTTGACGTGGATGTACCACAAGAACATGCATGAAATAAGTAGTAATGTACATTCAATCATCTGGTGGGTCGGATAACGCGCTGCTTGCATCGCTTGCTTCTCCTTCCTCCAATTCTTCTCGGGCTTTTTTCGCCTTCACTTTTGGATCCTCTGCAACCTCTCCCATCTCTATATCGTCATCTTCTTCTGGAGGTCGTAGTGACGAGGGTGTATGCGAACCGGGCGCGAATTCATTGGCAGCAGGATTGAGTTTCGACGAGAGCGGTGTGCCAATGGACTGGTCATCCTCCCCGTCTTCCTTCTCTTCGGCCACCTCGCCCGTTTCCTTCTCATCTTCATCCAATCCTTCATCCACTATTTGTGAGCTATCACGCATGTTAGGCAAATTGTCATCGGCTTCTGTGCCATCTGGAGCTGGAGTAGCAGCCGGTGTCCCTAAACTTGATGTGGCAGATTCTTTGTCTTTGCCCATAAGGCGAAGAGAGCTCAAGTCCACGATGATACTGTCTAGAGCAGTTTTCTGGCCCCTGATGATTCGGTCCTGAGTCTCGTGTTCCGCGTTAATAGCAGCCATGTCATTTTCAAGCGACCGTATCGCCCTAAACCCTGATGAGAAAGATACCAAAGTAGTTTGAACATGACCCACTGCTCAAGTTCCTCGCGACTTGGAAGAGTGTTAATCTTTTCGGCAATTGTGTCGTACTCGACCTTTCGTTTGCGTTCTATGTGTGCATGCTCCAGTGCGACTTTTAGCTCCTCAATTTGACTACGTAGAGCATCATGTTCCTTTTCTGCGTATTCATTCCTCAGGCGTCCACTTTCATGCAAAGCTCAATGCACTCACCAATCTTCTCCCGCTCCCGTTGATATTCCTCCACTTGCCTCCGTTCAGCTTCGCATACCATCATGCTCTTTTTAAGAGCTAGTTCAAAGGACGATAGCTCAATTAAGCATGCCTCCCGTGCATCCTCGACTGTTCCAGAAGAACTAGGTGGCACAAGGGGATGGTGTACTAAGGAGGCATAGTTGTGAAACTTCTTGACCACTCGTCGAAGCGGCCGTTCATCGTTTGTGATACGCGTGTATATGATGGCATCTGTTAAAAGCGCGTTGCTTGTGCATTAACATAGAAATCCAGCTGTTACTATGATTGATCCATGCCTTCTTCTTCAGCAGTTAATGGTGGAATTGGTTGTGATAACTCTGGCACGGGATGTGGATTTGATTCTGGGACTGCCATGAACGTTGAACCGTAATACTCTAACACACAGGATTCGGGGAGTGAGATCTGGGACTTGAATTTGAAGGGACGCAGATTGGAAGCAGATGAAATTCCGTCATGTTACATACGCCAAATTGTAACTATATTTAGGACAAAGTTGAACATTGTGTAATGCGGACAAGCTGGACAAGATATCTTGCAATGTGACAATTGTATTGTATTAGAAAATCCCAAAAAATGCAGCAGATCATGCAAACGGAAAGCGTCGACTGGGCATGATGTCAATAAGTCAACCCCATTCATCTGGCACAAACGGGGTGACTAGATCATAAATTTCTTCGTTACCTCCTCGTCCTCTTGGAGTTTTTCCGCGGTTGATGACACGTTTGAACATTCCACCCAGACTTCGAGAGGTGTCAGAGAAGTCCGTACTGATCGGCCTCCCGTCGTCTCTGGGATAACAAGTGTCGATATTAAGAGCGAGCCTCCGAAGGCCGCTGGAGCTATCGTGAGCAGCCTTCCTGGAAACCTGGACAGCTGATTGCAAGTACATTGCGAGGTTGGGAAAGTTGATTGGAAGCGTAGGGTATGGAGTGGAATTTGTCGCAGGAACCACATAATATTTTGCCATCGGCGAATCAGCCCCATCACGGAGGAGCTGCGGGAGAGGTGAAAGGGTATAGGAGTAAGGAAGTACGGTTACGTCGCCATTGGTATACTTATGCGAGTTTGTGACGGATGGAGGTACTGGCATGTCAGTCGTCAGATAGATGACTGTTCGCCATTCCGAAGCAGAGTGATGAATCTGCAGTGCCGGTCAGCTTTGGTACTCCGCTAGACAGCCGTCCCTACCTTTACAAACTGGATCACCGTTCTCAACTTGAGCTCATCTTTTGCAACAGTAAGAGCTTCTATGGTTGGCTCGACGCGAGTCCCACTCAATCGTGCCATCAGCTTCAACAGGTGACGCCAGGAGGGCGACTGGATGTGAAATGTCGGTGCCTTCCCGTGTGGTAGTGTTATAATATTGGGCATGGTCTCTCCCATAGGTGACAATATTGTGGAGATTAATGGTGGTTTAAAGCCCATTGCTGCAAAATTTTCAATGAGGTAAGGAGAGTGAACGACAACACAATACTTACAGACACCCATCAGCATATCTGGTTCAACATATTGGTTGGCCGTCAGTATTGGCGCGGATCGAGCAGTAGAGTCAATCTCCTCGTCACCCTCTTCCTCCTCCTGAATGTCTTCGTCAACTGAATCCAATATATCTGTATGAGGTGGCAAGCTGAAGGAAAGAGGTGGACTCGTCGATCCGGTTTGGACTGACATTGCAGGGGTGAAAAGCGAGGTAATTTGTTCACTTGATGAAGAGTGACAGCTCAAAGAACTAGTCTCGGAGTTTGCGACAGACGGCCTGCGTGGAAGTGGCTGTTTGGGTGGAAGAGGAGGTTCGGTCACGCTCAGATTCTGCTGTGACAATGACATCGGATGTGAAGATACAGGATTTGGACCCGGCAAGGGGCGAATATGATCACTCGAGCTCGATCGACAGAACTCGACGGGTGGAGAAGACATGGTGGATGTTCCAGCAGTGCCACCGCCAGCGTTCATAGATAAATTGTTCGGTTTCAAAATGGTCGAGACAGCATTGTTATACGATGATGGTGTTGGAGTTAGGTTTTCTCGACTTGAGATGGAGGCATCAGTTACGTATTGAACTGATTCTCGACTTTCTTTGCCCGATTGATGGATAGATATTTCTTCGTCGTAGGAACTCTCGGATGTGGTAGGTGTAATTATGTGCAAAAAGCTTTTGCCTTCTGGATATCGTTTATGTTTCTGGGGGCTGAGAAGGGCGTTTTCAACAGAAGAAGGCAGGAAAGGCTGAGAAGATGTCGAGGGTCCGCCCGAAGAATCTTGACGTCCGTCGAAGACGCTATCAGACACATACCTGCTGTAATTGTCGGCAAAGGTACGCGATTCTTCCAATGCCTTCATCAAATCCGCTTCCTCCTGAGCGAGAATGTCATCGTCCCGCTGACGTGCCTCTGACTCAGATAGCGCTAGCGCTAGTGCGATATCTTTATCATCAGTGGGAGATTCTTCGCTGGGCATCGGTCGGCTGGATGGCCCTGCAACAGGACCAGGAATGGACTGCGGATAGAGCGGATTGCGTTGTGAGGAAGCAGTATTTATCATTGGTGGTTTCGGAGGAATAGGTGGTCGTGGAATGGTGTGGACAAAAGGTGCCGTAATTCCCTTTGGTTTCTGGGGTACGGGAGGTAACGTTGAGGAGGGATGATGCCTATCATAGAAGTAATCACCATAGAATGTCGTGTGTGGTGGAGATGCAAAAAATGAGCTGGGTGAATTGTACAGAAGTGCAGTTTGTTGTTGCTGAAGACCAGCATCACTGGAGAAAGGCCGTAGGCCAGGGGTCAAACTCGCAGGAATATTATGTCTTGGAGGATTACTAGAATTGGCCAAGGGGTGTTGGGGTTGAAACTGTAAACCTGGTAGTGTCGTATGGCGGGTTCGAGGCGGAGGTGCTCGTCCATTGCTAGTAGGTGTCAGGCTGAGGGATGCGGAGTGATGAGGAATCCACGGTGCTGCACCACACTCGTTAACGCCGCCATATTAAATAAATCAGAACTTTGCTCACATTGTTGATTATACTGCATCTCAAATCCCTTCATTCGTAAAGGTTTAGCTATTTACAGGATTCAGCAGTAGCTGCGCTGATCCGAGTATCAGCCAGCCAATTTTCCTGTGGCAGCCTAAAAGGGCCTAGGATGTTATTTTAATCTCTGCAGAACGACTGCTACGAAGAGGATCTGGAACCAACCTGGAAGGATATGCAGTTGTAGAGCGAGGGATCTGAATGCACACGGAGGGATGGGTCTTGTGTGAGAGAACACGCGGAAAAGTCATTGAGCGCGCTCGAACTCAATTCACGCCTAGGACTCGCATCTTTGGACATATTGGGCGCGGGTACCGGGTCCCCTATAGACGCCCAAAGTTGTCAAGCTCTCAAAGCCCCGTCTTAAGCTGTGCGTTGCATGCTCCTAACAGCACTTAATCTGATCGATATCAAGTACCTGAATAATATACCTTTTGTTGGTCCGTACTCGTGTTTACAATGTGGTATAATACTTACGGTGGGCGACTCCTAAACAAATGATATTGGCAGCAAGATCAATCCGGAACAAGATCCAGATATACAAGCCGAGGCAGTACTTTAACAGTCTAGCGTACAAAATGCAAAGGGACGAATGAATGGTGCAGACATGTATGCTGGGTAAGTGCTTGTGTAGAGTCAAAGACAAAGAATATGCATAGGTGGCACGGAGTAATTGGTAACGAAGCGACACGGAAACTGATGCAATGTGAAACGCGAGCCTGAGAGCGTGAAAAGGTCATGATACACGAGATGCAGTGACTTTTGTTGAAAGGCCTTGTACAGCCGAAGTCTTGAATCCAAGCCTCCGCATGACGGCTAGAAGATCAGCCCTCTGCACGGGTTTAGTGAGTGAGGCGGTAAATAAGCTGCTGTCGTTCGTGTCTGCAGCGCTGTAGGCGCTAACAGCAATTATAGGTGTGTTGGAATTCCTGCCATTGGTTGTCTTGATGTATCGAGCAGCACCCTCACCATCAACTGCAAGTTGCAACAAACGTCAGGAAACAGGTACACCAGACTGAGCGCATCACGTACCGACTGGCATGTGTAAATCCATGAGAATACAATCAAATTCTACAAAAAATCAGACCATGAAACTATGACGCAGGCGCCAAGAATACTTACTGATATCACCCATGGCAACGCTCATGGCCTCTGACCCATCCGCAACCACAACGACACGGCAGCCAAGACGGATGAGAAGTGTTTCGAGTATTTTGGCGGTTATTGGGTTATCCTCGGCGAGTAGACAAGTCACCGCACGGTCGGTGGGATCGGGCCCTTTCTTCAAGTCGATCGAATAAACTGATGAAGGAGGCGTGTCGAATTGACTCGAACTTTGCCCCGCTGACGAGGGCCAATGATCAGAGCCAGAACCCTCGCCAACACTACTAGAAACGGACGCCTTGCGCAAACGGCTTGGCATCGTGTTCCTCCGCTCCACGCCATCCAGATGATTGAGCTTGAAACGCTCCAATGCTCCAAATTCAGACGGCTTGCGCGCATGACTGCTGCTACTGCTCCCAGGTGTCGACGGAGGTATACTTGCTCGTGAAGGAGATGAAGCTATGGATGAAGTGGAGGTTGAAGGTGAAGGAGGACCCTGAGTAAACGACTTCTGATCTAGAGCCGTCACTACACTAGGCGGCTTCTTGAACCTCTGCGAGGTGCTTTTCCTCCTGCTATGCGAGCCTACCGGATCGGACATGGTATGGGTCATCGGCGCCAGTTGGTCGGTCTTCAATTTGCGAATAACATCGTCATTCGCTTGTTTCAAGACCGGTAAATTCTTGAAACTGAACGACCCAAAATCGTCACTAGCAGGCGACGGAGCTGCATCGCGACTGCCCAGCAGTGGTATAGGCTGTGCTGGGGGAGGCAGGGTAAGCGACGGGCTATCCATAGGATTCGAGATAGCAATATCCTCTTCATGGAATAACTGAGGTATAGCCCCACGTGGATCGAAGTAATCGGTTGATTCAGGATCAGAAACTTGAGGAATAAATGCTGCCTCTGCAGACGTCACTTTGTCCCACTCTATGCCTTGAAAGAAGGGATGACCCTTAATTTCATCCGCGCCACCAGCCCCGAGACGAGCGGATGGGTCTATGCACATCAGCCGTTGCATGAGATCACGAGCCTCATCGGAGAATTCCACCCAGTCCTCGTGCCACTCGATGTGTCCAGAAAGGATATTCTCGAAAACCTTCTCTGGCGTCTCCGCATGGAAAGGAGGAATGCCGTATAAAAATTCGTAAGTTATGACACCAAGGGCCCACTATGCGGTAGACAGATCAGCAATGTATAAACGCACAAGCAATAATGAGGCACCAACCCAATCCACTGCAGCATCATCTCCACGAAGACCAAGAATAGTTTCTGGAGCAAGGTAATCTGGCGTACCAACAAACTTCTGCTCCCCCGGGGGCGTGTGACCACCCGAGTATGAACGTAGGTCGGTCGTCAGTTCCGTAGCAAATGATTGCAGAGGACTTTCACCAGCCCTGCTTCGGCGAGAATGATGATTATATATAGATTCGGAACCGGATTCACTTGCGTCATCTGTGGAAAGCTGATGAGGCGAAATTCCCTGTCGTGGCACCGGATGTGTTCCCTGGCTAAAATACGAACCTCCACCAATCATTTCGGTTGAAAGTAAGGGTGATGAAAGAAAGCCGGAGTCAATTGAAGGTGGTCGCGAACGCGAATCGTATCTTGTGCGATGTCGCATACCCATGCCCATGGATTCGCGCGTTTGACGACCAAGAAGACCAATCCTACTCAAACCAAAATCAGTGAGCTTCAAGTGACCGTGCTGGTCAATGAGAAGATTATCAGGCTTCAAGTCACTGCAAAGATGATGATAAGCATGCACACTCTGCACATTTGTAGAACTCACCGGTGAACAACACCACGCTGGTGGAGATATTCAAGTCCCAGTACAACTTCAGCAATGTATTGTTTCGTCCACTCTTCGGGGAGCGAGCCCAAGGACTTGATGAGAGCGGCACAATCGCCACCATTCAAATACTCCATGACCAGATACAAATTTTCCTTGCTCTGGAAAGTAAAGTACAATTTGGCGACGAACGGTGACTCGGCCTGCTTCATAAGAATCATGCGCTCCGCCTTGACATTCGTGATCTGGTTCTTCGCAATCATATCGGCCTTTTTCAGAACTTTGATAGCGTAATAGTCTCCAGTAGCCTTCTTCTTCGCGAGGAAGACGGATCCAAAGGCGCCTTTGCTGATAGGTTTGATGATATCAAAGTCTTTGATAGAAGTCGGAGTTGATCTTGATAAAGGAGCCGCAGACGATTGACGGGGGGATAGAGGGACGCTTGGCACAGAAGGACTGAGTATGGGATTCACCGTAGAATGACGGCGATGTCCGCGTCGTATAGCAGTGGGAGCATCTCGAGGGGATATACTGGGTGACAGGGGCGGGGTAACCAAAAGCCGCGGTTCCAGAAGGTTACTGGCCGATCGTCGCGTTCTAACAGTAGCATTCTCTGGTAGGGCGTCGTTGAGGTCCATGTATGGAGGCTGATCGTCGGGAGATGGTGATGCCGTGATTGGGGCGGCCAAAGCAAGAGGTGAGGATATGGATGATGGCGTGGACGACCTTGTGGGCATCTTGTTGATGATTTGCCAAATTGGAGGAGTAAATTGAGGTACAGGAGCAGTAACGGAGGCGCGACTAGCACTTGGAGTAGCGATCAACATAGGAGACGCGGAAGCCATGGGAGTGGGTTCAGACGACAGTAGCTCTTCAGATTGGTTGGTGGCACGACTGTCGTCAACCGGAGCCTCTACGTCTTCGGGAATAGGTAGAATCAATGGATCTATTCCATCGTGGTATTCGCCCTCATCTTCACTGTCGCTACTCTCACCCGCCTCAACAATCGCTAGACTCTCGGTGACTTTCTCCTCCCATTCGTGCCAGATCTTCTCGGAGTACTTGATGGTATTCTGCATCCGAACGACATTGTCAACCTTCTGCCTCATGATACGCTCCACGTCTTCAGCAAGCTGGGAGAGAGCAGCATCCTCGACAGGCGGCCGACACCATGTACGGATCTGGGACATCTTCCGCTCCGATCCTGGTGAAAGTAACCGCTGACGCTCGATTGGCTCCTTCGACTCCTCCTCCTTCAAAGAAGGCATGGAAATCTCAGAAGCAACCAGGAGAATCTCGTCAAGCGATTCCAACAACCTGCGTTGTGCCTTCTTCATGCTCAACCTCTGCATGTAGTCCCGCCGGAACAGCTGCAAGGGACTAGGGATGCTCGGCGAACTCGAGTGCGTGAAAACGGGGACACCTCTGTATTCAGGGGGCGAAGTCGAGGAAGGGGTATCCATGGCAGCCATAATATCTCGAATCGTGTTCTTGAGCTCGCCAATAGACTCGTTGCACTCGACAATCTCAGCTTCAAGCCGGTGCACTTCGACGCAGGTCTCGCTATGCTTCTCGAAGTACCACTGCGGGATTTGACACTCGCATATCCGACACAATATGGGATCCGTAGAAATCGGCTGCGCGAAGGGAAAGGGTGTCAGTGGCTCGAGTCCTGAGCGGTCGGCAAGCAGTTCTTTCGAAGGCTCCTCAACAATGGGTTCGCCTCCAGCTTCACCGGATTCCAGGACAATGGAGGGCGAAGGATAATCCCATCGTGGGGAACCTACTGGCTTGGCAACCCACATCGTGTGAGACGGTTGAGCATCCTCACGGTCGATCATGAGCATGCCTTTGCCTTCCATTTGTTGATAAAGAACGCCAGATATTGAAGCATCATGGTCGCCCTCCGGCTCGACTTGAAGTCCGAAGCGCACCTCTACAGTATGCGAATCATCCTGTTGTAGTTGGTAAGTGGCATCCCGAAAAACAGAACAATCTGCAGGGGCGAGAAGACGTGAAATTCTAGTTCCAGCAAGTTCCGATGGCTCCGTCCTAACAATACGTCAGAAAAGCCGAAAATCGCCAGATACAAGTTGCTTACCCGACAACAACTCTCCACGCATAATTGACCCAAATGAAGTGGTCGCCGTCTAAACTTAGCTCCATTACGATGTTTTGGTTCTGTGCAGTCTCCGCTTGCAGACGTAATCTTTCGGTCGCTAGGACGCGTGCAGACTCATTATGTTCAACGGCTTTCCGTGCCGGTTGTTCTGGCGAAACAGATGAGAATGAAAGATCTTTTGGAACATCATCTCTGGAACGCCGTCCCTGACTCATCGGCCTTGACAGCCGGAGTCGACTTTCATCATCGGCCGTAAGGCGTAGCTCCTCCTGACGACTGCGGGCAGTGGGTGTAGGCACGGGAGGATGCTCATCGGGTGGCTTCAGGACGAACATTAGAGGCTCGTCTTGCTCATCCTCATTATCATCGAAATTCCAGAATTGCTTTTCGGCCTCCCACCATTCGACTACACGGCTGAGACTAGCAACGGCAAGTAAGACTTGCACATACCAGTTCCGCCCATGCCAGTCTGGATGCTCATCCCACGCCTTACCAATAGTCTGTACCCGTTGAACGAGTGACTCGCAAACTTTAGGCTGGGCTGTGAGTGAGGTTGTTGACATATCGGTGACATCTGTTGCTACGCCGATGAGGTCATAGAGCGCGGCCATGATGGGATCAATAGGGTCATCCACTAGTATGCGGGAAGAGCGACGATTGATGGAAGAAGGCGGAGGAATGGCTTCGGAAAAGCTACTGTGTGTTGTGGCTGGCGGAAGTGGGGATCTAGACCGGGAGGTCGAGCGAGAACTCTGGCCGGATTTAACTGGCCGGACGGGAATGTGAACACTGCGTGAAAGTCTACGGGAAGATATACACTGAGCAGGCCATGCGGTGGGAGGCATCGCATTGGACTGCTTGCGAGAGTTGACAACGTCTGCCAGCGTGGCAGACGCAACAATAGGGCTAGGAACATGGTTACTCGAAGTCGGTGTGAAGGCAGCTGGTTTCTCCCATGCCGAATTGCTTTGCCTCCGTAAGGAAGGACTGAGGGAAGAGTTTGATGCTACAAGGAGACCGGGTGATGAGACCCGATGAGTCAGAGAGGGAACCTTTGTACTGCCGTCCTCTGGTAACGCACGTTGTCGACTATGACTTCTTTCTTGTTCAAGCTCATAGCCACTGTCAGAATAAGTATCAGCCTGCGAAGCAGGCCGAGGATCCGAAGAGTGGTACACGAAGGCCTCACGAAGAGCCTCTGCGTCACCGTACTGAGAGTCACGGTCGAAGTCCCTGTCCCGATCCCGATAGTCACGATCGATGTCGCGTTCTTGGTCACCATCGCGAAGTCTCTCTTCAAAGAAAGCGGTGATATTGTTTATCACACGACGCAATTCCTTGTCACAATCTGCCTTTGCGGTCTTGAGACGACGAGTGACATGCCGCCGAACGAAAGGCATGGAAACGGTATTTGAACCTGAACCATAGGAGGTGCTACTGTTTGACTGAGAAATAGGCTGTGGTAGCACTGACTCTGGAGCGAATACGAGGGGACTTGGGGGTTGACGACGATGAATACTGGCAAAATCAGACATATATGCCTGTCAGACAATGCCAGACCAGGGTGCTAGAAATGAGATGGGCCGCTAGGAGGTTGTGAGCGATAGTCCGACTTGGAAGTATTTAAACTGACTTGGAAGAGAGATGATGATGGTAATTAAAGGTCAAGTTAACATGAGGAAGACTTGCAGGAAATCTGGTTTTGAAGGTGTGAAAAGGAGGAATGGAGGTGAAGAGAGAGGAGCAGGATTTGTTTGAAACCAAGCTCAGCCCTTCTACAAACAGTTTAGACGGATTCAAATAACGGTCATTCACGACAATCCGCTACACTACTAATACCAATCCCACTATCAATCACACTATTATAATTTCGCTTTTTAAACGGTACTACGCCCAATCCTCGAATCGCTCTCTAGCTACGGACCTTGATACTCAGTTCAATATTAATATTAGATTATTATCGGTGACTGGGGTCTCACAGGAATCTATAGGCAATCTCCGACCCCGTGAGAATTACACCCACCTACTTGGAATTACATAATTGCCGCTCCTCCTCTGCAATTCTGCCACAACATCATACAGATCGCATGCTATCGCCTTTTCGCGCCTTTTCCCGACAGTGTTCGCACTCCAGGGCATGTTTCCCTCCTGTATCTAGATCCTTCCATTCGCCATTACAGAATGACCAGAAAAAGTTGTCAACTATCCTCGATGAGCTCTCTGAGCCAAGCGCATCTGCAGGTAAGTTACAATTTCAAGACTACCTACCTGCACCCTCTAAGTGTTTGACTCCCACTCCTATAATTAGCAAGCAACCCGAATGCACCATGGATGCAGCAGGGCGTACGCAGAAGGTTCGACCATAAACTGGTCTGTCAACCACAATATTCGTTTCATATTTGATAGCACTCATACGAAAACTCAGTTTATAAGACCTCATTACTTCTCGCATGATCACCGGTTCAAAGGCCCTCCGCCATTTTCGAAACGACCTCTCATTGGTCCTGGCAAAAAACAAGCGAAGCAACAGGACGTCTTTTACCGTTTGGGTGTCAATCCTCTACATGAGGCTTCTAATGATGTCCTCATGAGCTCTTTTGTCACCGAAATGGGAAAAATAAAACACCGCGCTGAAACTGGTCTGACCACAAAAAGTCAGCGCAGGTTAGGCAAAGCCATCCGTCGGGCGAAGATGATGGGCGTCATACCTGTGCTCAGTAGTGCAAGGCTTCCTTGGAATTAACATTACTCCACTTTTGCCTATTTATCCGCATCTACTCTTACTGATCTACCAGTACCTTTTCGTTCACCTGTTGCCTTAATCAATTTATGCAACCGGCACCAACCTTCCAGCTGAGCGACGAGTCAATTTCCTTATCGGCTGTCTCGGCAGATGCGGCCCCACAGTCTTGTGTCTGCCGCTGGAAACAAAAGACACGCGGCTGATCATTCGCTTGCGGTGGTAGGATGGCCCCTGCCTCACGGCGGAATTTATACTCGCATCACTGCTGGTGAGGAGTTCACACTGGAACTGTACCGCGTCAATGAGCCTATACCCTGCTTTGACAGCAGTTGATTGTACTAGTGACGTCCACATACCGTCATCCTTACATAGTGGTTTGCTGTGACAAACTACCCGTATATACGTACCCGCACCACTACTTTGTTTGTATATCTAAACAGAGAACCCGATGGAATCTCGCCAGCGCCCGAACCGACCTGACGAGCCCAACTGACCCACAATGCCTGCGATAGACGAAGTGCACTCAAAGTTTGTCTTCTTGTCCCTGAACGCCACTCGGTGTCGAGGGTCTCACTGTCAGAGTGCACTTGCCATTCAGAAATAGCTCTATGATCTGAAAGTCCAAGACCTTCTGGTGGAACTTAATTTCACATCGCCGCGATGGGTAAGACATGATGCACTGTCATCAAGCGCTACACAGCCATGTGACAATTTCAAAAGCTCTTCTCTGTGGAGCCGTTCTCGACTTTGGACTCTTGGCTGCCTTCTTCATCACGCAGAACTCCGCGAGTTAACTGCGAGCCTGATATGCTTCTGAATGACACCCATGGGAATGCAAAAGAAGTCCGACGAAAGAGAATCTATAGTTCGGCCAGCAACATCGTACCCAGGTTCTGCACCACTTGGTCCCCGATTGCTTTTTCCACCGATTCTTCTAAATGTCGCTTTGGATCTTGTTTCCCCACATGCCGTGTCTTCAGCTTTTCCGCAGATAACGTTGATTCCTCTTGCACGGATTTGTTGTACGCCTCGGACAGCGTGAGCATAGACTTCAGGGACGAAGGTTGTCAGTATTAGAAAGTCGACGAATATGGGTAGCTGACCTTAATAGCCTTCTCATTGCTCTCCTTGTGTGAACAAAAGTCACGCAACTTCAAACCTTCTGTCCAGTTTCTCTTGTGCAGGTTCATCAACATTGATTGTTCAAGCTCCGTCTTGCGGTAATTCACGGCGATTGAATAATAGTGCCTATTCAATCCGTGCACGAGTGCCTGAATTGATGGCTTGTTGATGAGACCAATGTTGGACGTCGTTTGTCGCGGTTCACGCCCAATAATAACAGTTTGAGGGTTGATTAATCTGAATGCATCAATGACGACTTTCCCTTTGACGGACTGAATAGGATCGATGACAACAGCAACACAGCGGTTCTGCATGCGTTCAAACGACTGTAGGAGGAGATCAATTGCGAATGCATGTCAGACGCGAGACGGCGTACTTCTTGTGTGTTGATATCAACACTCGAAAGCCAGCATCCGAACCCTGGATGCGAGTGGTACCACCCTACCACCATTTCCGGTCTGAAAGCACATGTACATCAGCGCACTGCTAAGTCAAGGCAGATGTTCCATTCACCGTCCTGTCTGTTTCAACATGTCGAGCATCTTAGTTTGGAAGACGTGATCGACTGATTCAACGGTCACGGTGGTACCAGACTGTGGCATGGCAAAGACATCCACAACTTGCACGGTATATTCATCGACAAACTCTCCGAGCATGAGACCCATAACCTCCATAGGAACGCCAGCTCGGCCATGTTTCAACATCTGACAAATAATAAGCATAACTCTGGCGGTCCCTGTAAACGCCTCACCTTTAATAGTGCCAGAGATGATATGTGAATGACTTCTCCGCTGCACCGATCATGAGGCAACACATTAATCAATTCACAAGCAGAACTCACCTATCAGGTACTGCCGAATCTGACGCAGGACCCCGCATTCCACGAAGCTGACCACCCATCATTTCTGCGAGACCTTCCATGCCTTCCATGTTCAATTAAGTGAAAGAAATGGCTTGGCTCCTGCTTTCGCTGACGCGTCTCGCGAGTCTATTTGGTTGTGTTTGACGACAGCCTCAGAAATTAACACACGCAAACAATATGGCTCAAAGATCGGTTCAGTTCGCGTCTAAAGGACTAGGACCGACAGGTTGGCTAGGTCGAGGTCGAAAGTATTAACAGTCCCACGGCCTCATGCCCACCAGCGAATTGTCGCAGGCTCTGAATCCTTTCTTTGCACAACCAAGGCCCAGGTCTTCAAACACTCAGAATCAGTCCGTTCAGCCAAGCCAAGCACATGAATCACATCACAGCGAGCTTGAGCTTGCCATCTCGGAGCCCCAGAGGCCCCTTGCGGCATCAACGACGCCTCCTCAGTAGGTAATGTCAATTTTTCTTAATCAAGCTGATGGTCGTCCAGGAATCCTGCCATTCGTCCTGGCAATGCATCATCCAGTGGAGCTCACCCATTCCAGATAGTAATGAACTACTTAAATTCAGCACGGGAGTCGCAAGAAATAGAGCAAAAACGAAGACTCGCATGGGAACAAGAACAGGAGGCCAAGTACACACTACGGCAGGCGGAAATGGAGCGTCGAATGGTCGAGATGCAACAAGAGCTCAGTGTGCTCAAAGCGAAAATAGCTTTTGGGACTCCGAAAGCTCCGGCAGCTTCACCCTCAGTGCAGACGCCTTCCGTAGCGGATCAACATTCCACGCCAATAACCTCGCCCGCGTTGTCCTATTCTTCGACAATCGTAGGGTATCGTGCATCGCCCGATCCTGGACAAGCCGCACCACCTTCTGTCTTGCGTCACACGTCAACTTCATCTGACGTAGAGCCGCCTGCTGGCTCTCCTTCTGTTGGCAGCACTGCAAGCCCAGCCCACGCCTCACCCCTTCTTTCTAGGCCCGCGCGGTTTATCAACGTTGATCCCTCATCCTCCCGGCAGGGCAGCTCATCTAATCCACGCAAGAGACCGATGCTTAATACCACGAGCGATGAGGATGATAGCGAGAGCTCTGAGTATTCATTAGTAGAACGACCCATAAAACGAAAGAATCATCATGACACTCGCTGTCTTACCATCCAGGTAAGCCCAGCACCAAAATCCCCATTTCAATGCTAATAACTAAATTAAGCATGCTATGCGCAGCCATCTTTTGCGCGTCATGGAAATCAAGGACGACAAACTCCTTCCTGATGCCCACACCGAAGGTATTGTGCTTGGTCCCAACGATCCTGTCCGTTTCGTCTGGGAAAAGACACCTAAACAATCTGTCCACAATGGACGAATGAAAGAGCGTGTGCTACATGACCTCAGGGCCCATCGCCAACTGTACAAACACGTTCCCGATAAGGATTTCAACAAAAAATCTCTGGAATCCGTTTTCGACCAGGCATTCGTTACATTCAGACAGAAGTTCAGAGCCCAACGGGATGCCTCTGTCGCATTAAACCAGAAACAGCGAGAAGATGTCAAGGCAATGCGATCCAGAAGATTGAGCCGTAAGAAGACGGTGAGGTTGTCCGTTCCGCCAGCCAGGAAAATCCGATAATTGACTAGATCCATTCTAGAAACTGAGCAATCGCTCAGACGCTCGAAATAAAATTGAAGCCTTCGAACATGTTGTATTTGATGGCGCGCTACAAGTGGAATGTATGTCTTCCGAGGAATCCGAAACTGAGGAGGATATGGTCGTTGGTTCTCGTACGACTTCACTACGTGTTCGGGGTTTCCCTTGGCGCAGCACCCGGTTAGTGCGCTTTTTCGACATACTGGACGATTATGACAAAGCGGATGGCTCACAAAAGCCGCGGAGAGGCATCGGAAGGAGAGAACGATTTCATGGTTTGCCAAAAGAAGGTCTCATTCTCCCACCTAAAGGCGTAGCCACTTGGATGATCAGCAAACGTTGGATAAGTGTGATGCAGGCGTCTCACTTGGAGGTGTTGAGTAGTTTGAAGGATATTGTTCTGGATCCCGTTGGCTTTGATTGGAGTCAGTTTCATGCGCTTGGCGAGGAGAGCGAGGACGAGGGGAGACTCGACATGGCACGACACCATGATATGATGATTGCGCAGAATGGTTTACACTTTACTCATCCCGATGATGGCACGGCTATCAGTGCTGTTTCTTCCCTGCATAATGCTCTGGTACATACCCAATAGGCTCAAATGTGAAGGTGATAGCTGTCCTGTGTCATGTACAGAGGTTAATACATGTCAAGCGAAACGTTGAAATTTTAATCATGCATCCTCGATTCATTCAATTTTTAGCTATGTAGTATACTGACTATGATAGTTCATAATCAGGGGCTTATACCATTCCGGGGAGTTTCTCACAGTCTACACGTTTCAACTTGTGGCCGCGGGCGTCCAGCTCCAACTTCACCTTCAATGATGTACCTTCCTCAACTTATGTCTATCTAATTCATCGCCCGACTACTCTTTCAATCATTGAGCGGCTCCCAGGACTTACTTTTATTCAGATGCACCTCTTCACCCCCAATCACGTTTCCTTAATTGCTGCCTGTTATCCTTCTTCATCTGCATTGGCTTCTTCTGGTCCTGAATATCGCCCGAATGCTCAGGAGCTCTCCAAACTCACATACTATGCTGCTAACCGCCCAGGAAAAATAAACAAGCTTGGAAGTGAACTGGAAAAACGTGTCAAGGCCGGATGTCATAAGGCTCAGTATGGAAACACTCGAGCTAGAGCGTACGTCCTAGGAAGCCTGAAAAGTTTCTTGCAGATCTTTATAATTATCAACCAGATCCTTACTTATCACACTTTCTGTCTTGCGCGCGCTGGCGGTAGAATGTCGACGCGATATATCCTTATTATCCCCGGCTTTGGTCGCGTGCCTCAAGGTCACGCTGGATTCACTCTCTTCTGACCTCGAAGTAGTAGCACGAGCAGCCAGCGTGGTTAGTGCTAGGCCTACTCGTTTTATTCAGGCAGAACTCACTCAGGTTACAGTTTACTGCGTGGTGCACTTTCACCGACGGTCATGTCATTGAAGCGGATTCTAACTTGGCACGAGATTACCTCGCTGTATTACGGCGATTTGCCCAGCTATCCACCGCCGACGTCAAGTCGGTCGATCACGAGCTAAGAAACAGGCGAGTCTTCTACTTCTCCATTTCAGGCGAGTCATTTATTGGTTTGCTCAGGACTCGTCTAGTCGGATTGGCTGCTCTTACAGGCGCTGTGAATTCAGAGGCCCTTTATTGCTCTTCCAATCAGTACGAGCCCCAAGTATCGACCATATCTCGCGCATTGCTTTTTCATGTCATGAATGCGGAGCTGTCTGTCCTCGACGAGTGGTAAGTCTTTGTTCTATATATAGGGAGAACATGCATCTTATTTTGAGTCAAGTGCGGAGGCTATCAAAAGCAACGCTACTTCGATATATCTTGCAGAATTCCGTTCTCGTCCTGTCATTGAAAGGCGTGCTGCCTCCATCCATGCACACGTAGACGGGGAGAGCGGTCCATCTTCCTCCGATGTTCTAAATACATCGTTAAGAGCACTACAACACATGATACAACACTCTAATGGCGCTCAAATGGGGCTCTTGATGCAGGCTACATTTGAAGGCCTAGGCGATCTTAAAGTTTGGGAGAAACTCGACCAAAGTCGGTGGCTAGCTCAAAAGGCGTGTGAATGGGCCCAATACCAGTATCGCTATGCAGTGCCTACTCGATTGGTCGAACAGCTCCTTTTGATCCAGGATTCATCGATATGCACAGCCCAACATAGAGCCTTAGCTACCATGGTCCCCGCGGTCTTCACGTCCCCCGTACCTCTCGTCAATTTGTCCACATCAGATATCATCTCAAACCTTATCACTTTGGTCCTACGGCGTGTGTCGATCGATCCTCAGGACGCCCTCCTACCGTCGCTCGTGGAATGTATATCCTCTTTGGGCGCCCACATCTACTATTCCGATCAGATTCAAGACCTTGCTAGCGAGCTTGTCAGCCGCCTTGTAACCATTGAGATGCAAGGTGTTACCGGTCGTGACAAAGAACCTGGTGACCGTAGGCGAAGTCAGGCTATCAGGTGTCTCCTTGCAGGTCTTTTAGGTCTCATGCGTGCTGCTGATGGCTCACAAGTGGTGTCGGATGATAAAAATATTCCCCAGAATATCCCCTCACCCTCCATTGCACAGAACAATGACCCTTTGCAAAGACCTCCTTCTCACCTTTCCCGACGGACAAGGGTATCCGGAGAAGTATGGTACGAGACCCTGAGTCTTCTCTGCGATGGCGACTACTCGGTACGGAGCGATTATGCCCATACTCTTGTTGATTATTTGCGCAAAGAGATTCCAAAACGTGGGGACACGACGGATGAAAATGGAGTCAGACGTTCTCGCCCTCTCGTTGAGGGTAGCCCGACGCACCAAGCGCACAGCATTGGCATTCTTCTATATGGCGACTCGGCAACGCGATCGCTCCATGCTACGCATGCTTATCTTTTCATACTGGCGACAACTTCATCTCTTGGCATTTCATTCAATTCAACTCCTTCGCCTGCCCACTCCACAAGCGGTGACATCCCTTCTATTGGTGTCACAGCCCCTACTCAGAATGACTCAGGCCCCGTCAATGGACATAGCACTGACCCCCAAGGCTCTTCCCCTGCCCGGAGATCACCAGGGCTTCTTGCCCGAACACGTAAAAGTTCGAACGCACAGCGCTTGTTGGAGAGCGTACCTGAGAAGGTCTCGGCAGCTGCTTCGGCGTCCCTGTCAGACTATGCGCTGATCTTGTATGTACTGTCTGCTATCCACGAGGAAGTTCCAACTCGCGGCCTTCTTGTTGGTCTCCCTATGCTCATGGCGCTCCACGGAACCACCGAAGTTGAAGACGGGACGAATGAGGCTTCTAAGCAGCGAGTGAAGGCGATACAAGAGTTGCTGGCTCGCGTTTGGCTTGTGCTCGGTCGTGTCTGGGAATGCACGGAGTTGGTAGACCTCGCTGAAAAGGTCAATCACTTTAAATGTTCTTCCCTCTTCTCGGAGAGATTGTTGATCAACGAAATCAGGCTTTGTCAACAATGGAAGCGGCACCGACACTGCCTTCTCTCCCAGAGTTCATTCCTGGCGTCCTACGACCAGCACAGAGAGAAGTTAGCTTCCCCCCTATGGGGGCAGAAGAAGCAGTAGGGCCATGGTCAAACGTCAATGCCGAAGAGGCACTGGCAATATTAGTGTCCTCTAAGTCTGTTCAAGAAGCAACAGGACTTGACCGTCAAGCGTTACTTCGCCGTTGTTCGGCAAAATGGACGGTTGACATGGCTTTCAGAGACGGCAAGGCGAACTGTTTATTGTAGGTTATCTTACTTATCTGAAACCCTAGCAGCGGATAGACCGAGCAACCACAGGATGATGGAAGGTGGTTCACCGTTGTTAAAGTTATCACCTGCTCTTATGGCTATCGAGAACCTCTCGTTACAAAGTCTGACACGGTCGGTCCGTGGAGTAGGTGTGACTGATTTACGCGACGCGCTTGAAGGACGTGCAGGAGCATCCAACCCAGCTCTTGTCAGGCGACCTTCTGTATCTACCCTTGAATGCTCGCCTTCTCTGGATCTTCGCTCCAGCCCACTTGGGTTAACGCGAAGTCGGTCTAGACCCAAGAAGCGTGCTGTCACAAGTAGTGCGGGTGAAGTAAGGGACGTTTTGAATAGGTTGGGAATTGGCAAACAGAACGGAAGTAGCTTGTTGAAGGCTTCCTTCCAGTGAGTTGTCCAAACCAGATTTACACGTACGTGCCCTTAAACTGATCATGTGCTGCACCAGATCACCTGCTTGATCTTCTACGCTATCAGTATGAGGCACCACCATTCCTTTCTCGTTAGTTTCCGGTTGCATTTCCTTCTGATTCGTCTATCCATCATGATCTGTCGCATCGTATTTGATCACATGTTACTTATCCATCGGATCCCGCAAAAATGGACTTTCCACGGCAAATGATTAGGATCGTTCGATATTATCTTTTACCAATTCGTCTACTTTGAGCAATGGACACTATTCGGCGTCGAGCCTCTTCTTCTTTCTCTGCCCAGTAAGCTATTTCCTTCTGAGATTTGGGGTGCGTACTCAAATGGGTCCCTTTCTGGACAAGAGAAGGCCCTTAGAAAACAACTTTGAACAGGCTGGGAAACAACCTACGTTTAGTCCCTGCAAAAGAACCTCATACATTGCCGACTGTTTGGTAGCTTTAGCAACGTCGTCGTTGATGTTCTCCGTGTGGCGAGCGATCAATTTTGTGAGCTCCTGTCGAAGGCGAAGGAGGCTGTGTAAATACTGTGAGCGCAATTGAAGAGAATGGAAAACTGAGTGGTCACTTGGAAAAAATCATGGTCTCTTCTTCCTGATCAGTCAGAATGACGAAGGAATTAAACATCACAACGTATTTGTTGCAAATCTGCGTTATGTAAGGTTAGCCTGGCAGATAACCGCATCAGAGAAACCTACATTTGCAACAGACGCGTCCGTGGTTGACACAGCTCTGTTGAAATAGCTACTTGTTCCACCTTCCGCAAGCTTCCTCAAAGTATCACAATGTTCCGACATAATTTTCTGGAACGCGGGCCACAGCTGCAACCGCATGGTAAACAAAAAGTTTTCCAGGGGCGGGCAGTCCCTCTTCTGCACTTCAGTAATTACAGCCTCCGTGAGTCGGATCATCGTGAGTAGTGGCACGGCCGGCGGCATGGGTTCAAGAACGGTGGTCACAAAAGTCTGGGTATTGTTGGTTCTTCGGAAATACGAAGGGGACATAGAATGCCGTACCTTGCAATATTCTAGAACGGGATCTAGGATTTGTTTCCAAATGGCATCCAACGGCGCACGCTCAGCCTTGTCCATAAGACCGGGTCGTGCTGTCACATCACAAGTTCCGTTCCCGTTACCGCCGAAGGTTCTTGAGACGTGCGTACCAATTTCAGAACCAGCATTGGACCTCCTATCGTCAAAACCAACATCAGGAGACAAAAGCGTGGCAGTGGGTGAGAATAGGGCGCTGTTGGTTTCCATCGCGGGAGGGGGCGCAAAGGACTCAGAGCGGAAGAAGGCGGCGATGAACGCATATTCTGCGGTGGTATTATCCATCAACACCAGAAAAAGGGATCTGAGAATTGCTTCGATAGATTCTTCCTACGCAGGTTGCCTCAAAATAGGTATGGTATCAAAGTGCGACGGCATGGGACTCACGTGAGTCTTGTCATCTGCCATATAGGCGAGGATGACGCTTGGCCCATCTATCTTTGCGTATGCAAGACGATCTTGATCTAGGTAGGGTCCACCGTTGTCTCCGTTTCGTGAGATAATGGGCTCAGGTTTCTCGGGGGTCCTTGCCTGACGCTTTTGTTAGTGACTGCATCCAGACATAAATAACATAAACACCTTGATCCATCCTAGGCTGCGTACATAACGACGAAAACCAGTCTCGTAGTATGTACGAGCTGTACTAGTGTAAGCCTTTTGAATCTCGCCGGCAACGTTCGGCGCCTGCCGTTGGAGGAATGCATATAATGCTCTGTACTTCACAAAGATCGAAGTCTGCATAACTTGCATGTTCGTCGTGACACTTGTTCGTATGGGCTGTAGCAATGCGAGAAAGAAAGTCCGTAATTTCGTAGCTGCCTTGATTAAATATTGGGACAAACATGAAAAAAAAACGGACAGCAATAAATTTACGCACTACTATACGAAGCCCCTCTGCAACGTCTCCAAGATCCCTGGCAGCTTTGACACGAGAACGAACTTTCAAAAGACCCAACCGTCGTTCAAAGTCAGTGATAGTCGCTATCCAAGGCTCCCCAACATCTGTGTCCAAGATGGTAATTGCAAGTGACGGAGGTATAGCGAGGTCCGACAGAAGACTTGAAAGTGGTTTCTCTATTCTCTGGAGTCACGACATTAGATCATCATCCTGTCCATTTCGGTTATGCACCTACGCGTCGACTCTTCAGCCTGTTGTCGATGTCTTTGCTCCTTTCCTGTAACTCTGATATCTGACCGGATACAGAAGAAAGGTCCTTTTGAAACGTGGACAGAAATGATTCCAGAGAATCCAGAAGATTTACGCTTGTCTGAAGCGTTGAACAACTTAGAAAGCGAGTGGCGTTCTAGTAGGCAGCGTACGTACCTCGACCTGTTCATGTAGGTCGACAAAATCCTTCGCTTGATCATAATCTGCATTTACTCATCAACCCGCTTCCAGCGGCCATCATAAGCCACGAGTACTCACAAAACAGACTTTGTTGTCCAACCTCAGACGCAGACTTGGTGCCTCGAGTCATAACACCTGTTTCACCTGAAGCAAATAAGTCACTGAAATGGAATGTCTGCAGGAACCTACCATTCATCGTGTGGAGAAAGCTGTTTTAAACCTAAAGCGATTAACTACTTAACTTGAAGTAGTAGAAGCGATCATTGCACTGCTACAAGTAGCATACCTTATCAGGCACACCTCCGAATTGAGTTCGCTTATATATGCGCACGCACCAATGGCTAGCATAACTTGAATATAAAAGTAGCGACCATCCTTCTACTATGTGGTCTGCTTACAGGAGACGACACTGTATCAATACGTGGACCAAACAACAACTGAGAGAGAAATGAATCACTGGAAGCAGAATTTCTCTCTCTTGCTGAGGAACTCCGGTCGCACATTCTGAGTTTCTTTTCCTGGCGAGATATTCTTCGTTCAAGTTGCGCGTCCGTGAGCTGCAATTTTGATCTATTCATCGATGTTGACGTGACCGTTGTCTTGCAGGTATGTAAGGCACCTCACCAGACGTACAGTCTCTATACCAGACCAATACCGTCTATGACAGAAGACTATCCCTCGCCGATGGGCATCTCTGCCTCCACGACAGAGATGAAGATTCAGCCAAAATCCTTCCGATACTACCAAAGCCCTCATAGCAAAAAATTGAGCGTGATTTATTCCCCAATCGCTGTATTTTGTTCCAAAGACAGACAGCATCGATGTGCTCATGGCCCCAACGTAAATTCTGATTGCCATCGCGTGTGTCATTACCGGACGCATTTTACAACCGGGCGACGTGAAGCTCTTTATTGGACTTGGAGCCCTGGATGGAGGCGCCCATCCCTAAGCTGCTGGATAAATACTGTTCATGCTGGGACACTCCAGTGCGGGAACATCCTCTTTAAACCAAACAGTCCGGGGAAGTTCAAGGGTTTTTGGAGGCGTATCACTCTCTGGTACTCCCTGCAGTTTGATGATGCAGGCAGCTTTACATGCAACCGGATCATGCGATGGTTGGAGATACGAGACCGGCAACGCTCAACAACATCCATTGTGAGCCTTTGATTAGAAACAGTTGCCAACATTGACAGTTGATACTCAATTTAGAGCTTTCTCAGTGACACATTCAACTCAGTGCCTGATGACTCGATGGATTTTTGTTTCCTCGGACGTGATAGATTACTGATTGCCAGCTACAGCCTGAAAATCTACTCAATCGAGGATATGTCCCAAGCGCCATGATTACTGGCGTGTCTCTTGTTGCCTGTACCATCAATGATGAAGATAAAGTACATCCTTCCGATGGACGACATTAAACATAGTTCGCAATCACAGATACAGGCCCAACAAGCCATGTGGACATTAGACCCTCACCATCAACCAACATCCATTCTGACATTTTTTTCGCACCTCGTCTTCATTGCTTCCACCAGGATTTTCTTCGAACTTGACGTCTTTGAAGGAATAGTTCCCATGATGACATGGAAACATTGGGGCCCTCTAAATGCTCGTGTTCTTATGGCCAATATCTGTGGGTTGGCGTTAGCCGAAATCGAGTTTTGTTTCGTGCAGCGGATAATGTCCTGGGATACAGGTTACATATGCTGGACTTCAACCCGTTAGCTGCCAAGTGCAGGCAGGGTCTGGGATGGGTGGTGAAAGAGCCATTTACAGTCAAAATCAGTGAGTGGGGGAAGGACGTGACAACATCCGTGCTTTACGTTGAGGTCATGTTGGACAAAAGTTTCGGTTCCTGCACTTTAGACGAGATATGGGTTGATAAGGACAAATTTTATTTGCTTAAGATGACTCAAGAAGTCGTAGGTTCATCCCCCTGTGAAGAAAGCCTTGCATACTGATTTTTTTGAATCCAGAATGGTACAGATCAGCCTGAGCTCGAAGTCACCAAGATTTAGAGCACAGTCGGCTAGTTATGAAGATGCATCAGACTTGTTTAGACTTGTACCATATTGGACAGATGCACATGTGTCGCGTTTAGGTTTCAACCGGTCCGGGTCATGTCTAGTACACTAGGCAGGTTTCGAATGATCTGCAATCATTATGCCAGGTTTGTCATCATATCTTCTGGGTCTGTACCAGTCTGCACTTCCCTCCTTTAAGTCATAGTTTGGACGTGATGGCCATAAGCTTTAGAACTGCCCGAAGGTTCTCGATGGGTCGCTTTATACTCCAGACACAACTGAGCGTCAATTCTGACCCACTTGCTTTCAGGATTCATTGGGACGCTCTCTCTCGCATGCCTTGCTCTCTCCCTCTTTCTCTGGGAGGCCGGATACTCCAAGTCGAACAACATCGGTGCTGTGATCGTCATCTCGACTGGCGCAATCATCGGCTCGATATGGACGTAAGCCCATCATCTGTTGTTAGTCTTTGCACATCAGAGTTCACCCAAACCATGCAGAATATTTACGAAGGTGGTATATAAACCGCAACTTGTTTCAGTAGAGGCTACGTGGACGTTTGCCCTGTTACCTTTCGAAATATGTAGGACATTTTATACGAGACGAAATCAAGCATTTATTCTTTCACATAGTACTAGGTCTTTTCTCCGTCAACCTCGATATCGCAAATGTGCCTGCTGCACATGCCACCTACCTGTGCCTCGCAACACTTATATGGCTCAATGCAGCTCTGGGTACGTCGATTTCCTTGATTGCGGGCGCCCGTGCGCTCAGTATGATAGCAGTTTTCATATACGCGGCAACCATCATTCTCCTTGCCTTCTTTACTCAGGTTTTGCATGACCAGGATGTTTGGTCCCGCGACATTGATTCGAGTCCGTCTCCGTTCCCGTTGCATATCATCGTCGCATACGCCGTTTCGTCTCTAACTCGACCCTTCAATTCTTCGGTTACCCGTGAAAACCGACCGACGTCCCCTGCATCGAAGGAACACTGTTTCCCTGGCTGTACTTGCTCCCGTAAACTTCTCAATTCCTCGTCTCTTGCAGACCCGTGGACTCTCGGACCAACTTTGGAGAACGCTACCGGCGATGTGTCAAGCAGTCCGCACCCCCTTATCAACATTCGTGTCCCGACAGCGATGGAAAGACCGAAGCCAATTGCCGTCACACTTCGGTCACGATAAAGCCTGTCAGACTCTTACTAGATGCATAAATATATTTGCGGAATGTACTTTTCACTGTGATCTCAAATAAGAAGCCACGATATCAATCACGGCGACGCGAAAACATGAAGCATCTACTTTAATTGTACAACTAGCAATGTGATGAGAATATGATATGATGCCCCCTCTCGTTCCTTCATCCCTACGCTTTACTCGCTCTGAAGTTCATTCTGGAGTTGTTTGAGCAAAGTGGGATCTGTCTTACTTATATATTGATTGAAGATATGGATCCCCCCGCAGGTCCGCTCAGCTTCCTGTAATGCTGCAGCCACATAATTAGTGACTTGCGTGGTGCGAACAGGATCATTGTCCAGGAGCTGTCAGGTGCGAGTAGGGTGAGTGAGGAACAACGAAAATTTCGAAATCGCCAACCGTTTTTCGACGATCAAACTCGACGGTAGTTTCAGAATCTGCATAGTATGACTGCGGCACGTGATCAAGGTCCCAGTGAAGTGTCAAGGGGCTGCAATTGGTGTGTTAGAACATCAGGATGCATTGGTAACATTCACTACTACAGACGTACCTGGCATCCTCATTTTCAGCCAAGCTTTTGCTCTCTTTGACCTCAAAGAATACATCTGTCCAGAGGTTGAAAATCTCGTTCGGTAAGCGATCAAGCACTTCAGGACGACCGGTTGATACGAGAGACGCAATACCCAGAGCAGCTAGTTTGCGATGGCGAGGCTCCGACATGTGGTCGAACTGTCGTGCGAGTAAAGCATGTGAACAAAGCTCAGCGTTTCATGGCAACATAAGACGGACCTGCCGCCACCAATGGTCCAGCACTGCTTCCCATATTTTAAGTTCAGGAAGATTCATAGTCTCCGCTGTTGCTGATACAAGCTGCAAGAACATCTGTCTGTCTGCTATGGCAATCCTCGCAAGCAAATATATGCATTCGGTGAGCAGAATTGGCGGGCTCTGTGAATTGTAAGCGCATGCGCACTGTATGCAATCAGTAACTCACATCGTCGTGATTCAGCAGGTTAATGATGTGACTAAACAAGCCAGCAAAATGCATGGCTTGGCCCCAAAGCGTAGCAGGCGCCAACTGAGTTAGGAATTGGAGACAAACCAGTATGTCTTTCTGATTGGTCGTTATGGCCTGGCCTGTGAGTGCTTTCACAAAAGCATTCATTAACGGTTGGGCAAAGCTCTAAAAATTTAGCGGTGCTTTTAGGTGAGTGATAAACAAAGTACCTGCAAGACGGCAGGGGCGTCAACAAATAAACACGACTCGACTATAGACACTATTTTGCCAAGCAGATCTAGATTGTTTGACAACAGAGAGACTGCTAGAGGGACCAAGTCGATAAGACCGGGTCCACCAGCATAGCCCAACGATGATGAGTTGCGAACGGCAGCAAGCCAGAGATTAAGTGCGTCTTCATCGAGGTTGATGGCAACCTTTGTTTGCATTAGCATACAACGCGTCAGGCACATAGAGAAGTCTCACGCCTGGAGAAAGGCCGTCTTGGACAAGGGGGACAATAAGACCGTTCAAAGTCGACTGCTCTTTTATCGCCTATAGTGCATGAGCATCAGTGGTATTGTGATGTGCAAAGCTCACCGAGACTAGACTTGTAACGACGACCAGGAGTTGAGCTTTGAATAACCACTCCTCGCCCGCAGCAGTCCCTAAACTATGTTGAAAAAACAATATGGCTAAGGAAGTGGTGATAGGGACTTACACAACTGAGGGATGCCTTCTGAAATCATTTGTGCGTGTGGTGTAACCTAATAACAAATGCGCATAATGTGCTGTAGCGTTGCACGGAAAACTCACTCGAGGACCCGCACATTCAATCACCACGTTGAGACTCTTGGCTAGACGTTGTTTCGCTTCCATTGTGTCCGCCTCACCCATAAGCTTCACAAGTTCAATAACCGCAGTGGGCAAGTAAGGTACGAAGACGTCAATGTCAAAATTGACAGTCTATATAGAATGTGAACATAGGATCGTGAACATGTAAAAAGAAACGTACATCGATGCACTCCCGCAAGGCTGTGGCGGCAGTCAGACGAACAACAGAATCCGTGCCAGGACCTCTGTCTCGCAGCAAGTGGATGAGGATGTCCCAAACATTCGGATCGTTGGCTGGTGAACACATGTCGCTAATCCATTTTCCAATAAGCCATGCTATACGGCGCTTAATGATTGGATAGCTGTGGCGCTATATGAGTGAATGTGATGTAGAAAGACAAAGTAGACTCACTATTGGTTCGTCTCCTTTGCTTCTGCAAGGAGGTTATGTTGCAACCACTGACTGAAAGGAATTACTTCTCGTAGGTGAGTCGCACAACGTCCGATAGCACAGTACAGAGCTTCTTTTTGTATGACACTTGCCGAATCAACCGTTGGTTGTGCTGGAAGTGGGGTTGTCAGTATAGGAGCACACGCGAACTGTATATCCACCAATTATCTGCTTGAATGTCGTCTCGAGTAGTGGTGTGACATAAACCTTGTATTGTGATGAAAGGGTCATCAGACGCGTTCACCGCATGGCTAAAAAGATGAGTCTCGTAGCAAGCTGGATCTACATATGGAACGCACTCGCAATTCATACTCCCATTGATCGTTTTCCTTATCTTCTAGATTAACCCACTCTTCTGGATCGGACATCCAACCCTCGAGATCTGCCAGGTTCAAGGGGATGAAACGTGTCACGAGAAGCCGGACGGCATCCTCGACAAACTCTTGCGACAGAGCTGGGCGACTCTCATCAGCACAAGGCCACAACTCCCAAAGACAGTCAATACTAGTCTCGGTTTTTGGGCCACCTTTGCGAAACGGCGTCCATCTCGAGAGATTTTCCTTGAACAGGACCATGGCCTGAAGGAGAAAACGCACCGGGAAAACCGCCGTCGGAGCGTCTATGTAGTATGATGAGTAAAGCTAGCATCAGGGCAGAATTGGACTCAGAACCTTGAATTAGCTCTGGCGGACCGTTGGTAGCTTGCACAACTCTGTCCCAATAGTAAAGGACGATTTGGTTGCTTGTCGGAAGCTGAACAAATTTGTCGGGTTTAAGTTGCTGTAGTCTGCGGAAAAATTTCCCAAAAACGCGGACATGACGGGTCAGTCTGTCAACGGACAAAAGCGTAAGACGGTCTGATGTTCCGGATGCTCTCAAGGCAAGAACGAGGTTGATTCGAAGTTCAGACAGTATCTTCAATTGTCCGGTTGAACTCTGGAAAAGTTGCAGGAACTGTATAGTTGATAGCCGATCAGTCACACTCGTGAATTCTCGCATAGAGAACACAAACCCAAGGCTCGAGTTTCGCGAACCCACTTTCAGGCTGAGCGAGTCTAGGCCAGAGCCACAGAGCCATCTTTACAAGACACTTGTAGATGAAATGGGCCACGATGAGATTGTCAGCAGTGCGCTGATCACTAAGTGCTAGCGGCACGAGTGCGGAAATCATCGACGACAGTTTGGAGTAATAAGCGAACATCACTTCGTGTAGTTGATCGATGATCTAGTGAAGAATAAGGGTCTGAAGTAATGATGAGACGAAGAGCGACGCACCTTGACCATCGTGTTCACGCCAGCCAATAGCTTGACACCACTGAACTCCTTCAAGACACTGTTAAGAAGCGCGAGACTCCTGCGAAGGGCAAGAGTTGACCGCGGGTCGCTGATGGGAGAACCACAGAGGACTTCAAGATTTGTGCGAATGACGTCCATAATGTCGGCTAGCAGCGAAGGCCTAATAGAGAAATTAACCCTGCAAATTCAGTGAGATGACATCAAAGGTACCAACCAATTCATGGGGTAATCTTGGCGAGCAATTTTCGCAACAATTACTTCATTGCACTCCGCAATCTTATCGAGTCAGTCATAAATTAAATAAAGCCGCATTGAGTGGCAATACTTGCCGTATCATCTTCCTCGTTAAAAAAGGTCATGCATCGTGACCGGATCCTAACTCGTTGCTCGTCTGATAAAAGTCTGCTTTATGTCAGCGAATACTAGATCATGTATTGAACGAAGCGCGCACTTCCGTGATTTCCAGTGATTCAACGCCTTGTTTTTGAATTGGATGATGCTTTGCTTCCTCACAGGCAGCGGTACTGATCGGGTAGCGGCGATCTCATGTAAACCATCGAAAGTCCCAAAGTAGTCCAACAATTCCTCGACGCGTTTACTCGACGCGTGGACTTCGGCAGGGTTTTGAGATGACGCTTGAGTGATGACTTGATACAGCTCTTGAGGGTCGACGACTTTTGTGACGACCCCAAGCTTGGATGGGTTGACCATGTTTCTTCACGTTGCTATCAACAAAGGATCGGATAACTCGACCCCAAGAAGAACGCGGTGCCACTAGAAGTCTGAATCGGATCACGTTTTAAGGAAGTAAATAATTAAGAACCAAACAGACTCAAATAACGCGTCTCAAGCGCCAGACTGCATGGTTTCAAAAGCTTTACTTCGTCCTTGATTAATTGCATGAAACATTACATGTGATCCGATCTACGCCATGCCGGAAACTCTCAAACGCAGGCTACTACACGACGACGAGCTCGTAGAAGACTCCGAACCCGAAAGGGAGGAAAAAAGGCAACAGATGAGGGAGCGAACAAGGAAGAAGAAACGTTTGCGCATGGACCCATCACGAGCTGATCTAGAGCAAGATATTATTGAGCTAACCGATACCGAACTCAATCCTTCTGGTCCATCAGCTACTGTAGGTGGTCAGAGCCAGATCGGCAAGGCTATCGGTGGCGAGTCTCTTTTAATTGCGTCTCAAAACCCTTGGTGCTCATGTCCTCTCAGCTTCCAGTCGCAGTCCATTGACGGAGCTGGCTTCTTCCCGGAAACTTAAAAATGCAGACCATTTTGCGATTGATATATCTCGACATTCGCTTGCTGGTGAGGCCTAGTACACTGATCAGCTATTAAATCTCTGATTACTGAAGGGTGCAGTAATCGCTCCTGATCAACGTAAACATCGTGTCAATGCACCCGATACAGCGAATAGGCCCTATAGCGCACAGAAAATGTCGAGTATGAGCCGCACTTTTACATACCCCACCCCGCCTCCTATTGCGACTCTGGAAGTGCCGTTGTCTAGCGACTCGGAGGGTGAATCACACCTGAAACTGTCTCGTTTTGCTTTCCGAGTGCCTCCATCTAAGCCCAAGATCACCGACCTTGGAGGTTTGTTGTGCTTGGGCAGTTCTGTCGCAGTAGACGAACTTCCAAAACCAACCTCTGCTCCGAAAGCCAGACTGAAGCGCCCCACTATTCACCGCTTCTCTAACGACTTCTCACATGCACAACTTGCATCTCTCATCAGCTGCGTTAGCTGCAACCTGAAGTGGACCTCGACAAAGACTACAAGTCAAAAAGTGATCCACATCCAAAGCTGCGCAAAAAGGAAGTTCCTTTCCGATGAAACAGTTCGGATGCTTATACGCAAAGAAGTTCAGTCGTCCTCGGACCAGAAGACTACGGAAGAGGGCCAAAAGTCAGCCACTTTCCTGGAAACGGTTGTCAACGAGGTCGCCCGAGCAAAGAAAAGCAGACGCCCTCAAATTCTGGGAACCGTCAAGTCTCTCCCTGAAACTCGCGGTAGTATACTGGGGAGGGCGCGGGCTGTCCTTGATACTTCTATGCAGCACGGAGACTCCGTCGTAGACGCTCAGGTGTCGAATTTAACCCAGGGAGGTAGAAGCGACGTTCCCTGTACTCAAGCTTTTGGAACTAGCATGCTTGCTCGTCGAGCAGACTCGTATCCTCATGCACAGTCAGGACCAGTGCTGACCCAGACCTTCGGTGAAAGCGCCCTTGGCCATTTGCAATCTAATTTAGGCCTCGTTGCGCGACATGCCCAAACTTCTGGTCTTTGATTGGATCAGGCTGCTTCTAGCGCCCTATCAAGTCGAGTTCACCCCAAATTGTACCTTTCAAATGCAGATTCTTTCAAACCACTCTCATACGCATTTGATTACAACGAGTATCCATGATCGTCAATATCCAGCACACTTTGCATTCGCATCTACCGTCAGCTGCTTCAACCTTATCAAGAGAATGACATTCCCTGTCTCACTCCAACGAGCCGAGGAGCCGATCAATTTGTAATCAATAATCGCAAACAATGTTGACGCTGGTACTAGCTCGTAATGGTCTCAACGTGCCTTTCTTATTCATTTCCGTGACGCTGTTTTGTAGCATAATAATTCTGACTATAATGTTCTACTATCACCTTGCACCTTGCTTGTAATAACTCTGGCATCCTTGCCTCGTCCTCACCTCCGATAAAGTGGGCTGGAGCCTTACGTAACGAGGTAACGAGGTTTAACAATTTAACCATGTTAATCGTTGTTGGAGTAATGATAATAAGGCGTGAACCTGTTTTTTTTTGTCCCGCCACCTAGTTGCTCTCTCTGCTCGCTGCTTGCGTTCGATGAATAAATATGCCTGGACGTCGCTCTCCTGAAGACGACACCACTCTCCTCGACGATTCCAAGTTCAAAGAGTATGACAGTGCCCGGATGAAAAGGGGAATCAGTCCGAGACGCTGGACCAAACCCACATAGAAGAAGATAGCGATTCCGATACGACCTCAACAAACTCATCGGATGAATTTGACTGGGACGAAGAAGAAGTCGCTAGTCAAGTAGAGACTCCGGAAACTGGCAAAAAGGCGAGGAGGGGCAGGGCCCTTTGGCTCGGCTTCATGAAGCTCGCAAGGCCAGTCAGGGCTCTATTAGTCGGCATACTTGGTGCCACATTCTTCATAATTCCGCTGCTGGTAGTAGAGTTGAGGTTCAAGGACAAGGAAAGTGTTCGGCTGCAAGTCCGAGTTTGGTCCCTTTGGTTGTCGATCACTTGGGCAGCCTCCTGCGCAACATACTTGGTTGTGGATGCCATTCCACGCACTGTGATCTACATTATTTTCTTGCTTGGTGGCCAAGTCGAGCGTTTGAAGACACAGATTGAAGTACGTACTACTCGGACTTCTCGTGGGCAGTCCGACTGAATTCGTTGGTGTAGTTGACACTTGCTGTCTCGGCATGGCTAAAATTCATACTTGATATTTCATGGGCCTGGATAGCACTATCTGCAATCACGGCCTTCTACAAACCTCCTGGCGCGTACTGGGTTATTATTAACCGTGCGATGCAGGTAAAATGTTCCTTTCATACTTTATCACATTGGCTAAACGTCATTCCATCCAACAGGCTCTATTTACTGCAGGTATCATCCTCTTTGTTGAAAAATTGTTTCTAAGATTTGTCGCCATCAACTTCCACCAACATGCACTCGCAGATCGCCTCGTGGAGAATCGGATTGGACTGAGGGCACTTGACCATCTATCAAATGCACAACCCGCTCCCGTAAAGAAAAGTCAAAACGTCAAGAAAGGGCACAGAAATGCTTTGAGTTCTTTTGGGACCGCATTTGACCTTTCCGCATTTCACGGCAAGGGTCACCACCGAGATGAGACAGATGGAACAGTCAGCGGGCAGGCCAGTACGGCTACTACACCTGTTCTCGAGAAACACGAGCACGAAACACATCATCGGTCGCACAAAAAGCGTCATACTAGTCGCGCCGAGACGAAAAGACGACGCAAGGGGTATATGGCAACTCTTGTTGTTGACCAGCTGACCGGCGCTATTGGGCAAGTGGCGCTCAAAAATTCCAACTTTCACCGGGGCGGCGACTTCTATACCCTGGATTCTGCGCGGAAGCTCGCAAGGAAGCTCTTTCATGCTCTTAGTGTTACCAGCCCCGGACGCTCTCATCTTGTCGTTGAAGGTATGATAATTTGATGATAAAGAAGATGGCCTAACATTATTTCTTGATAGATTTCTACCCTTATTTCCGTTCGACTGCTGAGGCGGTGGGTCACTCCATTTCTATCAGTTCATTCATTTTACACTTTCAGTAGCATGCTGCTTTTGCTATTTTTGATAAAGACGGCAATGGTGACATCAGCAAGCGAGAAATGAGGGAAGCTGTACAGAGGATTTATCGAGAGCGTAAGGCCCTGACTGCCAGTCTGAAAGTGAGCTCATGTCTTCATTCGAGAGATACTCCTCACGACTTCATGTAGGACGTTGACTCTGCCGTAGCAAAGCTGGATGCAGTCCTTGTCTGCATTGCATTGCTCGGTATTCTCTTCGCATGTCTCCTCATTTTTAACAGGAGTGACACGCTAGCCTCACTTGTTCCTCTTGCGACACTTATTCTCGGATTTTCGTTCATCTTCGGACACTCTGCGCAGACGTTGTTTGAGTCGGTAAGTTGGAGCAATTCGCTCATCTATCATGCACGCCAAGTTCATTTCTGCTTAAACAGATGATCTTCATATTTTCTACACATGTCTTCGATGTCGGTGATTTGGTCTTGATTGACGACCAGGTGCGTTCCTTGCGCAAACAACTTGCATCAAGCCAATAAATATCCCTTTAGTACCTCATCGTCAAAGAATTTGGTCTATTTTCTACTACTTTCCGTCGGGTTGACGGTCAAGAAATTATCGCACCGAACTCGCTGCTGTCAAGCACGAAGCTTGTCCATAATTTACGGCGGTCAAACAGCATGTGGGAGAGCACGACACTAATGATAGCGTACAACACACCCCTCGAACTCGTTGAGCAGCTCAAGGCACGCATCCAATCCTACATCACAGCAAATAACAGGGAATGGAGTGGATCCGCGGTGAACATTGACAAAATGGAGTTCCAGAACGCGATTCATCTGACAGTGGCTGTTGAACGTGAGTGTCCATGTACCTAGCCCGACTGGGGTCTGACACCTGGATCTGATCCCTGCTTCAGACCGCCCGAACTGGCAGGACTGGGGAGGACGCTGGACGCGGAGAACTGCGTTCATGAAACATCTGAAGAGCATTCTGGAGGATTTAGATGTCAAGTATACGAGGCCCGTGCAGCCTGTGCTGTTGCCCAACTCTCCATGCTCGACGAACGCGTTCCGCAGTGTAGGTGTGGAGGTGAACACACGTGGCGGCGAAGAGAATCTCACTGCATGGAAGTAAGACGGACTTGTGAAGTTGCATTGCGCTGTGGCCTCTTATGTTATCAATCCACATCTCACAGATCTTTTGTAGCATAGCGGACTGTAACGGACTTCAAAAATCTAGCTAGAATCCTGTTGAAGGGTGGCAATATAGCTACATATACATGTTGGTTAGATTAGTAAATAATTCAACACTGCTTATAAGATGAGCCAATAAACCTAAAGGCTGGCGTGTTGAAAGCCGGGAATCGACAGATACGAAAAAGTAAACTTGAGAAGGAACTATGCTAGGTTGGATAGCTATATGAGAAGTGCAAATGATGATGAGATCACAAATATTATCATGCTTTTGGGCTCAAGGCTCTGTCTGCCAAACCGGCGACCTCGATGACGCCGCCTACAAGGTGCAAGCTGCCCGTAACGAGCACGCTAACATTGAGCATTTTACGCACTTCTTCCACGGCGTCCTCAATGGACGGCAGAACGTGCACCATGCCAGAGTAAGTTGGGACAAGCTTGTTCCAGGCTGCTTCAATCTCTCTCTGAGTCTTAAGATTGAGATTGTCAGTTGTAGACATTGCCGCGGATGTAAGGTCTACCAGATGCATATATAAGCTTGCATTTGAGATAGGTGACAACACTTACCGCCTTGAAATTGCCGCTGGCATAGGTCACATTACTACAGAAAATGACCTTGGCGAAAAATTCTTCCTTCTTCTCCAGGCTGCCATGCATCGCCAGTCGCTCCTCTATCTTCTGCAAGATGGCTGTCAGGAAATCATCTCCTGAACGTCCACTGGTGCAATTGAAGATAAGCACTCGGGGTGGGTGCCCGTCAGAAACGGGGAAACTAGAATCCAGTATCAGCGACAAGACACTAAAACTAATGCAGACAACAAACGTACACTGGAAGCCCGACTGCTGGGCTTACAAACCATTCCAGACAGCACGCAAGGCTCTCTTGTGTGTGTGCCCCATCGAGGAACCATGTCGTATCCTCAAACTTTGGATCGAGTACTGTCTGGCAACGGCCAGGCCAGTGAGCATTTTTGAGGCCGTCCAGAAAAGATGTAGGGAGGGATCGCAATGGTTCTATCTCTGATCCGCTCCATGTTGCGCGAGTAGTACTACTAGTGTTGGGATCTGACATGGGGGAGTATGATTGATCCTTGATGCTGAGGAACGTGTGCACCAATTGTACGGCGAGACCCGCGTTTGATCTCTGGTGAGCACCGGCAAGGCCTATAATAACGGATTAATTTTGTAGGTAAATGGCAAGACACCGATAAACATGCCTAACTGGATGGTGGAAGGGAGGGTGTCAATAATTGTGAACTGAGATGCCTGCAGTGCAAACAGGTATGAGCTATGAGTAGGTGTGAGATGTAAGAGAGCGCGAATCACCCTCTGCTCTGCTGCACAAACACCAAGCTCAAGTATGCCTTCCTCAGGCTGTTCAACAGTCAGGGCCGGAACCCCGTCCTATTCTATCTGTCAAATACTTGTGATGTGGACCTGACAAAGAAACGCGCCTTATATATTCCACCCTTCTGATTTGCAATCTGACTGAGCCTTTCTCCAAGAAGCCTTGTGTGATCATACCCGAGGGCGGTAACGCCTGTGACAACCGGCTTGGGGACGATATTTGTACTGTCGGAGCGTCCACCAATGCCTACTTCAAGAATTGTCGCATCAACCTAACGATGAAGTTAGATAGATAAATGGTCAGGATTGCTGGCGCACCTTGAGTTGGTTGAAAGTGTAAAAGGCCATGAGCGTAAGGTAACGAAAGTAGTTTGGCATGAAGGGAGTAGTGGCGGCTTCGCACTGAAGGGGTGTTTTGTCTAGTACAGACGACTATTAGTGCAAGAAACGAAAACCAAATACCTTCGTATTCTGGAGCAAATTCCACACCTCGAAAAAGTAACGAGTAAATTCCTCCTCTGAAAGTGGCTCGCCGTTGATGCGAATACGCTCACGGACAGCGACCAGGTGAGGAGAGGTATACAGACCTGTGTTACTTGTCAGGGGACGCTCTCGTAGAGCTGGGAAAGGAAGGCACACCAGTTTTCCAGCCTGGCCTAGCTGCCCTCAATATTGAATCTGTGAATGCGCTTGTAGAGCCCTTCCCTTTGGTTCCCGTAATATGTATGACATTCAAATTGTTTAACTGGGATGGCTGCAACGGTACTTCTTCATGAACAAGACAGTAAAGTTGACATATGACGTACCTCAAGGCCCACCCTGCGTAGATAATCGATCATTTCAGGTATAGCATTGGGATTGAGCTTCGCTCCTGCAGCCCGTACGGCCTCCAGGATAGCAGCATTAGTTTGAAGGCTGTTCAACGCATCTATGGCATCCCTGTAAGTCGGAATGGATGCGGTGGACATCATCATGCGTCCGTGAAAACGAGAGGGTTTTAGTCTCTTGATATGTACAACAATAGATAGGAAGTTGAATCGATAAGAAATGGACATCAGCAGACGTCGGACATGAAAAGCTTAAGAATCTTAAAGATAGCGCGTCTAGGCCAACTTTGGCCCGGGACAAATGTGGGTAACTGGCCGTAACTAGACGCGTTACTCGGAGATCACATGACCAGGGACGCGTGATAAATATAGAACAACACCTCCTGAAACACGAACCATACCCATGCACTAACAACTACGATGGACAAATTTGTAACTGTAATCAAGCCTGCGCGCTCCTCTCTCAAGGAAACAGAGAAATGTACAAACTCATCGCGATTTACTCCATACCCTACTTCAAAACCGAAGACCAACAAGAACTTCCCAGATGGAATGTTAAAGTCAAATTATGCAGAGGCTGTGGCACAAGACAAGGCGCGCTTGCGCCAGTGCGTATCTTCTAAATCGTCTTCTTGCACTTTTACTGACCGAGGCACCCGACAGGCTCCTAGCCCCTCTCAAAAAAGACGGTACCTCCAAACCTTCTGCTGGGGAAATCACGAAGCACCTGCTGAACACCCTTGCGGATGAGTCAAACCCAATTACTCATTCTAATATATATGAACGTTCGGGTACGTTTACATCCCCCCCCCTCTTCTGCTTTCGCATTTCATTGTTAATTTTATCTACAGACCATGTTGTTTCGGCCGCATCAGGCCACCAGCGCTCCGACAGGCGTGGTGGCGGGCATGGCCGAGAGTACCTTGATGGGCGCTCTGAGAAGCTAGAAATCCAGAAGCATGAGAATGCACGCGACTTGCACTCAGTGAAAAGAGACGAAACAGAAGGGAAAAGGGGTGTGCTAAGTGGTGTGCGCGTCTATATCGGTGGCTACCTTGCGGGAACAACCGACATTGAGATGAAGCGGATAGTTTCTGGCGCTGGCGGTGTCACGTTGTAAGCGCAATCTCTCTTGTGATCCTCCGAGTCATAATCTCGCATCAATTTTTCACAGGCTTTCCCCTAGCGGCGCTACGCATATTCTCACGTCGCAACAACTCTCAGGTTCGAAGACTCATAAACACCTCGTGTCAAAGCGCGTTCCTGCACATGTGGTGCGGCCCGAGTGGGTATTCGAGAGTGTGAAGGCAGGTTGTAGATTGCGAGAGTGGGAGTTTACGGCCGTTAAGCCCGGGAACACTATGGATTTGGCAAAGATGTTCGGGAACAAGAAGGAGCTGTAACTGGGAATTTTTTGAGGCTGGTCCTCATTGTGCGTTGATCTCGAGAATGTATCGATATCAATAATTTATTGTTATTTTTATTCCAATTGCCATCTGACGCCAAGAAAAAGAGACAAAGATAATATACACTACAAGCCTAGTGGTCCTCAGTGCAGTGATTGAAGACAAACGCTGAAGAAAACGAAAAAAACAATCGTTCAGCCTGCAGGATGAAGAGTCAGGTCATTCATTTAATTTATCCGTTCATACATCGGTCCTTGTCGATTAGTGGTTAAATCATCGCATTGTGGAAACACAATTCTGCGAAGCCGGAAGTTCGAATCCTCCCTGGGACATACCACGGACACTTTTTTCCTTTCCATTTTGCGCCAAGATGCATGTACCGTACGATCAATCGCCCTGGTGCTTTACTGCCTTGATTACATGCAAAATGAGTACACCATTGTAATATGACATTGTACTGAGGCCTCAAGCTTCAAGCTTCACTCCCTGTAAATGTATAGCTCCCCAAGCTGCCTGTCCCACTCCCGAACTCGCTGCTGAAATCGAATTCACTCCCCTCGTCGCCCTGGCTACTTTCTGCATCACTTCTCTCTCTCTCTCCATCCCCCATGCTTTCATTTTCAGCCCCACCCAACATGGAACTTCGCCCAAGGTTTCCGCTTTCGCTCTCCAACTTGTATCGATCTGCACTCCTCACTTCCTCCGCGCATCGCAGACACGTCCATCCGCATGAGCCATCATCTGCGGCACGGAGCATGCGCTCAGCAAGACAAGCATAACAATAAATATGTCCACAAGAAGCAAGATACGACGTTGTGATTGGATATGGAGGTTCTCCGTCTCCCTCGGTATTATTATCACCAACATCGCTATTTGATGATGCAGAGAATGCCGCAGTGTACGACGCCAGAGCGCCAGCAGCATCACCAAGGTCAACATTTAGGGAAGCGTTCTCAGCACAAATTGCGCACTGGTCTGGTGGGAGGGGATAATACTTTCCGCGTTTCGGCGCGCGTAATTTTTGCGTAGGGGAGGGAGCAGGGAGAATGGATGAAAAGGTTGATGTGAGCCTTCGTGCCACGGAGCGAGGATTGATGAGCGGGAGGAGGAAGAGGAGGAATTCCTGTAGCAGAATGAGTCTGCAATGAGAGCAGATAAAGGAACGGCGTACTGTGAATGCGTGCCAAACCATCTGGCGATTCATAAATTCATAACTAACATCACGTTTGAGGAGAGCCTGTGAAGGTTCAAGCCTCATCACCAGGAATCTATCAACAATTGTCCTGTATCTGCGATAAACCGTGTCAAAAAATCGCTAACAATAGCACGCACTACGGGAACGTACCTCCCATTCCATAAAAATGCAACGAAGTTGAGCAGACTGAATGCACCATGTGCGGTCTCGAGACTTGTCAAGGCAGCCCAAGCGCGGCGACGGGTATCAGAGGCAGGGGCATCTGGCCATGCATGCGAGAGCGCATATGCATGGAGTCGGTTGCGGAAGTAGGGAATGAGGATAGTGAGCACACCATGGATAATTAGTAGTCGTCGTCGTGGGGGCCTGGCTGCCGCCTATCATTCAGACGTCGAATGCTTGCAAGAGATGTGTTCACTCACAGCCCAAGCCGGAACTTGTAACGGAATACCGCAGGCCCTGCAGCATTGCGCCATAGCTTGCACCAGAACTCCAAACAGAGAAGCGATAAAGCACGAGCTGGACGAGGAGTGCTAGTTCAGGCTCAAATTGAGCCTTCATGGATGCCTGTTCCTGCATCAGCAGATATCATATTGACACGTAGAACACGTACATTGACGGTCGCAAGGGCCTTCGACACCGGTTCAGTAAGTATGTGCACAAGTTCGGCGTCGAGGAGCTCAGCGTCTAGCTGTCCAACGCGAATAATGCGAGGGTTCGGTCTAGGAAATGCTGGGGATGCAAGGACATCTTGTATGGAGTGAAGGTGGGGCTGGGCAGCGTCCCATGCTTGCTGCCATATACTACTCATCGAAGCGGGGATACAAAGTTGGCGCAGGCACGTGATTACATATTGAATTGACTCGATAGATTTGATCTAATAGCTAACGTGAACGTCAACGATGGCAGAACAACTACAGCAGTTAATACTGGATACTCTCGATGCCCAGTTGACTTTACCAGATACCCGTGCACTAAAAATCCCTGGCCAATCTAGCCCAGCGTTCAGTCATGATGCACAGATCACCATTCTCGGTGCCTTGAATTCGCTACTCAGCCGGGAGGCTAGTTTACTTTCCTTTCTCTCATGATCTCGTATTGAATGAACTTGCAGATGATAGCGTATGAAACACATGAAGTTTCATCGCATGTGCTTACGCCTGAGGGCGTCCAGATCGTGCGTGAGGGCTCGCACGAGGCCCGTGTCTGGGCCGCCCTCCCCGAACGTGGTAGTGCCCCGCTCGGCGCGCAGGATCTCAAGAGAGCAGTGGGAGATGATGCTGCAAAAGTCGGACAGGGTCGCGCGTTTAAGAGTGGATGGATCGCGAAAGAGGGGAATGGTTTCGTCAAGGCCGTGCGTGTTTCGTGCTGACATTTCTATGACTGCGATTGATGGGCCGGTAGGCGTCTAATATTACAGATACGACACAGATTGAGCTGTGCGAGGTAGAGTCATCGGGGACATTGGCGGCCGGCGAAAAAGCACTCGCTGAATTACGAAAACGTAAACTTATCATACAAAGGTTCCACCTACTCCTCCGTTGTAAATTATCGAGTCTGACTGTTACAAAGAAAGGGCCAATGGTTCACTGTGCATAAGGGCGCCAATTTCAGTACTTCGATTGCAAAACCGGAGACTGATTTGACCGTCGATATGCTCACTTCGTGGGTTTAGTGTTTCCAATGTAGCAGTGTTAAAGCTTATACTGCTCTGACCCCTAGCGGCTCCTGGAAAAAATCTACCTTCAAAAAATATAACTTTGATGCAGACGGGATACCTACATCCGGCGGCGCTCTCCACCCTATCCTTAAAGTCCGCGAGGAGATCCGTAGCATTTTCTTAGAAATGGGGTGCGTGATCGTTTCATAGTATAATGAGGCTGTCGAGTAGCAGAATTACACTTGATACTGATTACGGATGTTACAGTTTTGAAGAAATGCCCACAGGGACTTTCGTCGAATCTGGATTCTGGTGCTTTGATGCACTTTTCGTTCCCCAGCTGCATCCTGCACGTGAACTCCAAGATACCTTCTATCTTTCTGGTATGTGCTTGCCTCCCTTACCTTCGTCAACTTATCGAAATTTTATAGATCCCTCAACGTCCCTCCCTCCGCCATCCGATTATTACGAACGCGTTGCACGCGTGCATGAGCACGGTGGGTACGGCAGCATCGGTTACCGCACGCCCTGGTCGCACGAGGAGTCGCATAAGCTCCTCTTGCGCACGCACACGACTGCCTCGTCTGCTGCCATGCTATACAAACTCGCAGCCAAGTGTCGAGGCGAAGATATCGATGGTGACCTTTCCGCAAAATCGCAACCTGGACCCGGAAATCCGAGTGGTGATGGGTTCAGACCAGCAAAACTCTTCAGCATTGACCGCGTGTTCCGTAATGAGACAATGGATGCTACTCATCTTGCGGAATTCCACCAAGTTGAGGGCGTTGTTGCAGATCAGAACCTAACACTTGCAGATTTGATTGGTGTGTTGTGGATTCTTCCCTCCCTCTACATGAATACCTGCTAATGACCCTCATCTGCACAGGTTTCATGCGGACTTTCTTCCGGAAGATGGGAATGAAGAATTTGAGGTTCAAACCTGCGTATAACCCGTACACAGAGGTGTGTCTTGACCTCCTCTCTACTTCAGGTACTGATTGAAACTTGATAGCCTTCTCTCGAGATCTTCGCCTGGCATCCCCTCCTTGAAAAATGGGTCGAGATCGGGAACAGTGGCATGTTCCGCCCTGAAATGCTTGCACCCATGGGATTCCCACCTGATGTGCGTGTGCATGGGTGGGGAATTGGGCTTGAACGACCAACTATGATTCGGTGAGTAGTCTTTTCTTCGCCTTGTTGTATCGTCCCACTCCTTCCTGTATTCTCTCATCGGAGGAGCGTGATACTGAATGTCTTGACACAGGTATGGTGTTAACAACATCAGAACGCTTGTCGGGCACAAGACGTCCATCGAGAATGTGGAGAACTCGCCGGCTGTCATGTTCTAGATGCGTCAGGGGGGGTGGGGGGTATACGCTGATTTAGAAGATACCGGAAGATGTATCACCATAACTTTAAGTGCACACTTAACGAGTCCCACGCAAAATAAAACGATTCGGCCAATGATAATTTTTGCACACGATATCAGTGTATGGTATGTACAATCTACAGCTCAGAACAACATCGTGAGGTACCAAAAAACTTAGAACGAGAATACAGCAGCATTCTTCCTTGTCCCGAACATGTACACAAGCGCTTGGGACATAAACAGCCCAACCGTGATACCGATCGTGACGGCTATCATCGCACTTCCAATATCCACACCGCTTCCATCTGCTGTGATACCTCCCGCCTGCGACAGACCCGACTACAAAACGTTCATTAGCAAGCCCCAACAAACCCAGAAAGAAAGAGCACTGACCGGAACAAGGAACAGCACACCCGTAACCATACTCGTAAACGCCGTCCCGCCCATCTTCCTCGAATAGACATTCCCCAGCAATCCCACAGTGAAAGCCCCGATAGCGCTCACGATATCACTCCGATTGAAGATATAGTGATTAGCGACCTTGTTGCTCGCGTAACTCGCGCACGAGATGACCACCATCACTGGAAGTTGTTTGCTCCGCCAAGGTTGCAGATTCGCGAGGGAAGATAGGATACTGAACAACGGGACGATGAGGAACTGCGTCCAGAAGGGGAAGGGCTGGAGGTACCAGCCAAAGTGTTTGGGGCGGTAACATCCGCCGATGATGTCTGTCTGCATCACGTTCGTGTTGTTCGTGAAGGTGAAGGTGCCGTAGATGGGTCCTAACCCTGAGGAGAGCGATGAGTTGCCACTTGTGGAGTTATCTGCTGCGAATGTGCCGACGATGGTGGCGCTCGTGGAGATGTCAGCGGCAAGTTCGGTGAGGCGGTGCCGTGCGGTTGGATCGAAGAGGAGATATAGGTCTGACCCGATCTGCAAACCGAAACCCAGGAAGAGGGTGTAGATGAGGGCGTATACCATTTTAACGCTGCCGCAGACGATGTTTTTAGAGGCCAGCTCTAAGGAACTACTCACTGGAAATGGGTCAGTGGGAGAAATGACTCTAGGAGAGGCACTTACAGATCAAATAACCGGGAAGAATACCGATGATTGCAGACGACGAGACAGCTGTATAACAGAAGATCTGGCTTCTGATACTACTGAGTCCTCGTGCTGTGAAGGACACCAGCATCGCCGTCGTGATCCTAGTAAATTATAAGCATCACGATGATGATATGAGTATCGAGAGATCTTACTCAAAGACATTCGCATACATAGCGCTCTTCGCAGCAACCCTGAGTTGCAGGAAACACAACACAAAGGCGCCACAACCAGCAATCCCCATATCGATGAACGAGCCCCCAAACGCCAGTGGACAGATTAACACCGATAACCAGAAGCTCAAGATGCACCTAAACCACCACGGGTACAGCGGTTTCGCCGACAACAGGTCGTCAAGTTGCTCCGTCGCCTTCCGCGCACTGATTTCATCATGCACCACAGCGCGATAGATGATGTGGACCTTGTGCAGGCTGCCTAATGAAAGACCTCCACCGGACTTGATGAAGTGAGTCTCCGAAGTCATCGTATCATTGTCACCGAAGGAACAGATGATGACGCTCGGTAGATGAATGAACTCGGCGTCGACTTCAAGGATGCGCGCTGCTGCGAGGAGCTGTGATTCGATACGGTGAGAAGGTGCACCGAACGTCATCAACGCTTTTGCAAGCTTGAGCAGGAAGTTGTGGCGATGGATGATGGCTAGAACCCTGCACTGAGCTTCAGTTGCGCAGACAGAAAGGAAGACTTACAAGTAACATTGAATTCGATCTTGATCTTCTGTTTCTCCTTTCTACGCCTGCGATAGTCCATCTGCCTCAATGCCGTCCGCTTCTCGTCGTCGTAGTCGTCGAGACACTTCTTCCTGACACCAGTAATAGTAGGATCATCCGGGTCCAGCAGCTGCGAATGCTGGGAATTATCTGAGTTCGCCCTTCGCATGGGTGCACCGCCCATTTCTTCGTCGTACTCATCGTCAAGCTGAGCAAAACGACGGCGTTGGAAAGGGACGTTCTCGCCCTCGGCATCGACCCCATACAGGTCGATGAGGTTAGAGAATAGGCCACGTCTTCTTCCATCCCTGTCGTTCACGTCGCAATAGTCGATGTCATCATCATCGTCCGCGTCCTTCTCGTCATCATCCAGCCTGACATCTTCATACTCCTTATACTTATCCTTGCTGTCCGCCGTCTGCGCCTCGACATCAGTCAAAGTCCCCTCACTGTTCCGAAAGTCGACATGCCGCTCATCGTCATTTCCCACATATGCATTTTGCGGTGGAGGGATATCATACGGATGCTGATAGGACGACATTGAGTATCTAGAGTCCTCGTCTTCATATAGTGTGGACTCTGAGTCGATGTGAGCACGACCACGTAACCCTTGGTTAGGAGGAACTGGAGCCTCCGACGCATAAGCTGGGAGTGTCGGTCGCCTACTTCGTGATGCTCGAAGATGGGCCTGAGCTGAGAAGGGGTCGGTGAAGTCTGGTACAGACGCACGAGGTCCCCCGGTCGGAGGTTTTGTAGGTTCAGGGATTTGGGGTTCAGGAATTTGGGACTCGGGAAAAATATGCTCAACAAAGCGTGGACTCGGGTTGAATGAAGGGGGCCTGGGAATACGTGAAATCTGACCAGTACTGATAGATGGCTGCACTTGTTGCTGCTGCTGTTCGAAAGAAGAATTTAGCGACTGCCTTTGTACTTGGCGTCGCTGGAGGGTATTTGTGGAGGGCCGTGGTAGATAACGGCCTAAGTCTCCATTGGGATACGGGTTATAAGACATGACTTGCTCGGATAGACGACGAAAGTCTAGCTTTCGAGGCAAGAACGGCAAGAAATCTGATAGCGTCGCTGAGGGGGATGACGAAGGAGTATGGTTCGGTGGGGTGGTAGGATAGAAAGGTGGACGGGCGATATAAACTTGAACTGAAACATGCGAGATGGAGCAGTGTCTTGGTCATTTCAGTTTAGACCAGTAGAGTGAGGAAATTACAATCTTGTCCAGTCAGATTCTAAATTGAGCCGATCGCAATATCGAACGGACGATACGTGCAGCTGGATGTGGGCAGTGATTTTGGTGCATAAATCGCCAAGGTGACCCGCAGGCCAAACCTCTCGTCAAATGAGATACTCTCGAAAGCACGGACTCATCACGATCAAGTCCATGACTTGCGATTGGATGGATAGGTCACAAATTTGCACTAGTGCTAAAGTTGTTTCTTAGATCAATCACTGACGGGACGCAATCAGCGCCGCTGAGGACTTTAACTTGATAACATCCGGCTCACCATATCTCGAATACCTGACTCCGTAATTGAAATGTTCATTAGGAGTGCCTAGTATTAGTGTCATCAAGAACCGTTCTGTATTCGCAGTTGAACTTTAAACAGCGTAGTCCTCCCACTCCTGCACTGTGATACCCATAATGCCATCCTCCGCGCCCTCCAACTTCTTGAAACCCAATCGCGCATAAAACGCCGCGGCCTCTGTATTCCTCGTATCCATGCCCAACCAAACACTCTTTACACCATTTTCTTTCAAATTCTCCATCGCTCGTGCGATCAACTTCCGCCCCCATCCCTGCTGCTGATGGCTTGGCAGAATGTCAATGTGCAAATGCGCGGGTGCGAACGCCATCGTCGCATCACTTGCTCTTGGGAAGGTCATAATGGTGTTGATATAAGTCCTATCAGCAGCTGTGAGCGCTGCAGCGGAGTCGTGCAGCAGGGGGCCGTAATGGGCTTTGAGTGAGGGCCACCAGTCGGTTTCTGCACTCTCCTCGAATTTGCGCGTGTCGAACGCGCCGAGGGTATACCCTACGACTTCTCCGTCGTCGTCAAGTACAAAGCCCCATGTTGATTCAAGGATGAGGTAGGGGAGGGCGTAGATGAGGCCTGGGAGTGCAGGATGGGAATGCAAGTGCTTGGATGATGTGCCCGCGTTTGCGGTGAGCAGACAAATGTTGGAGATGGCAGACTGGTCAGCTTTGGTGGCTGGTCGGATGATGGGGGCCATGATGAAGGTAGACTAAGAGAATGAAGGGACATGACCGTAATCATAAGGTATATCGTGTGATACTGAGCACATGGGGTGATAAGTGACATGTCTCATGAAGTTACACACATCTTATTTTGGAAATGGATGGGGTTAGGGTTAGGAGTACAAAAGATCAAAAAAGGAAGGCCTACCCAGCCAGAGTGGCCGTGGCAGGACAGGAAAATATTGAGACGGTGCATGAGCCGGAGCTCATACAAACCATAGTTACCCTCTGTAAGGACAAGGTCGCCGTGCTATGAAGGGTCCCCACAGCCCACAAACCCGTGTACATGAAGGAGCTTATGCCATCAAGGTAAGTATGAGTTGTTGCAGTGTTGACACCGCGCTTATATACACCACAAACACGCGCACGGACCATCATGTCCATATTAGGTACGCCTTTGTACCTATGTATTATCTCGAAAAGAGCCTGGAAGGTCATGGTCACTACTTCTTCGACCTACTTATCATCTTCGAGCCTCATCAGAAATGATTCACGATGCTGCCCGAAGATGTATGTAGGTTCAACGATATTCTCGAGCACCGTCACAACTAATTAGAACTGATTCCTTTGGATTCCTCACTTTAAACATGCGCCGTCTTATAGTGGCAGGGCTTCCTCACGAAATTCTGTTTGAAAGTGCTCCAGGTGATTCTACCTAGTATGATAATTTATGTGGATCTACTTTCCTCCTTTCCCATCCCCGCTAGGAGAGTCCTCGGCGGGCCCAGAGATCACTGATTGAGTAACGCAGTCAGCATATGCTTCATGACAAAGGAAAGCAAGTTGAGTCTCGTGAGAGTGTAGTCCTTCGACTTCACATCGCAGCACAAAAGAAACCAATGAAACTCACGCAGTGCCCCGAGAACAACAACCATGTATATCCAGTACTTCTGCACGAAACTTTTCTCAGGAACAGGAGCTACTGGCTCGCCTTCAGGCGTGAGCGGAGGTGGGATCCGTAGCTCAGGTCTACAGACACGCATATGTCAGTCAGTCAAGTTTAAGAACGCGAGAGAATCCATACAGAGGTGCCATCCGTGGTGACTTGAGTACAACACTCGCGTTATGTGCTGGGTAGCTCCCCGCACTCGTCGCAGAGCATATTCCATCTTGAGGTACGGGCGACACGGAATAGTCGATCGCAAATGGTTCTCCCGTCGCGGAGAAATGAATAACTATATTTGCGGATGTGGAGGAAGGGAGTAGACACTATATAAAGAACATATCAGTCCTTCACTCACAAATAAAAGTAAAACATGACAGACCGCTTTGATACTTGACACTGACCCCTCCAATTCTGGAAGCTCGATTGCGACGTGGTACATTGCGCCTTGCATGTTAGGATTCACTGCTTCTGCGAACTCTGCAAGGTCATCCCGTAATGACTCTGCTAGTGACAATGAGGCATGTGAGCCAATGGGTGAAATGGATTTGAAGGATGGGATGGAGACAGTTCCCAGCTCAGCCCATGGTGTTACAGGAAGGTCGGGGTGCACTACACGGTGCATTAAACGTAACTCAGTGAATTCATTGGTCTGAGAGGTAACCGACTGGGAGAACAGGGATAACGTTAGAAGCGCGAAGGATATTGGAGTATACATGTTGAGACTCGTCAGTGCACATGTGAAACACAATATTAGCGGTGGGACCCCAGCATAACATGTTGGAGTATTTGGGGGACTACCACTTGACTCGATGTGATTGATTTCTTCAAGTCTGCAACTGTGATCTACAAAGTAATCCTGAAGTCCAGTCACACCCTGCTGGCTTCATATCTTCTACTAACCAGAACCAACCATGCCCACCATCTCAGTAGACAAAGCCGAGCTTTTCCAGCGGCTCGGACATCAGTATAGTACGTCCTCGTCCAACTGTGTCATCTATACGTCTGATCACATCGCAGCCACGGAGGAATTCGATCGTTTGTGCTTTGACTATGGACTAGAATTAGATGAAGACGTATGCCCTTATTTATTTTTCTACCGTCGGAATGATTTGCTGAACGAATAAGAAGACCACAGCGGAGGTGGAAGCTGCGATCAAGAAAGGGCTTCCCGCAGAACGTCCCGTGCGTCTTGCTTTCTAGTAAACCAATTACACTCATGCTCATAGTTTTATCTAGCAATTAAAAATCGAAGTTCCCGCAAACAGGTGTGCTGCCAGTCGGCGCAACCACAATGCACATCTGACTAGCACGCAGATACGATCTGGTCTGTCTAGAAGGTATCTCGCGCGCCTTACGCGCTTTTCTAGGAAAACAAGATCCGCCGCAATACACACTCTCATATCCCCCAGGCGGTGAGAAGGATCTCATCACCGTTACCGTCTCCCAGGAGGTACGCTTACCCCTTGCATTGTCCGCACTAACAAACATCACCACTCCCAGACCCAACGCGTCCGTCCCTTCTTCGCATGTGCAGTGCTGCGCAACATCAAATTCACGCCCATAAGCTACGCATCCTTCATTGACCTCCAAGACAAACTACACCAAAACATTGGGCGCAGGCGAAGTCTCGTCGCCATTGGAACACACGACCTCGACACCCTCACCCCTCCATTCCGATACGAAGCCCGTACACCCACCAACATCGCTTTCGCGCCTCTCGGTCGGGAGACAGTGCACACCGCTGCAGAGCTCATGCAGATTTATGAATCGGACAAACACCTCTCCCGTTACTTGCCCATCATCCGAGATTCAGATGTCTACCCGATCATTTATGATGCAGAGGACCACGTGTTAAGTATGCCACCCATCATCAACTCGGAGCATAGTAAGATCACGCTGGAGACTAAGAATGTGTTCATTGATACAACTGCAACGGATGATACGAAGTTGCAGATCGTGATTAATATGGTGGCGAGTATGTTTTCGGAGTACTGCGCTGAGCCTTTCACGTGCGTCGTTTTGTTTTGGGCTTGTGGTTTGATTCGGGGAGTTGAGGATCTGTTGTTAGGATCGAGCCTTGCAAGATCATCTTTCCTGACGGTTCGACGCGCATATCTCCTGATATCACTCCCCGCACCGTGACTGCACGCGCATCGTACATTAACTCTTGCACTTCTCTTTCCCTAACACCCTCCACAATCCAGTCCCTCCTAACGCGTATGGGCCTCTCACCCACCCTCTCACTCAACGACCCCGACGCTCTAATCGTCTCACTTCCATGCACGCGTCCTGACATCTTCCACGAGGTCGACATAATGGAAGATGCAGCAGTCGCTTATGGGTTCAACAACCTCCCAGATATCTTCCCCCAGACCAGCACAGTCGCACAGCCGTTACCGATCAGCAGGCTCACAGACGTTATCCGGAAGGAATGGGCGATGACAGGATGGGTCGAAGCGTTACCTTTCATTCTCGTACGTCCCTTCCCTTCTTGCCCCTCCTCTACCTCAGCGCACTTAAAAAATACCTAACAAAACCCAATAGTGCTCACACGAAGAAAACTTCTCCTTCATGAACCGCCCCGATCCCGGTTCCCTAGCAGTAAAAATCGCCAACCCCAAAACCCTCGAATTCCAAGTAGTTCGCACATCCCTCTTGCCAGGGCTGCTCAAAACCATCCGCGAGAACCGCTCGCATGCTCTACCGATGCGCGTTTTCGAGCTCAGCGATGTCGTGTTCAAAGATACCGAGAGAGAGAGACAAGCACGGAATGAGAGACATGCAGGTGCGGTGTGGTGTGCGAGGAGTGCGGGTTTTGAGGTCGTGCATGGGTTGTTGGATAGGGCTATGAAAATGTTGGAGGTTCCGAGGATTGGGAGGGGGGATGGGAGGAATGTGGGGTATTATATTAAAGAGGGGGATGGTATGTCCTGGCTCTTGTTTTGCGTGACATGGTACTGATGTGTTTTAGATCCTGCGTACTTTCCTGGACGCGCAGCGACTATTTATTACCGCCCGCCACCCCAAAAGCCCTCCAAAACAAGCGAGCTTGCTGATGAGCTCAAGAATACGCTGCACATCAATCAAGATCGAGACATTGTGATCGGCACGCTGGGTGTGCTACATCCCACCGTACTCGAAAAATTTGAGATCACGTACCCCTGCTCAGCGCTAGAATTCAACATGGAAGTCTTTCTGAAGCGGTTATAATTCATGAGGACTGGAAATAAATTGCGTAGAAGAATGTAGGATGTACTTGAAATGAAATCTAATTTCCAAAGACGAAAAGACGCCAAGAGACAGACTTTCAATAAATACCACTATAAGCACAATTGTGATCATTATCGTCTTAATCCTAGAAAAATAAATAGCACGTTTGTCGATAGAAAGCAGAATACGCGGTACATCCGGTCCTCGAAGCGAAGGATGCGAACTTTACAAGAGGCCTGCAGCACGCAAGTCCTCGCACAGCCTGCGCTCGCGCTCAATTGCATCTCTAATCCGTCGTGCACGATCTGGATCGGTTGGAACGAGTGATTGGATCTCCAACGCTGTATCTCTCCCAATCACATCATCACTAACGTCGTCGTCGTGGGAAGGCACCCGTTCTGGTCCGTCTGCACCCGAAGATCCTGTTCGTGTAGGAACGCGGAACACTCCGAGACGCTCAAAGAGTGATTGTCTCCTCGTTTCTTCATCTGCCGCTGGCTGTGACGTGGTAGAATTGGAAGAAGAAGAGATGATACCGCGTTCCCAGCGCTTGACGCGCCAGAAACCGAAAGCGCTTGTGAGAAGGAGGAACCAGCCGGCTGTCATGAGGAAGAAGGAAAGCCACTCATTGGCTGCTGTGTTTGCGAGGAACCCATTGTTTACTTGTGCTCCTTCTCCGGCATTGGACCAGGAAGATATATCATCGGTAGAAGCGAGTGTGGTATTATTGAGGCGGTCGAGGTTGGCGTCCAACCACTCGTTGGCGTCTTGGGTGCTTGCGAATGTGGGCCAGGCATCGGCTGGGTCTGAGCCTAGAAGTGTACCATTTACGTCGTCTAACCGCGCGCGGAGGCTAAAGCCCCATTGGATTAAAGTAACGCCAAGACCCGCCCTGCTGCCGTAACGAGCGGCGTGGGTTGTGTGCATGACCCATGTGAGAACGAACCCGATGAATTGGAAGGTGACGCTGATGAGGGCGTTCCAGAGGAAGGAGAAAAGGGTGCCTGTAGGAAGGCCATCTACGACGACACAGCCTTGGGAGAGAGTGAGGGATGCATGAATGGAAGAAGGAAGGAAGATTGAATGAGTGTGGTAAGGAGGGGCAGCGTCAGCTTGAGCTGCTGCATAAGTGGGGGGAGCTGTATTGGAAGATTCTTCTGGAACGAGATATACGTTGTCCCCTGCGAAAGAGTCAATACGTTCTTTGATGAAAGATTGAATGATGGTTACCTTCCTGTATACGTACGCCTTGCGATGGTTTGGCAGCTACGTTGCTGAATACACCGTCATTTCTGGTGCCTCCTCCAATGGCTCTGCGAGAGCTAGCTTCAGCAGTGAAACCCCATCTGTTGACATAATGGGATGGCAGGATGGCAGCTGCAGTTCGCTTCCACCATGGCCCTGTTGGGGGCGGGGGCAAAGAGTCTACTGCAAAGACAGGTATTATGCCATTAGAATTTCCGAATTCATTGGGCACAGCATGGGAAGATGGTTGTGGGGGAGAACCTGGAGGAGGTTGGTCGTAGTCGCAAATCGGAGACTCGAAATTGTAAATTGAAGGATTCAAAGGATTTGGAAAAGTCAAACGACTTGATTCATCTAGGTCGTCGCCGTCGTCGTCGTCTTGGTCGTCGAAAGCAGCCTCTAGTTCTGCTGAATCTGGGTCTGTGCGTGGATTAGGAAGTGGAGCATAACGATTAGACATGGTATGAGACGAAGGGGGATTACATGAATAATAAATAAATAAAGACGTCGATCACAGTTAGCTAAGTGTTTAGCTAAGCATCTATAAAGAAACTGCTTTGACCGTAAACCGGGCCGTTAGGCGGTGAGTACCCTGGTGAACCAGTTCCACTGGCATTTCTAACCATCCTGGTAACTCGCTCACAGCTTTCCATCCTAGCTTGCATCATCCTCTCAAACATCTCTAAGATCTCCACTCCAGGCTCCCTTCCACTCGATCCAAGTACAGGTTGTCCTCCAGTCTGGTTGCTGTGTACAAACGCCGGTAACATTGGCGGTGGTGCACGCTGTTTCACGATTCCACCTCTAGGCATTCCTCTTGTCGTTGCAATTCCCTCTAATTTCAATCCAAATGCCTTCTTTCTCTTCATCCACTTGCTTGTTTCTGATGTTTCTTCAGCAGAATTTGGCTCCTCCTTCTCCATTTCTTCTTCTTCATCTGTCGCTGCTGCTGCGCTAGCGTCTCGTTCTTGCAGTGTCATCTCTAGTTGTGCGCGTGTACGGTACACCCACATCCGTTCCTGATGATAGAACGCGACTAAATTCTCGAGAAGCGTAATTGTCGATTCGACAGGATGTAATCCAACGCGTGGTGGTGAGGAGGGTGGTGTGGGCAGTAGTGTATTCATAGCCATAGCCGCTTGTTGTTGGGCATAAGCCTGCTGCTCAACGTACCCTGACGAGAGCATAGCATAGAATGGTCTAGATGATATCCTCGAGAACCCAAGATGATAAGACACGAGACTAGAGACGGTAAGGGAAAAAGTCGAAAGTGCCCTAGTTATAAACTCGCATGATTCGGGCTGGCCCCTCGGCCTAGACTGCTCTTTATTCGGCCCGCAACCATGCACCCGTCGGAATTTCAATTTACTGCGGGGTGCATGCGGGGTTACAGTATTATGTAATGTTAAAATCGGTTTCGATGGGTTAGATTGACATGAGTATGACACGATCATATCATGAAGTACGTTGCACTTCTTGGCGGAGGGATTGTCCCACTGCAACGCCAACGGTTGCGAATTCGTAGCTGTGCAGCCTTCTCTCCCGAATCAGGTAAAGGTCCGCGCTCAGCTTTCTTACTTGAACTTCCAGCCTCAGCTGCATAGACAGTGAGGTCGACTCGTATCATATGTCCCAGACAGTAGACCCGAGACGCGATCGAGTTCATAGCTCGCGCACTCGAAGTTCCGCCCTCTGATAATACAGGCCTAAGGTGACGCTAATGAGCAAAATACAGACTGTGGTTTACGCAGTGCCGGGGGTGCTGGCATGTTGGGAGACGAAATGGGGATCTCTATGTAACATCATTACATGACGTCAAGGTCAGATCTAACCTTCACAAATCTCACTCTGATCTCATCGCGACCAGGTCCATCACCCAGACTGGCAAGGCGTAGCCGCCATTCTCTCAGAGTCAAATTACCAACGCGTTCGCGTCGCACACGTGTGCGGATCGTACTCAACAGGTGCCGTCGTCTCCCTTACGCCCTTGGCCTACCTCTGTTAACGCGATTAAGTCAAATTGCTTTTATCCGAAAATCCGAGATGATCTCAGCCGGGATCAACCGCGTGCTCATATAAGTAGCAGGCATCGGTCCCTAGGAAAATTGCACGAAATACAGGACAGTCTCACACGCTAGCTTGTATGTCTGTAGCGAAGTGGTCGAAAATTCAGTCCATTTAAACATACGAATTCCCCCCAGTTGAATAGCCCACCCCACACCCCAGACGCGCTATTGGATCATGGCTTGCAATCGGAACCTCCCACCCAGACCCGTCTCTGGGCTCGGAAATACCCCATTTCAAGTTTGTATTTGCTTCATTCAATTACAAGGTACCAAATCTTCCATCGAATCCGTCACTTTCATTATTTTCATTTTCAATAATCGTGCTACAGGAATTCTGGCATCACGCGATCTGTGCGTGGAAGATGGGGTGGTGCCAGTCGGCGCAACCGCAATGCACATCTGACTAGCACGCAGATACGATCTGGTCTGTCTAGAAGGTATCTCGTATGCCTTGCGCGCTTTTATAAGAAAACAAGATCCGCTGCAGTACAGACTCGCATATCACCCAGGCGGTGAGAAAGATCCCATCACCGTGACCGTCTAGAGGTACGTTTGCCTCTCGCATTCGTCGCCATCGGAACGCACGCTTCGACACCCTCACAATCAGGTGACCATCTCCGTAGAGGTACACCTATCCCTCGCGTTCATCGCTATCTACCTGATCATTTATGATGCAGAGGACCACATGTCGAGGATGCCGCCCATCATCAACCCGGAGCACAGTAAGATCACGCTGGAGACTAAGAACGTGCTCATTGATACGACTGCTACGGATGATACAAAGCTGCAGATCGTGATTAATATGGTGGCGAGTGCGTTTTCGGAGTATTGTGTTGAGCCTTTCACGTACGTCGTTTTGTTTTGGGCTTGTAGTTTGATTCGGGAGCTGAGGATCTCTGTTCCTAGGACCGAGCCTTGCAAGATCGTCTTTCCTGACGGTTCGACGCGCATATCTCCTGATATCGCTCCCCGCACCGTGACTGCACGCGCATCGTACATCAACTCTTACACCTCTCTCTCCCTGACACCATCCACAATCCAGTCCCTCCCAACACCCATGAGCCTCTTACCCACCCTCTCGCTCAACGACCCGACGCTCTAATCGTCTCACTTCCATGCACGCGTCCTGACATCTTCCACGAGGTCGACGCAATGGAAGATGCAGCAGTCACTTATGGGTTCAGCAACCTCCCAGATATCTTCCCCCAGACCAGCAGTCGCACAGCCGTTATCACTCAGCAGGCTCATGGATGTTATCCGGAAGGAATGGGCGATGGCAGGATGAGTTGAAAGGTTGCCTTTCATTCTCGTACATACCTTCCCCCCCTCAGCGCATATACAAGCCTAGCACCACACTCGATCTAACAGTATTCACACTAAGAAAACTTTTCCTTCATGAACCGCCACGACCCCGGATCCCTAGCAGTGAAATTTGCCAATATCAGAACCCTCGAATTTCAAGTAGCGCGTACATCCCTCTTACCAGGGCTGCATCCGCGAGAACTGCTCGCACGCTCTTACAGGGTCGCGAGCCAGTAATCTTTAACTATACCAATATCATTGACGATGCAGAATGCTGTGCATGTGCCCCAAGACAATAAATAGGATAAATAGGATTCAAAAAGGTGACTGGATCGCCTGAGCTGCTCTTCGACATAGGGGGCGATTCGATGCCTACACGTATCTTTCCCGGATTCCCGGGATGTGCTATTTCGTCGTCGTCGTCAGCGATATATTAAGGCACCTTCGCAGTCCGCAATAAAGTTGCCGCAGTCCAGTTCTGAACCCACCGAACCGGTTCCAAACCTCGAACCGGACCGTGGTTCGGTCCAGTAACGGTTAGGGTTCGGGAGGTCCAGAGGTGGTTGGGTTCGCGGTTCGGAGATAAGTGGAATTTGAGAACCGTACACGGACCTGTTCGAACCATAACCGAACCGCTATAGATATTTAAAAAAAAGGTAAACAGAGTCTGTCTACCGGTACTTACTGTAGGTTAGTCTGTAACTGTACAGTTGTAATATATCAGTGGCTGAGTCACTACCGAGTACTGAATACTAGTGACTCCGCAAGTACAGTATCACTAAAGCAACACGGTCAGTTTGAAACCATCCCGCGATACAGATCGGGCTGAGGAAGATTAAGGAAGAAAACTTGTCCATAGACCAATCATCAAATTTATAACGCATTGCAGTGATTTGCTTACCAGGTTTAAGGATTGTGTAACTGTGTGATGAACTACGCATTGGACAACAAAGGAGCAATGGAGCAATGGAATAATCAGTGCTTGGCTTCAAATGAGTGGGAACAATAAACCTACATTGCAGATGCAAGCGTGTCTGATACCATTGATTTATTTGTCAAAATTATTATAGGTTCTGGGGCCGCACAGTCAGGCGACTTTCTGTGGGCCTCTATCCGAAGTGCAACATCTGAATGTACTGGCAAGCTGTGCTCTGAAAGTTGGTACTCGGCACACCACTTCCCAAACAAAACCGCGACACCCATATACAGCCTGTAGGGAATATATCATGATGTTCCTATTAGTACAAGGAAGAGAAACAACATGGACCCCTGGCAACAAATACTATGCCCATTTCCAGTGTAATACGAAGGCGTTTCTGGAACATCCTGAAATGAAAAGAAGCAACGAAACGACAATCACCCAGCTCTTGCATCGCCCAATATAGTGCTGTGTGATCCTCGATGTTGGGTTTTTCAATTGAAGAACTCTGTTGCTGTGAGAGTGGTAACACAGGCATTGCCAGTTTGAACGACAGAGGAAGGGGTAAAATCTGGAGAAGAGACAATTCCACGGATGTCATGATAGACAGTTTGGATTGGATTGTAGAAAGGAAAACACCCATAGCTTGGACCAGATGGAATTTGCTGATACTGATGTAAAAATTGCATTATATGAGGGGGGTGACCGGTGATTTTCCACAGACGGACGCGCTAACATCAATGACCTCGGGCTTGGTAGGAGAAGATACAGGGGTCGAGTATGGCAGACAGCAAACAAACCCGGGCCGTTTCTCACGACCTTCAACTAGTTCCGACTTACCGATAGACTGACTGTACGATCTATGCGCATTGCGCACGCTATTCTATACGGACTCGATCATGAAATCCCGAAGACGAGTCGAAAGGCTCGTAGTTTGGTCGTTCTCTTTGTCGTCTCGGGGCGTCAGGCCTAGACTCACAGTATGTTGCCGACCCCCCGACAGAATCTCGCACTCATAGCAGCGACCACAAACTTTGACGACACCGTTGACTTCCTCTTTTTCTATCACATGTTCTCGAAGACGCTGAAACCTATCTTCATCATGCATTTATTTCCCCTCTCAATGTCCATGTCGATGAATCCAACGACAAAATTCTAGACAAATCGCTAGGCGATTTTCGTGAGTCATTGCAAACATCACATTCCGCTCACGAAACTACATAGAATCTTATTTTAGTTCAGAGAGCCTGGAAGAAGCCGCCATTGAACGCCCCCGACTGTCCTGCAATGTTGACCATCCTGGAGTACTCCTCATGGCCTGGATCTCAAACAGAACTGCATTTGCGCCTTTCAACAAAACCTCTCGGTAGAAAAGGGACTAGCCAGAAACGTGCGCGGTTGCGTTGCATTGTCGGTTCGTTGAAGTCCAACTCCTCAATACGTTCGAAAGCTACTGCATCCTTCGCAACAACTTTGCATTCCATCCAAATCATTCGTCGTGAACAGTGACAATCTCCTCTGCAGCCTGCGTATGCAACTACATTGAATGGCTGTCAAGATTCGACGCTGGCATGGACCGTGCTCGACTTTTGATGATTTCTATCGAGAAGGTGATGTGGCCTTGGAGCAAGAAGCTTATGATACAGCCAGTGGATCCCGTCGTATTGATATCGGGGATGCAGACGCTGCTCGATATAGAAGTACTTTGCGACCCACACAGGCTGGAGATGTTCCTATGACCCCGGATTTCGTCTTGCCCACGGCGTCGGCGATTTGCGAAAGTGTGACTTGTATTGCAAGTACTTTGAATTGTTTCGTGTAGAAGTCTGTTATACAAAGATCTCGGGCCAGAGAGTCCTTAGTTTTTCCAAATCACTGATCTGCGTGATGCCATCGGGGTCATTGGCATTGGTATCTCGAGCAAGTTTCCTCGTCCTTCCGCCATCTGTAGTTTCCAAGCCGACCTCGCAAAAGTGTACACAATGACCCCACCCAAGTTCTTTAGCGCTTGTGACATTGAGCCGGCTATCGTCAATGAAGTAACATTTGAATGGGTCTGAAATATTCGCTTGTTTCATGGCCTATACAAGAAAGACAGAGTCAACATCCATGACTAAAGAAGTATGAAGAACTGACATTGTGATAATAATCTGGTTCCGGTTTGCAAGTGAAGCCGATCTGCTCGTAGTCACAGTAAACAAGGCCCTCGATCTGGTCTTCTAGGTTTAATATCTTGAGCACTCGTTGTGCGTGCTGAAGGGTCACCCTGCGTCAAATATTCACGAGTACGCGAATCTGCGCTTACGTTCTTGTATGCATTCGTCAACACCCACACACGAACTTTGGTTCTGTCCAAATCTTGAAAAAGCTTTCGTAGTTTTGGGTCTGGTTTAATGAGATCATCGAGAGGGAGTGTTCCATCACATTTCCGATCAAAATCCATGGGATCTGGAGCCGTGCGTCTATTCAGCAGCTGATGCTCGCAGCTTAGGTCCTACCTATGTCATGATGCCGTGTTAAACCGCGAAGTGCGAGTCCGTACTGAGTGTAATATGTATGATGCAACTCGGAGGCCTTGTCATCATCGAACCCAAGAGTGACAAAGTATGCTGCTCTTTCCGTATTGATCATTCAGAGTATTTGAGGGAGTTCAAACACTGACGGACCATGAATGCGCTGGCCCATGGCTTGGGAAATCTTGGTGCTGGCAGAATATAGTGTATTGTCGATGTCGAACCAAACGATTGATCTAGGATCTTTGACACGAGTCAGAGTGCGCGATGGAATGCGGAAAGAAACCCGACCTTCTTCAGGTATATCCGGAGACATCGTCAGTCAGGGTATGAAGATGAAGATTATGGTATGAATCAGATAGCGTTTTCTTGTAAAGGGCATGCTTCATCAGGAAATCGGCGAGGACATGCTTCCGCGACTCTCACGTTAGTTACTAGCACACACGCCGCGCAGACAAGACTCGGAGGTCCGCGACAGACACAAACGCTTTTCGGCCAGTATAACTGAGCTAAAAATAATAATTTCAAAAGATTATATTATTATCAACATGAGCAAATATTTCGCAGAACGATGAGACGATGAAGTACGTCGCACTCCTTAGCGGAGGGAAAGACAGCTGTTACAACTTGTCCCACTGCAATGCCAATGGCCACCAACTCGTAGCTGCAGCGACCCTCTCCCCGCAATCAGGAAAAGGTCTGACTTTATATTTCTTCTCCGAAAACGCCTCATCTGCGTAGATGAGATCGACTCGTATATGTACCAGACAGTAGGCCAAGATGCGATCGAATTCGTAGCTCGCGCCCTCGAAGTTCCACTCTATCGACGCGTCATACAAGGTGATGCTATCGAGCAAAATGCGGAGTATGGTTCACGTAGTGCCGGGGGAGCTGGCGTATTGGGGGATGAGACGGAGGATCTCTATACTTTGTTGGAGCATGTCAAGGTCAGATCTAATTCACCCTGATCTCACCCTGATCTCATCGTAACCAGGTTCATCACCCAGATGTGCAAGGCGTCTCAGTCGGCGCTATTCTTTCAAATTACCAACGCGTTCGCGTCGAACATGTGTGCGTATTGGTCACGGATAATTCGGTTTGTAATGTTCATGCTCAACAGGTGTCGTCGTCTCTTCCTTACACCCTTAGCCTATCTCTGGCAGCGCGATCAAGCCGAATTGCTGTCCGAGATGATCGCAGCCGGGATTAAAAGCGTGCTCATCAAAGTAGCAGGTATCGGTCTGACAGTAAAGCACCTAGGAAAAACATTACACGAAATGCAGGACACCCTCACGCGATTGGTGCGCGTATTACTTCTACATAAACAAATTGATTCATTTTCTCGTAGAACAGCCTTTATGGCTTGCATATCTGCGGTGAAGGCGGAGAGTACGAAACTCTTACCCTTGACAGCCCGTTGTTCAAGCATCGTATTGTGCTGGATGAAACAGAAGTCGTGATGCATACGGACAATGAATTTGCGCCTGTTGCATATTTGCGTATCAAACGAGCTTCACTTCATCCTAAGGAATCGTCTACGGATGGCAGGGTCGAAGTTCTGCCACTATTGGAAGATAGGTTCGGTAAATTGAAGAACGCGGTCGAAAACTCAGTCCTAGAGGGATACGAAAACGGTTCATGTGAACCCACCAACAAACCACACCGCATTCCAGACCATCCATCAACACACACTATCGGATCATGGCTTGCGGTCGGAAACATCCACACAGACCCATCTCTAGACTCAGAAATACCTCTTGAAGAACAAGTCCGCGACTGCTTCATTCAATTACAAGGTATCGGTATCAATCCATCACTTGCATCATTTTCATATCCAATCCCAATCGTCCTATAGGAATTCTAGAATCACACGATCTGCGCATGGAAGATGTGGCTAATATTACACTCTTACTGCCTTCCCTCGCCCCCGAGGTATTCGCAGCCGCAAACAAGGCATACGCCGAGTTCTTTGGTGCTTCACCTCCTTCGAGGGCTTGTGTGGGCGTGGATCTTCCCGAGGGGGTGGGTGTGATGCTCGAATGCGTCGCGCGCAAGGATAGCACGAGGAGAGCGCTCCATGTACAGGGTTTGAGCTACTGGGCACCTGCTAATATCGGCCCTTATTCACAAGCTGTCACCGTGCGTCCAGTCTTTTGCGACGCGAGACACCTTTATAATTGCTAGATCAGGTGGAGCCCTATGTTTTCGTATCCGGTCAGATCGGTTTACTCCCTCCGTCTTTGACGCTCCCTTCTCCACCCTCGCTGGCGTTTGAAACTGCGTTGGCGTTCCAGCACACGGATCGCGTCATTCGCGCTGCCAACGCTGCAGGAGGCCATGTCCTGCTTTCGCTTTATTGGCTTGCGGATGGTGTTGATACCATACGCATTCGACGGGCTTGTGAAATGGTTTGCGAGGTGTGTCAAGATATTAAGAACTTGCAAACAAGAAAATCGATACTAATATTAACATTAATTTTGTAGAAGACCCCAACGTTATTCTTGGTAGTCGCGTCCCTCCCACGCGGGGCACGCGTCGAGAAACAAGTATTGGTGCATACAGGCGAATTCACGGTTCCAGACGAAGACGAAGACACGTTCACGCAGGTATCTCGCACTCCGGAGTTTTTGTCTGGTACGTGCATGCATATCTGAATCGTCCTGATGTGCTCACGTATTTTCAGGGGATATCCACGCCGAGCGCACCCAGATGTCTCGCACTCCGGATTTCCTGTCTGGTGCGTAGGACAAGTAGGAATTGGCCTCTTGTGCTCACGCATTTTCAGGGGATGTTGATGCCGAGTGCGGTATGACAGCGCCAAGCGACACGGTCCTCGGTTCGACCAGGCCATCCATATTGAACTGGCAGGTTTCTCGATTTGACGTGTCAGGGACTTCGCCGCCGTGCGTGGTTATCTGCGCTCGTGGACATCCATCACAGGAGGATGCAATCGAACTTAGAAAACTACCGTCGCTCAGTGCATTCTGGGAAACAGCGCTCTCAGCGAGATTGTTTCACAGAGTGGAAGTCGATTTTTCATCTGGTTGTACGTTCGATCCCAGACTGCGAGGTGTGTTTGTGTTGATGATCAGTGTTTGAACAGGGTCATCAGTGTGTCGCGTACTGTTTGAAGACAGGGCTACACCTGCAACCACGTCCATCCCCTGCCGATATATCGGCACTCAGGGGAGTGATGAACACTGGGATTGGGCGGTGGCCTTGGTAGGCGTCTCATAATTGCGCACCGACAGGTCATCTTTTCAATAATACCGCGATATTAATGGACATGAACGTGGACCACGACAAAACAAGTGATAGACATGAATGAATAGGATATGAAAACAGATATGCAGGATACAGCGGTTGAAAATGTAATGAATGAATGAGTATGATACAACCGTCGTCCACCCTAGATCATCGATGCACCTAACTTCACAAGAACAAAATCATGGCTCCTCTTCAGCCTTTAGCTCTTTCAGTACAGCAAGCCCACTCCTCATCTGACGCTCTGTCTTGGTGGGTGGCACCATACGACAGGCAGCAGCGCCGATTAGCGCGCACAAGCCTCCAAACCGCAGGACCCATGCTACGCCGTTCTTGCCCAAGTATGTGTTGTGATCAGGTTCGAGATCGGGAGAGGGAGAGGGAGCTGAAACGGGGTTGGATTCATCTACGATGCGGAAGATCACAGATGAGACCAAGGCGATCTGAGCGGGAGGGACTGAGTGAGGTTTCAAGGGAACAGATCAACGAGACTTACGATGAACTGTGGCATCACAATGGCAAGATTATGGATGCCGAGGATCGTGCCTCCTGCTGGCCTGGTCTCACTATCACTGGCCTCATCCTCAGTATCAGAATCTGATTCAACTTCTGAGGAACGACCAAGTAAAGGATCTTGCTCAGAGGCCTCAGTTGTTGTTTCAGGTAGATGAGGAATCTTTGCATGCATCTCTTTCAACAGCTATAATTTACGACAATTCAAACTCAAATCCACTTGGGAATGAACACGACTGACCTCCATGATAATGGCGAACGGTACCCAACATGCAACAGCCCAACATATCCCAACCAAGCTAATTGCAACCGTAGCTTGCTTGACGGTGCTTATCCAGAACGTAGAGAACGTTAGCAGGGTGAACAAGATCATCGCCGCTGTCCATATGTCCCGGAGGAGCCATGGCATCTTGGGAAGTTTTGTGATCCCTTCTTGACGCCACAGGTGAAGTCTACCGCGGAAGCGCTCAATCTGTGCATCTTCGTCATCACCTTCTACAGGGAGAAGACGACGGTCACGTCGGGCAAAGACGGGAAGTATGCCGCCGGCGAGAACAGCCACTATGTTGATGTGAGGTTTCGCCTCAGATGGTATATATGAAAACATACCTATGCTGTATAGCAACATTGCGAATTCACCGTTACGAGTGGCTAGCTCGTTGTCTGGCTCCTCACCTGTCTCGTAGGCCATAACTTGACCGACATATGTGGTACTAGTGTGTAAAATCAATTATAAAATGAGATATGAATTGAATTTGAGAATACTCACGAGTAGAACAAGAATGGGAACCTAATTTGACGCATCAGCACACCCGTTCAAAGAAACATCCATGTCACGCACCATCCCATGAAAGCGAAGATCTGCACAAGACAAACCCTTCTAATAGGTCTCGGAAGCGTTGTGATTGCACTGTAAATGTTCTCCAAAATTTCACCCAACTTGCCGCGCCTAGAAGTTCGTTCAACTAACAAGTCGTTTCCATGTCAATCCACCGACCTCTGGCTGTTCTTCCTTTCTGCAGAAGATTTCTCCTCATGACAGAAGCAAGTGATCCACACAGTGATAACAAGGATAGTCATGCTGACAACACAGAACTTTCGGAACTGATCGCCACCCAGGAAGCTCAGGAAGGGAAGCTTCGCAAGAGGGATAAATCCTTGACACCACGTCAGCGCGGCGTCGGTGGACGAGCATGGATAATGACATACCAAACCCGTAACCAACGATATTACCTGCTTGGCACATGCGGCTATGCCAAGCATTGCCGGCATTGAGCTGATCGGGCGGTGTGATATCCAGAAGAAGATTGCGCAAAGATGCTTGGAGAGCGTTGAGAGCAAAATCAAGAACGTAGAACGCGAAGACAGCTATGCCGATGGCAGCGTTTGCGGCCTGGCAGTGTAAGAGACATAAATGAGGAATGACAAATGTTAACGTACCTGCTTCGTGCGTTCTGGATCCCAGTCACCAGCGCCTCCGCCAAAGATATCAACAAAGAAACCAGCGATGTCCTGACAATAGGCCAAAACTAGCGTTGAGACGACAAGTGCACCCGTCGATAAGACCACCCAGTATCTCCGCCGATACTTCGACGTGGACGAATCAGATATTGCACCTTGCGAACTGTTCAATGGACCATCCAAAACCCATCTCAGAGGACATACCTATGAGGGGTTGTGCAATAAGGCCGCTGATAGGCCCAGCTAACCAGACCAAGCTGGTAACTTGTTCTGATATCCCCAGTGACAGGAGAAATGGTGTTCCGTATCTGGCAGACGTAGCGTTTTTTTTTCCCGGAAAACCAGTAGCATAAAGAACTTACCCTAGCTCCACCGTCCACGCGATTTGGGCGCCGGCCATGGATATACTGAGGGTAATAAGATTCCATGTGGTTAAGCGTGTTCGCCCGGGTTCGCTTGCGTGTTGCTTCTGCTTTCCGTTTCCATCTATCGCCTGGTATGATTCTTGTTCGACAGACTGTGTTTCTTGTTGAGAATTAGATGTTGTGCGCGACCTGTGGCTAGCTGGCCATGCTATCTGGGTGGTTGGGTCAGGGTCCGCGTCAGGATTGTATGCAATGGTCATGTTTCTGCTTAAGACGGTAACAAAGAGGAAACTAAGGGCACGAAACACAGCGAGGTAGAACTACCAAGCTGATCAGGTTCAGCAGCCTTGACGCAAAGAGGCACGAACCTCCTTAAGTAGAGCAGGCGAGGCAAGTGCTAATACCCCATAATCGGCATTCTCCGAGCAAAGGGAGCGAATATCGGTCTTGCCCCAAATCTGAAGATCTGAGGTCTGTTGTATGAGGAAGGGTGCAATTGCTACAAATAAGTTGTGCTACAGTACTAGTGCAAACAGACAATGCTGGGTGTATAAAAAATGTCCAGACGGAAACCAATCCCACCACAAAAATTGAACAGTGGAACATACAACCGAAGTGAAGTCCAGATGAAAGTCGTACAACAAATAAACAGTTATCCACGAATAGAAGCAGTTGAAGAGCCTCTCCGATGGCTATGATGACCTTGGGGTGGGTCAGGGGTGGGGGTAGGAGGGGGCTGAGCAGGTGAGGACTTGGACGAAAAGATACTGGGTAGTCTTCGGCTTATAGCTGCGGCAGTGGCTGATGATGCAATACGGACCCCTTTCTTAGGTGGTTCTGGGAACTGCGCGTATTGTGTGGGGGGTCCGGTGAACGTGCCAGGTTCCCCCACCAACTTCTCCTCGTGTTGAGAAGTATCTGAGGAAGGTGCGCGTGTGAGAACAGGAATTGGCGAAGGCGTAGCTTGTGCTGGACGTGCGCTGGACGGATTTGTCCCGGAACGATTTCTCAAAGCGTCTGCTTGACTGTTCTGGGTTTGTGTGGCAAGGGGAGATGGAGTTGTGCGGAGCTGTGCAGCAGAAAATGAAGGTCTGAGAGATTTTCGAGGTGCCGTCGATCCGGTGATGGCTAAAGAAGCCAGTGCGGTGATATCGTCACCGTTTGCCGAAGGACCAGCCGAAGTGAAGTTATTCCCATTCTGCGATTTATTGTCCGTCGACGCTGTTCCCGCACTTCCGCTACGATTTCTCCTCATGTACTTCTCTATCTCGTCCGCGTCTCGCTCCCGCATGCGGTTCACGATTGGTGACAGTGAATTTGGTTGCACAAGAGGTGGATTGAGTGTAAGCCCCTGCGAAGGTCCCGGGGAGGGGAAAGTGCCTGTACTGCTGGCCGACGACATGTTATCAGATCGTTGCGAATGAGGGTGGGTATATTGATGCGAGGGTAACCTCGACGGCTGCGACGTCGTCGAAGACGCTGAGAGAGATGAAAGACTGGTTCCTTGTCCTGGCCCTTGCCCGGCACTGTCTACATCGCCGCTGTCAGATGTCGCGGTTGTGCGACTTCCACCTGAGCTGCTCCGCATCCGAGACCCATTCCTTCCAACGCTGGGTGGCTTTAATGGAATAGGTGGCGGTCTGGCAATGGGCCATTCATTGCCTCGAGCAGCGGCTTGTGCAAATACCATGCGTCTAGATTTCTTATTAGTCTCAAATTGCATACGGGCAGAGTCCTGCAAAGTGTCCCGCGTGCTGAAACTGCATTACCGTTAACGGCCTAGTAATATGTACAAAAAAGCGCTAGGCTCACGAATATGCGTAATCGGACGCAGTGAAACCGTCATTGTTCCGAGCAGCAAATTGACAACCCCGTTCGATCAAAAGTTGGACAATCTGGGGCCCAAAAGTAAGCGAGAAAGAACGTCGCACTCCATCAGATGCGCGCCACGTACCGGGATATGACCCCAAGAACTTGCACTGACAAGGACTAGTCAATTCCCAGACCCGATGACTGGAAGGAACTTACTAATGTAGTGGAGTATTGCCTTTATTATCCGACAGATCAAAGTCAGCACCCAAATCACACAGCATCTTGAGAAGGGCATGAAGATAAAATAAGCTCAGGCTCATGATTACAATCGAGGTCTCGGGTGACTCACGCGAACAAGTTCTTCGTTTCCCTTGAGAGCGGCCATGTGTAGCGCTGTTTTCCCTTGCACGTTGGACCAATCAAGAATCCATGGGTAACGTTCGTAGTAAAGTCTTGCCATACGAAGCGCAGCACCCATGAGATCAACCTGCGAGGGGCCTGGCGCGTAAGGGTTGGGTGGTGGGGGCTTGAAATCAGCCAATAGCATGAGAATGGTGTTGTTCTCGGATTCCTGATAGATGAAGTGGTCAAAACCTCTCAGGGACAACGCTTGTGGCGAGCGCGTACCCTGCTGAGTTCTTCGTCGTCATGCCCAGCTGTAAGTAAAAACTCGAACGTCTCCTCATGTCCCAAGACAGCAGCCCAAGCTAATGATGTGTAGCGCTTCGGACCGGGGTCAGGATTCCGCATGTCTGTTCGTTGAATGAGTCTCTTGACGAGGAAGAGATTGTTCTCTGTAGATATGGGCGTCACTCAGAGCTACAGACTGATACCGATAAAAGAACGAACCTTTAACCGCTCTACGGAGGCGTACGGTGGCATCTTTTTCTGCCATGTACAGAGCAGTTGACTGTCGGGAGGAAGGATGAAAGAACTTTGAAGGAGATAGAAACAATTGAAGGCTTAATTACGACGACTGCCACACGTGACCATATGATTATTGACTTTGTCCGTTATCTTGTGCCTACCCAACATCTTGCCAACTCGTTCTAACCAGATTCGAGACCAGCCTCGACTACGTACGCTTTTGTCCGAGCAGGAGCAAACTTGAGTTTCTGGTCAAACATTAATCATGCCAAAGGTCGTCTCTCGTTCAGCGGTCTCCTCATCCACGGATGGTCAGTCACATCATTCCAATTATCTAGCCCATCAGCTGCTCATTTTCTTAGCACGGCCAACGGCATCGGCCGCAGCTGCTCTCAGGGTGTACTGTGAGTACCGTGCTATGCCGTTAATCGCATTAGTTCACCTGCGTCCCTTACACAGACTGCATCTGTGGCGAGTTTATCGTGCGCGTTTTCATTCAGGCTCGGCACTCCTGTCACGAACTTACGCAAGGTACATGACAGCTCGTGATTGAAAAAAGCCTTTCAGCGCTCCCAAAGCGCCAGACTGATGGTGCTACCATCATTCGCTGTCAGGATAGCGGTACAGAGGATGCAATCGTTCTCAAATTAAACGCTATATCTACTGATCCCGTTCTAGTCGAAAGGTACGACCAAATCGTATCCATAGTAGGCAGGGCTGATTGCAACGTGCAGGCCAGAGGGACACGAGCGCCAGTACAGATTCTCATGTCCACGGTGCAACTTATTGGTCGGATACCAATCTACACCACCCCCTGTCAAATCTGGTCCGTATCTGTATATCCTCAGGGGAGCCCTTACGCAAATGCAAGGCCAAGTTCCCAAGGACGCTTTTGATGGTGAAGCTGCCCTGGACCTTTCAGAAACTGGAACCCAGTAGCATGGTTGCATGAGATGGTTACACCACCGAATTGGATATAACCTCGGTACGCGCATAAATATGATCACATCAATTATGTTTTCCAAATGGTAGTAATACAGCATGAATGCCCGCCCAGGGTCTAGGGACATGGTCGTTGAATGCGGTGCAGAGCTATTAGTAACGGATGTCATTGATGAAAACCGATCACTGAAATGCTGAGATATGACATCGCGGGCAATCAAAAGACAACCTGGAAACTATTGTTAGTTAGACGTCTTGGTAAACAAAATTGAACAAAGTAAAAGCGGCTCAGCTACCGTTGTAGAAAAAACTCACAATCCATGCATCCAGTAGACGCACAGATTCATACAGTGTGAATAAATATGTCATCACTACCGCAAAAACAAGAGAAGAGCGAAACATGTAATTGTACACTCACCATTGGTGTTAGTTGCATCTTTGCGACAGAGTCGGTTGGTCAATATAGCGGAGGAAAGAGAATTTTCAAAATTTATCTAGGATGAGTTTGTTCGTGTTTGTTTGTGTGTGCTAGCAGCAAATAGTGAAGTGTGCACTAGCCCAAGTAATATTGCGTTATTCAATGTTCAAACAAGCCACTCAGCTTTGGTGACGAGACACTCTGACAGAGCTCAGAGATTTGACCTTTTGAAAGTCTACAGCGTGTGCAAAGACACCTCCCTCCGTTCATATGATTACTAGAGCCAGCACTACAAGTATATGGTCTGTAGGTATTGGCAATCAATGTAGCAAACTGGTTCATCTGGTATAACTGGGAAGTTAACTTGGACCAGGCCCACCTCTTCTACCAACTTCCACTCAGCGAACCTCTCTTCTGGAGGAGGGAATTTAAGCCCAACAAATGCAGTAGACCTGGGTTCACAGACAGGTACACAGTGGAAAATATCAGGTTCTCAGTGTAGAATGAAACCAGCCGACTTGCCCCGGATCCCTGGCACATGGCCGATGAGTGAATAATTAACGATCCTGAGTGCATATTGATCAATGGAGTTGAGTTGATAGCTGGCATCAATATCAATCTTGATGCTTGGACACAATGGGCAGTCCAGTGTAATGCTGTAGCCATGTCTTGCACACATATTCAAACGGATGTTGAGAGGGAATACTACCAAAGGCACTCACAAGCCAAGGCTGGTCATAGTCATTTCCAACTGCCCACTGCCTTCCAGCTCCAAACTTCAATATGCTATGAAGCTCTGTGGTGATTTAGGAATGGCATGCGAAGTGTGATGCCTCGCAGCCTCGCCCTTCCAGTTGAGGACAGAAGGGTCACCAGCCTGCATGATGACCTCTATGAGCCTGCAGAATGCACAATCTCCCCCTTCTCCATACACAATCTGCAGGCTCACATCAAACATTCCCATCAGGGAATATGCCACATCTTTGACCCTTGTTGTCTTGCATCTTGCTGCCCACATCATCCATTTATCCATCTTGGACGGACTTGGACAGAACTTGCATTGTAGGTCATCATAAGGAATACCAGTAGCTCTCTCCAGAGTCTCCAATATTTCAGCCAGTTCCCGACACCTCAGGCTGGATAGCAATGGCCTACTGACCAGGAATTCATTGATGTCATCCTTGTCATCTTTGTCATTTCTATCGCCTGTCATGGGCACCCAGTACTTGTTGAAGAATTTGATTCGAGTGGGTGTGAGGAGCCCCCGCAACATCCAGCCCCTTTCAGTCCATTCATCCTCCATTATGTCCTTGATGGTTTCACTTTGTGCTAGATGGACAATGCAAACAGCCAAGTTTCCATACCATCTAAACATGGAGTGAATTGACTCATCAAGCTTGGTGCTGCTACTTTTGTTAATGCAGCAAGTATCTGACCATGCAAATTTCATATTGTACTCCTCGGCTTTTGCACAGAACTTCTTCAGTTTCTCATATCCTGGACCTGCTGCTGCGCCCACCTTGATTTCTTTGTAGGTTGGCTCCCCTTGGTTCAGCCATCAGTGAGATAGGATGGTGTATCTGACAGTATTGAAGGGTTGACCAAGGTGCTTTATATAAGACATCCTGAAGTGCTCCCTCACCTCATTGCGCTCAACAAATGTCATGTCTGTTAGACATATGAGGTGTATTGGGATATCGTTCATCGTATATCGGTCAAATTCGTCTATATTGCATTCCTCCAGCAAGATCATGACAGGTCACTACTAACTGCAATGGATTATGCAACACAATGGAGCACACAACAAAACTCACCAATGTGGAGAACAAGAGAATATGCGGTGATGTAATGTTGAAAAAGGTCCTTTCTCTCGAACTTGACCAGCTATGGATTATTAGGTGAGTCTTCAGTACCTCAATTGCGGCCAAATCTTCACTCACCCCAGGCTGATAATAGAATTGTTTAAAAATTGTATTGAGATGATAAAACCACAGTATGAGAACCTGTTTCATCAGCCGAAAATATCAGCTCCTCATTATCTGCAACATATTTGAAACTCTACTTCAACTTGAGGCTTCCTGGTGGTAAAATAGAAAGGTGTGTTCTCAGTGAAAACGGTCTACAATATTTTGACACTGCCATAGAGGGTGGCCAAGGCTCGAGGCTATGGCCACATTGACCAAGCTTCTATTCAGATGCTGTGCAAACCCGGGCAAAGTTCCGTCGCAAATTTGCAATGTTTCTAAGTATTGGCTACAGTTTGTTCATGACCATCTCATGAGTCATGCTTTTTGCAGTGATTTTTGTGACATACCATTACCATTTGTAACAAATAATTACGTTTTGACAATCTGACATACTGATGTTCTGCTCCCTGGAGGTGTCAATAAGTATCAAGGCATGAATGCCTGCATTGCCATGGTAGTGTTTGACAGGTACTCTTGGTGGCTGATCAGCAGACATGATGATAAAATTAGTCAGGACAACCTGTGCAGCTTACCGGAAACTTTATCCCCACCTTCAGTAAGTCCATCTCAACAGTGCTCAACACCATCAAGCTCACCAGAATGACAGAAGAAGCAATCATGCCAGGCAATACACCTATTCAGATGTATGAAGATCATGAAGAAAGCATACTATCAGTAGCAGTCTTCTCTGATGGACAATGTATGGTCATGGGCTCGATAGACAGGACGCTTCATCTGTGGGACTTGAAGAGTGGTGTTGTGTTGAAGAAAATGGAGGGGCATGGCCACTGGGTGTGGGCTGTGGCTGTAACAGGAGATGGGCAATTGATAATAAGCGGTGATGACAGTGGAAATATCATCACCTGGGATGGTGACACAGGGGAATCTCTCACACAAGCCATCCAAGCCCACAACAAACTGATCTACTTGCTGGACTTTTCTCCAAATGGCCCTGTTCTGGCGACTGGTTCATTGGACGAAATGATGAAGCTGTGGAGGACAGAGATGTGGATGCAGCTGCAACTTGAATGAATTATTTATTGTGGTAATATTGTCCTCTGCATTTAGTATTCGCCTTCTGGTGAGCACCTAGCTATCGCAACAAAACATGATATCTAAATATGGAATCCAAGCACAATAGAACACTTTGCAACCTTTGAGGGACAGGCACAGTTCTGTTCAACAATAATTTTAAACTCCTCACTGGTGTGGACGCCTGATGGTGCAGGTGTTACAATCATGTATACCCCTGTCTCATTTTCTTCTTTACTTGTGTATTACATCATGACCACGCCTCGTTGTGCCATCAGTAGACCAGTCTCCCATTATATCTGTATTACATCACAATCGCTGCTGCCATCACTAGATGACTCATCCTTATCTCTGACTCGTCTTGATGACGAATACGTACCTACCCTAAAGTAGGCTACATCTATATAAACTCAGCCCTGTACTTAGCAGATCTTCACTTTAATCTACTAGGTTTTCACCTGAACTATCCTTCGCTTAGGACCTCCAATCCTAAGTCGTCTGATAACTGATATTCAAGTCAGAGACACTCTCTCCGACTTGTCTTAAGAAACCTTACATTCGTGAGGTCTTGATTCAACTGCAGACGTTACTCTTATCAAGTATCTGTCGTTGCGCCTATCCTAGTTCGCCGTAACAAAAGATTAAAGTCACCCACCAACCCTCTCCATCAGAGAGGTTACAGATTTCAGAAGAGATTCAGAGAGAGAACTAAATGTTCCCCTGAAACAGAAACATCACTTGACCAGACGTTCAGGATGTCCACCACCAACACCCCAGAATTGAAAGCCGGAGCTCCGTCCACTTATGATGGAAGCCCTCAGCAGGCTCTATGATGGTTGTATGCGATTAAGGCGTACTTTGCGCTTAACACTACAATCTACAACACCAACAAGAAGAAGGTTATCACCACTCTCGCATATATGACAGAAGATAGTGCTATGGGATGGGCACTCACTTTCTACACCGAAGTCGACAACTCCACTGCTAAATCCTATGGAACCTTCGCAAACTTTGAAACCAAGTTCAAAGAAGCCTTCGTGCCAGCCAATGCCATTGGCACCGCCATGAATAAACTCCGAATGTTGAGACAGACGAGCGACCTCACCTCCTATGTCGCCAGCTTTAAGACTCTTGCTGCACAAGCCTGTGTTAAGCAAGACGCCGTCCTGATCACGTTCTTCAATGACGGATTAAAGAGGGGAATCGTCAACTCTGTCTATCAGATGGAAACCATCCCTGTAGACTTTGACAAGTACGTTGCTGCAGTCATCAGACTTGACAGCAATTACCAAAGAGGCGCTGCATACCGATCAAATCATCGGACCGCCACTAGACCAATGGGACAATGTTATGTACCCAGACCATCCATTGACCGACACGATCCGAATGCCATGGAAGTAGACCGGCTCACTGAAGCCGAAAGAAGTGACCATATGAAGAAGGGACTATGCTTCATGTGTCACCAGAAGGGACACCTGACCAGAGCATGCCCACAGAAGAAGATTCCTGTTTGCTGAGAAGAAATGAGCGACAGCAAAGATGAAGATACAATGATCCATCGCCTTGCCGAGGATTTTTGATGTGGAAGACTGGATTGATGTCAGTATCTTCTGATGTACCTATCAGACTTGTACAAAGTATTGGAATCAGAAAGGCACTTCGCGTTCCCATTTCCCTTATTTCCAAAACTCGTCTGAAAACCGTCGAAACAACAGCTGTTGTTGACTCCAGCACCGCTGGAACCTTTATTTCAGAAGAATTTGTCAAAACTCATGGAATTCATATGCACAAACTATCGAAACCATTCCGGGTTACTACTGCGGATGGAAGTTATGCGAAAGGGGGCGCTATCACCCGATATTGCGTCCTTATTGTCAAAATAGACGAACAATCTATGATTGGGAAGTTCAATATCGCGCAGCTTGGCCGGTGTGATCAGATCTTACTAGGGATCCCTTGGCTACGTGCTATGGACCCGGTAATCTGATGGAAAGTGGAAATGCTAGAACTCCCCAAAACGGAGAAAAGTGACCAGATTGAAGAAGAAGTTGATAACGAGCGAAAGAAGAATGGACTCCCTCCTCTCTTCTGAAAATCGGAAAAGACGGGTCAGAAAATGAACCTGGTTCCAGTTGTAGTGCTGCCAAAGGCGCCTCCTGGATCAGTTACACCGCCCAGAGAACCAATGCCCCAAGCTACTATCGAAGAAGTTCCTGACGAAGAAGTCCCATTAGCGCTGCCTAACTTGGACCCCATCCCTGACAACAATGACAACTCTTTTGACATGAAAGATGATGTATGGACAATGGATTATGCACCACCCGTATGCGAAATTTCTACCTACCATCTAGAAGATGACGAATTCTTGATCAAATATCCTGTTGACACCTCCAAGCTCCAGGTAATCACCAACGTCTCGCTGGACACCCCTCTAACCAAGGATGGTACCAGTATTGCGGAATTACGACCCACGGTTACACCCCTATCACGGCCCGCTGAATACATTAAAACCAGTAACAAAGCACAACAGTTTGCACTAGCCGCTGGACTTGAACAAAAGAAGAAATCATTTGAAGAACTCGTTCCCTCCTACCTTCATGATTTCGCCGACATCTTCGCGAAAGACGGCCTAAATCAGCTACCACCAGAATGACCTGGTATAGACCACTGAATCGAAACTAAACCCAGTTTCATTCCCAAAACATCCAAAGTGTACCCATTATTGGAAGTAGAATGGACAGCGGTCAAAGCCTTCATTGATGAAAACGTAAAAAAGGGATTCATTTCTGAGTCAAAGTCGCCTCAGGCAAGTGGATTCTTTTTTGTAGGAAAGAAAAGCGGAGATCTTCGTCCCTGTCAAGACTACTGGTACATTAACGAATGGACGGTTAAGAACGCTTACCCACTTCTGTTACCACTCTCTCTGGTCGCTTGGTTACATGGTGCCAAGTACTTCATGAAGATGGACATTCGTTCGGGGTATAACAATATCTGCATTCACCCAGAAGATCGATGGAAAGCCGCCTTCACCACGGAGTATGGTCTTTTCGAACCAAACATCATGTTTTTTGGCCTTTGCAACTCCCCTGCTACTTTCCAGGCGTATATGAATAGAACGTTTCAACAGGAGATCAACGAAGGATGGCTTGTCATATACATGGATGATATTCTGATCTTCTCTAATGAACTCGCCTCCCACCATGAATGAACTCAGCACATCCTTGAAAGAATTCAACAGGAGAAACTCTTTCTCAAACCCGAGAAGTGTACATTTGACGCTCAAGAAGTGGAATACCTCGGAATGATCATCCGCCCTGGGTGTGTGGCAATGGATGATGCCAAAACCAATGGCATTCGGGATTGGCCTGTTCCCACAACCGTAAAGGAAGTCCAGTCGTTTTTGGGATTCTGCAATTTCTATCGCAATTTCATTTCCCATTATTCCAACATCACAAGGCCCTTAATTGACCTTACCAAGAAGGACGTCAAATTCCTTTGGTCAGAACGTTGCATGTCTGCCTTTTCCACTCTAAAAGAATGCTTCCTGAAGCAACCGGTCCTTCAGAACCCAGATCCCAGCAGACAGTTTGCAGTCGCTACCAACACATCTCTCATTGCTATGGGAGCAGTGTTGCTCCAAACCGATGATAACAGTGTTTACCACCCATGTGGATATTTGTCACAGACTCTGAATCCTGCAGAACGAAACTACCAGATTTTTGATTGTGAACTCCTCGTGGTTATCCGAGCCCTAACTGAATGGCGCCATTACCTGGAAGGCAACCCTCATTCTGTCGTTGTCTTCATGGACCATAAAATCTACTGTATTTTAGAACAGCTCAGAAGTTAACCCGCCAACAAGCCTGATGGCAATTGATCTTGTCATGTTATGATATCGAACTCCACCATGTTGCTGGAACTAAGCTTGTCGCCCCCGATGCTCTCTCTCGCCGCCCTGACCATGGCTCAGATTCCTCGGAAGATAATGTCAATGAAACACTCCTCCCCGATTCCATGTTCATCTGACTTCTTGATGTTGAACTCATGACCACACTTGCAAACCCTGACCCTTCCGACCCCGACCCCATCTTCGCCGCTGCTTCTGATGTGTTGGATGGCCGTTCCCTTCCTCCAATGAAATCCGCCCTCGTAGATTGGGCAATTAGGGACAATATTCTCTACTATAAGGACTGCGCTTACGTCCGCCCCGCCGGACGGCGCCTTATTTTGGAACAATGTCATGATCACCCCACTGCCAGTCACCCTGGGCGTTTTAAGACCAAAGAACTAGTCAAACGGGACTTCTGGTGGCCCTCTATGGGCACATATATCCATAAATACGTGGAAGGCTGTGCACTTTGTCAGCAGATGAAGTCAGACACTCACCCTACGACCCCCCCCCTTATCCTGATCCCGTCTGTTGCTGCAGCTCCCTTCACCCAGGTCTCTGTTGATCTCATTACCAACCTTCCCCCGTGCGCCGGTTTTGATTCTGTCATGGTCATGGTCAACCATGGGCTTATGAAGGGGGTAATTCTTATCCCATGCACTAAAACCATCACTTCCGAAGGAGTTGCCAAGAAATTCTTCAAATATGTCTACCGCCGATTTGGCTTGCACGAGAAGGTCATTTCTGATCGTGGACCACAATTCGTATCTAAATTCTCACAAGCCCTCGCCAAGCTCCTGAAGTACAACATAGCCACATCTACCGCTTATCACCCCCAGACTGATGGCCAAACGGAACGACTCAACCAGGAGCTCAAAACGTACCTTCGAATCTATTGTCGGAATCACCCTGAAGATTGGGTAGAGCACCTCCCTATGGCAGAATTTGTACATAATCATCGAAAACATGACTCTCGCAACGTGTCACCATTCTTTCTAATGATGGGATATGAACCATGAGCCCTCCCTCATATGCTTCCTGACTCTACGGTTCCCGCAGCAGAAGACAGACTCCGCTCTCTCCAGAAGTCTAGAGAAGAAGCACTCTCTTGTCATAACCTTGCTATGCAACAAATGGCAGAATGAACTCATGGACAGAAGTATCATCCATGGAAAATAGGAGATAAGGTTTGGTTATCTGGAAAGAACCTAATCACACAATTACCATCACAGAAACTTGCACCCAAACGATACGGCCCCTTCCTGATCACTGCCGTTCTCTCCCCTATCACGTTCACACTCCAACTACCTCCCCAATGGAAAGTTCACCCCACGTTCCACGCTTCTGAACTATCGTCCTATCATGAAACAGAAATTCACGGCCTGAATTTCCATAACCCACCTCCTGACATCATCGATAATGAAGAAGAATATGAAATTGATGCGATCTTATCGCACAAAGGAACGGGTAAATGAAGACGCTATCTCTTATCCTGGAAAGGATACTCCTCCACCAGCAATGAATGGGTTCCTGAAGAAAATCTTAGCAATGCTTCCGACATCCTTGCTGCCTATAAAAAGGCCCATAGGTTGTAAACTTCCAAACAATGTCCCATCTCGAATGACTATGCCTCTGCATATTACGCATTGAAGAACTTACCACTGCTATGAACACTGTTGCTGAAGGAAACGCCCACCCATTAACCCTCCTTGACTATCAGAACATTACCACCGCCAATCTCGCCCGCCACTCACCAACTCCATTAGAATCACCACCAGTTTCTGATTCTACCCTCACAGACTATTTCTCAGTCATTGACCAGGTAGAAACGAGCGCTCTATTTGAGTCCACTATTACCTCCCAGCAATACGCTATAGAGATAGATTGCCTCCTTGGAGAATGAGGGGCAATATCCAGTGGTCTTATCATCAGGATCATTAGGGACGCTAGTCTTATCGATCGTACTGCCAACCTCCTAGATGATGAATGCCACAAAACTATTTTTCACCATCTTCATATACACATTCGAAACACTGCAATCCGTCTCCTGCCTGACGATACTAGAGAAGCTATCCGAGAAGCCATCCATATCGTCACTGAGCGCATTGCCCTCGACCCAGTCGCACGTCCACCATCCCCCCACGTCACCATTCCTATCCTGCCACCAACTCTTACAACAACTACCGTTGAGCATCAGGGTGATAATATCCCTCCTATTGCTGTACTCAATGTACCAGATTCTCCTTCTCCTGCCCCCATCGCGTGTACTACGCATAGACTCCCACTTAAATGGAGATCCTCCCACATCACTGCCAAACGAGCAGCTTCCGTCTCCCTGTCCAAAACAACGCTTAAGCGATCTAGATCGCCCTCTCCCCCAAACCAATCCTCCTCCGTCACAATTGTAAAAATGCCGCCGGCCGACAACATCGTATGTCGTAACTGCCATATCACCGGGCATCGTCACAAGAACTGTCCTGCATACTATTGCCGAGTCTGTAAGGAGTATGCACCTGGCCATTTGTCGGTCTTTTGCAAAGAGTTGAAAGGAGAAGCAGTCATTCCCCTGGTATGGACTGACGTCGGTTTCTATGATGCTCTTGCCCGATGGGAGATTGAGCAGGATGCTCTCTACCACACCGCCAAGTTAGATGGCCCGCTCTCTATCACTGAAGAACAGAACGACTTGCTCGACTCTAACTACGACGCTGACCCCATTTACTGGGCCAACCAGGATAACTGAAGTCGGTGACTTCATTCCTAAATGAGGGGTAATGTTACAATCATGTATACCCCTGTCTCATTTTCTTCTTTACTTGTGTATTATGTCATGACCACGCCTCGTTGCACCATCAGTAGACCAGTCTCCCATTATATCTGTATTACATCACGATTGCCGCTGCCGTTGCTAGATGACTCATCCTTATCTCTGACTCGTCTCGATGATGTATCCTTATCTCTGACTCGTCTTGATGACGAATACATACCTACCCTAAAGTAGGCTATGTCTATATAAACTCAGCCCTGTACTTAGCAGATCTTCACTTTAATCTACTAGGTTTTCACCTGAACTATCCTTCGCTTAGGACCTCCAATCCTAAGTCATCTGATAACCGATATTCAAGTCAGAGACACTCTCTCCGACTTGTCTTAAGAAACCTTACATTCATGAGGTCTTGATTCAACTGCAGACGTTACTCTTATCGAGTATCTGTCATTGCGCCTATCCTAGTTTGCCGTAACAGCAGGACTTCTCTCAGGAGGCAATAATTATGATCCCACCATACGTGAGTGGGATACATCCACCTGGAGGCCAGTCGGTGACCCCTGGAAGGGCCATACTGACAGGATCAGAGCCATTGCCGTGAACTCCACTGGTACCCTTGTTGCCTCCACATCTATTGATCACTACATCCACCTCTGGCAGCTCTCAGACCAACAGACCACTGCCATATTCAAACATCCTAATTGGGTGAACTGCCTCGCCTTCTCCACAGATGGCAAGGAAATCTTCAGTGGAGGTTGGGATAAGAAGATCTCAAAGTGGGCAGTGCCCAAGGATGTTCTGCCTCATGCCAACGTACATTTCCACTCAACTTATCTAATGCAACATAACCATGCATCATGCAGATCTTTGCTACAAATGCAACAGCACACAATGCAGCACTCCTCAATGTGCAAAAGGTACAGCAGAGTATTTTGTTTTCTAGCCAATACTCATCAATGCGCAGGCCATCGACCTCAATCCTTCATCTTACCGTGGATACCAGTTGGAGCATGAGGCATTTTATGGCACACAACTTTATGGTAAAGCAATCACGGCCTTCAAGATCATGCTCTCCAAATTGGAAAATGCTCCAAACAGCACACACATGAAGTGAGCTCTGAATAACACATGCATAAATGTGTTTAACTCTCTCCAGAACTGCGCCAGCACTATCTCAGTCAATCCAAAGCAGAGAGTGCTATTCGAATGGTTATTCATGCTCAATTCAACAACTGTCCGCTTCATGTACTTGACACCACCAGGCTATTGTGTGATCGAGAGGCACAGATGAGGATCTTCAAAACAAGTACAGAGTACAGTGAACTTTTGTTATTTAAAATGAAATATCTGGATCTCAAAACAAAGCATGTTGAAGAAATGGTAGGCATGTATCTTAGCTGTGCCATGCTTTCACACAGGTGGGAAGAGAAGGAGCCACTGCTACATGACATCCAGGACAAGGAGATCTATGACTTGGATGCACCTGTTGGAGTCGTGAAGTTGCAGTCATTCTGCAAGGTTGCTCGCCATGCAGGGTGTCATTGGGCTTGGAGCGATACATGTTGCATCGACAAGACTAACAATGCTGAGCTCCAAGAATCACTCAACTCCATGTTTGTATGGTATCACCATTTGGTACTTACCATCGTCTACCTGTCGGATGTTCCGCCTTGGTCAAAGGCTGGTGCCCTGGCAAAGAGTGCTTGGAACATGCAAGGATGGACCATGGGAGAATTTCTGGCTCCCAGAGTCATTTTCTTTTATCAGCAGGATTGGACCTTATATCTCAACAATCGCTCTCTCAACCACAAGGAATCCGTCGTGATCATGCAGGAGCTGGGAGATGCGGTGGGCATAGATCCACAGGCCATTGTTGCCTTTTGTCCAGGAATGACAGGCGCCTGAGAGAAACCTCAATGGTCGTTGACGTGTGTCACCATGTTGCAGGAAGACATTGCATACTCATTATTCGGTATTTTCGGTGTGCACCTACCTATCATTTATGGTGAGAAGAAGCAAAATGCTCTCGGGAGGCTCTTGCAGGAGCTTGTGGCCCACTCAGGCAACATCTCTGCCCTGGATTGGATTGGAATGCCATCTGAGTTTAATAGCTGTCTTCCGGCCAATATCACTTCTTATAGTGCTTCACCACCCATATTGTCATCTCTGCCCGAAGATGAGATGGAGACATCAGTGTCCTTCCTGCAAAAGGTCATGACCGTAGAGCTAGCTTCAGAATTCTATGCCTTGCTTGACCAGCTGAGTGCTCCTCATTTCGCAAACTGCAGACTGCATCTGCCTTGCATTACATTCCCTGTCACAGCAATGAAGTGGAGGCATGGTCAAGGCCAGAAGACATCTTTCATGTACGAAGTCAAGGCAAAAGGGCTTCATGACCTGCTGATCACTACAGAAGACAAGCCAAATCACTTCTTACGGGCGAAGCTCACCCGGCAGACCTTGCTGCTTGTTCGTCTGTGGATGTGTTGCTCTCTTGAACTACCTGACTTTAAAAATGATATGCAGAGCATGACAAACTTGTCCAAGGTCGGGTCTTCATTATATAGTATCCCCCCAGAGTCTCGGTCACAAGCACTGCGATTCATTCCTCACATTGGACAGCCTTTCAGCTCATTCCTCGATTCACTTCACAACTCTCCTGGAGACAAGGAGGCGGTTTATTCCAAGTTGCATTTGCAAGCATTGCGGTTGATTGTGCGCCTTGGACAACCTTTCAGCGCATTTTTACTGGTGCAGCAGCCCAGTGGAGAGTACAAGAGAATCACGTCAGATCACTATATCATTGCACGAGTCCAAAGCATGGTGTCCATTCGCAGCATGATGGACGTTAGAATGCTGGAGATACTGTAGATATATGAACCAAGATCACTGTTTACAGCAGTTCACAAAACTAATGGCACTGGTGTGTTGTGGGAAAATCACGATTGAGATTTGGGACTTAGTTTTTTTTTACCATTCTGTGTTACATAATGCCACATTGTGTCCCAATAATTGATTTTATATCTGTACTGTGCTATACCATGTTCCTCATAAATCATACAATGGCCAAGGCATTCAAGAGTGCCGAATTTGTAGACAACACTGATACAGATATCATGGAACTGTCCTCAAGCCTCTCCGAATCAGATTCAGATGAGAGCTTGGGGTCTACAGCCATTGCAGAACAAGCACTTTCGGCACGAGACAGTATCAACTGTGAGCTAGATGCTGTGGGCCGGCCACCACCAGAGGCTTCTGTACCAGCTATAGCTATACCCCCAGCTCAGCAGCAGCGGAAAAAAGGACAAATGAGTGCATATATCAGGTTTCTTCTGGAAAATGATTGAGTTTGTCTGACTATATGCTCTAGAAAATGCAGCAAAGCAGCATCAGGCCACAGTAGCTGATGAGCCACCCCTACCTGAGTCTCTCATCGTCATGTACAACATCTCGATCTTTGTTCTAGAAAGTGTAAGTAACCCTTCTGACGTAATGAACCTTCTATGACGTGGCCAGCAATGACTCCGTCAATAGACATAGCTGCAACAGCTGTCAGCCACCTTCCTCACACAAAAACACCTCTCATGCTGGCATGTTTGCACTTCTTTGCCCGGCCATATCTCCGGAATGAGGTACATTCATCTACTGAAGTCTTGTCAATGAAGCAAAGTTCATCGGGCATGTATCGGGCCATCCGTCGCATGTAGTCAGCACGGAGATCTTCATTTTGTTCTTTGGTGATTTTACAGAGCTTTTTGAGGGAAACGCCCACACGATGGAGCTCACGGTGGATGGTGGTGTAGTGGAGTGCAATGAAGCGGTTGCATAACATGAGTCGAGTGATCTCGTCGAGAAACCAATCTGGCCAGTGGTGGACCAGTTCCACAAGGTACTGAACATCCTCAAGATTCAGCTTCCTCGGACGACCTGTGAATTCACTCCATGGTTTGACTACATCGCCGGTGTGCTGATAGAGCTTTCGGATGCGGAAGAATGTGCGTCTCGAGAAGCCGACGCAATCAAGGATTTCACGAAGACTAAGGATATCTTGCTCATACAGGCGAATGGCAGCGAGTTTGACGTCGGATGAGATCTTTCGGTTGACCATACTAGGTGTATTGTTGTCCAACGTGGTGCAATTGTTTGAATTTTTCTCTAAGTCTCAAAACGGTGAAAATTTTCAAAGTCCCAAATCCTCAATTATGATTTTCCCACAACATGCTAGTGCCATTATATACGCACACAGCTGTAATCTTCATTTGCACCTTGACGGTACCTAGAGCATCACTGCATGTATGTGTTGACTACAGATTGTTACCATTTGTTGGGCGTCTCTTCACAAACTTAGTTACATCGAAGATCGCAATGATCCATCAGTTGGTTATCGCAGTACCATCTCGTATTCCACTTCAGCATTGTTCCGGCCCGCGTTGAGTTTGTATATTCCAATACTTCGTACTTACATGGACTAACTCGTACCATAGCCCTAGGATTCTCTGATCTATCCAAACACTTAATAATGGAACACGGCCTTAACAGTGAATCACGACGTCTAGGAAGCGATGTTGAGAGACTCTCCCTCGAGGCTCAGCGAAAGGAACACGAAGTGGCTCTGTTGATGGGTGTCATATGCCGGCTAGAAACAGAACTAGCTCGGAATTCCAACATGACACCCACACAAGCAATCATCGGCGGCGCCAACTTGCGTGACTTACTCCAACTTTCACCGCCGGACTTATTGGCTCTAGATGATGACATTCGGTTGATGAGGCGGAAGGTGCTAGATAGAGCCCCCACACATTATGCTGAGGACGTGCAGGAGTATCTGACCAAGGCTATGAGGGAGGCTATGATCAGGAAGGGAATTAGGTATGATGATGGCGCGAATAGCGATTGGAAGGATCCATGGTACAATGTCTATCAGAAGAAGGAATTGGAGGATGATGCTAGGTTATTGGGGTTGAGAGATAGTAGGAGGGGCGTACCGGGTAGGACCGACGGTGGGAGATACGACATAACTGTTGCTTGTGATACGCTAATCGGTTTATCGCGATGGAGAGGTATTCATTGAACATTCTTATTTCCTTTACTTCCCTTTGATGCGGAGCAGTTGTTAGGCATACCAAATACTTCAAACTCACTGACAGTTGTCTCAATGTTTCCTGCCAAAGACAAGGTTTTTTCCCCGCCAACCGATTTATTCAAATACATCAAGTCAACAGAGAGAGCCTAGGCCTCCGGTAAATCATATGCGTAGATGCGTAGAACTGGGCCCTGTAATAACCCGTTGCCTGAGTACTAATAGTACTACTGAAACAGGGACAGGGTTTCAGCCCCTTGTAACCTCGTCAGCAGTAGGTAGATCCAGCAATATGAACACATGCCTTGATAATCACTAGTCGATGCGCTTGACTGACAAGCTGTACTTGTCCTTGCAGCGTGCAAGCAAACACTAAGCAACAAGTTCGGGTCCTCGAGTTCAAGCGTAGTACTAGTACATATATTGTTGTACGTTGTTGATTTACGAAGACGTTGCTAAATGAACACAAACAACCGCCAAGCATTGTCTTACAATTTTTCCTGTTTCGGCCTTGTTCCCATGACTCTAGCCCCGCGAAGGATGTCTCAATCGCTTGTTCCAGCTTGTTCCCTGTGGGTCCCATGGATATTGCACTTGAAAGTTTCCGAAAAAGGCAATTCTTGGTGCCATCCTGATTGCTTGATTTTTTCCTCGTCCTTGTCACACGCGGTCGCCAGAGCAGCAGCAATCGACAAGGTTCCGAGTTGAGGTACTTAAGCAGCCCGAATTTCAACATGGCTCTCCCATCAGCACAGTTTCATCCGCCAGCGAACTCTAGATTGCACTAGTGACTAGTATCACCCGTTCTCTCGTACGCATCCTTATCTAACGCAATGGCTTACACAACCTCGAACAAAAACACTCACTTCGGTATCTTCCCTTCCGCTGCTGCTTCTCCCAACCTATTTGTCCTCTTTGGTCATGCGCAGTCACCTCGTGATAACCACATCAGGTGCGAAGACCTTCGAAAGGTCTTCGGTTCCACCAACTTGAATGGACGCACTACCCAGAAAAAGGAGAGCTCTGGTTCCGGGTTGAAGAAGATTCTGAGTGCCATATAAATCGGCCCATCAATGCGGCATTTTCCTGTCCGCCGGTCCACATATTCCTACAGGATCCGGACATGGAGCCATGAGCTTCGGTGCTTCATATACGCCTATCTCATTGATATCCGGCGCGCCGGGAACTATCACTTCCACCATATGCTCCCACCATCCAATCGGTGCCGTGCACATTATAATCGCAACTGGGTCGAGTTTCATCTCCCCATTGTATCGGAGACGAACAAAATCTCTCTCTCGTACTCAGCGCTACCGCTCTAACACTAGGACTCACTGGGGCAATGATTTCGGGGCGTAGGGGGGGAAAGGTTGCATAAGATAATGACATGAACCAAGGGAACGTGAACGGGCGTCCCTTACTATATCATATATGCCTATAATTCGCCTATACAGAAACCCATCTTTCATTTCCCCATTCTCGAAGGGCCTATCTGCTTCGAACTTCTTGATGAACTGATCGCGAGTCAAGAAAGAATCAGATCTAATCGATACAAGTGGCTCTGCCAACTTAATAATAACTCAGGACTAGAACGTGTCACTAGTGGGCGATATGAAAAAAGGTACCAAGCTTTCATTCAGTGACAATGTAAAGTCCAAGACATCTTCCATTTGACAGCAAGTGTGGTTCACCAAACCCAGAGAGGCAAGTACGACCCAGCTGCACAGTAGCGCCCGATTCATCCTATCGCACGCACAGCCTAGTCTGCCCATATCCCTATCTACCAACCACAGCCCGTGCCTTCAAGTTCATGCCAAGGGCCCGCCTAGTGCTTGCTGACCCCCGGGCATTGGTGGTACAGACGGCGAGCCCGAGGAAGACGTCAAAGCGGAAGCAGGTTGAGATACCGGAGTAGATGGAGCACCAAGAAGAGTATTCCGTGTCGCCGTAATGAGATCCCACTGATCTGTGTCCCCATGCACATCAAACATGTTGACTCCAAGCATACCCGTCTTCTTTGCGAACGCCCCTTTCATGGCCAGGGATTCGGGATCGTCGTATGGAATAGTCTGCGTATCTGAATGTAAGAAAGGCGTCGCGGAGCACTTGTCCCAGGAACGCTGGAAGCCGCTTGAGGGCACAGCGACGTACGTTCCGTCGTTGTTGCGCTGTAGGACGCCCTTGGTCACGAGATCTCGGAACTGGATCTGATGATCGTCGTCAGAATTAACGGTGGTGCGCCTGGCAAGGCGGTGGAGACGCGGGGCTTCGGGAGAGCGACGTTGTCGAAGGTGGTCTATACCGATGTTGCTGACGTAGCCATATGCTGGGATACCAAGAACCAATTTGTTCGCGGGGAACCCCGCTAATGTCCAGGCGTTGTACCCAGCTACTGCATTCTGAGACGGCTGAGTAGAATTTCCACACCCGTCGTACAAGGGCGCGTTCGGGCCAGGGGGGGTTGCAGCTATAATTTTACTATGCATTAGTACTTCTCTATTGTTTGTTTCTAATGCAAACGGACCTTGAAAATCGTCGTAATTCATGAGCAAGATCCAATCGACTACCTGCGCAAAACCGGACGCGTCTTTGATAGGTTGACCGTCGGAGCCAGCGAACGGAGTGTTCTGAACAGCGGCTGACATTTTCGCTCCCGGGGGGAGCTTCAGCCTAAGAAGCTTCAGGAACTCGAGCATGTTATCTTCGTCGCTTGGACTTTCGGTGTTGCCTTGTCTGCCTGATTGTCCGGGGTACTCCCAATCGATGTCGATGCCATCGATGTTGTATTGGTTGTAGGCGGCAAGGATGTTACTGACGAATGTATTCCTATTGGCGGGTGTGGACACGGCTAGCGAGAAATAGCTAAAAGTCTATTAGTAACGCGGAGGAAAAGGTCAGGGGTGCAACTTACTGACTGCCTGTCCATCCTCCGATGCTAAGCTTGACCAACGTCCCCGCGGCATGTGCAGCCGTCACGAGGTTGCGAAGCAAGGTAGGCGCATCAGACGAATCAAAGATTAGCTTAAACTCTGCGTCCGGGAAAGCAAACGCAAAGTCAATGCAGTCGAATAGGGCAAAGTTCATATCGGTTCGGGGGGCCCAGTCAACAAAGTAGGTCATCACGAGCGTTCCTGACATGGCAGTGGCGCTGCGCCCGACCTCGGAATGGGTTACTAGGTTCGCTGAATGTATGTTGTTTCCATAGCTAGATGATAACTGGACTGAAGGAGCGGAAAGGGTAAGGAGCGGAAGGAGAGACAACGTTGCGAATATGGGGGATAACATAGTGAAAACGTAGAGAAGCTGAAAGTAGATGAAAAGCGAAATGTCAGTCATGAGAGAACATGTAATGTAGATATAGTCGTTCTTAACTTGACGTCAACCACCGGGGCTGACGGCAATTTTGCGACTGCAGTGGCGCATAAGCCAGCCGCAAGAACAGATGCATGGTTCAAACTGGGGCTGACGGCGATCCATGATAACCTGGGACTGCGTCATAAGTAATGTAAATTCTCAAAGGGTGGATGTAGACATACCACTGTGCCGCAAAGGGCTTTTAGCCATGAACTCGTATATGGTGGCTTGAAGCGCAAAACACTAGTACTATTACTAGGTGCTACCAGCTGCAGCATTTCGGCAAAATATTGCCCGAGTCATCCAGCAGGTCAGCCGCAAGTGCAGGCTGACGGTGATACGTTCACCTGTGACTGCACGTAAATCATGAATTCAAAAGGGCGGACATAGTATACTACACTTTTAGCCATGACCCCGTGTGGCACAAACATGGTCATTCGCTAAAAGTGCAGAAACCAGTCTCACCTGGGTCATCCAGCAAGTCAACTGGAAACGCAGACTGAAGCTGACGATGATCAGTTTGACCTAGACGCGATAAGCGTGAAATGCAAAAAGGTTGACATGTCGACGTACCACTTCACAAGTTCACCCGGCGGCAACTTGAAACGTGCACCGCAGGTATGCTAACTTGAAACCGCGGAATGAGTACCAAGAGTACTAGTTACTATGCACGCGAATCACTGTCAATCACGGTCGGCTAGCTGGCCACCAAGGTTATATGCATGTAGAAAGCAATAAGTAAATTGGAAAGAAGGCGTGGGCACTTCGCACAAGGCCTCAAAGGAATACAGGCACGCGGTGGCTCAGCGCTCGATAATATATTGACACGGCTGCCATCACGCCGGTACAGTCTATGTTCCGGGAAACGCGTCTAAAGCTAATTGAACCCTTTCACAAAGTTCCGAGGAGTTAACTTGTCGCGCAAACCTGCTAGTATACTGACATTATTGGCCGGATTGAGAGGACAATGGCAACAGTATGGATGCAGATGGGTGATGGCTTGGTATCCGAGTCAGAGACAGGACAATGGGCCTATTAAGATTAGAAGGTTCTTCTTTCACGTAGGAGACGATATGCGAATCGCAGAAGGACACTTTAATTAGAGAAGCATTAGAGGATCAAAGGGAGGATTGCAATGAATCGACTCAGTGAGAAGATCCGCCATCTCGTCCCAGCCAGTACCGACACGTCAGACAATTGTTTTTTTCCAAATTAAATATTGACGTATTTAACTCCTGTTGGTGACTTACCCTTACCCTGGTTTCCAAGTGAGTCAGAGTCCCACGCGTTGTGCGCGATTGCTATCACTCCGACTCGCTTTGTCGTAGCTCGGAGTGGCGTACACCTGCATTGTCCATTCATGTGGCTAGTACAGGTTCTATGTAAATAATTTATTGCTAGTCCACGTCAATATCGAGTACTTCGGTTTCGGAAACACGTTGGGTTCGGTAAATCCGCCAATAATATTTGATCGGAGGATGATAACCCCAATTAGGCAAGTGATACCAAGTGAATGGTACAGGATTACGTCGAGTGACTCGGACTGCCATCAAGTTCTCTTTCGGAACAACATCTGCACGTTTCTATAAAAACCAGTTCAGTAAAAATGTACTCCCGTATCATACCTCAGCTGGGCCCCTTTGATCATCATCATGTCCTTCGTTGCTCGTCGTTCTCAGTCTCCTCCTCCTCCAATGCCTTCCCCTGAACTCATACCAACCCCTCTGCCATCACCGCCCCCCATTCATCGCAGCTCTCGTTTGACCGTCCCTGCAAATAATTCACCACCCATTCCCCCTCGCCTCATAGGCTCACCACTTCTTCAGAATACTCTGAACGCGTCCAGGTCACACGACCGCTTAAACAGAAAGGCAAAGGAGGGTCTCTTTGGCGAGGACGACGAGTTCGGCGCGCGTAAACGCGCTTTGGGAAAGAGAAGTAACTCATCAATATCATCACTCCCTATCCTTTCTCCCTCTCCAACTCGCACTACAAGGCGCGGATCGAGTCAATCATCAACCCGTTATCGTTCCCCGCCACCTAGCCCTTCAATCGCGTCTCCACCACCACCCGTTCCTCCCATCCCAGCATTCATGCTCACCCCAACCGACAGGAAGTCTGTCGTGCAGTCAATACCTAATAAACGAGCAACTGCTCCTGCACAACACGCTCTCTTTGACCTCTCACCTTCTCTCTCGAGGACACGATGTGAATCAAGTCCCCAGACTCCCGGCGCAATGACCTGCATGCAGTTTTTTACCATGCACAATGCTCCTCGCAGAGATTGCCGAGTCTGAGCGTGCACGATGGATGACTATTCCCCTCGTAACGTCGAGCTTACATCTTGATGAACCTTAAATAAGGCCGCACCAGCTACGTCTTGTGCCATCATTGTACACAACTTAACATCATTGGGACGACATTACTTGCCAACGACCTTCCTTGCACATAACCGTATATTCTTTCTTTAATATTTATACCTCCTTTATGTTCGGGTCTTAACGTGCCTGATGCACTCTGTCTCTCTTTTTCGTTCCTTCTAGTATACCTCCCCACATTCACTGATGTAGTACCACCGTTACTCCCCTTCAATCGACAACCAACTCACAAAATGTCAGTGCTTACTCTACACGCATCCGTACCACTACTTATCCCAACCAGTACCATAATGTTCTTCATTGTGTTCCACCACTCGTAATTGATACAAATGCTAAACTGTGTTTGAAACAATGTTTGTACTTGTCAAGTTAGACCGTCATCTTGGAAGGTTCAACTAGAATTCTACGTGAACCCCCTAACCCGATGGTTCCTTTGTGTCGTCGGAAACACGTACACTGTAGTTCAAACTTACTATCGTCAAGCGTAATTTTATGTGTAAGTGTACGATATTCGGCCTGTATCATCGTAAACGACGCGAAAGCCACAATCAGCTCGTCTGACCAAATTAAGTTGTTAAAGCCGAACAAACTAGCCCGGTATCAGTCACACGACTACTCCGCCACATCGATACCCTAAGGTTTTAGCGTCGAAATGAATCATCCGACCCCCTTACGGGTTTAACGCGGACGTCATTCGTATCTGCTGACTAGTGCCTACTCGGAAGGAACATTCCCTTTGACAAATCACGTTGTCTTATGACGTCCGAAGACTTTTCCAGAGAAAGCAGAAGCTCGTCATCGAGATCAGCAGCTGACGTTTTAGGTCAGGATGCTCCGGCTTTGGTGCCCCTGGTGACGTTAGGTCCTACACATATGTAGGCGCTTAAAGGAGTCATCATGAACGTACAACGAGGCAAGACGAAATTTTCTTTCAGATCCGACATAACACAGTCAGGGAGCGTAATATGTCGTGACGCCCGGGCGCCTGAAGTCGTCAACAAGGTAAGAGGAAATTGTGTTCCATAACGGACCCAGTGGTGTCCTTGGTCTGCAGCGCTTGCGCTAAAGCGTCGGGCACGGACACGGGCATAATCAAATTCAGAATACCGCTGATTGTGAGGATATGACGGGGCCGATAAAAGCGTGCAGTGCAAATGTCAATCACATGTCACCTTGCAAGGTCACCTACTATAGTCTATAGCTATGTCGGATCGATCAGTACGTGGTCGTTATTACTGCGACTTCCCCCTTTCATCGACGGAGTGCTCGATTCAAGAAAAATGATATTTATTTTACGGTTCTTCGGAGTAACGGCGAGCGACTAAGACTTTGCTCGGTGTGTAGGCGGTGCCCGACCGTAGTACATGACGTCTGTGGACTGCAAAATACAGCGTAGCATAAAGAAGGAAAGTTTAAATAATACCAATCATGATCGTCTCTGCATAGTAATGCAACAACAGAGATTGGAAGATGTAGGGATACAGCTGTAGCGAAGAAGAAGAAGAAAAAGTCAAGTCAGCTATCGATACAATTTTTTTCGATTTAATTGAGCGCCGTACCAAATACACTATTATGAACCAAGACAAAAACATGGTTTTGAAGGTCCAAAGATGCAGCGGTCATGAAAGTCAATGTTTGGTTAAAGTCCCATTCTTTCCGCCAACGTCCGATCTCCAAATGTATATGCGTGACCTGCAAACCCTCGAGTTCTCCGTCCCCCGCCGCCGCCACTGCCGCCACCGTTGCGCCGCGAGAAACGGTCCCGGTCCCGGTCTCTGTCGCGCTCTCCGTCGTGTTCGCGTGCTCGGTCTTTGTCCCGGCGGTGGGACTCGCGCTCCCTATTATCATTTGGAGAGCGTGGACGTGTCCGCGAATCTTCATCAACCTCCATCTTCACATTGCTTGTTTTTGCACGGGGCTCTGTGGGGGAGAGGCGAGGCGAGCGAGGAGGTTCGTGGTCTCTGGGAATACTCTGGCGCGCATTGGCAATGTGGGGTTTCGTTGGCGGAAGAGAGATGTTGGAACGTGCGGGTGACACTTTGGGCTCCGAGAGACGCGGCTTCTTGTGAGCTCTGGGTCCGGTTGGGGGTAGCTTGATTACCCCATTACTCGTGGATGCGGGGTGGTATGAGTCACGAGGGGGAGGCGCATATGAATGATGGTTAGCGTTTATTTGACGCAAAGAAGTTTGGAAGCTTTCATAGGACTTGTCTAGTTCCGACCTGTTGCGTTTATACGTGAGTGAAAATTACACCTGGCTTATGAGGTCACTCACGACAGCGAAGCGATCACTTGATGAGATTCTAATGAAACGTGCCGCATGTGAGGAGCAATTAAAATAGAAGGAGTCAATTAACGCATACCTCGCAAAGCCCCTTCTAATCTCTCCACAACTCGTCGGAGTCCACGAACTTCCTCCTTGAGCTTTCCAGTCTCCCCGGATTTGAGCATCTCATACAGTTCATCGTTCTCTTCCTGCAGTATGCGTACCCTCTGCGTCAGTGCGGTGTTAACCGTACTCGACGAAGAAGCCACTCCCGTTCCTTCACTAGAAGCTGCCTTGTTGATATGTGGTAACAACACAGAGACTAGCGCGGGGGGCAATGTAACAGGATCTGTGGTCGATGCGCCACTCTGAGCAGCAAGGTGCTGACGAAGACGTGTCACTTCATCCTAGACAAGACAAGACCGGGTCTATCAATACCACCAATCGGCGCCTGGAAAAGGAGTGCCTTACTGTTAGTTCAGCAACCTGAGCATCCCGTTTTCTGAGTTCTGTCTCAAGGTCTAATTCCCTAGGTGTAGGGAGGTCCATTTAAAAGTGCTTGAGTGCACGGACAAGCTGGCCAGCCTGCGGAAGGTTCGTTAGAAGGGTGCCGTGTGCAAGACCGTTCGCGCGCCTCTTTGGGTTCGAGGTCACATGACGTAAACGGCGGTGGCTGTAAAACTTCGACTGAGTTACGTTGCAAGTCTTCATCTCACGATCATCATCATCTATGCGGTGGCATTCCACCGATGCAGCTATTGCTTGATTATCGATTGCAACGAGGTATGCAATGAGGGCTCAGATAGACAAGTCTGTTCATGATATGTTACTTCTAACTAGACTGCGCAACCCTGATCGGTTTATCTGTGGAGAAGATATCCCTCTGCGGTTCTTTCTGTCGTATTTCTCATCCGGTAGATCAGTGGTGAGAATACACAGAAATGAATCGCATGGACTGTCGTTAAGGCTTCTGTTTAAATGTTCGCAGGATGCTCCGGAAGATGAAGTTGACTTCTTCCCTGTACTCAACATTGCAGATATGAACACCGAGGATGCCCCCGAGAAGGCGGTATTACGACCTCGTTGGAGCAACGCTGAGCACAACTAATGGCTTGACAAAGACTACACTATAGGAGACTTTAACTTTAGCGCACTGGTGCGAGTTAGACTGGTGACCACTCTGAAGCGTGGAGTTTGACATAAGAAGGCCACGATGGAGCAGAACATATGCATGACCGTCGGTGTCGCATGCTGCACGCCGGGATCGTTAAGTAGGTGGTCTTTTTTTAGCAAGTTATGGGTCTTATGACGCCTCGAAGCAACCACCGCTTACATTGAATTTAGGTCGCGCTGGATATAAAATGGCGCAGTCCGATTAGGCGGAGATCCTGACGTGACGATCCCATCGTTCTCCACCGTCTCATTTGTATCCATTGTTATCATGGGTCTAACAAAGTTTTCTTCATTGGCCATGTTAGCGCTGACCGTTTCTGCTGCCTCTTGGAGCGCAACTCCTTTTAATCCCGCATCTGTCCCGCTCGCAGTTCGGTCGCCTTATCTGTCTGCATGGCTGCCTCAAGGTGCTGGCACAGCGCTGAACGGTGCCTGGCCCCAGTTTTGGACTGGATCAGTGAGTTTTGCTCATTATACACATTTGAACATTGACTAAGACATTTTTGTGCAGACTCTTGGATGGGCTGGCTATATCAGAGTTGATGGTGCCACGTATACCTTCCTGGGTGATCCCGTTGTTGCAGGTGCCGAATCTGCCGTCCAAAAAAGCCTGGAGGTGATTGTGGTTCGATCGTATACATGAGAGCACGCTAATACACCATGCAGTTCACTTCAACGCAAAGTATTTTCGTAATGACTGCCGGGCCGGTGGATATAAATGTGAACTTCCTCAGTCCTGTCGAGGTACATATGTTGTTCTGTGCCTTTACATTGCAGCAAGTTATTTTTAGCCCACAGACCTCCTTAAGCAGTCCATCCCATTCTCGTATCTGGCACTTTCTGCAGTGTCTAACGATGGAGGGTTGCATACCGTCAGCGTATACACCGACATAAGCGCAGAATGGGTATCTGGAGATGACTCTCTGACGGTCAACTGGACCACTTCTACGGGCAACATCCTGACTCATCGTGTCATGCTTGAGAACCAGGAATTGTATACCGAGTATAGTGACCTTATCCAACGTGAGTGATGAGTACAGCTCGCTGACTGACCGACGACTGAGATCATTCTTTAGAGGGAGCAGCCTATTACTCTACTTCGAATGTCTGCACCTTTGTCACTGGATTTCCCTTCTTGTGCTGATTCTTTCATCAGTCTTCCTCCGTGACGTACCAAACCGGCCAAGATGCCGTTGTTCGAGGCCAATTCATCAACAACGGTGTTCTTAACAATACTGAGGACACCAATTTTCGTGCCGTCAGCGACAATTGGCCAGTGTTTGCTTTCGCTCACGACCTTGGCACCGTGTCAACCACTGCTACTGTGCCTGTAATATACACTGTGGGTCATGTGAGAGATCCGGCAATCCAGTACATCGTCGCGAACGACGTCTACCAACCCCGAAGTATTTACTTCTGGAGTGCTTACTCAAGCGTCGCGGACTTGGTACGTCCGTGGTCTTATTTGACCTATCACTAGTTTTAGAAGCCATGCTCCAGATTTCTGACTTCATTGGGGACTACTCTACTGCGCTGGGACGTGCGCAAGCGTTCGACCAGAAAGTCCAGAGTGACGCCTCGGCCATTTCGAGTAATTATGCTGGTGTCGTCGCACTGTCGGTTCGTCAAGCCTTTGGAGCCTTGGAGCTTACGTTGTCGAAGAACAGTAATGGAAGTTGGAACACAGATGATATCCTGATGTTCTTGAAGGGTAATACATGGCTACTTTCAACCAAAATCAGTTGTCTGACACGAAAACCCCAGAGATCTCTAGCGATGGTGTAGGTGATATATTTTGGAGCTGTAGGTTGCTCACTTCCGCTAATGCAGAACGTGAACACTGTGGATGTCATCATGCCCGCATGGCCTATTCTCTTGTATACCAATCCCACACTTGGAAAATATCTCCTACTCGGCCTCCTTGAGTACCAAGCAACCGGTCAATATCCCAATGCTTGGGCTGCCCATGATCTTGGTTTGTCTTCTACAGAAAGTCACCGAGTTTCCCTAATTCCTCTTGTTATAAATTAGGTTCATCTTATCCCAACGCTACGGGTCACAATGCCGGTAACGATGAAGCCATGCCTCTCGAAGGTGATCTCCCTTTCTGTGCATATAACTCGATTCCTCAGCGCCTATGCTTTCAGAGTGCGGAAATATGCTCATTATGGCTTTGAGTTACACTCAGAAGTCTAATGACATCTCCTTGATCACCCAATATGTCAGTACTTACATGACCTCGTACCCCATATGTTCACCACTTTCTACAGACGGAACTTCTTAACCAATGGACCGGATACCTCGTCGCAGAAGCCCTCATTCCTGCGAATCAGATCAGCACAGATGATTTTGCGGGGGCTCTCCCCAACCAGACTAATCTAGCCATTAAGGGTGTGATAGGCATCCAGGCTATGTCTGTAATTTCGGGCATATTGGGCGACACCGTTAATCAACAAAACTACAGTGTACGTTATTGTTGAAGTTCTAGGCTGACATGAACTTAGTCTTCAAATATTCAGTCAATCGTACAGCGCTATGTTCCGCAAATACTTAACTATGCCACATCGAGCGACGGGCTGCACCTCACCTTGAATTACGGAAATGAAAGCTCGTAGGTCTCGCGTATAAAATCTGCGTTTTGCGGGGCGTCACTGACGGTGTCAAGTTGGGGTTTGTCATACAACCTGTATGCAGATAAGTTACTTGGCACCAATGTTTTCCCAGAGTCTGTCTATGACATGCGTAAGTCCGACTGTCGCTCGCTCTGAACAGTTCTGAACAGCTTGGTAGAAACCGCGTGGTATGCCACCGTTGTCAGTGAGTAAATCACACATAATCAACATGGAATAATGATTCACGCATACATCTTCAAGATGCTTACGGCGTCCCTTTGGACACTCGGTGAGTTGCTTCTCGACCTAAGTGAACTACATAACCAACAGACTCATAGCCACACATACACTAAATCCGACTGGGAATCATGGACTGCTGCCATTATGACGAACACGACGACGCGAGACATGTTCATTGATTCTGTCTACAAGTATGCTGCCGACGGTGAAAGTAATCAGCCGTTCGGAGACTGGTATGAGACACTTGATGGCACTGTGTATGGATTTAGGGCCCGCCCAGTCGTTGGTGGTCATCTGGCTTTGGTGAGCGTTGCAAATAACGCACTTCGTTGATGTGCTGATTTGGTCGAAAGCTTGCTTTGTGAACTACCGATTTATTACATATCGACTTGAAACTTGGTTTGTTGTGATTCCACCAAGCGTCAGGAATATGTGGTGTTCGAGTTGTGCATGGAAGAGTGACATTATTATATCTTGACGCAAGCCGCAAGACAGCCATGCCTAGTAACCAGGCCTTTAGGGCACTGAGCACCCAAGAGGCTACCACGCATGACCTTGTCTGGCCCAAATGTGTACACAGCACCGTGAATTGTCTCTAGGTTGCTGACTACGTACTCCACAGTAAATCGCTGGGTGTTACCGGCGAGCAGTTGTGGTATGAGAAGATGCGAGAATATTGGCTAACTTGGTGGCTGAGTTTGAACTTTGAACTACAATCAGCTTCAGGTTCGAACAAGACCTATCATGCATTTCTCTTACTATGCATATCTGTCTCTTGCCGACGGAAATCCTATTTCGCATATTCACAACTATCTATGGAGACACCACATCAATGTATGAGGACTCCATAACAATCTCTCGTGCTACACTTGCTACTCTTGCAAGGACTTGCAGGACATTCAAGGAGCCTGCGCTCGATATCCTTTGGAAACATTTGGATGGGTTCGAGCCACTCGTCTTGTGCTTACCTGAAAGTGTTAGAAACAGAGACGTGCAAGGAAAGTTGGTGAGCTAGATGTTCCACATGCGACTCATACATGGTATGAAATGCCTAATTTTGAAATAGACACTCAAGAGACCTCCCTTCATTAGAGAGTGGAGGATTGTTTGCCAATATGCACAACGTATCCACTTTTTGAGCATCGATCAGACGTCTCTAGACATCATAGACGACCGGGTCATACAAACGCTGATGTTTGCGTTACCACCCACACCGCTGTTACCGAATCTTCGTACTTTGCATTGGTGGGATGCTCGAGATAGGTTTCTTCCGTTGTTGCGCTTCTTGCTTGGGTCAACTATCACATCATTGGAGCTTGGGTTTGACGATCGGGCACCCTCTTTTGCCAGATCTGCTTTGTTAACCTCGCTCAGTGCTCGATGTCCATTCATCCGGGAATTCACCTGCACAGGGCACGGCGAGGATTCCCAAGAAATTTTAGATGTAATATGCGAAGCTGTGTGTGGTTGGCAGAAACTCTCCCATTTCAGTACAGGAATCCTTAACACACAAGCGCTTACTCATCTGGCTACCTTATCGTCACTGAAGTCTCTTTCCTTCGAGACATGCGACTTGAATGACATGCAACCCAATTCCACTCCAATATTTTTCCGCCAGCTCAATGACGTGTCCATTTCTACATCATCACCCTCTGCTCTCACTCAGTATCTCAGAAATGTTCATTTTCTTTCTTGTCGATCTATGCAGTTGTCGATCTATCGAAACAACAATGGGCCGGTTTATGATCCTCTGGATATTCCAGACTTCATCGCCTCCCTCTCAGAGGGCTTCTCTCCCGATCTCGAGCAACTCGAGGTCTTACTGAACACCGGGTTTGAAAGATCTGAAGAACTTAACGATCCCCGTTTTGCCATTGCATTTGGCGTGATTGCTCCGTTGCTGTCGTTGCGTCGCTTAACAACACTGGATCTCTCTTGGCTCTGTACATCGGCCATTGACGACGTCTCACTCAAAAGAATGGCACAATCTTGGCCTGAACTCGAGAGATTCCATTTTGGAGGAGGGGTTCGTTGGCTGGTCCCACCATCACTCACCTTCATAGGACTCATCCACCTCGTACACCATTGCCGGCGCTTGCACACCATTGAAATGACTTTTCATGCCGGCTCAATCGACACTAACAGCGAGTTGTTCTCTAAAATCATTCCCAATAATAATATCACCAGCGTGGACGTAGGGTTCTCTCCAATCGTGGATCCTTTTGCCGTGGCCTGTCAACTGCATGCCCTACTACCCAATTTGACTGAGGTTTTCGCCTTTCGGGACATGTCCTTCGGGCCGGCGCTATTTAAAAATCTTGAGGCTGAATGGAAAAGGGTGAATGAATTCCTCAAGACGCTTATTGCAGGCGCAAAAATAAAAGAGAAAATAGACCAAAGACCATACTAGTGCTCGTTACTGGCCTAACATACTCAGGACCCTAGGTATGTCAAATTATCAATCGCTTGGTAACTTGGTAACTTACAAGCTACGAAGCTATACCTTGGCTTAGCCAATGGTCTACCTATACCATTGCAGGACCTTGTTGCTGCTTTTTTCAAGCTTTCTTCGTGGTAGTCGTTTATTGATACCACAACATTTGCATTATACATTGTGCACTTGTTCTCCTCGGCAGTCGATGGTCATATCAGTTCGTCTCAATAATAAACGAAGTATAATATACTTATATGTAGCGTCCATCAACATTCTATTCCGTGCCAACATTTGACATTTGTTGCTTGAGGGGGATTTACGTAAGTCAAGGTTGCTGTTGGATCTGGGATGATGTCATGCAATCGACCTGTCTCGATCAAGTCCCAAGCAAAATTACGATGCGGACTACCAATCGCCTACTGCAAAGGACTTGGACTAGAAGTCTATGCCCCTTCTTTCGTTACGACCATGATGAAGAGAGCTCGTAGCCCCAGCCCAATTGCGATGTCAAAGAAAGGCAGGACTACTGACTCTCCCTTTACACCCATAAAGATTGCAACAGCAGAAGCTGCAGCTACCGTCCAGACCAACCCACCGTTCCTGCGGCTCCTCGACGCATTGCGCAATGTTGTAAAGAAGCCCTCGAAAGGACAATCGATAGTTTACTGGATGAGGATGGGAGACCTGCGCAGTAAATATTGCTTGTTTTCTATATGCGTGTCCATTTTGACCCCCTGTTCCAGTTTCCGATAACAAAGCTCTCGCCCTTGCGTCTGCTCAGGCGGTCGAAGACAAAATCCCGCTCGTGGTTTTACATGTCTTGAGCCCACAGGATTATATTGCACACGACAGGAGCAAAACAAGAATCGATTTTGTTCTTCGTAACCTTTCACGAGTGAAGGTGAAACGTCTCTGTTACCTGCACTTCGCTACAGGAGGCTAAGTTATACTTTTGTAGGACGAGCTCGCAAAATTAAATATCCCCCTTTACACTATCACGCATACGCCACGAACGACAGTGCCAACTCGTGTTATCTCGGTCCTGCAGACTCTCCGGGCCACTCGACTCTTTGCGAACATCGAATACGAGGTCGATGAGCTTCGGCGTGACATCAAAGTCTGCTCTTTAGCCAATAACGCGGGCATCAGGCCTACGTATGTGCACGATAAGTGTATCATTGAGCCAGGCGTCGTGAAAACGAAGGATGGTAGGACATACACGGTATGATCACCCTATTACTTGTTCTGTTATTCTCAGTCTGTGCATTTCAGGTCTACTCGCCGTATCAACGAAACTGGATTGGCATCCTAAATTCGAACCTCTCAGATTATTTGAACGAGTTCCCATCTCCAAAACCTAACCCCTCGACAATCAGGAAGAATCACGTCTTTGAGCCGTTATTCGATGTTGATGTACCCGTGTCGGTTCACGGCTTCGAACTTGATCCTGAAGAGGCCGAGAATATGGCCAAGATATGGCCAGTAGGAACATCTTCTGCTAACGAGGTAGGTCACGTATTACATTGGAAGAGGGCATCACAATTAAACATTTATCAGATGCTCTTTCGGTTCTTGTACACCAAAGCGCGCGCGATGCAGCTTGGAGCAGTTGATCCTTTGACTGACGGGGCAGAGAATTCCGACAAAGGCAGCCGAATCCTCTCGTACGATGAGGCTCGTGACAGAGGGGACAAGGATACTACGTCGCGGTTGAGCCCCTACCTGTCTGCTGGAGTTATTTCTGTCAGAGAATGCGTTCGTCAAACTATGAAGCTTCTCAGAATTCAGAAAGTGGAGGCTGGACGGTCGTCGGGCGTAGGTCGCTGGGTGCAGGAACTCGGTCTGTTTCTTTCAAATGCCCTGGACACATAATTGATGCATGATGGAGTAGCTTGGCGAGATTTTTACACCAATGTCCTCGCATACTACCCGCGAGTATCCATGGGTCGACCCTTTCAGGAGAGGTTTGCTGATGTCAAGTGGGAGGTCAACGAGGAGCATTTGAATGCTTGGAAAGAGGGAAAAACTGGCATTCCTATCGTCGATGCCACGATGAGGCAGATAAACACCATGGGTATGTTTTGTATCGATCCTTCGGAATCTTGACTCATCAGACTGCCAGGCTGGACTCATAATCGTATGCGCATGATTGTTGCTATGTTCCTGTCGAAGGACCTTATGTTGGATTGGCGGCTAGGAGAGCGGGTGAGCTCGTCTCCTTATTTTCATTTTTATGCGCTTATCTGACGAGCACTCGCAGTATTTCATGGAGAAGCTCATAGATGGTGATCTTGCAAGCAACAATGGCGGTTGGCAATGGAGTGCCTCCACTGGAGTAGACCCAGCACCCTACTTCCGGATCTTCAATCCCTATACACAGTCCTCAAAGGCAGATCCAACAGGTGATTTTATAAGGACATTCGTACCAGAGCTGAAGAATCTCTATGGATCTGGTAAGTAGGCTGACTAGCTGCTAGACGTTCAACTGATGTTTACGAATGCAGATATTCACAACCCTCCGGCCAAGGTTGCTGATAAATTGGGGTATCCAAGACCCATTGTCAACCATGCTGAAGCGAGGGTGAGGGCTATTAGGAGATATAAGACACCTGGTGAAGAGTGACCGGCACGATTTACGCATCGCATTAGGAACACGAGGTGACAAGTAGAGCGATGGAGCAAAGCATCATAAATCAAACTCGTCATCATCTTGATCTGTTTGTCCACCTCTTCGTAATCTCGTTGTGTTTGAAGATGACGAGATGTTGTATGTGACACCGGATTCATAAGCATTTCGCGCTTTTTGAAGGACACCTGTCGACGGACGATTAGATATAGGTGACGAGGTATAGAGAAGATCACTACCGCTGTTCGCAAGCCTGAGCTCGAGTACCGCAGTCTCAAATGCGTCATTATTCCCGAGTTCTTCAAACCCAATAAGACTGAGAATATATAAATGATTGAATGGCATTGACAAGAACCCATAAGACATACCGGTCTTTTGAGACCCCGTCGATGAAGCACATCAGGCATGGAAGAACTTTAATAGCAAGCTTCTCAACCAGCCATGGCATATTCTCCACGAAGACACGAATAAAACGCGTAGCATAGTATTTCGGCGCGAGTTTCTGATGAGACCATCAGCGATCTGGTTTCTTTGAGGCGAGACATTATTCACTGCAAGGTGCTTGTCCATGATCTCGCATCTCCTGAAATTACTATGGTAAAAGTGAATTACGCAGTGTGGCTCATTCCTAAAAGCACGATGATGTAGCACAGAACGAGTCGAACAGAGTGAGCAACTTACGCACTTATCCGGATAGCCTCTTTCTCGTTCGTGATCTCCGTGTATCTCCCATGGGCATTTTCTCTCATTTCTTTAGCTCTTTGCATTCTGCAGACGTTTATGTCGTTCGTCCGACAGTGAACACCAATGGAATGCACGACTCACTCGAGCTTGAGCTGTTCTAAGCCCCGATCTCGCACTGCTGCATCAGCGTCGTTCTCTATCTCTGCTTCAAGTTCTGCAAAGATAGCATCGTCGTCTTCTTCATCTCCCTCCCGGGAATCATTGGATTCTACGAGACGCGATGCTAGAGAGTCGAACTTTGAATGTATTCTGGTCATGATGAGCTAGCAGAAATTGCTGTGTGCTCATTTCTAACTCACACATTGTTCATAATGTTCTATACTAACTCTTGCGAGCTGTGAATAGCTGAAGAGTTGTGAGGGTAATATCGAGCTCAGTGGACAGTGAATCAAAACGCGATTACTTGTTTAGGGCCCCTTTTGGGTGCAGCTTAGCTTCAGCTGGACTTTTACGTCAATCACTCTCCACGATGAAGCTTGTCGGTAAATACGTCGACAAAAACGGGGCTGTGAGTCATTCAGGATGTTCGTTAGTGAATAACCGATTAATTGATTTGAACAGGGCTATGTCAGCCTCCGACCCGAGGATGATGAAGATATGTGGCATCTCTACAACATTATACAACAAGGTGATCTTGTGCGAGCACCAGCTATTCGGTAAGACATTTGCACGATCAGCGATTCTCTTACATGCTAAATACTTGATAGTCGCGTACAGAACGTATCTGCTACTGGATCTACGGAATCTCATCGTGTCAAGTTGAACCTCACCATCCAGGTATCCCGAGTCGAATTCTCCTCATCAGGAGCACCTTCGTCATCAGCGGATCAAGCTTCATCTCCTATGGGATCTTCATCTGCAGCACCCACAACCACTGCAGCATTGCATATCTCTGGCCCTGTTGCATTCCGAAAATCGACATGTGAAGATGGGCGCGTTTCATACACTTGACATCGAGGGTAATCGCGATGTACGCATCGAGAAGGTTGACGGGTGGGACAGTGTGGCCCTTGCTCGCGTCGAGGAATCTTGTGTGCCAGGACGCGGCGCGGAGGTAGGCGCAGTTGTGTGCGGAGAAGGTACAGCCGCGTTTTGTCTCCTTTCACAACACATGACACTGGTCACCCATCGAATATCGGTTCCCATACCGCGCAAGGCTTCTGCGCCTGGAACGTCACAGTACGAGAAGGCGATGGCGAGATTTTACGCCATACTCTACGATGCATTTGTGCGACACATACCTTATACGTCACCTAGTTTGCGGGCAATTGTGCTTGCAAGCCCAGGTTGGGTGCGAGAAGGTGTTTTCAATGCTATGATGGTAGAAGCCGGGAGGAGGGGGGACAAGACATTATCCAAGGCATTGCGAGAAAAGACTGTGAAAGTACACGTTAGTAGCGCACACGTCCACAGTCTTGTTGAAGTTCTCAAGAGTCCAGAGGTAGGCTTTTTGGCATAAGATTTTATCACATAGGTGCATTTATTGCACTTGCAGATCGTTGCACAGCTCAAGGAAACGAAATTTGCGCGCGAGGGAATAGTTCTTGATAAGTAGGTGTGCACGCGGTGGCAGCTGTACTGTTAATGCTGATTTCTTTTGTCAGGTTCTTCAAGATGCTTGGTGTGGACGAGATGCGCGCGTGGTATGGTCCTGATCACGTCCGTTTAGCGGCAGATCGTGGAGCCATAGGGACACTCCTCATCTCCGACGAGCTTTTCCGGTGAGATGATCGCGTGTCACGCACTGGCATACTGCAGCTCAAGCAATTTGGACAGTGCGAGTGACCCGAAGTTGCGGAAGACATATGTCGAACTCGTCGAAGGAGTACAACAAAAGGGTGCAGAAGTCGTCATGTTCTCGAGCATGCACGAATCTGGTCAACGTATGTGTCTAAACTTGCTTCTATTTATCCTACTTATGAGGATACAGAGTTGAATCAACTGACGGGTATTGCTGCCATACTCACATTCCCTCTCGATGTCGAAGTCGTAGAGGCAGAAGAAAGAGAAGCCGGAGAGGAAGAGAGAAGACAACAGGAAACAAAGACGCTGGATGGTGGTGGATAAAGATGCGAGGAGCTATTATGTAAAATATGGTGGGGTTATTTCCAGGTAAGCTCGTGTGGTTATTACCCTGCTACTTATGTGCACTGAACGCGCTTTTTGTATGCTTCCCAACCAGCAGCTTGATATCTCTGAACTTGTTTAAGAACCTCCAGTGTATCCACATTTTCACCCTTGCCATAAATGCCTCTTCCAACAATGATGACGTCGCAACCACTTTCAAAAACGACTTGCTCTGGAGTGCGGTATTGCTGACCCATGGCATCGCCTGTGGCATCTAAGCCTACTCCTGGAGCGAGAACCAAGAAATCTTCCCCCGCAATGTTGTCAGTGTCGGATGCACCGACACCCTCCATGCGATGTTGAGCAATGAAGCCGATGACAAAATCCCTGCGAGCTCGAGCCATGCGAACTGCATCTTCTGTATATGACCCAGTGGTCAGTGCACCCTTGGAGCTCATTTCTGCCAGGAGTATGAGCCCCCGATCTTTTGGAATGCCAACCGAAGCGAGGCCAGTGATAATCGATGGCCCCGGAACAGCATGAGCGTTGGTGATATGAGCCCAGTCCGCGATCTTGTAGATCCCTTTTGAATACTGCAATACCACGGTACTTCCTGAGATTTGTGATACTCAGTAAACTGTCATCCGAAACCTGCAATACCTTACCTATGTCAGCGAATTTACGATCCTCGAATATTAAGAACTTGTGCTTTTCGCTAAGTTCTTGGAGGCGGTCGATCACAGTCGCGTCAAAATCTTCGAGTATATCGACGTGGGTCTTTTGGTAGCGCCATAAGCATTAAATGAGAGTTCGGAAGAAGTGACAGATGCCTTTATAAGACAAACATGAGGACCAACAGCCTCGATGATGTCGAAGAAGTCTTTGGATTTAGTCACGTCGACGCTAACAGAGAGATTCGACTGCTTTTCCTCCATTATTCCGAGCAAGGCCCTTGCGGCTTTGTTGGCATGTTTCTTCGCCCGTTCGTTGTATGTCTGGAGATGAGGAGACGACATGATGGTCACCAGCAGGACGAGCTTGATATCGAAATCTATGATGATCGAGGATAAATTTGGTTTTGTTATCTTATCATCTATTCTCAGGCTTTTTGACTGTTCTCGATCAACCAAATGTCGTCTTCAGCTGTCCGGGAGCGTGAAGACGATGAAGAACTTGCTCGTTCACCCAAACGCACCAAAGTCGACGAGTTGACTGATGATGGGCCCATCGTCGCAGACACCTCCCCAGCTCATGAGTGCGGCCCTTGCTGTTGCAGACTCAAAAGAGGGCTCCTCACCAGTTGCAGCTGAAAGCGTCCTTCCTCCTAGCCATGCTCTCCTGGGCATAGCACCTACGTTCTCTTCGGACGGACTTCGTCAGGTCCTTCAAACCGACGTCGGGATCTCCGAGTATATAAGTCGGGACGTTCCTCCCATCAGTGGTATCATAAAACAGCGGTAAGTGTCTGTGTTTATAACGGAACTGCAACTGGACATAAATATGTTTTAGGTTCACAGACTTCTTGGTGTTCGAAGTGAATCAAGATCACCAGGTTATTCATCTAAAGTCATTGGACATGCCAGAGTCATCTTCGAAGAAGGGGAAAGGTAACAACGAGGGAAGTTCTAGCACCGCCGTTACTGAGGCCTCGATGGCTCAACCCCAGGAGCCTGTCACCAACACTGAGCCGAATACTGCGGATGAACTGCCTGCTGGCTCTGAGGCAAAGGACAAAGATGATTCCACTCCCGCGGACACACTCTGGAACGATCAATTCACGGAAAATCTAGCTCCGTATCTTAGCGAGGCTTCTATCGACCAATTAAAAACAATGTTCCTTGAAGGACGCGAGCCTCCGAGAGTGACCGACAGCGGTTGGGGAGGTCGACTTATCAAAACCACCGAGGACAGTACCGAAACCCCAGATGCGGCGAAGCCATCAGAAGAAGCGCATGCGTCGCAGAGCGATGACACGGGCAAAAAAGGGAAGAACCAAGGCAGCCGTGGTGACCGTGGTGGTCGGGTGGCCGTGGTGGCCGCGGACGAGGTCGTGGTGGCCGGCAGGGAGGAGAAAGAGAAGATCACAGAAAAGTCTTCAGTGAGGTAAGACGAGATAACCAGGCTCTCTGACTATGGGCCCTTATTCTTTGACAGCCGATTTCCTCCAAAACGGATCGGACAACTTTACATCAAGTTGTTCGAGAGTTATTTGGCGGAAAGCTTGACAGCGAGACTGATATGTCGACCCCTGCTGGGGACGATGGATCTCGCATAGTTATAAAATGGTCGCGCCACGGTGGCGGTCGGGGCGGTGGTCGCGGTGGTCGTGGAGGTATGTTTCACCATCTGTTATAAGAGATCTCTTATCATTCTTCTGATATCTTCGTAGGTCGAGACGACCGCTCGGACAGGGGGAATCATCCTCCTTATATTCATTTCACTCTCCAGAAAACCAACCGTGATACCCAAGACGCTCTCGGCTACTTATCACGTACTCTTCATGTAAACATAAAAGACTTGGCTGTTGCAGGAACAAAAGACAAACGCGGTGTCACTGTCCAACGCGTGTCGTTGCGGCGCGGGAACAAAACAGTGGAGGATGTATGGAAATCTGCAAATCAATCCAACAGACGGTCCGTGCAAGAGATACTATCCCAGCGTGGCGACCGTGGAGTCAGAATAGCAGATTTCAGTTATCGCAAGGCTGGTTTAGAACTTGGCATGCTGAAAGGAAACGCATTCGTTATCACACTTCGGTATGTTTCAAGTGGTACTGCTCCGAAGTTTGGTTAACAAGGTTATGAAGTAACGTTCAGGTAGAAAATGCAGAAACTCTTGACCGTGCCATGAACTCGATCAAGCACAAAGGGTTCATCAATTATTACGGTCAGTTCGATATCCAGCAAACTACTGATTCGTCTGAAATACAACTCCAGGAATGCAGCGTTTTGGGACAGCCGCAGTGCCAACTCACTCCATTGGCTTGGCAATTCTGAAATCTGATTGGCACAAAGCTGTCTCCCTCATCCTCCAGAATCGGCCTGGAGAACACCCTGAAGTTGTCGCAGCCCGTAATGCGTGGTTAGTGGATGGTAATTTGGATCGTGCCCTGGCTTTAATGCCCAGACGGGTGGTTGCTGAGCGCTGCATTCTCGAGAGCTACAAGAAGCAAGGTGGAGAAACCAGGAACGCAATGGGTGCCCTGTCCACGGTATGTTAAAACTCTGTTTGAGAAACATTGCTGTCATTCATATAGTTCAACCTAGATTCCTCGAAACTTGCGGCTCATGTATGTCCATGCATACCAATCCTATGTGTGGAATGCCATCGTCTCGGAGCGAATTCGCATACACGGCCCTGATAGAGCGGTACCTGGTGATCTCGTCTTCGAGAGCGAGCCGGCCGCAAAGGGAAGGAGTGGAGAGAATGATGAGATGGAAGTGGATGATGATGCAGGTAATGAGGAACAAGTCACCACAGAGGGAAAGGGTTAGTTTCTTTCCTGTTCTTTATGCTCTTCTAATTGAACTTTTCATTTAAGGCATGAGCTCTCGTGAGCGCAAGAAAGCTGCCAAGGCTGCTTATGTTGCACCAAGTATCAAAATACTCACTGAGGAGGATGCCCACCAGTACTCGATATTCGACGTAATCATGCCACTCCCGGGTAGAGATGTTGATTACCCAGGTGGCACACTCGGGGAGCGCTATCGAGAATTCCTGCGCCTAGATGGACTCGACCCGGATAACTTCATCCGCAAACAAAAGTACGCCAGACCTGTCCTATCATAAGCGAAACTGACACAACATCCTCAGAGAGTACACTCTTAATGGATCCTACAGAAAAATCCTTCAGGTTCCAAAAGACCTCTCGTGGTCTACACTCGGGTACACAGACCCAGATGTCCCGCTTGCGCAAGCAGATGAAGACAAGCTCCTGGGATTTGACCCACCAGTCATCGCTGACGATGGGAAATTTCTCGCGCTCCAGATTAACTTGACACTGGGAACAGCCGCGTATGCCACAATGGCGTTGCGAGAGGTCACCAAGACTGAGACTAGTTCACATTTCCAGACTGGTCTTACCCAGGCCTCTGAAGACCAGCAGTTCCGAGGTGTAGTAGCAGGACCCGGAGATGTTGCAGAATTGGATGACGATGACACAATGGAAGCATCAAATACGTTGGATTCATAGCAACAGAAATTCCTGTGTAGCATGTGTTCCCGGGGATCATTTAATTTTTACTGCCCAGTCTGCCTTTCGGGGGGAAGTACCCACGTAGCCAATAATGTGCAAATGTGATGAACTGCGATGCACAGCTTATAATATACCGCTTCAGCATAATTTATTCATCGGATTCCAAACAACTAGCGCCCTAGTACAATATTCTTGCAACTGGTTTGCGAGTCACTTTTCCCATTAGCTGAACTCTGGTCATTTAAATCGCCAAACGTTTGACGTGACCTATCATATTCACTGTTCGAACGCGGGTCGTGAATATTATCCTCTAAGCCTGCGCCTCTGAAAGAGAATATGGGGAAAGTAGAACGTATAGTCTTTGTGTCGCTCATTCTCGATCTTTTTGGTGAGTGAACGTGCTTAGTTTTGAAAATCATAATGAGTCTGAAGCCTCAAGATAGCATTTACAATCCCTCTACCCTTGTTCCCTCGCATAATCGAGTGGTATACGGTGGTAAGCACCCCATGCCACGTGGTCCTTAGTTCCTTCAGTGATGATGTAGAGAGAAATCTCCGACCCCAATGGCCTCCTTTCCAGAACGCTGCGGTTTGTTTCGGCTGTACGAGGTGTCTTCTATAAGCCACTACAAAACTCCCAGAGATGGGATGTAGTTTTCCTTGGTTGGTCTAGTTTAAGCCACGCGACAAGGTCATGCTGATCTGATAATTCCCTGAAGGTGGTCTGATGGGTTCTGCTTTCTCGTACGTCTCCTGGTCACATTCCCAGTTTATTTGAGGTTGTATTCACTTAGTACTTACAGCACTCTACAGTTCTTGGTATCGCCGCATATAGGATCCCTCTCCGACAAGTATGGGCGCAGGAACGTTCTATTGACCAGTATGATAGGAAACATATTGTCTGCGCTCATGTGAGTGCCGAAGTCATTCTTATCTTCGAGTTCCTGAACCGATTCTCCGCCAGTTGGATTCAGTCCACCACTTTTGCCTCTTACATGCTCTCCCGCGTCATAGGGGGTCTTAGTGAAGGCAACGTGCAACTTGCTACGTCAGCTCTCCATTATAACCCAGGAACTGGAGCTGATCATCATCGTTAACAGTGCCATCCTCTCAGATGTTTCAACGCCTAGGAACCGATCTAAAGCCCTTGCACACGTTGGAATCGCGTTTGCTATCTGTTTCTGCATTGGGCCTCCGATCGGAGCCTATTTTGCCTCGAGGCCAGTTCCTCTATCTGAGGCTCTACAAATGGAATTGAATGTCTACGCGGTCCCGGCATTATTGACGCTCGTACTACTTGTCGCAGAAACCTTGTTCCTGACAGTTGCTCTTCCTGAAACCCGAAATACCCAGCCTGACAAGCACGATAACGATGATCCCCTAGAAGTTCATATCAACGAGAAGTCGAAGGCTGCTTCCGTGGTACGGAGTGTGAAAGAGAGAACTGAACTTTTACGGGTCTTGCGCAAGCTCCACTTCCTTTTCTTAGGAATCTTCTCAGGCGTAGAATTCACCCTCACTTTCCTTACCTTCGATTGTGCGTCAATGTTAAAATGCTTCCGAAATCATGCGCTCAAACTCCAATGACCAGTATTTGATTGGAATAATACACAGAATGGAGCATTGATTGGCTCCACTGGCATTATCAGTGCTCTTTTACAGGGGGGATACGTCCGTCGTGCTATCTCCAAAGTAGGAGAGGGGAAAATGGCACAAAGAGGGGTCTCTAGCTGCGCCCTGGGCCTCGTGCTCCTAGCCACCCTTCCTCGCTTCGTGTCCACCCAACCAAAAATCGCCTGTCGGACTGCTGCGAGCCGCAGCAGTCTGTCTGGCCTTCACTTCCGCGACGGTCGTAAGCTCGCTTACTGCACACGCCTCCCTTCAGTGCGACGAGGGCTTTGACAAAGATACAGGCAAACCTGCGGCCGAACACCCTGAATTGGCCAAGGGCAAGGCACTAGGTGAATTCCGGTCATCAGGTCAGCTGGGTCGCGCAATAGGGCCGTTGCTTGGTAAGTTTTAAGTTATGTCCAAAAGGTGTAAAGGCTGACTTGATCGTTACTCGTCAGCATGCGCTTCATATTGGACGTTCGGGCCGTCTATTACTTATGCTGTGAGCGCGATAGCTATGTTGACTTTGTCAGCGTCCATGAAAACCTTTGCCGTTCTACCGGAAAAAGTATCATGATGAAACCGCCGCATCAGTAAGTGGCTGACTCTTCGCAGTACTTGTAGATCTTGATCCAACCTTAAAAGTTGGAGTGTCGTCTCGCATTCTATAAATGTTTTTCAAACCGTAGACCAATTAAACGATTTATTTGATATGTAAGGCAAGATGTCAGAGTACACTGAGTGTGATTGTATGCCGAGCCGCCAAATTGCAAGCACCGATATCAGTGACCAATGGAACGAATGGATAGCAGGAGCTCTCACTTGCGAGGAGGTTCGTTGTAGGTTCTCTCTTGCTGCCCCGTTGGCGCTGACGTAATGTTATTGATGCTGAGTTATCGCGCACCAGTGTAGTGGGTTTTCCTTCGCGGGAGTCTCTCGGCTGCTCTTTCACGGCACACAAACTTTACTTGGTAGTTTATTTACGCCCCAAAAAATGAACTGACTGTTATCGAGTAGGGTTATTGAATCCCTACCTCCCTCCTAGATATCACTTTAGAATTGACATGCGGACTTGCAAAACACTGACATTTGACAGCGGCATTGGCACGAGGACTTGAGAAAACATGGATTTAGATTTAGAAGGACGTTCTGAAGGCAATGAAGAGTTGGATTTCGCACGCAGATCACTCAGCATGTATAGCCCCAATTGTTATCAATATCAATATCAATATCTAGGAACACTAATAGATACGAATAGAACTTGGTGGATGATTCACGTGAATTGGAGAACAGTTGCAAACCACACGTATTATGAGGTCATGTCCCATGCAGTATGTCAAAGAAATATACGTAGAAGTGATCATTCAAAAGTAAAATCTGGTATCTAAACGCGTTCCACAGCCGTAGGTAAAGCAGGGTTTAATAGCGTTGTTGCTAGAGTAGTGTGAGTGGCATCAAATAAAGTCAAATGTTTCATCCTATATGCTATGAGTTTTCCTGTTCGAGATCAATAAGCGGACTCGAAGACGAATGTGGAAGACGGTTCTCCAATGGTGGCCTAGGTGATTGAGAGCAGCCCTGATGGAATTCGCCTGATTCCTCTCCAATTCTACTCTCAGCCCCATACCAAAGTTTCTCAGGGGGTAACTGGGAAAAAGGTGGTAAATTCCGCCCGAAAGATGGTTGTGGGGGCGGGCTGCGCGTGGGAATGTCCATATTCTGAGACTGAGTAAAGATAGCCGGGAGGAAGAACATGACCCCCCTGGTCCGCTGCCGCCGGCTACGAGATGGGGCGCGTGGTAAAGCGGGTGGTTCTCGAGACAGATTCAAATAACCCGTGGCACGGTCTCGCACGCGACGCACAGTATCAAGGATGGATGATGGCGCGCGATAACTCGAAGTCGGAAATATGTCCACAGAAGATGAAATGTCAGAGGGTGCGGGCGAGTCCGCTCTCAACTCGAAGGGAAGGGGGAGTAATGAAACATGTTCGTCCAACGGCGATTGAGGAGCGGAATTGACGGGAGATGATGGTTGCGTAGAAGCACCAGACGCTGGAAGGAAGGACCACCGCATGTCGATGTGCCAGCGTCCATTACGCTGAGTCCATCTGGGCAAGAGGACATCATATCCTCCAATTCTCCTGAGACTATACTTGCGTTGCTTGCTGGGGAGCGCGAGCCTGTAGACGCCATAGACTAGTATAGCCAAACCCAGCCACATCAATCCTTTGCCCCACGTACTCAAGAAGCCGATTAATGCAGCGTCGTCGGCATGCCAGCTGCTGCCGTAATAATGGGCGAAGAAAGAATGGGGAGCTTCTTCTGGTTTGGCGTTCTTGCCGTAAAGAGATCTGGGGAGGATTCGAACATCTCCTGGTTGGTAGGGTGTGATAGGATGTGACGCAGTGTAAAGGCTGTACTGAATGGAGAGGAACATGGGTCCTGTGGAGAACATGACGGTGGGATAGTTTAATATCCAAGAATGGTCAAATGTGACGAGATTGTGGATGGTTTGGGAGAGGAAAGGATGACCCTTTTCCGCAAACATGAGGTCATTGGAAACGCCGACCGGTATGGTCTTGGGCAAAATGACGGGGAATACCAATAACGGATCCAGAGGTCGCAGGCATCCGACGTCAAGGTCGAGATATATTCCCCCATAGTGGTAAAGGACAAAATAACGAATAGCGTCAGCTCGTTGAATCGTGAACTCGTAGTCGTCGAACGTGTCAAGAAACCAGGAGTAGTGCTCTGCAATGAACTCGCGGGAGCTGGCGTCAGTCCAGAGCATGTAGTCACTGTTAGAATAACGATAAGCACTTTTGGTGGCGGAGATGAAACGGATACGGACTAGTCAGGCATCATGTTTCGACATGCCTCAGAGAGGTGTTTCCAGTCAGCTGGAAGAGTCTCCGACTTCCAAGTCTGGTGGATGATACGAGGTATCCTCTCAAGCTTTCCATGTTCCGTTGCATTCCAGCGTGTTGTATTGCTTAACACTGGGACCTCCCTGTCGGAAAGATATGCTGCGGCATTGATGTAAAGGTAGTAGGAGATGGAAGATAAGACGACGACAGTGCCAAATAGAACAAGAGCGAGGAGGACAAGGAGAATATAAATCGTACGCCGTTTCGCCATGAAGGAGAGGGAGGAAAAAAGAGAGAGCAAAGAGGAGAAACTTGCTAAACAAGAACCCAACCAAGAAGAGAAAGTTCATTTCACGCTTACCAAATTTGGACGGTGATTAAAATATCAAGTCAATGGATTCTGATACTAGCTAGTATAAGCAACTCGGAGACGCCATAGCCTCATGTCATGATCCATTACTACTGCGGGCGATTCACAGCCCCGTTGGCCGCATCGGCATCGCAAATACACGGCTGATGTGAAGTTCTGCGGCAGGTACCGACTCACGAATAGATCCTTCTTGCCAGTCATCGCCTATTTCCCTCAGCCCCTTTAACGCCGTCTCCCAGTCCCGTCGGGACCAATCTTGGCCTCTCCGCGCCCCCACACCTTCGTACGGTCGTGTCATGAAGGTGTCTACCCGTGGACTAGTCCTAGGCAACCGTTTCTTCCCCCCTAGGTAGTCCAAACAATCTAGAGCACCCCACGTTGCAAAACTCTTTCTTGAATAGGAAGGCGCATGTTTCGATGTTGAGTTGCTGTTGCCAAAGCTCCGCACGTCAGGGCCTGCCACACGAACAACCAGTTCCAGAAGCAACCCTGTGAAATAATCGATCACTTGTAGGTGGAGGAGATCTAGTGAGTGGCTTGGGTAAAGAAGCTGAGGCACAGAAGAGGCATCATCGTCGACATCCATTCCGTCATCATCTGGTTCTGGCGTAGGTGTTGCTTGTATTAAATTTTCCAGTGAATTTCGGTATGTCGGATGATACCCGCTGAACCTGAAGCGAGAAGCCTCAAACCCAAAGAGAGCTTGAGCAATGTCACGGCTGGAAAATGTGTTGCGACTGGGCGATATTGTCAATACACCTTCCCGCGTCGGTTACGTATGAGATCTTTGCCCATGACAGATCATATTCATATACCTACTTTCGCTTTCAGCTTCCACGGTCAAAAGCTTGTCCTTGCTACACAAGAATGTTCGCCGTTGCCGTAGGAAATATTTGCAACAATCGATGATCAAACTATCGTTGCTACGTTCAGAGCCAAATTCCTATCATCAAAATCATCATCATCAACGATGGAACAAGGACTTATAACAAGACTTACTAGTACAGCATCCAAGTCCCTCTTTTTCCAATTTCCCGAGGCTTTGCACGTCTCATTCAAGGCCTGACCTTTAACCGACCTTCGTTCCTTCACTTTTTTCAGCAACCATGATGATGCTCTACGGGCAAACCAAGAGAGCCTCTCGCGATTCTTCTGCCTAGCAAATCATTATCGGATGAGTGCTTTTCATACAGATTCATGCAATTTACCACCATACTCACCCATCAAGCTCGTAAATCACGACACCCGGAATGATAATCAATACAGGCAATCCCTGCTCTTCAACCTCCGTGACGAATGCTTGTATCACATCAAGATAGTCCAGTAGGATGTTCGTATCAAGGACGATGACGGTCAGTTCCTCTGATAGAGGAGCCTAGGGATGGCATGCAAACAATCAGTACGGGGTCTGAGTCACGGAAGTGGGACAGGTCGGGCAGCCTGAGGCAGGCATGATAGCGTACCTGCATTTCGACATCTCTCAGAGTCAGACTGTTTGAGAATTCATCGTCGATACTCTTCAGCGTTTCAAATAGATGAGTACCTGGGAGAGATGGGGCTGCAATTTCGGGTAGTAAGGGATATCTGAACTTGAATCAGTAATGAGCGATAGGATTCTCACTGTGCTTGAAATCCCCACTTCCAAGACCAGGTTGCTGTAGCGACAAAAGGTCAGAGAACGACATCGGATAGAACGTACTAGTTGGTTGAGTTGTTGCATTCAGCCGAGAGTCAAAATCGAGTTTGCTCAGAGAATGCGGAATGCACGTGGAACAATGACTACAAAGCACAAAGTGCTAGTCGGCGCTTGCAACTAGATTCACAGTAACATTGACATTCCGACAACTCGGGCACCTCACAGTTATATGTAGTCAATTCAATCATGATGTATATGATATGCGTTTGTTTAATACATGTGATGATGCTCAATAAGTATTCCAATAAAGATGTGGAAAGTCTATAATCCAACTCTCAGGCTGCAAGCGCCATCTTCTTCATAGGCGGTGTTCCATTACTCTCCATTTTGACAGACGACCTACTAAAATCATCGATACTCGCCTTACGCTTGAGCGTAGCGCGTTTAGAGTCGGGGGACCGGGACTGGGAAGACCGTACGCTTGGGTTGCCCTTTGGGGGCGTAGCTCTGCAAGCATCTGGCGTGCCAGATCTGCTCCGACTGGTTGTGTCTTGGCGTAATCTCGAAGCCAGAGTATGTTTCGAACTCATAGCTTCAGCATAGCATGTCGCATGATATATCTAGGCCAATGAAGACGGTTATTGAGATTATCATCGTGGACGAGCCGAGACGTACCTTATCATCCTTTCTGACAGCATTCTTCCAGACCCACTCCTCGTCATCTTCTAGGAACTCTGTTTTTAGATTCTCTTTACATATGGGACAAGACAAAGATTTCGCTTCGTCGCCTGATGGTACAACAACGAACTGCGTGCGTAACTCAGCATCACGTCGTGCTGCATCTACCACAAGTGCAGCCTTGTTGGTAGTAGGCCGAGGACCATCAGCACGGCCTTTACCCTTCACATCCACACGACCTTCATGAACCCAATCCTGCAAAAGACGGTGAGCATGTTTGGGGTCGAACAAAGAGGGAAATCGTACATCAAGGTCGACAAACCAACTGCGACTGTGTCCACGGCCAAGGCTCTGATTTGCTTTACGGTTTTGTCTGAAGTGCATGTCAAGATGATCCTCCATCTCTTTCTTTCCTAGTGTATCATCCGAAAATCTGATACCACATTGCTTACACTGGACGGGCAATCGATCATACAACAAACGGTCAATATTAGGACGTTTTCTGCATTACCACATTAACACTAAGATTCGGCAGCGAAAGGGTATCAACCATACCTTGTTATATCAGCGTTCGTTAGCCTAATGTTCTGCGTTAAAACTGATTTGCGATATGCTCTTGCAGCATCCCGACTCAGGTTTTCAGATGACGTCGACGATGCAACAGTATCCTCAGAAGTGGCGGTCGCTCCGGCACCAACGGGCGTACCAGTACCAGCCACAATGCCGGCCTTCAAAAGAGCGCTGTAAAGTCCAGCGATGTCAGTTGGCGGGACACCTGTAGATTTCACGCTCGATAAAAGAGATGCAGAGTCGACCGGTTCAGATTTAGGTTGATTAATGGACGGCAGGGCGTAAGATGCATAAGTAGTAGAGGGAGAGTGTTGTGATACTGGAGGTGGGAATGCAGATTGCGTAGCTTGACGAGGGTATGCAGGCTGGGCTTGGTATTGATATGATGTTGTCGGAGGAGGAGGAGGAGCGGCCGCGGCAAGTTGAGGGGTTTGTGACAGAGATCTCAGCTGGGTCAGGATTTGACGAAGCTCATCTTGAGAAACACCTGCTTCAACAAGCTTGCGCAGCTGAATTGCTCTATATAAGCATGCAGACAATGACGACGCACAATGATGCTTACCTGTTGCAGAATTTGTACATGCCTCTGTGCAGTGGTATCCCAAGCATTTGATTGCAGGGCGCGTTCCTTTTGGCTCAGGGTAAATTCAAGTTCGCTCAGGACTTGTGCTCTCGATATCTGGCCAGACGTTGCCTAAGAAAGCACATTTAGTCCGCTAAAGCGGCGGGATCGTCAAAGTTAAACTCACCCCTGTTGGATTGGAATCGCCACCCCATATTCCACGCTCAATGGCAAGTTGTGGAATAACACCGAACAGTTCCTTGCCAGTGGGAGAGGCGGTTCGCCAGGTCAAAAGCATTTCTTCCATCTTGCTACGAGTCGCCTGATCAACCTGCTGGTAAGTTTCCAGGAATAAACCAATAACGAAGGGAGCAAAATGGCGCGTATACGGGTCGTAGACATTCTTCGAGATTGCGTCAAGTAAGTAGAAGCCTGGAAGCTTAATCCATGGAGGAACCTAGCGATGCAAGAAATCCACACCAAAAAGGAAAGCATGAGTCAGCTTCATGTCCATAACACAACCCATCAGAAAGAAAAGCGTTGAGCTGCCACGTTGAAAACAGCGACATAATTCTCTTAATACGACGTCCTCTATCCGCCAGGCAGCGGGGCCACCAGGCCATGTGAGGATATCTTTACTCAAACTACGAGACAAGTAACTAAGTACATGGTAGAACCATAAAACGACGCAGCAGAGTAACAGATAAGAGCCATGTGTCAACTACCCAACTGACAGCAATATGTCATAAAAACGATATCAACGAAGACTCACCCTTCGAATGTGGGCCTCCAAACATTGAGCTACAATCTCAGCCCATTTTGAATACTCTTGAGCAATCATCGATAAGGTCTGAATGATAGGTCTGGAGTTAATGGTGAGTTCTGCAAGACGCGCCGCATAATCACGGCGAAAAGAATTGGGATCCACAAAGTAGACAGGCGCAGGAGGTGAGGGGCGATTGCTGGTAAGGGTAAGCAGAAGGTCCGGGCTGATGATAGCTCGGTGGTGATGCATATGCCACCTGCCCGTACATGTGGGGCTGAGAGTACATCCGACAATCGTTTTTTAAATTCTCAACGAAGCGCGAGACAGTCACCGCAAATGCAGCACGATCTCACCCAGAAAGTGAGAAGTAAAGATCTTGGTAAAAACACAAAACTCTTGAACGATCGACTGGCGCTAGAAACCCGTTTTTCCAATGGCGGTCTTACTCAGCTGTCAATGACACGACCACGAAGCCCAACGGAAACGATGATGGTGGTTTGAGTGAAGAAGCAGTGTGACAGACAGCTGACAATAGCCGCATCTAATTAAACTTTAAACTCCGCTCGCAATTGTCCGCCACTTCTGTCCACCCCCCGAACATACACAGCCGCCCACCGACCTCAAGAAAACCAACGATCGCAAGGTGAGTTCGTGCCTGAATTCAGATATGACTGGGTCAACTTCCAGGGTGTCTGTCTCCATGTTTCTGGAAGAAATTTGGCGAGAATTGGACCTCTGGATGGTGATGGATTGACTACCCGCATCGAGGATGTCTCAATATCGAAAGGAGTAGCTGACCTCGCACATAGATGCGGGACGTCCTCCAAACAGAAGAACTCCAGGTCCCTGAGGGTGTTACCATTGAAATCAAGTCACGCGTTATCAAAGTCACTGGCTCACGGGGTACCCTTACGAAGAATGTCCGTCACGTTGATATGGATATTCGGGTTTTGAAGACCAAGAAGAGCAGCAAGGTTACTCTTGCAGTGTGGCAAGGTGGGCGCAAGCACGTCGCATGTCTACGGACAATCCGAAGCTTGATTAACAACATGGTCATTGGTGTGACTAAGGTTTGTGCATCTACATGCAGGGCGTCTTCACTGCTCACTAAGGACTCAGGGCTTCCTCTACAAAATGCGTGCTGTCTATGCCCATTTCCCCATCAACGCCATCATCCAAGATGGTGGAAACGCTATCGAGATCCGTAACTTCCTGGGAGAGAAAGTGAGTCATTATCCACAGCGTTACTTTGGCTTTGCTCAAGGCAAATAGACTGTACGACACGTAAAGATGCTCGGTGGAGTTTCTATTTCAGAGTCAAAGGCTCAAAAAGACGAGCTTATCCTGGAGGGCAATGATATTGAGAACGTTTCGCAATCAGGTGCATAATCTCTCTCCGCTGCTGACTAGTTTTCATCTAAACTGCTGCCTTAGCTGCCTCCATTCAGGGTGCTTGCCGCGTACGGAACAAGGATATTCGTAAATTTTTGGATGGTATCTACGTATCCGACCGCACGACCATCACTCAGGAGTAGGCGGGTTGTGACTTGTAAGGGAAGCTGGGCATTATACAAAACTCCATGTCACGTATGCATTAATCACCATCAACCCTATGTTCTACGCATGACATTCTACTATTCATCAAGACATTTGCGAGAGTCGAAGACCACTGGCGAAGTGCAAATCAAATTTTGATTTCTCCAAACTACATGAGAATTTGGAGGGTACTGAGGTATCCTCTCCACGAACCTCTACCTGTATGTTCTACGAAGTCGATCATAAGTCATGTATTGAAAGACAAGTGAAATGGCTTGGACCTACCTATGGCATAGAAATACCCTGGAAGTATTGGCCTCACTCGTCAGACGAAATGATGTGTGATTGAATGCTTCCAGGTCTATCGTATGAATGGAATGTTGGTGCTGACCCTTCGCCTATAGTTTTCATATTCCTCTCCAAAGAAATTCACCAATGCCCTCTCTTCAACTGCTCCCAAATCAGTCGATGCATCCGCGACTGATATAATGAATATATACCTTTGATACGATGCGAGAAAAATCTCCACAAGACCAGCACGAAACCGATGGAGCTGACAGGATTTTGCAAAACCAGCTGGGTCCCTAACGCCCAGTAGAAAAATCCTGCATATGATGGATGGCGGAACACCCTATGGAGTAACTTGAGCGTGTGTAATGGTATGGACTAGATATTCCACTTACGAGTATACGCCATCAGTTACTAGTCGATGCGAAGGCAACTTGCGGAGAGCCACAATATGAGAGAAGTTGGTCGAAGCCTGTATCATTGCCGATGCACGAAGCGTCTGTCCAATGACAGCCATGATTATACCTAGCGGAGATGCATCAGCTTCTTTCTCACGAACCAACTACAACTAACCAATTGTCGAGATATAGTGGTAAGCCTTGAGCGATGGTTTCAAGTATAACGTGATTAGATATTCCACCAGAGCAGTCCCGTTGGCGATATGATACATAGCGCCATTATCAAGTAAGAACGCTGCCACATCATTTAGTAAATATCTCTCAGAGTTACCAAGACAAACACACAGTCAACACTGCATTTGTCACGGTTCCAGCCTGCTGTGACCGCGAATTCTCCCCAATGGAAGCCAGACCAGGCGGCAAGGAAGAAGCCCAGTTGGTATGTGGCCCACCAGCGATCAGAGATGCCTCCAGTGAGAAAAAGCGTCAAACCAAGAGAAAAGATAGATCCTAATAGAAACGATATCGTGGATGCTGCAAGTGGCGTATTCGGGATATTTTCATGAGGTTGATGGTTCGCGGGTATAGTTTCGAGCGTGTTCGTGTTCCTAGTAGTAGAATCGCGTTGTCGCAATCGGTCCTCGAAATTTTGGGGAACGTCGGAAGACATGAGTGCTGCGAAGATAAAGTAAGTAGATGATAATGAGCGGCAATTCCTCCAGACAAAAAGGAAGGGAGGTTTGGTCTTGTTGAATTCACAAGACTACGATCGAAACCTCCTCGGATTATTCCGCGTACTGATCCGTAGGTCATGCTTCGTAGGGCCTTATGGCTACTGGTGAAGGACCGCCAACTGAAGTTCCTGAATCAGCGCTTCCTGACTACCGAGGCTCACCATGAGACTTCTCTTATCAGAAATATGGCCCTGGTAGCCCACATCGGTGCGTCCGTCAGAACGAGTCTCATAAACCAATCTGAAAAAATACAGACTCTGGGAAAACTACACTTACGGAGTCCATACTACACAAGTCGGCCTACCTTACAGCCCCTGGCTCAGTTGACACTGGCAGCACTACGACAGACTTCTTGCCTGCCGAACGAGAACGCGGCATCACAATCCAATCTGCGAGCATTCCAGTTAAATGGGACAAATGGACTTTTAATCTCATAGATACACCAGGTCATGCTGACTTTGGTATGGAGGTGGAGAGTGCAAGTCGCGTTGTTGATGGGGCTGTCGTTCTCATTGATTCAGTGGAAGGGGTCGAAGCACAAACTAAAGGCGTTTGGCGACAACTGGATCGGTAAGCGCATATCTTATCTCGACCACCTACGTTTCTGAAGTTGTCTTTAGATATGGTGTCCCCACCAGGCTTATGTTTCTGAATAAACTTGACCGACCGGGTGCTTCTTTCAGGTCGTCGTTGCGCTCGCTACTTACCCATAGGCTGCACCCGAACCCCATGGCTTTAGCATTGCCAGTTGCTTCCTTCCATACTGAAGACTACATGCGAGCCGAACCAGGCATTCAAGGACTGGTCGACCTGGTAAAATGGGAAATTTGGAAATGGACGGAAGATGGTCATTCTGCTATACAATCCCTTCCTAGAACGGTCGAAGAACTCGAGACAAGCGGTATATTTCCGACAAACCATCCTATAATCCCGCACCTTGTGGCCGCTCGGACAACTCTTTTGGAAAACCTCTCGATGTACTCTGATGAATTGATGGAATACCTACTCGCTTTGCCGCCAGGACCTTCATCGTATCTTGATGTCCAGACGGCTGCAATCATGCCACATCTTCGTAAAGCTACACTAAGCAATGAGATTCTCCCTATTCTTTGTGGTTCTGCGATGAAAAGTATTGGAACAGAATTGGTAATGAACTACGTTGGCGAGCTCCTGGCAAGCCCAATGGACGTTCGGTTGGACGCGGAGTCAGCTGACGGACCACTGCGCCTTCTAGCATGGAAAGTGAGCTGGGATAAACGCAAAGGATGGATGACGTTCGTTCGCGTGTATTCCGGTAAGTTCAGTATGATTCACACAGAGTATTGTTCATCGAGCGTGCTAGGAACCCTCAAGCGTCAGAGTTCTGTATTCAATGTTACCAGTGGCCAGAAGGAGAAAATTTCCAAGGTTCTTCTCCTATACGCTGCGGAGGCACAGGAAGTCGAGTCCCTGCCGTACGGCTCTGTCGGAGTCATCTTAGGCTTGAAGTTCACTCGCACAGGCGACACTCTCGTTGATGCCCGACGCTCGTCTAACTCATCGCAAACATCCCTTCGAGGAGTACTTCCACCACCCGCGGTTATGTCGGTCTCCGTTATACCCAAGTCCCATTCTGACCTCGACCCTGTACAAGAGGCTTTACATGCTTTATCTCGCACGGACCCTTCTGTTCGGGTCGATATGCAAGAGGGCCAATTACTTGTCCACGGATTAGGTGCACTGCATCTCGAGATTGTCGAGGGAAGACTGCGGGACGAATGGGATGTTAATTTTGAATTGGGTAGCCGTCGCGTCAGCTATCGTGAATCTCTGGGACCTGGGCCCAGCTCCAACGTAAACAATTGGGCCACTGAAGTTGCAGGAAAACCAGTTACGATCAAGATCCTGATGACGGTGAAACCTCTTGCTGATGACGAGCAGGGCGATCCGGTCTGGGATGGTAACCTTGTTTTGGGCCCGAGTGGAAAGCCTCTATTGTCTCCAGATGCCTTCCGGGATCAACTGGACCCTATGGCAAATATCGCTCGGGGCTTGTCCAGCTCCCTATCGAATTCGCCACATACATCCCTGCCACTCTCTCACATCAAGATCCACGTCACGGACTATAACCTTCCCCGTGACATTCCAACGTCCATTCTTGCCGGTGCTAGTTCATCCATTCTACGAACTCGAATACGAGAAGCGGGAATGGGTCCCGTGTTAGAGCCATTCATCAAACTCAAAATATCTCTTCATGAGAATACCATGGGAAAGGTTGTCAAGGATCTCACTGAAAACGGTGGTGAAGTTTTGGACCTTGCTTCCGACACGTCAGCTATGGACGGAGACGAAGTAGTTGCGTACTCCACGGATGGATTGTATATCCCTCCAGAAGAACTATCGCCTTCATCTGCTGCTTCTACGTCATCCAAGTTTTCAAACGACGCCCCACGACTCAAACGCACTATTCATGCAGTCGCACCGCTAAGCCGCATGCTGGATTATTCAACCCGCCTTCGCGCATTGTCAGGGGGACATGGTCTCTTCGACATGCTGAACGCAGGATTCAGACAAGTCTCTGAAGCACGTAGGTTGGAGATATTACGAGAGATAGGGCGCGCATAAAATTACGGATCGAGTTTAGATATCTAATAGACAATGTAGCCTTACTACGAAAACTCCCTCACCTCATCTGCATCCCCGAATAATACTGCTCCATCCATTTCATCATCGTCATCTGCAGCTGCCACGTGCATGCCACCAGCTGAATTGAGTGCCTGGCTGAATATCATAAGATCATCACTGCCATAGCCATCGTCATCAGAATCGGGGGCAGGGTCATTAAAGAGGGGAACTGGAGGCAAGGTCTTTGCTCGAGGAAAAGGAGCAGGAGTCAGGCTTCTATCTCTGTCAAACTCTGGCAGGAAGAGAGGCGTGCGGGCTCTTTGGTTGTCTTTGCTAGGCACGAAATCAGGAGGTGCGATGGTCGAACCTCTTAATGCCTCATTTGTCAAAGGCATTACGGATGGCGCTCGTGTGGCAGATCGAATTGGAGGCCATGGCTCCACGACTACGCAGAGACAACGACCAAAGATGTTGAAACCTTGGTATTTGAGCTTCAGTGCCAGCTTGTCTTTTTTGTCGTCTTCGTCGTCGATCTCTATGAACGATCGACTTGGCCCAGCAGTAATCACGACGGTCTCCGAATCAAGAGTGGTTTCCGTAGTAGATTCCAAGGAATTTTCTGTGTCTTCTTGTTTAACGGTGGTAGATGTTTCAGCGCTGTGATCTATCACAAGGACATCGTGGTCGCTGAGTTCCTCTGTAGGAACCTCGTCTCGCTGGGTAGTCTCTGTTGGAGCAGCCATCTCTACATCTAAAGGTTCGTCGGAACTAATGTCCACAGGGTCCTCGACGTCCTCATGATAGCCCCCGACAGGAACCTTTCTCATTCTTTGTGAACGTCGAATCGTAACGGGAGCCTCTCGAGAAGCTCCTTGTATTTCTTCCATTTCACTATCGTCATCTGAGAGGCTTATGACTTCCTCCTCCTCTTCCTCCTCTTCATCATCACTATGAGCTCGAGATCTGCCTTTCGTCTTCCGTCTCTTGCGGGCAGAAGCTGCCTGAGCATCCTTATTCTCCGACACTCTGCTTTTTCTCTTCCCACCTCTGCCCTTGAACTTTGCCACCTGTGGTGGGGGCATATTCACCTTGGAAGGAGGTGGGGGTGCTGGAACAAATGAACGCGTCTAGAGAATGTCAAAGGGCGTTCAGAAGAAATATATTCGAATTAGCTTGCGCACACCTTAATAATCACATTATGAGGTTCCGTCTTCTGGAAGAAAAAAGCGGCCTGATAAGTCTCTGCAAGCGAGTTATATACTGTATTCGCAGTTTCGCACACATAAGACCCGCACCTCCCCGATGAACGTCCACCGCTCCCTTCTTCCCACTCGAAGCCCCGGGACCAAAGTGGATGTCTTTCTCAGCCTGTAACTTTGGCAGAACCCTGAAAAGATCTGAGAAACATTCAGGAGAGCCACGACCGAACAAACTGACAGCGGTCGCAGATCAGCCAGAACATGCTGTAGCACTGTGTCTGACATCCAATCTACGTGTCTTTCATCGAGGTAGAGCTGAGTATGGCAGTCATTAGAATAGGTCGCGTAGTGGGCACGGAGGTGCGCTTACATACAGAGGTATCACTGAACTTGCTGACACCCGAAGGTAGTATGCATTCCGTACGCTGAACCCAGCCATAGGTAGAGATAACGGACGAACTCAAGTTTGAAACAGCACTGGGCTGGCGGCGTGTCCAACCTGTGTTCTAGTGCTGGAATCAAACGCAGTCGTGAAGTGTCTGAGTCTGGGTCTCTGAGTTCGAGGTGGCAAGTAGTTAACACTGGCAGTGCTTCAAAGATTTCCTACAATTGATCATGACGTAACTTGAGTCTTGCCACATTCTTAATGTAACGACCACTATCAAAACAACAAAAATTCGCATACAATACAGGCTCGAAGTATATGGTCCTGAATCACGTTACGCTATGTTTTCTCTGCAAATGCATGTGGTTTTTCAAGCCTCGTTGATGTCAACATCAGGTCCGGAGATGATGGCCTTGATGACCCCCTTGCCATCGGGGCTCTTGCCATTGCGAGTGGTTTCAAATGCCTCGCGCGCCTGCGTGAACGGGAATCTATTGGGACTCTTAGTACGACAAATACTGGTCAGTTATTCCGATAGCTGGCATACCGGTGCGACACAAGGGGCTTGACGTCGACCTTACCTGACGCAGCAAGGGCGATAGCGAGAGGGTAGTCACCGGGCTTCATTTAACAAGGGTCAAGCAATGCCTCCGAGACAAAACAGAGCTTACGCCATATCTGAAAGAGCCCTTGAGGACGAGTTCCTTGCAAATGACAACAAACATGTCGATGTTGACATTGGGGCTACCCATGCCGACCTATTCATAATCAATCAGACAGCCCCTTCAGTGCTAGCTATTTCAACCTACCTGAACGTATGTGCCACCACTCTTGACTACCCGGATACCAGTCTGAATAGAGACCTCCGCACCAGAAGCATCCAAAACCAAGTCAATTGCCTGAGGTCCACGATCAGCGATTCCGAGCTTCTCTTTCATCGCTTGAGCATTGCGCATTGAAAATGCGACTCTCGATTCATCCTTTTCCATGGGAGGAGGTAGGAAAACGTCAGTTGCAGCATATGCTTTGGCAAATTCAAGACGACCAGGAACGATATCGACAGCGATAACACGGGAAGCGCCAAGAGCTTTGGCAACGGCCATGCATAGAAGTCCGACCGGTCCACAGCCAAAGATGGCGACAGACTGGTTCGACCGCAAAGCACCGAGCTTCGAGACAGCATGGACTGCCACGGAAAGAGGTTCCGTCTAGAGTCGAATGTCATGTCAGTGAAATGTGATGCCATGTGGTCAACGCTTACCATCGCTCCATCCTCGAGACTGAGGTTTGGTGGAAGTGGGTAAGCGAGATCAGACGGTAGGCGGTAGTAACGAGCGAGAGTGCCATCCGTGGGAGGAGTAGCAGCGAAGATGACATCGGGGCAAAGCTACTCGGGACCGTCAGGAAACAAAATCGGAGGCGCAAAACCATCCTTACCTGGTAGCGACCCTCTTTGCAGGCTTCGCACTTGCGACATGTTGCGCCAGGCTCCATAGCCACTCGGTCACCCACTTTGACATTTGTTACACTGGAACCAACTATAGTTGAAGGTCGAGGTGAAGTATTATTCTGAATAAGAGGTGACTTATGGACGTACCTTTCGAGACCACGCCTGCTGCCTCGTGACCCAGCACCTAATAGCTAACGATGAAGCTTTGCCATGGATCTTATCTAAACTGACCCACCATGGGCTTCTCTACAACAAAATCTCCGATCCTTCCGTGGAGAAGGAAGTGTACCTGAAGGAGATAACGTGGTATCTTGGTTCAGAACAAAAAATAGGGGCGTACATCCGAACCGCAAATTCCTTGTTGTCATGCTGGATGAGCCTTGGGAAAAAGATAGAGGACAAAGAGGCCCTGTGAACGCACCTGTCTTCTTCACTTCCACAAGGACTTCATTAGGGTCAACTTTACAAGACAGGGCGATTTAGCAAGCGTGAAGGAACCATCCAAAGACGGGCTCACTCTGTGGAACTGGCTTTTGCTGGATCTCAACGTCTAGAATGCCCTTGAGCACAAATGATGGGTTGTCAGACATGATGAGAAAAACAAAGTGGGGATGATTCGCCTGCAATTCTAAACACACCTTAAGAACAAGCCACTGTGGGGATCCGGACCGTAGGCTTTTGGGCGGTACCAGACCCGTGACGACTAGTCTCCACTAGCCAGACCTTTATAGATCTATGAACTGGAACATGAATATGAATATCCCGTGACCAAGTATGACACAACATTTGAATTCGGACTTGTATCGTCATTTCTTTAGGAGGAATACTTTTTCGGGTAATAGCCACCAAGATGCAACTGAGACCTGTAGAGTATAAAATCATGTAACGTTTCCTTCCTTATCCCTTGACACTAACCTCAACGTCGACTCATCAACCGAGAAGTACTGACGCTCAGCAAGTTCAACAATCAACTTCGAATTCAAATCTCGTTTGGAAAAACTTCGTTACTTTCAATATACTGATCAGCATCATGAATTATAGCGAAGCCCTCCCAAACTTCTCAGGTCAGATCGTCGGCAACGGTCGCTTCGAGCTCGTCAACATGATTGGTTCCGGTTCCTATGGAAACGTCTATCGCGCTCTCGATGCTCAATCAGACCCATCCGAACCTGTCTACTATGCAATAAAGTGCTTGCCAAAAACGGAACTATCTCCTGAGCGTCTCGTGTGCCAGAGACGTGAGATCTTATTGCACTCCTTAGTATCCAGTTCGTCGCCACATATCTGCACCCTTCATGAGATCATCGAGGAAGAACTTTACATCTACTTCGTGCTCGACTACTGCGCAGGTGGGGACCTCTACACCGCCATCATCGAGAACCGTATCTACCAGAACAATGTCCCGCTCATCAAGAGGGCATTCGTCGAGCTTCTCGATGGCGTACACGCCTGTCATCGGTTGGGTGTGTACCACCGTGACCTGAAACCAGAGAACATTCTCTGTTGCCAGGGCGGGTTGGATATTCGTATCGCAGATTTCGGGCTAGCGACCAAAAGTCGTCTCAGTCATGAATTCGGCGTGGGCAGTTCATATTATATGAGTCCTGGTATGTTCCGATGTTAATTTGGATAGATGCACTATTTGATGATCTACATCCCAGAATGTATTAGTCGTGAGATGAAGTACCCTCATTACTCTCCACTTCACACGGATATCTGGTCATTGGGAGTTATTCTTGTGAACATGGTCTCAGGTCGCAATCCTTGGCGATTTGCAACACCCTCGGACGAGGGCTTCCTCGGATATCTCTACAACGTGGACTTCCTTCGCGAGATCCTTCCCATCTCGAGACCTTTCAATGAAATCCTCAAGCGCATCTTTCGCCTACAACCGTTCTCGCGAATCAGCCTTCCTGAGCTCAGAGAAGAGATCCTCAAACTTGATACCTTCTACATGAGCGACGCCGAGCTCCGCGACGCGTCGGACAACGCCCGAGAAGCTGCTCACGACGACTACTATAGGCGTGCCGCACCGTTGACTGATTTGATGTTCAATCAAGTCGTAGCTGACACAACTCTCGTCAACTGCTCATCGGCGACATCCAACTTCTACTCCGACGGCGGTCCCCCCTATCCTAAGTGGGCTTATCGCGGCTCCTCGCCTAGATCTGGACGCCCTAGCGACTTACCTCCCGCGAGCATCAACAGGACGCCCTCACAACTCCATATTCAAACCTTCGAGTCACAAGACTATCGACTTTATGAGTCACGGGAAAGCATATCGGGCTGTTCTATGCGTTCTGTTTCTTCAGGGGCAGAGAGCGAGGGACCCATTACTCCGGAAACGCATGCCCATGAGCCTGCCATTGACGTGGAAGACTTATCTGAGGGGCAGACACTTGATGAACCCATGCTTGCTCACATGCCTGTCAAGATGAGACCAAAGCGACCTCGTCGGTTCTCGTTTCGCAACGTAGTTTCACGGTTTAAGATCTTCTGATTAATAATTATGCGTACACACTACAGTAGTCATACCCTAGTGTACATTGGTCTAAATCTGACTTGTGATCAAGCTGCCAGATTTCTGATCCAAGAAACCATGATAAGCTAGGCAATCTACTTAGTGAGTGTTCAGATGTCTAGAAACCCATGATAAGGTAGGTAATCTATCGAGTGAGCGCCCAGCCTTGATAGAACGGGAGAGTATTTAGGCGTGTGCGAAATAGTAGACGACGAAGGGGATTTATGCGACGAACTCCCATGTTCATGGGAGAGGATGGAGAAGAACACGAGTCCTCTCAGGGATGTCTTACTGGCAACTTGATGCTGGCAGATAGAGGCTAGGCTGGCATGTGTCGTGGCAATTGATTACTGGATCTTTGATCGATTGCTATTGTGCAATCTGAACTCAGGGCAGGCGCGAACTCAGACAAGTTATAATTCAAAATCACGCAACTCGATCGATATCCTCTTAATTCCCTTCTTCCTACCTCCATAACTCATTCAGAATGGTGTTGTCAAGCGTTCTTGGTTTCCCCCGCATCGGTACATAGATCATCTTGATCATATGCTAGACGTATCTGATCCCAATTAATAGGTGCAAACCGTGAGGTGAAAAAGGCTGTTGAAGCTTACTGGGCTGGCAAGCTCTCCGCAGAGGATTTGATCAAGGCTGCTGCCGATGTCAAGAAGTCCAGCTGGACTAGCCTCAAAGAACGAGGTGTCGACTTGATCCCCAGGTTGGTACCCTCTTCGAGATCAAAGTTATTTATTAATCTGATAAATATATCATAGTGGAGAATTCTCCCTCTATGACCACGTTCTTGACCACTCTGCGGCATTCAACGCCATCCCTAAGCGTTACCAGGGTCTTGGGCTCTCTGCCCTTGATGTCTTCTTCGCTATGGGTCGTGGTCGCCAGGCTGGCGGCGTTGATGTCCCCGCTTGTGAAATGAAGAAATGGCACGTGTCTTAGTTTCACTGTGCCTAAATGGTGTTGTTGATCTAATTTGATGTTTCAGGTTCGACTCCAACTACCACTTTGTCGTCCCAGAGTTGTCTGAGGAGACCGACTTCAAGCTCCTCTACAACAAGGCCCTTATCGAGTACAAGGAGGCCAAGGCGGCCGGTGTTGTCACTCGCCCAGTCGTTCTCGGCCCTATCTCTTACCTTGTCCTTGGCAAGGCCGCCAAGGAAGCATCTGCTACCTTCCAGCCTATCTCGTTGCTCCCCAAGATCCTGCCTGTCTACAAGCAGCTCCTGTCTGAGCTCAAGGCTGCTGGCGTCGAATCCGTCCAGATCGACGAGCCCATCCTTGTTCTCGACAAGGGTGCTGACCTCGACAAGCAGTATGCGTTTGCTTACGCTGAGCTTGTCCCTGTCGCTCCTAAGATCATGCTCACCACCTACTTCAACCGCTTGGACTCTAACATCAACTTCATCGCCAAGCTCCCCGTCGCTGGCCTCCACATCGATCTCGTCCGTGCACCCCAGCAGCTCGGCGAGGTTCTTGCTGCCATCAAGTCCACTCCCATCGTGATCTCTCTTGGTGTTGTTTCTGGACGTAACATCTGGAAAGCAGACTTTGCAGCTGCCATCAAGTATGCACAGACTGCCATCGCCGCTCTCGGTGCTGACCGTGTCATCGTTGCCACCTCTTCCTCTCTCTTGCACACCCCTGTCACTCTTGCTTCCGAGAAGAAGCTTACCGAGCAGCAAAGGGACTGGTTCTCGTTCGCTCTTGAGAAGGCGTCCGAGGTTGCCACCATCGCAGCTGTTCTCTCTGGCTCTCAAGACCCCAAGGTCTCTGCTGCCCTTGAGGCTAACAAGGTCTCCATTGCCAAGCGTCGCCAGTTTGAGTCCACTTCGGACGACGCTGTTCGCAAGCGTGTTGCTGCCATTACCCCTGACATGTATGACCGCAAGAGTCCCTTCGCCACTCGCAAGGAAGTTCAGGCCAAGCACCTCAACCTTCCCAAGTTCCCCACCACTACCATCGGTTCCTTCCCTCAGACCAAAGAGATCCGTACTGCTCGTGCCAAGCTCGGCAAGGGTGAGATCTCCGAGGCTGAATACGATGAGTTCATCAAGAAGGAAATCGAGATGGTCGTCAAGTTCCAGGAGAAAGTTGGCCTTGACCTCCTCGTCCACGGCGAGCCTGAACGTAATGACATGGTTCAATACTTCGGTGAGCAACTGAACGGCTTCGTCTTCACTCAAAACGCCTGGGTACAAAGCTACGGATCTCGGTGAGTATTGCATCACAAGGAAACCTGAATAATCAAGCCTCATTATTTTACCAACAGTTACGTCCGTCCCCCCATCATCGTGTCCGACGTTAGCCGTCCCACGCCGATGACCGTCAAGTGGAGCAGTTACGCACAGAGCGTCTCCACCAAGCCCATGAAGGGTATGCTTTCTGGCCCTGTCACTATCCTGAACTGGTCCTTCCCTCGTGACGATGTTCCACGTAAGCTGCAGTCGCAGCAGCTTGCTCTTGCGCTTCGCGATGAGGTCCTTGATCTCGAGAAGGCTGGCATCAGTGCCATCCAGGTCGACGAGCCTGCTATCCGTGAGGGTGTAAGTGTCTTCGTGAGATCAGAGTAACTCGCTGCTGATCAAGACTTCTTAGCTTCCTCTCCGTCGTTCTGACTGGGATGAGTACTTGCAATGGGCTGTGGACACTTTCAAGCTCTCCACCGCTGGTGTGAGCGATGCCACTCAGACCCACTCTCACTTCTGCTACTCCGACTTCGGCGACATCTTCCCCTCCATCCAGCGTCTCGATGCCGATGTCATCTCTATCGAGTTCTCGAAGAGTGACATGAAGCTCCTCCACACCTTCAAGCAATACGGCTACTCTAACCAGATTGGTCCTGGTGTCTACGACATCCACTCGCCTCGTGTCCCCAGCGAGAAGGAGATCATTGAGCGTCTCCAGACTACCCTGGCCATTATTCCCGACCACCTTATGTTCATCAACCCTGTAAGTAGAATATCGAGCGTTCACTTTAAACTCACCGCTCATGCCTTTTTACAGGACTGTGGTCTGAAGACTCGTGGCTGGAAGGAAACCGAAGCTTCCTTGACCAACTTGGTTGCTGCCGCACGCTGGGCCAGAGCTAATGCCTAATTCTCTACACATTGCGCTTCAACAGCGCCCACAAAGTGGTTAAATTATTATGGCCCTTCTGTTGAGGAACTGGCCTACACTTGACCTTGGGTAGTTGTCGCAAGAAAAAGAAAACGATGTCCGGCGATCTTGTCGTCAATATGGACGGGGCAACATATAGTTGCTGCTTTGTGGGCCCGCAAAGTGCCTCGGGAGTGAGGCAGGAGCTTAGCGCGTCTATGTTCGTAGTAGTCGGATTTCAACAATCCTTAATGTACCGTATTGCGTTCCATGGAATAAATGATATTAGCATGCAATATCCAACGCCTCGTAGATCTAAAGTACGAGAATGAAGGTATGATAGTAAGCTCATGAGTTATCTATTTCATCATGGTTTTCGTCATTTCTTGTACGATGGTAGGTGACGCTGCATGAGGAGCACTGATCGCAACGCTATCATCACGCTTCTCCGAAGACGCGTTCGAGTCATCTGTACCAGTGGTACTGCTCTGCCCGGGGAAATCATTAGGATAATTTGTCGAAATATTTGTGGTTGGCACGTGCAAAAGACCATCGTACTGGTCCATCGCAAGCGCCGTTCGTAGGGTGTTTTCGATCTTCTCCGTGCGTCTGGTCAATTTTCCACCTCGCCAAATCAATATTGCAGAAATTATCCCGCACAAAAACGACGCGGGAATGAGTGATCCCGTGGTCCACGCCGGTCGTTCAAATCTGTCCCGGAGAGAATTAGCTCGATACAAATTTAGCCTCAGAAAAGAGCTCACCGGTTCATAGACCACATGCAACCCGACAGCATAACCTGAACACCAGTAAATAGGCGTAGTTTCGCTTTTCACGACATTTACCTGAAAGGCAGAGTTTCCATCGATAAAGAGACATATCCAGAGTGCCGTACTGTGATACGCATTGCAGATATGAGCAAAGACATTATCCGAGTCAGAAGGACGCACTTGATTGGAAATGCCTTCCAAACGGTGTCAACAATGTATTGTCATGCAATAGATATGAAAGAACCTACTCGGTGGGTCACAGTACCGTGTGGGCGGTACCATGTCTGACTCTCACGAAACTTGACCTGTTCTGCGTCACAGAAGTGAGCGACGCCTGTCATGAGCCAAGTTTAAATACATACGATGATGCAAATCCTGTTGCTCGCGTTCAGTGAGGACATGGACAAAGGAAGGGTCGTAGGCAGGATCGGGCAAGTCATCGACATCGAATAGCTGAGGGAGACCAGCTTTATCTCGTAACTTCGTTGTTTTGCGCTTGTAGTGCCAAATTTTATATATCCCTGTTTAGAAAGTTGGTTATTGCATTGAGACCAGGGGTCACATGGGCCTACTATAGGTATCGAGAGCACGCGTAGGGATCAGGCCAATACCGGTGACGGTGAACAAACCTGGTGAAAATGGTTATGAAGTTTAGGGGAAATATACAACGACGGACCACACAAGATCTGAGAGCATACTTCAACCCAAAAACCCTGGGTATTTGCGTTGTGCAGATTAATCCACTTCAGCAAAAATAACACCAGCGCAGCTCCCCAGAACACTGCGAAAGGTCAGCACCCAAGAATAGAAATCGATGGATCCCCGTACCAACAAGAAACCCGTAAATGCCCGTTATGATCTATAATCAGTTAGTAAGCCACAAATAAGTTGTATTGCTATACAACGGACTTACGCCTATCGCTGCGAAGAGCGTGAGCAAACATCAAGGTACAGATGACTGAAGTTACACTGACGGGTTTTCAAAAACGACCAAACGCCCTGGAGTGTACGCTTGACCTTGGATCGACCGGTCAGGACATCTTCGACATGTCTGTCTAATGATTCGTCCATGTCATCAAATTCAAATTGAGCATGCCCAGCGGATTCCATGTCCCGGCCTTCTCGCCCACTCGGATAAAACAACGCAATTACTGGTTTTCGAGAGTAGAAGCTCGATGGAGGGCTGATACAATTGTTAAACTCGATTGATCCATTTGAACATGAAGAACACTCGCATTAGAATAGAATTGGCGGCGTTGGCCAGACTGGATACAGTAGCGACCTGAGGATCTGGAGGTATAAGAACAGTGTAACCTAACACTGAAAGAAATCCACTGATACCAATTACATCCAAATGATCCACTATATCATCATGGACAATACTTTCGTCGAGCTGCTGGCTTTGCTGCAGTTCGAGTGCCCTTTCTGTGATACCGGGTGCCCTGACATTGGGTTGGCTGTGGGTCGAAATGTCGGTCTGAGAAACCTGTAACCTATCCCTGATGGTTCCATGGCCGTCTACAGCAGGAGAACCGTGACGTGACGGCAAGGGAGGTGAAACAGATGGCCTGCGAGAGGCTAGAACGTGCTCAACAACCTTACTTCTAGACCCAGACCTTTCACGGTTAATGGGAGGGCGGGAGACAGACTCGAACGCCCCACTTGTCGTGTGGCTCCTCAAACGTTGCTTGTCGCCCGGAGCAGAATTCACTTGGGCGTTGTGAGCATTAGTAGGTTTGGGAATGCTGCCCATACTACGCTGCCCACGTACCGTGATGGGCCGCGATGATGACGCCTCGATATCATTGTCGAATCTGGCGGGGAGGAGAACATATGTAGATGGAGTCTTCCTTATCCTGATGGAAGGCATAGAGTACGTCTCTTTCTTGAAGAGCGGAACTTATAGTAGGAAGCCTGGTCTGCTCTATCGCTGCCGCCGTAACGGCGGAGCGAGAGGAGTAAGTATTAATAGCAAGACGTTCGTGTGCTTGACACTAAAACTTTACGTCACGGGATCCGATATCTGGGACCTGGGCCTGATATGTATATGCAGATATGATAGATAGAATAGCGACACTACTATAGTACCGCGAAGAGAAAGTATTAGAATATCCTTGTGAGCATCCATTAGGGACCTTCCTTGGACACTGGAGAGTCAGTATCACGATGATCTACAGACTGACGTCCCAACTACATAAAGAAGTCAATAGCCTGTAACAAGTCAAGTAGAATCACTTGCGTCTGGGTTATTGTCTAGGCTCCTTCTGTTGCGACTGAAAACACTGAGCAGCCGAGCGCGGCTTGACGGACGATTAATATCTTGCACAGTAGGGGCGGGAGTCGATTCATCCATGTCGGCGGGCTCGTCCGTGAGGGACGTTCCAATAAATCCACCAGGGTTGGTACCACATGAGGATGATGTCCCCGGTCTAGCTGGTGCAGCTGTCGAGTCGGTGTCTGTTCGCTTTGGTTTCAGCTTCAGTATTTTCCGAGGGGGTCGAGGATTTAGCTGCGAGACACTTTTGGAAGCTGTTAGTTTCGTCTTTGAGAATAACTCTCGAGCCACAGGGAAGACCGGAATCAATGGTTGATGCAAAGCTATCTTGACCCAGCCTTTCCACGTAAGATCCGACGGGATAAACTGATCAACTAACTCTTCGAACTACAGCGTCGAACTGAGTCAGCAATTTGGGTGGATAGATCATGAAACATACACTCCAGGTCTGATTTCTAATCTCCAATGCGTGTGTCCGAATTCGCGCATCACGGCATTCAAAAGATGAAGCCTTCATGATGCTTAGCAGCAACTCCAAACTGAGAAATCGGCGTGAACATCATCGTGCGCAATCGTTCACTTCTTGTGAACTAACCTGGAAATTTTAACAAGCACGAAGTTTTTTTGTGAGGAGCGCGTTTTCATCTCATCGAAATCGGTCTTGTGTTCCAACGATACTTGTCGTATTATTGCGTGCCTATGTCTACGAGATTCATCCAGCGTATCCGCCGTCAAAGAACGCTGATTGGATTGTGTAACAGGATATGGCGCGATCATGGAGTCTGCCGCCGCACTGCGCAGATCTGTGAACGACCTCGACGAGCCTAACTTACGTAAAGGAGGAATGAGACTGGTGGAATCCAGCGATGAGCGTGGCTGGTTGAGAAGTTTAGAAGAATCCAACGACGCTCGAGGTTTGGGGTGGTGCGTATCGGACGGTGATGCAGTGTCGGTGCCCCTGTTCCTACTTCTCCGTGCCGGCCAGACATATTCCATGATTCGCTGACCGAGACTGGCGTCTAGCTGAAGTCTGATTGGATGGAAATCAAGCTGGAATTTTTCATAGATAGTAATCCCCCCTACAGGGGCAAGCACTGCCCAATCAGCATCAAGAAAAACTCCTCTCTGAAATGTGTTATGTCAAAGAGAGATGCCAGCGAGGTCAGAGGGCGCACCTTGCACATGGGGTGATTAGATGGGTCCTCAAATTTGGATACAATCTCAGGCCAAGGAGCATAAGGAGAACCGTCAAATGCCTGAAGGTCTCCTACCACGAGATTGGCCATCGTTGAACTGTCTTGTTTACTGAGCCAAGAGAAGTCGATGTCGCGGACTGCGAGCTTCGCAAGAAGTTCTTGGTGATCATCCAGCATTTGCCACGAAATGTCTGAAGAAGAAGCCAGAAGCAGAAGAGCTGACTTCTGGTCTGAGCGCTCATCGGCTCGATCCTGGGCTAACTTGATAGCGTCGAATATCAGATTAAGTTCCTCAGTCAGAAGGAAGATATGGGCCTTGAGCTTGATTATTTCCAGCCTGGTCTCTGAAATTACCGATAGTGCATGATTTTCAGCATCCCTCCGCGTCTCAAGCGCGTTTCTGAGGCGGCTTTGTAGATCCGAGACAACATTTGCCGCGGATGTGAAGTCTGTAAAGTCATAGGCAAAGAGCAAAGCCTCAATTTTCTCCAACCGAGTTTTGTGAGCGGCATCGGAGAAAAGTATGAGGTTTGTGATAATGTTGGATATAGATTGGAAGTGACGATCGCTGGCAGAAACAGTGAACCGAGGAACACGGACTTGAACCAGGTCCTGCCAATTTGTCAATAAAAGCAGAAAAGTCATACGCGCTAGTCTCACTGTCTCATTCTGTAAATGAGCATATTTGCCTCGACAGTGCTCATTGTCTGGCACAGACCGAGTGACCGATGTTACATTATTACGTAGACGAAGGCGATTAAACCGATCGTACTGGCACGTGGCATTTGTCTGGGGGACTATTCTGTCGAAGGTGTCACTTTCACAACGGTAGTCGATAAGAACTTCCAGTGGCACACATCCGTCGCCACAAGATGCCAAGTCTACGGGACAGAATGTCTGGAGACCACCCAAAGACATGTAACTCCTGTCATAAAGTGAGGCTTCTGATATAACTACCCAAAGTTCGAACATTACCTAGTCATGATGGTACCGCTGACCGGATCCTCCAGGTTAGACTTGTCCATGATTGTGAACGACTGCAGCTTAGCCTGAACAGCAGCCAAGACGGAAACGAAATCAGTACTTCCTTCACTGCGCAAAACGATCTGAGGCTTCAAAAGCAGGCAGAAATGGCGTTTCTGCAATGCCACTCCTTCATCCCAGCCGACAAGAGGATTGACGGCACCACCCCCATCCGCGACGTCATCCGCAACCTCGATTGAGACATCGTTGCGGTCCCGAGTCAAGATTCTTTTTAGAACAGTTGCAGCAGTCTGAGCCGTATTCACAGGGCTCTTGAGCTTCTCACGATCGGTTGGGGGCCCAGTCGACAAGACAGTTTCAGCCTGGTCCCTGATGAACTTGACAGCACTAGAAGCCGTAAATGATCAAAGGGCAGTCAAGAGTGTATGTCAATGATTCACGGACCGCGTTGCCATGTGATACTCAAATCCCTGTCGCGCCTTTGAACAGTTATAGTACTGTAGCATAATCTGTAGATTGTAATAAGTAACAATATCGGAGGAGCATACCAAGAACGCCGGACATCACGGATGGAATCGTTCATGAAAACCCTGGGAGCATGAAGTTGGTAGACGTTCTCAAACTCTGCCCATTCGTCAGCCTCGACAGTCTCAGAAGGCATATAATAGTTTTCAATGTTGCTGCTCCGAGAGCCCGTGTGAGGAATTTCGGTCATTCGTAAGTGATTCACGTAGTCTTGTAACAAGGCTGTCATCCTGTGCAGAGAAGTTGAGGTCTGGTGTTTCACTTAGTACATTGTTGCTTCACAGATGAAGATTTGGATATACCCCATCGTTGGCAAGAGAATCAAGGGTGGCAAGGTCCCGGAGTTGCGCGATTCGATGATTGGCGAGGTCAACTTCAATCTGCGGAACAGCTACATTCGGGTTATCAGGCACAAGAGGCGAGTAAGAGAAGCATTTCAAATAGCTTACACGGCTCGCTCCCAAGAAGGCACGTGTGCGTATCCTCTACACCAAATTTGCTACCCTCCATAGCTCCAGAGGTGGCATTTTTCTTGAAATAAGTCAATCTGGAACAAAGCAACAATGGAAGGAGCTGTATATCCGGTTCATGTTTGGAAGACCAATCCGTTTCCACAAAATCATCGGCATCAATCCAGTCGGAGGGAGTGATTGTTGGTAACGGCTTTGTGGAGTTATTAGCGTTCCTATCGCCTTCGAACGACAGAGGAATGGCTTGCTTCAGGGGTTCAGAAAAGGTGGCCAGCATGGCGCGAAGGTCCATATCTTTCATGACTACCTCCGCCGCATAGAAAGGCTTATGTCGCACAACCTTGATGCTATCCTGACTGTCGCCTGGAGCAATAGATTCTTGGTCCCTTTGGTGCATATCTGCTTGAAAATGGCCAACGTTAGCCTTGGTACCCACAAAGGAAGTGGTTCCAGAAACCCAGGAGTCTCTCGTGTCATCAATGTAAACATGAGATATGAATAGGCGAGGTACCACTAATCGGTACTTCACAGTCGCAAGGTGGCGAGCAAACTTGGGGGACACTATTTTGGAGGGAAAATACGAGCCCTGTCTGACTGGCAAGGACAAATTGCCGTCGAAGAGTGCCCACCAGGACCAGAAATGAGCAAACGCGTGTGGTGTCAAATGGAAACTGCTCGGGCTGGATGGGTCGACGCAAGTATGAGAATGGAGAGAAGATGTTAGAGACACGGAGAGGTGGATGAAGTCAGATCGGAAGCCCTTATAGGAATCGTGTAGTGTCTGAAGAAACGATCAGTGGGGGGAAGGAAATTAGAAGAACGATCTAACCTGGGGACGTGTGTCTATTTTCGTAGTCACAAGCTGCACATCATGATGAGGCCGGAAGGTGAAAAAGCGACAATGACGGTCGAAAGAGGAACCGGGGCAGCAAGATACACAATCTTCGCTGCTGCAAGACCGTTCTAGGATGACACCAACTCCAAAACGCACACCGGAGCCAAGTTTGGCACAGGTCTTAAGGCAACCAGGGGTACTGTGCGCTTCACTGGCGTCCGGTTCGTTTTGAGCGGCATCCCACTCGCAATGAAACCTGCTCTTGGTTTTCAGTCTTTCCGTTAGCGTGAATTGAGACGACATTACTTTGGAATGATGATAGACATGGTATCACTTGATACCTGAACAAGTTCATTGACGTCGTTCGGAAAACCAATGAGTAATTTGGGATTTCCTTTCCAACAGAGTCCAAAGCCAGCGCCTTCGTCATGAAGGGTGTATGGATCACGTGTACCTAGCACAGCGACATAAATTAAAACATATGATAGATCACAGCATCTCAAGCCGCACCTTTCATGTAGAGCCTGGCCTCGTTGGCGAATGAGACTTCGATAGTCCAGTGAAAAATGAGCCTCAGCTAAAAACACAATCAGATCCATAAACAGCAGTGAGGATAGATATTGGACGTGCCTTGTCCCAAAATCCAATGCTGGGAGATGGATCACGCG